AGAGGCCCCCGCCGCCCCCAGTGCTGTCCCCCTCGGTCCCAGGGGGGCAACAACTGCAGGGCAGGAAGGCCCGCAGCCCACAGGGTGGGGTACAGGCTCAGGGGCTGCAGGGGGCCCGGCCTGGCGCCCCCGGGGCACCCCTGAACCCCTCTGCACCCAGGGACCTGGGGATGGCACTGCCCACCCCATGGGCCTCCCGGCTCCGGGGAGGAGCTCGCTGGTCAGCTGTGCAGGTCCAGGGGCCCAGGACAGCCTGGGGCCACGGCCGGGGCAGCAATCTGCCTGGACCTGGGACAACAACCCCGCCCCCACTGGGGTGGTTGGGGCACACCTGAGCCGATGGCCAGAGAGCCCATGCTCTGCCCGCAGCTCGCCGTCCGCGCGGCCGCCGAGGGGCCCCGGCCACGGGCGTCGGCTCTGACCCACCTGGCTGTTCCACGCGATGAACATCTCCCGGTACATGGAGACGTGGGCGTGCCGAAGCTTCAGCAGCGGCATCAGCTGCGGGCACGAGAACAGAGGTGGGGAGGGGGGGCGGTCGGGGACCCGGACGCTCAGTGTCTGCTCCCCTGCCCCGCACGCCAACAAGAACGCCGGTGTCCTGCCCCGGGCAGGCCGGGCACCGTGTGCAGCTGGCCGGTGGCCAGGGGCCGCACCACCCGGCGTGGGTCCCGCTCCGGCAGGTGCACGCCGCCTGTGCTGTGTGACGGGGGAGCGGCTCCTCAACCTCTCTGAGCCTCCTCGGCTCCCCTGGAAACAGTGGTGACAGTGGCATCTGCCTGGCAGGGGTGTCACAAGGACCGAGGGCCCCGACGCAGGCCAAGTGCCTGGCGGAGCAGGAGGAGTGTCCGGCAGGGGTGGCTGGAGAAGGTGGGGGGCTCACGGGGGGTGTATACCGAGGCGCCCTCGCCTGCCTGCAGGTGCCCTGCCCCCACCCCGGCGGGAAGTGTGGTGAGAAGGGGCACAGCAGGCAGCGGAGAGGACCCCCACCGTCCCACAGCCACCGAGAGCCGGGACTGCGCCTGTGTGGGCGGGGGGTGGGGGACCGGGAAGGGGCCGGAACGCAGGGAGCTGGGAGGGTCTGGGGGCCACAGGAGGGCTCTCTGCCCCTCTGCCGGAATGTGGCCCGGGCCCGTCCCTGCCTGTCGGTCACACTGGGGACCGAATAGCTGTGTTGGGGGCGAGGGTTGGAAGCTGGCCACTGCAGACCGAGGGCGGCGATAAGAGACCGTCACCCAGGGCGGCAGACACGGCCCTGTGAACCTCAGCGGCGCGGCTCAGAGCCTCCGCCCAGCGACCACAGTGTGCGCAGCTGCAGTCACCGCGGCCGCAGCAGCCGGGACGGCAGGGCCGTCTCCGCCTGGGGGAGCGGAGGGGCGTGAAACAGCGCCTTTGTCACACGACTCTGTGCTCCGGGGTTCCTGCTGGAAGGGGCGTTTCCGTCGTCGCGCACGTCTTCGGAGGACGGTTGCTGGGGGACAAGCCGAGGGCCCGGGCGGACATGCAGACACCAACACGCGGCCCCGGCTGAGAGCGCGCGCCCAGAGCCGTCTGCGCCCAGGTCGGGGTGCGCGAGTTCAGGTGCAGATGCCCTCCCCGGCCTGCGGGCTTCCGGCTGCCCAGCAGCACGAGGCCAGACCTGCTCCCCCACCTCCTGCCCCCACCCAGGCTGCCCCCCACCTCCTGTCACTCCCTAGGAGCGCACAGAACCTTCCCCGCGTGTTCTGCACCCCGTCCTCTGCGGGGAGCCCCCCAGGGTTACCTCCTCCAGGGCCTCGTTGGCGTGGTGAACGTCCAGGCATTCCACCTGCGGGGACACACCTGTCCCGAGTCCGCACCGCCACCACCGCCACCACCGCCACCATCACCGTCTCTATCATCGCCACCATCACCACTGCCACCACCACCATCATCCTCACCACCATCCTCACCACCATCACTGTCACCACCGCTATCACCACGATCTCTACCATCACCAGCACCAGCACCACCATCTGCACTGACTCTTTAGAAAGCTCCTGACTATCCAGGAGACAGCAGGGCCGGCCCCGAGTAGGCCAGTGATGGAGGAAGAGGAGGGTGAGGACTCCAGGCCCACGGACAGCAGGCCTGGCAGAGCAGAAGGGCTCGCCACCTGCACGGGTGTCCTGACCTCGACGTGTCCCCGCCATGTCCGGGGACACCAGCAGGTGCCAGCTCTCTTCCCCCAGGCCCCTGACTCACGGGCCCACCAGACTTGGACACACGAGGGCTGTCCCCCACTGGGTCCGAGAGAGGGCCTGGTGTCCCGTTCTTAGCTCAGTGGGACCTTGGCCACGTCCCTGTCCCCTTCTGTAAAACTGGTGGCCCCCACTGAGGCAGCTGGAGGTCACATTGTCGCAGGAACTGCGTGGCCCCAGCTTGCGTGCAGCCTCCGGGAGCCCCTGCCCTGTCCGTGGCTGTGAGGTGGGGCCGTGGCCCCCGCGTCGCTGGGCCGGCGGGAGGCTAACTGAGATGACACCTCACTGAGTGACCGGTCGTGGCTGTTGTCAGGGTGAAAAGGGGCACTTCCTCTCCAGCGAGGTAACGGCCACCCGGGAGGGGAAGCTGGAGCACCCCGAGCCACCCCACGCCCCTGCCCGACCGGGTCCGCCTGGAGGCTGCGGCCGAAAGGAGCCCAGCTGCGGCTGTCCCGTCGAGAGCTGCTCTAACTCGGGGGCCCACCCTCACGGGGCGGGGGGGGGGGGTGGCCCGGGCACGGCCGCTCACCTGCTTTAGCACAAGCCTCGCTCTGGTTTTTCTCTCCTCCACCACCAGGTTCACCCCCAAGGCCCCGGGGGCCAGCTGGTGCAGCACCTGCCCGCGGAAGGGGAAGAGGCTTTCAGGGGACTCACCAGCCCTTCCCTGCCCAAGTGCGCTCAGCTCCGAAGCCGCCCCGCTCCCCCTGCCTTCCCTGCGGCCCGAGAGCATCTCTGCCCCGTTCCGCAGGTAGAGAGAACGACCCGGAAGGCCGAGCAGCCGTCTGAGGGTCGAACCGGAGCCCGTCTCTTTGGGGCCGGCTCCGGAGCTCTCCCCGCGGCCCCTCGCCCGGCGTCAGGTTGCAGCGAGGACCAGCGGCACCCGAGAGCCAGCACGGGGCTGTCCCTCTCCCCAGCCCCCTGCGATGCCAGCGTCCAGCACCCGCCGCCCCCCTGGGCATCCAAACAAGGAAGCATCTGGTGTGACCATAGGCACAGCCGTGTGCGCGCCCGGCACCGTGTCCTGTGCTCTGCACGCCGGTCCCCGCCACTGCCGTCTCCGTGTCCAGGCTGGAGGACACGGAGGCCCAGGGGCCGGGTCCTGCCTGAGGCTGCAGCTCCAGTAGCTGAGACGGCCCAGATCAGACTGGAACTCACTCGGGGTCGGACCCTGGAGCCTGGGCGTGAGCCTGACCTGCAGGAGGTGGCCACCGTGCGTGCACGGACGTCACGGGGCGAGGCTGGATGATGGATGGAGGAAGTGGGGTGGGACCCCCCGGTCTTGGGACTCTCTGAGCCCAGGAGAGTTTGAGGGCTCTGTGAGATTCGGCCCCTGTGAGCAGCCTGAACCCGGCTTGGGGAGTCACAGGGGCAGCGTCCTGAGCAGGTGACACAGCTGCCAGATGCTCAGGCCCTATCCGGAGCGGCAAACCGGACAACGCACCTGTGTGATGGACCATGAGTCTTTTCTCCCTGAAACAGTAACTTCGCTTTCTAAATCTCTGGCCCCCCCGAGACCCCCCCGCCCCCCCTTCACCACGGGTGGGCTGCCCTGGAGTCCTCCCACCCGAAGTGAGAAAAGTCTCAGGTGCACATGCTTGTCAGAAGAACGGCATCTTCACAGAGGCCACATGGAATGTTGCACAGAGTGGACGTGTTATGCATAGAAGCGTTTAATTAGACGTTCGTGGGTTTGAATTCTGCAGCTTTGCTTTTGTGAATGTCTCAGGTCCTACACCTGGTCACGGGCCAAGGACACGGCCCAAACCCCCCTGCGGGGGCTACTGACAAGTGTGTTCGGAGTCTGGGGGCTCCTATGAATCGTCGGCAGCCTGGGTGCCCTGTCTGCATGGGCCCGAGGCCACGGACCTGTGGGAGAGGAGGACGGAACTGTCTTCCCCCGGCAACGTTCAGGCAGGCGAGGCTACGGAGTCCTTAATTTCACCCACGGTTTCAGAAAGGGGTAGACCGGGGTCCAGAGAGGCAAAGGGCACCCAGGAGGTCACCTTTGGGGGTACCCTTTGAGCTGGAGGCAGTCGCTGGCCAGAAAGCGCGTCCCGTGCTTCCTTGGCGGAAGGACAGGGGCGGAGCGGGGGGCCCTCGCTGGCAGCCTCTGCCCAGGCTGCGACCGTTAAGCCAAGTAGGGGTCCGGGGTGGCAGCAGGAGGTCCGGGTCCCTTGTGGCTTCTCCCAGACGGTCGGGCCCTCGTCCCCCCAGCCTCCCCGCCCGGGGACACCTGGACACCTTGTACTTTTCCATAATGACTCCACTCCTCTATCTCTCCCTCGGTGGGGCGCTAGGGGTGCGCCCCCAGCCCGCGCCAGCAGTGGGACCCTCGACTGAGCATGCTCAGTGGGGACCGCGTCTGGGCGAGCACCCCATCCCCCACCCTGGGGACGACCCTCAGCCCGGGGTGTGGCTGCCCGACCACGTGACCCTCCTGCCCAAACCGTATCTGCGGGGCCCCAGGTGTGTCCCTCCGGCGACCAGGCCCTGAGAGCCTGGCCGCTTTAAATTTCTTGCTGAGTGGAGTATCCTACACGGTGGGCGGGGCCGAGCTCGGTGGGCGGGGCCAGGAGCGGCCGGCGAGGTCGCGGCGCGGTGGGCGGGGCCTCGCGCGTGGCGGGCGGGGTGGGCGGGGCAGGAGCGTGGCGGGCGGGCCTAAGGGCGCGGGGGGCGGGGCGGCGCGCGCGGCTGGCGGTGCGGCTGCGGGCGGTGCGAGGCCCCTTTAAGGCGCGCCCGGGCGGGCCCGCCGGCGCGGCCCCTTTAAGGCTTGGCCTACGTGGCAGCCGCTGGAGCCGCCGACTAGAAGCCAGGCCGGCCGCCGGGCACTTCCTGTGGAGGCCGCGAAGGGCGCGGGTGCCGACGGGCCGGACGCGGAGCGAGCGAGCGAGTGAGCCGAGCCTCCCGCCGCCGCCATGGGCCAGAACGACCTGATGGGCACGGCCGAGGACTTCGCCGACCAGGTGCGGCCTGCGGGCCCCGCGGCCTCCCCGCCCCGGGCCCCCTCCCCCGGGGCCCCCTCCGCGGGCCCCCTCCTCCGGATCCCCCGCTCCCCATCCCCCGGCCCCGCGCCCCGGCGGCTCCCTGAGCCGGCCCCCCGCCCCGAACTCGCAGGGTCTCCCCGAAGCCTGGGCCGGGCCTTCGCCCCTGGGATCGCGCCCCTGGGATCGCGCCCCCTCCCCCCAACCGCGACCCTGCGGCCTGGGCTCGTTGCCCGCCCCGGCCCGGGACGCCCCCAGACCCGGCCCCCGGGCCCAGCCTGCCCCTCCGGCCGCCTCCTCACCACGCACGGTCTGGGGTGTGTTCTCGGGCCCCGCTCCGGCGCTCAGCTCGGGTGGCCCGTCCCCCCAGCCTGGCCCGGGCCTCCCTGGAAGGTGGGGGCTGTGAGCGGCTGCCTCCCCGCCCCCGGAGGCCGTGGCCCGAGCCCCGGGGGGCTTGGGGAGCGCCCTCCGTGCGGGCCGCTGGGGCGATCCTGCCCGCCTCTCCTTTGCCGGGGCGCTCCTAGGAGGCGGGGTGGGGAGCTGGATGCTGGAGCGGGGTTGGTCAGACAAGGCAGTCTGGGGGTCCTCCTGGAGGGAAGGGGGCGCCCTGGTGTGCACCCCGACGGCAGAAAGCACAGCCCTTTTCCTGTCCCCTCCCCAGGTGCGTGGACTCGGTGGGGTCCCTTTGACCCCGCAGTCTCCCTCCCTGGACTCTGCCCCGGGGCTGAGTTGAATGAGGATCCATCTTACACAAGCCCGGGAGGGAGGAGGGGACGCCCGGCTTCTCTTCCCGGGCGCGGGCGGGCGGCTGGGGGAGGCTGTGGGAGGCTGTCGGAGCAGAGGTCCTGGCGGGCGCAGGGGACAGAGCGCCCGGTGTCGGCAGAGAGGGGGTGCCCCTCCGGCTGCCAGTCGGTGGCCCAGGACAGGCGTGCGCGCAGGCTCCGCCCGAGTTCGGAGCGGCGAGGGCCAGTCGCCGACCCCTGGCGGGGGCTCCCAGCCGCCCCACTCTGCGGCCGCGCTTCTTGGAAGGCCTGTGCGTACTTTTTTGAAAACACAAAAACAAAAACCGAGTGTCTTCTGATCAGTTATCAGTGAACAAGCTTTTCCGTTCCGCATCCCCAGGGTTGGTCGGGTTCCCAGTGCACCGCTCTGCTGTGGCCCAGAGTTATAAAACCAGTGTGTGGGGGGGGGGGGCGGGCGGGGGGGCATTGCCGTGGAGCACGGTCTTTCCCGAGGAGGCGAGGCGGTGTCTCTGAGTCTGCAGACGCAGTTTCAAACTTGTATCCCTTGCAGAAACAGCTCCAAGCGAGCGCAGGCCTTGTCGGTTTTCACTGACATAATTTTGGTGACCCAGTTTTATCTCCCCGATCAGCCACTCCGGAGGAAGTCGGCTCCTTTCAGCCCAGGGAACCGCGGGGGCCGCGGCCCCCGGCTGTCGGGCCTGGAGGAGCCCGGTTGTGCAAGTGGGTGTCATAACCCCGTCCAGACGCAGCAGCTCTGGCCAGGCTGCTGCCGACTATCGCGCGGGCAGCTCCCTGCCAGCAGCCACCGCCTCCTGTCCCTGGCGACGCGTCCCCTCTTCCCTCCATGCGTTCTGTCTGCGTTGCACGGACGCAGCCCAGTCTGGGGCCCGGCGGGGCCCCGGGGGCAGGGTGCGCAGGGCGGCGGCACCCGGTGAGGGTTGCTGCGGGAAGACCAGCGAGGCCCACCAAGGCTGGAGTCCTCCTCCGGCGGGAGGGTGCGGAGGTGGCGTGTGGCCCGAAAACCAGAGCGGCCCTGGGCGGCGCCTGTCAGGGGTCGGCTGCCCTGGGGATGGCTGAGGTCATGTGGGTGATGCAGGGGTCCAGGGATCCCCCGGGGTGGAGCCCTGGCCCTGCTGCCCTCGGTGGGCCCACACCACAGGCCCGGAGTCTTGGCTTCTGGCAGCAAGTCTAGCCGAGCTGGGTCCGCACGCTTGTTTTCAACGCTTGCCCACACAGTGGCAGAGCCGAGCGGCCAGCGACAAAGGGCCGAGAGCCCAGGCCTTTCGGGTGGAAGCGATCTGATCCGAAGGGAGTGGGGAATCCCCGAGGCTGCTCACCAGATGATGCGGCTTGTCTGTCCTTCTCCAGCCTCCGGGAAACAAGAGCAAAAACGCGTGGCGCCTTTGGCCTGGAGGCCGGTGTTGCTGAGGGTGTCACAGAAAACGCCCGGGCGCCCTCGGGCCGGGACGCCCGGAACTCTGGCCCTTCCCCGCACCGTCCCGGGCCGGCCCTCTGTGCGCGCTGCCCTGGCCCACGGAGGGCCGGTCCCACGAGAGGCCGGCCAGCGTCTCTGCCCTTGGACGTGAAGGGAGGCTGCGTGGCTGTCCGTGACCTTTCCTTGAGGTCCGAGGCGGCGAGAGCGCAGGGTGAGCCGTCTGGTTAGCTGGTGCTGGCCTCAGGCTCCTTGCCCTGGGTGGCCGGGACAGTGTCCTCCGGCCCCCGGCGGTCCCGGTGCCGCAGGAAGTGCTGACCGTGCTCCCCATGGGAGCCAGGCGCCCAGCGGCCGCCTGAGACCAGGTCGGCAGGGAGGGCCGAGGCGCAGGAGCTCCTCGGCCTGTGTGCGGGGTGTGATGCCCGTAAGCGGGCATGGGAGCGCTCGGTGGGCTCAGCCTGACGGCTGGTCACCAAGGTGACGCGCCCACGACGGGGGGGCCGTTCTCCAGTGCGGCCTTGCCCTTGTCGCCTGCACGCTGGCGCCACAGAGAAGGGCTGGGGGGCTGCCTGCCACCCAGGAGCTCCCGCGGCCTCCGGGAGAGTGCGGGTGGTGAGGACGGCCTCGGGCTCACTGACCCGGGCCGGCCCCCGCAGTCGGGCCCTGGACTCAGCTCGCGGGTGCTCTGTCCGCCCCCCCCCCCCCGCCGCCCCCCAGGCTTCCTGCCCCATGCTCAGGAGCGGGCAGAGAGGCAGGCAGGGTGCGGACGCCCTCTTCCCTGCTCACCTGTCTGGGTGGGGACGCGGCGAGGCTGTGGTTAGGGAGGCCTCCTGGGGGGGGGGGGTGAGGCGCCACGGGGTTCTCCGCCGTCTGGCTGTGCCCCGTGGTTAGGGAGGCCTCTGCCCGCCGTGGCGTGCTCATGGGGGACGCCCGGCCGTCTCTGCTGCTGAGGGCCAGCCGGCCCCCGCCGGTCCCTCCAGGGGCGCACGGAGCAGCACTCGGGGAGACCGGCTGGGAGTCCTGGGGTCGCGGCAGATGCGCACGAGGCATCCGTGAGCTGAGGAAGGGCACCTGGCCACAGGCGGCGGTTTCCAGGGCGTGAGGACGGCCCCTGACCCCGGCGATAAGGAAGGCCAGGCCGCCGGCTCCTCTTCCTCGGGGTGTTCGCCGACCAAGAGTGGCGACGGCTCGCCCCGGCCCTTTGGCCCCGGACGGGAGGAGAAAGGGGTTCCTGTGCCCCACGGGCGCCGCAGCTGGCTCCGTCCCGGGGCGAAGGCTCAGGCCAGTGTCCTCTTCACGCTTCCTGAGTGCCCTCGGGCCTCCAGAGTAGCAGCCCCTTGGGAAGAACCCAGCTTCCTGCGTTTCTGAGGCTGCTCAGCTGCAGTCGGTGGGGCTCCATTGTGAGGTTCGGGGATCCCTGTGGAAGGCCCCCCGCCCCCCCAGGGTGGCTGTCCCTCCAGAAGGTGCCTCCCGCGACGGTCCGCCTCCGGCCGTCCTGCCCGAGTCCCTCCCGAGGGCAGCGGCCAGGCTCTTCTCTGCCCCTGAGGGAGCACTGGTCTGGGGACACGGCCCAGAGCCGCTCGCAGGGGCTCAGCGGCCAGGTCTGCGCCAAGGGGACCGAGATGGGGGGCGTCGGGGACGAGGCGGAAGCCGGGCGGGGCCTCGTGGTGCCGACCACGGCTCTGTCCCTCGTGTCCGGTGCCGGCGGGTGCCCCTGGGGGCGGCAGGGGGTGGGGGGAGCTGTGAACGGGCCCAACTCAGGAGGCGGGGGGCGGGGAGCAGCCTGCACCCAGGCCGCACCTGACTTTGACGCCGGGGGCGTGCTCGGGCCAGAGCACGGGCCGGGGCTGTGGCGCGGCTTTCCCGCGGGCCGGCCGGGGGAGGGCAGTGAGTCACCTGTCTGGGGGCGGGCTCTGCCGCCGCTCTCTCATCCTCTGGCCCAGACACCGAAATTAAGGGCCTGGGCTCATCCCGGGGGCTCCCCCGCCCGCCGGCCTCCCACAGACGGGGAGCACCACTGGGGGGGGCAAGCCAGAGCGCTGCCGACCTCCGTCCTTGCGTCCCCCCGCCCACCCAGCGGCCCACCGTGGCCCGGCCTCCAGTCTGCTCGGCCTCACCGAGCCCCCCTCCCGGCTTCGACATCCCCGGGGGTCCTGCCCCGCTGAGGCCCGAGCCGTTGCCAGGGTCTCTCCGTGGGGCCCTGGCCGGAGGCCCGGCTGCAGGGCGGGGGTGCTGTTTGCCTGCTGGGGGCCGGGGCGCTCGCATCGTTGCCGGTTGCCGGGCACCTGGGAAGTGTCGTGAGGCAGCTGCGAGGCAGGAGCGGGAGGGGGCGCGGCGCCCACTGTCCCGAGCCCCACCTGCTGCAGCGCGCACGGTCGCGCCGGGGCGTGTGTGTCCCGTGTGCGCTCTCTGCGTGGGCTCCAGCGCTCACCCGGGAGTGCCCCGGGCCTCTTGTCACCGCGGGTCCACCCCTTCGGCCGGCTCCTGGAGGCTGGCCCGACCCTGAGCGACCGTTGGGCCCACCGACCTCGCTGCAGAGAAGGGTGGCTTGGGCCAGGCTGCCCGCCGGTCACCGTGACTTCTGCCACCGCTCTGGGGCGGGGGCCGAGGGGCCGAGCCCACGAGTGTGGAGCTGACCTCGCGGGGCCCCGGCCCCGCGGGTGGGAGGGAAGGACGCCCGGCGAGGGAGGGCGGTGCGGGCGACTCCGGCACCTTCAGGGCCTCGTCGGAGAAGCCTGCGCTCTGGAGCGCTCTCACTGCGCCCTGGTCTCCGCTCCAGGGCGGGCTTATCAGCCTGCGGGGGGGCCAGGCGCTGCCGGCCTGCCCTCTGGACCCGCGCTGCTGACACGCCAACCCCGCGGGCGGGTCCCGATCTTTCTCCCGAGCTCCTGCTCTGTTATCGCGTGTCCCAGGGCTTCTGTCCCTTTGCACCCCAGCCGTGCTCCGTTGGCGGGGGACCCTGCCCGGGGCGGCGCACCCGCTGACACTCGCACCACGGCGTCCGCCTGCCTCTGTCTCCTGGCGCGCGTCCCCAGGGACGGCTTGCGCGGAGCAGGCGGAAGCGGTCTGTGTGTCTCTTGGACGTGAGCCGGGGACTCTGCTCGCCCGCCCGTCGGTGCCGCCGAAACCGCTGTGCGCCCCGTGGCTTCGGTCTGCGAGGCCTCCCAGGGCCCCCAAGAGCCCGCCCCTGAGCCCCCTGGCCGCTGCCCACACCGAGTCCAGGCAGCCGCCCGGGCTCCGTGGAGGGGCCGCCCCGGGCCGGGCAGTGGGCCGTGGTCCGGACCGCATGTGCGTGCCGGCCGGCCTCTCGCTGCCCCAGGGGGCCGGGCGGGGGCGAGTGGGGAGCCTGGGCTGGCCGACCACGAGGCCGCCCGGCCGGGGAGCCCGGTGGCAGCCGGAGCGGCCGTCGCTCGGGGCGCTCTCCACCCTCGTCCGTCCCGAGGGTCCCCGAGCATCGCTGGGTGGCGGGGGCAGAGGGTCGGCGCGGCTCTGGGCGAGCCCTTCTCCCCGAGGCTCTGGGCCGCTGAGGCCCCGGCCCGGGGGTACAGGCTGTGTCTTGAGGTGGTTCTTGGCTGGCGGCCGCTGGACGTGTCTGCCGAGGTGACACAGAGGTCACAGCAGAGGGTTACCGCGCGGGCTCTGTGCCCGGCAGACAGGCGCGGGCGTGCCGGCGGCAGGGGCCTGGGGAGCGGGGGGTGCCAGTCCGGCCGCAGCCCCTCACCGGCGCCTGCGGCCCCCCAGTTCCTCCGAGTCACGAAGCAGTACCTGCCTCACGTGGCGCGCCTCTGCCTGATCAGCACCTTCCTGGAGGACGGCGTGCGCATGTGGTTCCAGTGGGGCGAGCAGCGGGACTACATCGACAGCACCTGGGGCTGCGGCTACCTGGTGGCCTCCACCTTCGTGCTGCTCAACCTGCTCGGGCAGCTGAGTGAGTGGCCCTGGGCGCGGGCGGGCTCCCTCGGTGCTGGGTGTCCGCCCCAGCTGACCGTGGTGGGCGGGGGCTGCTAGCGAGGGGTCCCAGCCCCTGCATGGAAGGGCCCGGAGCAGGAGACGGGGCGGAGCCGGGACGTGGGAGCCCAAGGCGTCGGGAAGGACGGGTCCAGGAGGAGGGAGAGAGGGGCAGGCTGGGCCGGGACGCAGTTTCCCGGGGGCCTCAGGCCCTGCGCCCCCGCCCCCCAACGCCGGGCTGTCTTCTGGGGGCGGCCTGCGCCCCGTGCACGCAGGGCAGGGCGGGGACCGCCCTTCCGGCCCGTCTTGCGGCACCGGGCTGTGCCCTCTGACCCCAGCCCCCCCCCCCCCCCCAGCCGGCTGCATCCTGGTGCTGAGCAGGAACTTCGTGCAGCACGCCTGCTTCGGGCTCTTCGGGATCATCGCGCTGCAGGTACCGGGGCCCCCCCTTCGCCGCCCTCTGCAGCGTCGTTGACCGTGGGGGGGGGGGCGAGTCACAGGGTTGGCCTCGGCCAGGACCCTCTCGCCACCAGGGCTCTCCTCCACGGGGAAGCAGCCCTGGCTGGTCACACGGGGTCTTCAGGCTGCGGGGTCTGGGCCCGGGTCCCGACCGCCTCGCGCCCCCGGACGCCCGGGCTGGGCTCTGACTCAGCAGGCGCTCCGACCTCGGGCCATCCCCGGTGTCCGGGCGGTCTGTGTGTTTTCTGTCGGAAAAACTGCCTAAAACTGCCGGTGGCCCGGTAGGAAAGAGGGGTCTTTGGAAGTGCCGCCACCTGAGCATCTCTCTGTCCTCTGTCCCCAGACGATCGCCTACAGCATCTTGTGGGACCTGAAGTTTCTGATGAGGTACGTGCACTGCGGGTGGAGAGCGCGGGTGCCTTCCCTGCCCCCTCCCGGGCTGTGCGGGCTGCCGGCAGGGCCCCCCACCCAGGACCCCAGCACACAAGTGAGAGTGAGGTCGCTTCTCCGGACCCCGGACTTCACGGGGTGGGGGGCCAGGTGGAAACACGCTTGCTCCCAGGGACGCAGCTGGTCCACCGTAGAGCTGCGGCCGGCACCGGCTCCACGGGTGCTCGGTGACCCTCGCTGTGTGGTGGCCCTGGGGCCCCGCGCCCTCCGTGTCCTGCTGGGTCTGCAGCGGGGGCACAGGGGCCCTGTCCCCCCGTCCCCCGTCGGGTCCGGTGACGAGCGCGTCTCTGCCCGCAGGAACCTGGCCCTGGGAGGGGGCCTGCTGCTGCTGCTGGCAGAGTCCCGCTCGGAGGGGAAGAGCATGTTCGCCGGCGTGCCCACGGTGCGCGAGAGCTCGCCCCGGCAGTACATGCAGCTGGGCGGCCGGGTGCTGCTGGTGCTCATGTTCATGACCCTGCTGCACTTCGACACCGGCTTCTTCTCCGTGAGTGCCACCCCGCCCCGCCCCCCGAGCGCGGGAAGAGGCCAACTCGCAGGCTCCCGTGTGCCCAGGAGGCGCCTTCCAGCTGCACCGGGCCCGGCCCCTCACGCCGACCCCGTTTTCCCTCTGCTCTCTGCCCTTACCGTGTCATCTCCGGCGCTGGGGGCGCACAGTTGGAGAAGGTTCTGCCCTTGTCCCCAGGGGCTTGCCAAGCAGGCCTTGGCCGGGGAGGCTGGTGCTCAGTGGCCCCAGGGACCCCGGGCCGTTGGCCCGCTGCACGCAGAGCACTGCTGCACCTCCCGTGCCCATGGCCCCCTGCGCGTCCCCGCCTGCCACACAGCCCCCCTAGTCCCGCCCCGCCCCGGGCAGGCACACCTCGGTGCCACGGCTGACCTGCTCCCCTCACGCGCACCTGTGTTCTCACCGCCCCGCCCCCGCAGATCCTGCAGAACATCGTGGGCACCGCCCTGATGATCCTGGTGGCCGTCGGCTTCAAGACCAAGCTGGCCGCCCTGACCCTGGTGGTCTGGCTGTTCGCCGTCAACGTGTACTTCAACGCCTTCTGGACCGTGCCCGTGTACAAGCCCATGCACGACTTCCTCAAGTACGACTTCTTCCAGACCATGTCGGTGATCGGGGGCCTGCTCCTGGTGGTGGCCCTGGGCCCCGGCGGCGTCTCCATGGACGAGAAGAAGAAGGAGTGGTAGCGGGCCCCCCGCCGGCCGCGCCCCGCGGCCCCGAGGACCGGCTCCGGGTGGGCTCGACAGGCTGCCAGCGTCCGCGTCCCCTGCCCCCTCCCCGCCCCGAGAAGGCACAGATGTTCGAGAACTTTCGCTGCAGACACCTGGAAATTGGCGGCCAAATCTGCTCTGGACCCACCTCCTGCGGCCTGACCGCTCGGTGCTGGCCGGACGGTGAGCACGGCCCCTCCCCCGGTGAGGCGGCGGCTCGCCCCCGCCGCTCGGCCCGGCCGCCAGGTGGCTGCGCCCCCTCCTGTCCGGTTTCCCTCTGGGGTGACGGGGGCTTCAGCTGTACTGTGAGCAGATACATCCGTGTGTCCTTCAACGCAGTCTCCCTCGTTCTTTCCAAGGTTTACGTTTTTAGCCAAAACTACTAAACGATTTCGGACGGCCCGGCCCCGCCTCACACACACTGCCCAACTGCCCGGTTCAGAGCTGCCCCGTGGCTTCCACGGTGCCCCTGCCTTGCGCTGTGACACTTCACAGGGGAGGTGGGACAGTTCGGAGGAACCCCAGCCCCCCAGAACCGGGCAGCACTGGAGGGGCCGCTCACAGTTCCCGGTCAGGGTCACTGACGAGTCAGAAAGCTGGCCTGGCCGGCGCAGTGCACACGGGGTCGCACCCTGGGAGCCGAAGGGGCTCGCGGTGGCAGCGGGGGCTCCCAGGCCAGTTACCTCGCTGCCGACCTACCACACCCTGGCTGACGCCGGGCAGAGCCTGCCCTGGCCGGGCGCCGCCTGGGTTTTCCTTGGGCCTGAGGTCCTCCCGGGGCACGCGGCTGCAGCCACGTGTCCACCAGGCTGTGGCTTGCAGTGTCCTGCCTGCTTTGCTGGCCGCAGCCCAGACTACCCTGCGCCTGGCGATGCCTTGCCAGCTGGCCCCGACCCCGCAGCTGAGGTTGTGGGGCGCTGCCTTGCGCTGCACTCCTCTCCACGGGCGTGAGCGCTGCGCTGCGCACTGCCCTGCACCTGGCCGTGCCCTAGCGAAGGCCCCCGGGGGAGCCAGAACGTCCCTGCGGCCCCCCGTCCTCTCCCCAGACCCTTTGGGGACAGTACAAGGCAGTGGCCCCTTGGAGCCTGTCCCTGGGGTGGCCAGGGGTGGGGGCCATGCTTGCCTCCCGTGCCCCTGCCCTCCACTCTGATGGGCTGCTCAGGGAGGGGGGGCTGCCTTCTGCCCCCCAGGGCCCTTAGAACCGTACCTGGCTCTGTAGCCTGAGCCCACCTATCCCCAGGGGGGTGGGGGCGCACCTTCCACCACCCACCTGTGTCCCCAACGCAGGGGAGGCTCATCCCGAGTGCCACACTGACGAGGCCGTGGCCGCAGGACAGGGCCTCTCTGCTCCTGGCCACTCGCTATGCAGCACACTTGCTTTCTGACGCGGCCTGGGCCCGGGGGGTGGCACAGCCTGACGGCCCCAGGGAAGGGCACTCCCCAGCCCTGCGCCCGGAGACCTCAGTTGGTCTGGGGGGCTGGGCCGAGCCAGGAGCCGCAGCCCCCCGGTCGCCGGCGGGAGGTTGCTGCCACCAGCCCGGCCCCAGCGGCAGAGCCCGGGAATGGGCGGTGCCGTCGCCGGGAGGAGCGATAAGCGACCGGCCAGGTAGTATTGGCAGAGATAATTTCCGAAAATATTTTTTGCTTTATGTGGGGAAATAGGTATCGATCTCATCGTATGCTGTATTTTATATTAGTTGTGTTTGAAAACATTCTGGTTTTTGGAAACACCAAAATAAACTATGGCGTTTGTTGTACGTGCTGTGACCCGCGGGCGCTGTCCGGGGGGCGGGGCCCTCCCGGGCTCTCCCGGTGCCGCAGGGAGGAGCGCTGGGGCCTCATCCGGACGGGGTGCTCCCCTGGGTCCTTGCTGCGTCCTGGGGGCAGCCGACGGGAAGCGGGTGGACGAAGCCTGGGGCACCGGCCGTGCAGAGGACAGGCGGCGGCCGCCGGAAGCGGACCTCCACGCGCCGCCCCACCTCTGGGGACGCCCCCGCCCGTCGTCTCCGTCTCTCCGGCGACTGTCCGTCAGCCCGACTGCTTAAAGGAGCTGAAGCGCTTCGGCCGGCGGTGGCGGCTTCTCCACTTCTTCGACGCGCTCAGCTGCGTCTGGTGGGGGCGGAGCTCCGGTCAGTCCCGAGGCGCAGGGCCTCCCCCGCCTGCTGAGCCGCAGAGACCTGGCTTCCCCCAGCCCCGTTCGGCCCACCCACCCGGGGCTCAGTGTCTTGCCAGCCCCTCCCCCCCCCCCCCCGTGCCTGCCGCACCCCGACAGCCGCCCCGCAGAGCGGGGAGCCTGTTCCACGCGGGCGGGCACCCGCGAGCAGCCCGGCTGGGGCTCAGGCTGGGGCTCACGGAGGAGGTGTCCGCGGGGTGCGCCCCCGCCGGGCACAGCCCTGCTCCGCCCTCACCCTCTGGCGCCGGGGGGCGGGCTCCCGGGCCGCCCCCGCCTCCTGCGAGTCCCCCTGTCGCCTCGGCCGCTCGCCCTCGTCTGACACAACGCCGCCGTCGGGGTCGTCCCCGCGCTCCGTCCCTCCCGGGTGCTTCCTGGCAAACAGCTCGGCTGCGAGGGACCAGGTTGGGGGGGCGGAAGTGAGGGTCGGGGCTGGGGGGGCCGAGCGGGTGGGGGGCACAGGCCAGAGCCCGTTCGCTGCTGCAAACGGACGGGACGGCCGTGACCCGAACACGACCTGAACCCACCCAACAGCTAGCCGGAGGGGAGGGGGCACGTTCCGCTCACCTGGGTACAGGTCTGTCATGCTGTCGTCGCTGTCGTCGCTGCCACGCGGGGCCGCGCCGTCGTCATCGCTGGACTCGGGCGCCCAGAAGGCCGCGCTCGGGTGGGGCGGCCCGTCACCGTCCGCCTGGTCTTCCCTCCTCCTCCTCTTGTGCAGGAGGCAGGCGGGCACGAACTCCACACCCCGCTCCTGGCACTCCTCGTCTGCGCGACAGGGCGGCACACTGCCCCTGGGCCCCACCCCCAGGGACACGTCCGAGGTGACAGGGGACGCCACCCGCTCAGTTCCTCCCAGGACAGGAGGGGCCAGCAGGGGCGCGGCCGAGGGGCAAGACGATGGGACAGGTCTCCTGGGCCTGGGGCACCCTGCTCCGGGCGGGAGGGCGCCCAGCTGCACGGGGTCGGGCCCCTGACCCAGAGGCGGCGGCCCCTCGAAGGCACCGTGGCTCCGTGGAAGCTGGCACCTCCGCTGCCCGCCCTGGTGGGGGCTCCCTTGGGAAAACCTTGCTGCGGCCCCACTGCCCGCCTGCACCGAGGATGCAGGCAGCCTCTGCAGGGCAGTGTGTCTCCCCTGGGGACAGGTGGTGACCTGGTCCTGGCTCTCATCGCCCCCCCCCCGGGTCCCACCATCACTCACGGCGCGGACGAGCCCTGCTGGGGTCCCTGCATACGCCTACCCACCTCCGGCCTCCCACCCCTCACCCCTTCTTCCTCTCAGGCCACCGGAACCCAGTGTGGCGTCTCCTCGGTGCCCTCGGCCGGGTGCCCGCACTGCCACGCGGAGCCTCTTCCTCCGGTCTCGGCCCCAGGGGTCAGCCTTGGAGCTGTCCCTCGCCGACGGGGAACCAGTCCGGCTCCCAACTCCTCCCTGCCCACGGCGAGGGGCTCCGCAGGCCCCCAGACACTGGTGTAGACCGGGAGCCTCCTCCCCGCCTGCCCACCAGTGGAGACAGGCCTTACCCTCCACCGGAAGCAGCGGCGCCTCCGACCTCCTGGTCCAGTCCTCCCGTCATCAAACCAGCCTGACCGCCCCTCCCCGGCCCCTCCCCTGTTCCCGGGCTGAAGCCCACCGCACGACTCTAGCCTGGCTCTGCACCCCCCACCACCACGCAGCTGGTGGGCTTCACCCCCCCTTGGCTAACGTTTGCTAAGAGTCCCCCCCCTTACTCCCTGAATCCCCTCCCCCCGGCCCGAGACGGCTGGCTCCTCCCCCGAGCGCCGGCCCTACCTTGTCCCTTCTCACCTGGCTCCCTGGGTGCAAATGCCACCTGGATGTGAGTGTTCTGCACCAGCAGCCTCGCACCCCGACACCTCCCAACTCTCCCTGAAAGCCTATGACCCTGACCCCGCTGGCACCTGCCGGTTCTCGAGCTGGGACCTGGGGCTCCGTCGCTTTGTCCCTGCCGCTCACCCCTCGGCCAGCAATCCTGCCCACGAGCAGCTGAGACCCGACCACGCCTTCCCACCTTCCCTGCCAACACCTGGCCACCCAGCTGGGAACCACGGCCACCATCGTCACCCGGAGGGCCGCCCTGCCACCCGAGGCGTCTTCCTCCGGGATCCTCGGGAACAGCGATGCTGAGACGCCCTGGCCCGCAGCTCCGGGCTTGCACGCTGTCAGCGCACCCTGACTGCGCATGCTCCAGGACCAGCCATGCTCTCGCCACGCCCCCTTCCACCCACCGTGCAGGGCGGCGCAAGGAAGGCTCGTCCTTCAGAAGCTCCCACCGTAGCGTCTGTGCCCCGGACGCCGTCCTCTCCCACTCTGCACCTCCCGCCGCCCCGGCCCACCGTGAGGCCTCCGAGAGCCTTTCCCAGGCCTCCCGAGTCCGGCGGGGCCTGCCGGTCCCGGCGCTGGCCCCTGGCAGCGTCCACCACGGGCTGGCCAACAACGTGGTTTCCCTGTAACACTGATGAGCTGCCCCAGGCACGCATCTCTACAGTCAATCAGCCGAAGGTGAAACCGGCGTCGTTTCCCTACAAGTCCCAGGATCTGCGGCCGCACTAACTGAGGAGGGAGCCCGCTGCCTACCCTGCACCTCTCCCCACTGTGCGGGACCGGCGCATCCCCCCGAGGACCCGGGCGCCCCTTCCTCCCTCTGGGGGCACTCGTCCCGGGTGACAGCAGGCACGCGCCCAGATCTCCGTGGCTCAGGTGCGCTGTGCGCCCACGTCACTTACATTTACGCAGAGCTTTCTGGTAGCGCCGGCCCTGCGTGTGCCTCAGCACGTGCTCGGGGGACTTGTTGATGTGCCGCAGGGTGAGTCTGCAGAACAGCTGGCGCCTAAGGGGCAAGGGGGACCTCGGTTTGCAGGTCAGGTCACGAGAGGTGCAGACGCCAGCTCGCCCCAGGGGCTGCCTCTCAGAACCCCCCCCCCCGAGAAGCTGATGGGGGTGTGTAAGGGTGTGTGGGTGTCCGAGACGAGGGCTGGGCATCGGGGTTCTGGAAAGCTCCGAGAAGAACCACCAACCCACACGGACCGCGGCCTCGCCGTTTGCCCGACACGTGGCCAGCCTTCGCCGGCTCTGCCGCGGGATCGCGCGAGGACTCCGCGTTCGAGTTCTCCAGAAAGGGGCGTGCTGCCGCCCCTCTCCCTTTTGACCATTTCTGCCGAGCACACACTCTCAGCTAAATCAAAGCTCTGCTTCTGCGTAAACACGCGAACCTGAGCTCGAGAGCTCCACACAGGCCCGGGGGTCTCGAGTCCAGCACCGGACCACGACCAGCCCCGGGCTACGCCTGTCGGCCCCGCCGCGCCCCGCCGCGCCCCACGTACGGGTTCTTGGTGCTGGGCACGACGTGCGGCTCGAAGGCGGCGTAGTCGAAGGCCGGGGAGGCGCGGGCCAGCCGCCGGTACTTCCTGCCGCTGGTGTAGACCCGGAGCTCGGGCAGGCGGCAGGGTAGCTCGTGGCCGGTCAGAGCACATCTCACCTGCGGGCGGGCGGGAGGCGGGGCGGTCAGGGGGCCCCGGGACCGGCCGGGGCCGGGGTCCTGGGGGAGGTCGGGGACTCCGGCCCCGCGCACCTTACAGGCGCCCGGCTGCAGCCGCAGGCTCGGGTGCTCGCGCAGGAAGGCTCGCACGTCGGCGGGCAGCTCATCCATGGCTGGGCGGCCGGCGGAGCTCGAACCACGTGGGCCGGCCGGGGGCGGGGCTTGGCGGTGCCCCGGAAGCAAATGCCGCCGGACCCGGGAACCCTCCGCGGGGCGATGGCGGTGTGGCGGCTGGGGCAGGTGCTGCGTGGGGCGGGCGCTGGGAGGCTGGGAGGCCGGGCGGCCGGGGGGTGGTCCGACCCCCCGGGCTGGGGAGCTCACCCGCCCCTCGCGTCTCCGCAGGCCCCCGCCCGCTCTGCCTGGAGGAGCGTCCTCGCGGTGCCCCTGCGCGCAGGTGAGGACTTGTTCAGGTGGTCACCTGGGGAAAGCTGCCCTGCGCTCCACGGTGCACGGTGCACGGCCTTTGGGTGCTCAGAAAAGCTCTGATCGCCTTTACCAGCCTCGGTGCCAGAGACGTTAACTAACCCACGTGTCACTGGCCTCAGGAGGGGCCCCAGGTGTCCGGGGCCTCAGGACGGAACCCAAGTGTCCGGGGCCTAAAGGAAAGCAGGTCCCATCGGGGCAGCTCGCACGCGGCCACCGGGCGACAGCAGAGGCTGACTGGACGGGGCAGAGCGCGCGTGCGCGCCCACCGGTGCTCCGCTGGCCTGCCTGCCCCAGACCTGCTTTTCACGCCAGGGGGCCATGTCGCTGTCTTGCGATGGGACCTGACTCCGAGAGCTTAAATGTGCTTTCTGTGTACGCACCATCTCTGAATGTCCGAGCGACGAGACGGCAAAGCTGGCACTCCTTCCTTCCCTCCAGAGTGCCAGCACCGCGCCGGCCCGTCTTCTCCGCCCCCCGCGGGCACCGCACCGTACCGCGGCCTGCCCCCCTCTGAGCTCCAAGCACCCTTCTTCTGCCTCTGGCCTCTGCACCTTGTCTTCTGGGCCCACGCAGCCCAGCTGGCTCACTTCTCGTGCCTCCGTGACTCCAAATGCACTTTCTCGTGTAATTTGGGGGCGGGGGAGGGGAGGGGCAGGACCGTTAGAAGAGTCCAGTCAAGCCCTGTCCTGAGCTTACATCACGTTTCTGTTTATTCAAACCGCAGCAGCCAATGCTGGTTTGCTTTACCCAGTAGAGTACCTCTCCGCGTGCTCCTGCGTCAGAGGCATGGGGCGGGGCGTGACCTAATTACCCAGGGTCATGGTTGGTGGCCAAGCCAGGACTGAGCCCTGGGTCTCCTTCAGTCAGTCAACACCCACCGAGAGCCCCGCGCCAGGCCCGGGGCCGGGCGGCCCCCTCCTCCTGTGCCCCATGCTCCCGGACAGTGTTGGCGGCGTCCCCAGGGCCTCCTGACCCAGAGCCCCTGTTGTGAACCCCTCAGGGCCGGCCTGGAGGCCGGGCAGGTGTGGCAGTTCGGCCGCAGAAGCGCCTGCCACCAAAGCGGAAGATGACTCCTTCCTCCAGTGGTTCCTGCTCCTCATCCCAGTGACGGCCTTCGGCCTGGGGACGTGGCAGGTACAGACCGGCCTCCCGCTCTCGCGGCTGGAGCCCTCGCCCTGCTGCCGCGTGCTTGGGCTTCTGCTCTGTGTCCCTAGGTCCAGCGTCGGAAGTGGAAGCTGAAGCTGATCGAAGAGCTCGAGTCTAGGGTCATGGCCGAGCCTGTCCCTCTGCCCGCAGAGTGAGTGGGGCCGCCAGCCGGGGGCTGGCCTTGCTGGGGGTCCTCGGGGAGCCTGGCTTCTGCTCACCGTCCCAGCCCTCAGAGGGGAGCGCTCAAGATCAAGGGTCCTGCTGGGCTTCTTGCTGACATGCGCCCCCCCGCCCCCGCCCAGGATGTTGCCTGAAGGACGTGGGGGCGCCTGTCATCCCGGGTCTCACCCTGACCTCAGGCCTGTGGTCCCTGAGGGGTCCCCCACAGTGCGGGCAGCACTCACAGCAGGCATTCCGAGCTAGTCGGGGCGGGGGGGGGGGGGAGCCGGCTCCGCCACGTCGGGGCTGGAGTGGGGTTCTGAACCAGTGCCCGAAACGGGGCTCCTGCCCTCTCCCCTCACTTCCACGCCCTGTCCTAGCCGCAGCTGGGTCCCACAAAGCTGTCATCCCCGGGGACAGGCTGGTGCGTGCAGACGGGCTGCTGGCCCGCACAGGAGGCCGGCCGAGTCCGAGTGGGAGTCCCCATGTGTAGCAGCTTCTCTGGTGAATGTGGACGGTTCGGTAGTGCGGTCTGTTCCGCTCCACAGCACATGGGTCGGCCTCCCCGCCGGTGGGCACTCCCCCCGCGTGTCCCCTCTGTGCCTGCGCATCTCCTACATCACCCCTCAGGCCGGGGGGCTGCGTGGCTTGTCGCCCCAGGAGAAAAGGGTGTGTCTCCCTCCTCCGGGACCGGCCCAGCCTCAGCCCCACCTGCCTCCCTCTCCCCTGCAGCCCGATGGAGCTGCAGAACCTGGAGTACAGGCCCGTGAGGGTCCGCGGGCACTTTGACCACTCCAAGGAGCTGTACTTGATGCCCCGGACCCTGGTGGACCCAGCCCGGGAGGCCCGGGCAGCCGGCCAGCTCTCCTCCTCGGTCCAGAGCGGCGCCCACGTCGTCACGCCTTTCCACTGCAGCGACCTGGGGTGAGCAGGCGCCAAGAGGGTGGTTCCTCCCCTCCTCTCCACCCCCAGCCCGGGGAAGACTGGGGAACCAAGATGCCCGCAGAGGCTTGACTGCTCGCAGGGTCTGAACGTTGGAATCCGGCCCTGGCAGCCCAGTTGTTCCCCGACTGGCTGCCATGCAGCCCCTACGCACGCAGAGCCCTTGGCGGGGGCGCAGTGAACGGTCCCCAGGGCCGCACGCTGAGGGACGGTGGGGCGGTGCTTGGAGCGTGCAGGGAGGCCAGCCCGGGAGGGCAGAGGTGGGAGGAGCCTCGAGGGGCACCCTGGCAGAGCAGCTGCTTCCCCAGTGCCCGCGCACAGATGCAACCCGGGGCCCCCGTCCCACCGCTCCCTGGGCGGAGGCCGGGAGGGGCCCCTGGGCCCCCTGGTTGGGAGGGGAGAGTGGAGGCAGGTGCACGAGGAGGCTGCTCCAGTCCAAGTTCAGGGGGGTGTGGCTGCCTCAGCCCAGGCCCTGGGGGCTGGACCCCTGGCTTCCTGCTGCAGTGTGTATATGGGGGGGGGGGCACGAGGAAATGGGGGGGCCTCCCACTCCAGGGAGGGTTGGTGGCTCTCCCCAGTGAAGATGCAAGGGCGCTGTCCGACGGCCCATGGGGGCCCGAGGCCCTGGCCCAGCCTGTCCCCAAGGAGCCCAGCTTGCAGCACCCCAACCCCGCCCCAGAGCTGCTCCCGAGGGCGCTGGGGCTGGTGTCGGGGGTGGACTTCCCGCAAACCCCCCCCCACAGCACACTGCACGCTCTCGTCACGCCAGGGTCACCATCCTGGTCAACAGAGGGTTCGTCCCTCGGAAGAAGGTGAACCCCGACACGCGGCAGAAAGGCCAGGTAGGGGTGTGACCTCTTCCTCAGGGGAGCGGGGCTCTTGGGGGCCACCCTCCTGTGTGCCATGCACCCCAAGGACAAACGGCCGCCACTTCCACTTAGGTCGAGGGGGACGTGGAGCTCACTGGGATAGTGCGGCTGGCAGAGACCAGGAAGCCTTTCGTCCCCGAGAACAGTCCAGAAAGGAACCACTGGCACTACCGGGACCTGGAGGCCATGGCCAAGTTCACGGGCACAGAGCCCATCTTCATCGACGCGGACTTCAGTAGGTCGTGCCCAGCCCAGCCCAGCCCCGGTAGCGGGAGTCAGGGCCCCTCTGCGGTGTAGTGTGCTGGGGGCAGGGGAGGATGGGGCGGCCCTGGGGTCGGGCCAGGAGCAGGCAGAGGGCCCCCCTGAAGTGACTGGAAGTAGGTTGCGGACACCAGCAGGTCGGGGGAGAGCGAGCTAGGAAGGCTGTGAGGGACAGCGGGCCGGGTGGCAGTGACGGGAGACTGAGCCCCGTGTCCCGTCCCCGCAGAGAGCACAGTGCCCGGGGGGCCCATCGGAGGGCAGACCCGGGTCACCCTGCGCAACGAGCACATGCAGTACATCATCACATGGTGAGTCCCAACCCGACCCCCCGCCCCTGCTGGGCTCGGGCCCTCCCCTTCGGAGCCCTCACTGGACACCTCTCCACCCACTCCAGGTACGGACTCTGTGCGGCCACGTCCTACCTGTGGGCAAAGAAGTTCCTGCGTGGGACTCGGGGCACGTGACACTATCGGACGGGCACCCCGAGTTCAGGGGGTCCAGTCTCATGCTGGCCACACAGTCATATGAATAAACCCCTGGCTGCTACCCACACCCTGCCTTCCTTCTTAACCGGACGAGCGGACACTCTGGGGGATAACAGCCAGGCCCCGGTCACAGCGCCCAGTGCCACCGCACAGCACCGAGACGACGTGTGCAAGGCCGCCCAGCTGTTCTGACTGGTGCTGACGCATAGGGGCCCTGGTCTGAGGGTGGGCTCACTGGCCCCCCCCACCACCAGCCTGAAGGTCAGTCACTGCCACACCACACGCCTGAGAACGGGGTCGAAGGAGTCTTTATTACTTTTATGTACAGAAACCACAGTGCCCACTCAGCCCAGCTTGGTGGCCAGTTCCTTCGCCTTGGCCTTCTCCAGCTTGGCAATGCGAGCCACTGACTTGGGGCCCAGCACGTTGCCGCCCCAGTGGCGGCGGATCTGCAAGGACAGGAGGGGACCCCGTTAGCCCAGTCCGGCACCCCCACCTCCCCAAAGCTAGGGCACTGTCCCGCGGGCCGCCCTACCTCGTCATATCGGTCGTTGTAGTTGGTCCGGACGGCTTCCACCAGCTTGGCCAGGGCGCCTTTGTCCTCCCTGAGCAGACAGGGCAGCCGGTGGGTCCCCGCCTCCCAGCCCCTGCCCGCTGCCCACTGCCCACTGCCCCCCGCCCCGAGCAGGACAGCCGCCCCTCAAGCCCCAAACACAAGCCTTTCGCCTCAGACTCGATGTGACCACACGGTTTGTTCAGCTGAAGAAATTCACAAGCATCACTGGCAAAGGCCCAGACGGGTGTGTTCCCCCTTACCCCGCAGGGCAGGGTCTCGCATGAGGAAAGGGGGAGGGTGGGTGCCGGGCAGCGCAGCGCACTTACGAGTTCACCTGCGTGAAGGCGACGGTGGTGCAGGTCTTCCTGTGGACCAGACGGCCCAGCCGGGCCTTCCCCTTGATGATGCAGTAGGGGACCCCCATCTTCCGGCACAGGGCGGGCAGGAAGACCACCAGCTGGAAGACAGCGTCGGCTGAGTGCGCGCCCTGAGCAGCAGCAGCAGCGGCCGCGACTCTCGGGCGAGCGGGGTGGCGGTTGCTCAGGGTTAAAAAGCTCATGTACTCGCACTTCAAGGCTTAATTCAGTGAGAAAGTCACATCATCGCAAGAGCCACGGGCCCGCGGGCTCCCGTCCTTGCGGGCACGGCCGTCGCCCCGCCCCGGCCTCAGGGTGCCGGCCCCGCCCGGGCCCACGCACCTCGATGGGGTCCACGTCGTGCGCCATCACGACCAGCTGGGCCTTCTTGTTCTCCACCAGGGTGGTGACCGTGTTCACCCCTGCGGCGGGAGACGGGGTCTGCGTGAGGGCGGGGCCGGCGGCCACCGGACAGCCACTCACCACAGGGGCTCCAGAGGGGGCCGCACGCCCTCCCGACGCCCCTCACCTGCTCGGAGGACGGGGGGCCTCTTGGTGGGCACGTCCCCTTTGCCGGCCGCCTTCTTCTCGGCACGGGCCAGCAGCCGCTGCTGCTTCTCCTGCTTCGTCTCCGGCCGGTACTTGAGCGCCAGCTTGAGCAGCTGCGTGGCTGCAAACCACCACGGGCTCAGGCCCGCAGCGCGGCCCGGACCCCCGTCCCTAACAGCGACTCGCACTAGGTCCCTGTCCTGGGTGGGAGCCGCACTTGGAAAACTGCCCTGACAGCCCTGCAGGGGGGGCGGGGGGGGGGCTCAGCGGGGCGGGCAGCGCCCCACACAGCAGGAGGTCGCTGCTTCGATTCCCGGTCGGGGCTCACGAGAGCAGCAACCAACCACATTTCTCTCTCTCCCTCCCCTCGGAAATAAGCATTCAAAAGAAAGAAATCTCAGGACGAGTGTGTAATCTTCCAGATTTGGCTACGGCCAGGTTCTGGGGACGATGCAGCAACCTGACCCTCAGTGACCAGTCTGCTGCCAAACGCCCGCCGCCCGCGGGGCCAGAAGCCTCCCCGCCCCCCGCCCCGGCCCCTCCCCCGCGCCCACCTGTCTGGCGGTCCAGGGCCTGCGTGAACTGGTTGATGGCCGGGGGCACCTTCAGGCGCTTGTAGAGGATCGCCCGCTGCCGCTGCAGCCGGATGTAGCGCGGCCACTTGACGAAGCGGGTGAGGTCCCGTTTGGGCTGGATGTCCTGTCCTGCGGGGGGGAGCGCGGCGCTGAGCTAACCCGGGGCGCACGCCACGCTCGGCCGCCTGGAGGGGCGGCGCCCCGGCGGCGGCGCAGGTCAAGGCGCCCCCACGTCTCGCAGAGAACAAACGTCGGGGTCCCCGGGGGCCGCGATGCCCACGTCCCCAGGACCCAGACGCCCCGCCCCGCCCCCCGCCGGGCCCCCGCGCGCACCGATGCCGAAATTCTTGGGCCTCTTCTCGAACAGCGGGTTCACCACCTTCTTGGCCTCCTGCTTCTTCACGACCGCAGGGGCCGGCGCCACCTTCTTCCCCTTGGCCTTCTTCCCCTTCGGCTGCGCGGGAGGAGAGGCCGGGTCACCCGCCCGCCCGCCCCCCAAGTCCCCCCGGGCCGGGGTCCCCCCCGCCCCACCGCGCGCGCCCGGCCCCGCTCGTGCATCAGCGATCTTGGTGGTCAGGGAGGTCCGCACGGCCGCTCAGATAGCAAATATTCGCTCACATCATCTGCACGAGCCGGGGCGGCCCGGGCCCGGGGCGCCGCGCCCCCAGACGCAGCAGCAGCACGCCCAGCCCCCCTCCCCGAGGGCCCGGGGCCCGGCTCCGGGCCGCATCAGCGCCAAGCCCCGCAGTGCGGCGCTGGGCTCGCCAGTTCCTTCTCCCTCGGCCCAACGCCTCTGGGCCGAGCCCCGCGGGGCTCCCCTCGCGCCAGACGGCAGAGGGACTCCCGCGCAGCCGAGTCCGAAGGAGGATGGCGGCGGATAGAACCCAAACCCAGCGCCGGCACACGGACTCGCGAGGAGACTCACCATCTTGGACGACGGGAGGAGAGAGAAAGGAAAGGGGATTGTGGGAAATTTGTATGCTAGCTCGGAGATCGCGAGACCTGGAGACTGCGCGGGATTTCGGATTTAAAGTGACAGGACTCCTTTCGTCCGCCCTCGGGTCGGGGGCGGTGCGGGAAGCCGGAGTAGGGTCTGTGAGTCGCAAGGGGCGTGGAGACGGCGGCGGGACGCTCCGGGTGCGGACAGGCTCCTGCGAGCTGGGACTGCCCGAGGGGAGCTCGTTCATACCTTCCCCCATCCCGGCCAGGTGCCGGCCGGGCCCGGGGTCTGCGGACAAGGTGCAGATATGGATGTCGTAGGGCGGAGTCGCCGTGGAATGTTCCCCAGAAGGGCTCCGCGGCCGCCAGTGCGGTCGTTCGGCCGGGCCCCGAGCCCCGGGCGGAGCGCTGGAGCGCCGGGCGGGAGGGTGGTCCGGGCCAGAGCCCGGAGCGACCAGGCGGTCGGCGCTCCGGGCGACCCGCCTGCAGCGGGGCGCCCAGTGCGGAGTTGGAGGGGCCTGTCTGTGGAGAGGTGGGGCAGGGGTGGACCCGAGGAAGCGCCTCCAGGGGTCCCCGCAGGCCTCTTGCGAATGCGCGTGGGCCGGACGCGGGCAGGGTGTCGTGGGCTTTCCCCGGGAGATGGCGTGAGGTCCCGTGGCGCCCCTGTGGGCCAGGGATTGGACGAGTTCGGCGGAGAGGGGACCCCGAGATGTGCACGTTCTCGGGGGCACGGAGGGTGGGCGGCGGCGGCTGGCCCCACTCGCATCACACTCCTCCTCCCAGGTGCTGACTGCGGCCCGGGGCCTCCGCTCCCTGCCCTGACCGGCGCCCGCCATGGCCCAGCAGAGGGCCCTGCCGCAGAGCAAGGAGACGCTGCTTCAGTCCTACAACAAGCGGCTCAAGGACGACATCAAGTCCATCATGGACAACTTCACGGAGATCATCAAGACCGCCAAGGTGCGCGGGCGGCCCGTCCTGCGCCTCGGACAGTGCCGCCGAGGGAGGGGTCTGCTCTGGCCCAGGGTGTCCCTGAGGGCCCGGTGCGGGCTGGTGGCCCTTGTCCCTGCGGGGAGAGCAGCCGGGGAGCAGCTGGGGGTGGACTAGAGCAAACAGGTGACCAGATAAACCAGCCAATGCCAGGTCACCGCACGGCCTCTGTAGGGAACTCGAGTTACACTGACAGGTTCTGGCCCGACGGGGTAGCTCAGTTGTCAGAGTGCCCTCCCAATTCGCCAGGGATGCAGGTCCCATCCCCAGTCGGGGCCCGGACGAGAATCTACCAGTGATTGTGTGAATTCGTGGAACAACAAATCGATGTTTCTCTCCCTCTCTCTTCCTTTCTGTCTCAAGTCAATAAGCAGAACGGCCAGGTTAAACACCCAGCACCACTCACCACCAACGGGTTTGGACAGGGACTCGACTTCCCAGGGCTCTGGTTTGCCGAGTCACATGACCCTGGGGGGAGGACTGGCTGGGCGCTCTACGCGGCCCCCTCCGGGCCTGGCCCGGACCCAGACGTGGCAGCTACTGCTGCATGTGGGCAAGTGGTCAGCGCCAGGCTCCGTGGGCTGGACCCTCACGAGACCGTGGCAGACTCGGAGGCCCTGCTGGAGGACTAATGAGGGTGGGAGGAGCTAGTGAGACCTCAGGGTTCACGACATGTCAGGCTGCGGTGGGGGGGGTTATTGACTCATAATTTTCACAAGGCTCCTTAAAGCAAGTCCCCCCGCCCTCTCCGTTTTCAGAGGAGGAAACCGGGGCTCAGACTTAGGAACCTGCCTGAGGCTCTTCTGCTGTAACCGGCAGAGCCAGGACTGGGACGCAGGAGGTCCGGCTCCCCACCACTCGGGGTGCCCTGACGCTGCTGTGCGCGCACACGGCCCCCCGAGAGGCCCTGTCCAGGTGGGCGGGTGGGGGCAGTTCACAGTCTGCCCCTCAGACAGGATGGGCTCCGGCTCCTGCATTCACCCCGAGACACGCACAGCTCCCCGGGCTGTCCCAGCCTGGGCTCAGCCCACCCAGGCTTCCAGGGGGACTCTGTGAGGTCACGAGGGTCAAGGGCTTGATACCTGGGAATTGCTCAGTAAACGGTCCCTTAACAAAGGGTGTCACCCCATTGCTCATCACCGAGCGCCCACGCTGCTCGTGATGCTGGTCTGTACTGCACAGGGCTCCCCGTCCCTGAAAGACTTGACCTTGCCTGGGGCCTCCCTGCGCCTGGCGCAGCGATCAATGCCCGCTGGCACCCGTCTGTCCGGGCAAAGGTGCTGTTCTCATCTTAGAACAATGAGGGGGGAGGGGAGCGTCACCCCAGGTCTGGGTCGCAGTGCCCACCGGGGACGGCAGGACAGGCAGGATGGGGATGGCGGGGACCAGCGGGCCGGCGGGCCGGCGCCTGCCAGTCTTAGACTCCCTCCTTTGTCCTCCAGATTGAGGATGAGACGCAGGTGTCCAGGGCCACTCAGGGCGAGCAGGACAATTACGAGATGCACGTGCGAGCCGCCAACATCGTAAGTCACCAGGGGGAAGGCCTACCCTGGGTGCCAGCGCCTCGGGGTCCCCACTGTGTCTCCTGGGTGGGATGCAAACCGCTTCTTAGGAGACACCCGGCCCCGGGGTGCAGGGGCGTCCATGCCAGCGTGGGAGGGGCGGCAGCGGGCACGGCTTCAAGGCAGGTTGCCCGTTGTCCCTTGTCCACAAGAAAGTTTCCCGAGACTTGTTGTGAGTATAAATGCAAATCTCCGAGTGCAGCTGGATGTGCATTTTGGTCCCTTGTGATGTCACAGGACAAGTGTGCCCATTATTTGCATAAGCATGTGCCCACTCGTGAAAGCACGTAAGAAAAGGTTTGGAAGGCGCCCCCCCAGCGGGCGGGCGGGTTGCCCAGAGGAAGGGCAGGCGGTTTGGCGCGACAGCAGTTCCATCTGTGGGCTGGGGGCTCGAGTCACTCATGGGGCTGGAGCTCAGTGCCTCCCGGCCGGGGCCAGAGGCCAAGCCGGAGGGGTCTGGGGGGCCAGGACCCTGCCCCGCCGAGACTCACCCCCCGCCCCATCCCTTCTCACCCTGGAGGTCGGGGCCGCCGCCCCACGTTCGTTGCCCGTGAGGAGACCAGGCCGCTGCTTGGCCAGAGTCAGGCCCCTGGGGGCCGGACGCCGTCACACCCTCGCCCACCTGCAGGTCCGCGCCGGTGAGTCCCTGATGAAGCTCGTGTCCGACCTCAAGCAGTTCCTCATCCTGAACGACTTCCCCTCGGTGAACAAGGCCATCGACCAGTGCGACTTCCAGCTGCGCACCCTGCAGGACGAGTGTGACCGGAAGCTCGTCACCCTGCGGGACGAGGTTGCCATCGACCTGTATGAGCTGGAGGAGGAGTATTACTCGTCCAGGTACAAATAGGGCCGCGCCCGGGCTGCGGATGCGGGTCCGGCCGGCTTCCCGACGGCCCCGGTGTTCCAGCCCCTGCCTGCCTGGTCGCCGCGGCTGCGGCGGCTGCGGCGGCCGCGGCGGCCGCACAGCCCGAGCCCGTGTCCAGGCAGAGCGCCTGGTGCGCAGCAGACACTCGCCGCCGCCTGCCGGGCCCCGGGAAGAGAACCTCAGGACTTCCAGGGCCGGGAGGGCCAGAGCCTGCGTTCCTGCCCGGGGGGGCCGGCTGCCTGGTTTTGAACTGTCTGGTCCTTTTAGCTGTTTAATCGGTATTTCATCAACCCTCCCAGCCAAGGCCGGGCTCGCTCCTGTTGGCCCCCGGACTGTGTCCAGGAAGCGCAGGGAGGCGAGTGCCCCCCGTGGGGGTGGGGCGCCTGGGAAGGAGCAGGAAGAAGCCCAAGCAGAGGATGGCCCTGAAGCCAGGCCCAGGGAGCTGAGGCCCCCTGGTTCCCATTCAGCTCGGCCTTGTCCTTGGGCTAGAGCCCCCCCCCCCCCGCCCTGCCTGGCCACTCTGGGCCCCAGGATACCGCAGGGGGAGCGGCCCATCTCCCCAGCCCTCAGGGGCCACTTGGATCCCTGAACCTGAGGCCTTCGAGTGAGAGGGCCACTCAAGTGAGACGTCTCAGTCCAGGCGTAACTCACATGGGGGAAACTGAGGCTAGAGACCGGGGGCCTTGCCCCTCCGTCCCCAGTGGCTTGGGAAGTCCAGGCTGGGCTCTGCGCCAGCTCCAGGCCGTCCTCCTGCGGTGCCTTCCTGTGCGCCTCGCGGGCGCCACTCTGGGATGGGGGCTCGGGTGCCCGGCCCCAGCGTGCCCTGTGGTCTGGGGCTTGGGTCCAGCGCCCCCCCTCGCGGTCCCTGCCCATCTCAGCCTCTCCGGGAAGGGACACCATGTCCCTGCACGGCTGGAGTGGTTCTAGACTTCTCCAGAGCAGTCTGGGGCCACCTGTGGTCCCTGATGCCCGCCAGGCCAGCAGACCTGGCAAGCGCCTCCTAACACACCTCTCAGGGGACGGGTCCCTCCGGGGGCAGGTCCCTCGGAGGGTTTCAGATTCCGCTGGGGACCAGAGACCCTGCTGGGGACATCACTCACAGCCCCGCTGGTGTTGCGGCAACCCTTCGCCCCCCCATGTTTGTCTCTGTGACCCCAGGGGCCGGGTCTCTGGCCTGAGCAGGGACAGGACCACCCGCCTCTCGAGGTCCAGGGCAAAGGGGAGGGGACCTGCCCGAGGCCACTCACCAGGGCCTGTGTGCCAGGCGTCCCGCCCTCTGCCCGCCCCTCTCTGGTGCGCCCACAGTGGTCTGGGCTGGCCGGGCGGCCCCCACGTCCCTGGGCCTCAGGAGGCCAAGTCCCCCCCCCACCGCTCGCCTGCTCGCCCGCCGCCACGCTTGCTCGCCCGCTTCCCCTCGTGATCTGCTCTCTGTCCGCCTCCCACTCTCCGCTGTCCTCAGACCACCGCTCCGAGACCGCGAGGGTTTCTGAGACGGGGCACCGAGGGCGGGAGCCAGGGGCAGGGCAGGCCGCGGGAGGCCGCCAGGGAGACGAGCGCGGGCCGGCTGTGCGGGTCCTTGCCCCCGGTCCCCCAGCAGCAGCAGCACGTTGGTGGGTGGTGAGCAGCGGCTGATCAGGGGGCCCGTGGATAGCAGCACCGCTGGTGCCGTGGCACAGGACAGAACACGGGGTCTCTGTTCCTGACACCTGGTCCGGGCTCAGGCCGGGAGATAAGAAAGTAAGACAGGTCTCTGCCCCCCACGGCCCGTGGGAATTGTAGGAACCGAGAGAGACCGCAGTGAGCCTCGGGTGCTGGCTGCCACCGCGGTGCGGCTGGCCGCTCTCGGCCAGAGGAGGGCGGCCGAAGCCGGGGTGGGGCTGGGGGGGGGGGGGGGGGGTGGCAGCAGGGGCTAGGACAGCCACAGGACACACACCTGCCAGGTCAGTGGAGGGACCTGCTGGGGTCGCAGGCCTGCGCCAGCCGGTGCTGCAGGGCCCCGCCCCTTAGGGTGCCGAAGGCCCCGTGCAGGGGGAGGCCTGCTGGCAGACCCCCCACCTCCCGCACAGAGGGGAGAGGCGGGTGTGGGGCGCTGTCTGTTTTCTTACTGCGGCTTCTGTCTCGCTCCCCCTCCCCCGCTCCCGCCCGGCCTGCTCCTGCCTCCCCGGGTCTCTGGTGGCGGAAAAGCTCGAGTCTTTGCGAAGCTCACGATCTGCCTCTGTGCGAAGCTTACTGGAGGCCGGACCACGACTCGGACCCCGCGGACGGCCTCTCGGCCCCTCTGCTGGCGTCCCCGGAGCCCGGCGCGGGGCCCCTGCAGGCCGCCACCGTGGCCCACTCCCATGCCGGCGTCCCCGGCCCCTCGGAGCACGCCTGAGCCGCCCCGGCCCGCCCCCCGCCTGCTGCCGCCGCAGCCTCGCTTCTCAGCCTTGGCTCCTGCTGCTTGGGCAGCTGCTCCGGCCGCCTTGGGGGCCTTGCCAGCCCCGGGACAGCCCGCCCACTCTCCCTCGGACCACCTCCGGGCACCGCCTTCCCGGCCAGCTGGGCGGAGGAAGCGTCCGGGGCAGCCGGCCTGCGGAGGGATTCCCAGCTGGGCAGAGAGGACGCCCAGCATTGGGGGCCTGGCGGGAGCCGCCGCGCGCAGTGGGGGAGGGGCTCCGGGTGAGCGCACACACGCTCCTGTTATTTTTTATTCTTTGTACGAGAAAGTTGAATGAAAACAGCGCTGCCCTCGTGCCTTGGCTGGTTCTTCATCGTTCACACCGGATCATTCCGGGGCTCCACCGAGCCTCCGGGGGCTGCTGTCGGAATGAGCTCCTGGACTCTGCCCCGGCGGCCTCAGGTGCCAGGTCGGCCCTTGGGGGCTCCGGGCAGGCAGGGGCTCGGTCATGCTGGGGTCACGGCCGCACAGCCCCACCCGCAGGGCTCCCAGAGCTGCCCGGGGCCCGATTCTCCGCGTTTGGTGAGCGGACAGATACCGCCGCCCGCTCGCACGCTGCGAGGCCCAGGCACCTGTGCCCCTGGTCCGCGCTGCACCCCGCTGCACCCGAGTCTGTTGTCGTCAGCACTGCAGGGAGGGGGGGCCCCGGGCTCGGAAGGGGTCGGTGGAAACGGTCTTGGAGCTGGGAGGCAAAGTGGTAGGAATCAGTACGTAACCCGGACGGCGCATAAAGCCCAGCGCCACGATGCCAGGGTCACCTGGGAAGCGGGGAGGGCCGCCACCTTCGACCCCGCCCGAGTCCTGCCGTGCTCTCTCGGGAGGGAGCCTGTCGTCCTGGTGTTCGGAAGAGGTGACAGCCCACAGCCAGGCTCAGGGACAGGGAGGGCTACAAGCCGACCCATCTGAGGTCCCAAGACCCCCATGGCCAAGCACAGGTGGGAGCCAGGTCGCTGGGTGGGCGAGGCTAGCGGCTCCCCCCACCCAGCAAGTTTCCATGGAGACGGTGGGTGGCACTCTCCTCCTGAGGCCCTTGAACTGTGGGAACAACTTGTGCTTAAGCACCAAGGGAGAGAAGGCTCACCACCAACCAAAGTGTGATGGGAGAAGGTGGGAGGAGTGGGCCAGATCAGGTGGCTGGGTTCAAACTGAGCGACAGCTGGTCTCCCGTGGCCCATTTCACCCGCCTGGGCTGGTGCCCTCATGCCCAGTGGGGAGCGGGGTCCTTCCTCTGAAGGCTGAGTGGCTGACCGGCCCCTCATCCTCTGCAGCCCGAGCCCCAGGCAGCTGAGCTGGGCGGGCAGGCGCACCCCTGGCTTCCGGTCCCCCGGCCTTGGCCAAGTGCACGTGTCAAGGTCCCTCAGCCTCCGTGTGGCTAAACTTGGGTCCATCTCAGCCCTTTCCACATTGTTACACCAGCTTTCCATTCTGAGAGTGCTCGCCCCGGGAAACCGGGGTGCAAACAGAGTGTGGAGGCACCCGAGGACCCCCACGCGCAGAGCAGCTCCTGCACGGCCTGCACCCTCGCCCGCTCGGCCTCACAGGAACGCAGTCGAACGTCAGCTGTGGGCCACTCAGCCCTGGATACTTGGCAGCCCCCTCCTCTGAGAAAAGCCACACTCCCCACGGCCAAGGCCAGCATCACGCCCCAAATGACCAGTTATCCCACAATGTCACCGGGTAGCATGACATGTTCTCATATCCCCAACGGTTCCCGAAACATCTTTTTTGATCAAATTTTTTAAAAATTAAGACTTTATTTCAGAGAGAGGGGAAGGGAGAAAAACATCCATGTGTGGTTGACTCTCGTGCGCCCCCTACTGGGGACCTGGCCCGCAACCCAGACCTGTGCCCTGACTGGGAATCGAACTGCGACCCTTTGTTCACAGGCACACACACAATCCACTGAGCCACACCAGCCAGGGCTTTAGTCAACTTTTATTTGCACTGCATTTACTTATAACCTTACAATCCAGAAGAGAACCGGGGTGGCGGTCGGAGAGGGTGGGGTGGAGCTCCAGACAGACTTCGAAGGGCAAGCCAACGGGTTTCGCCGCAGGTCCGGGCTGGGGACTGGCAGGAGGCAGGGCCGCTTCCAGGCCTGCCTGGGGGCTCGGAGCCACCCTGCCTGAGCCAGGGAAGGAAGGTGGTGAGGGGCGTCCCGTCCCCATTCTATCCACAGCAGGTGAAGCTGTGTGTCATGTTCCCCAGCACGGGTCTGGGGCTCACAGGAGTCGGGACTCGAGCCCCCAGCTGGGGCACTGATGGGGGAGAGTTGATAAAAGGGGTGTGGTTTAGAGGCCCGGAGAGAAGCCAGGCTGGGAGGGGGAAGACCTGCTGTTTGGGTCCCCCGAAGCCCCGTGAAGACAGGTTTTGGGGAGGAGGGAAGATCAGCTTGTCAACCCACCCCCCACCCCCCAACACCGCCAGCTCGCACAGAAAAGGTCCCTCAAGATCAGGAAGGCCCATCAGCAACACCTGCACTCAGCTCAGCGACTGTGTTCTCTCCCTGGACTGTGGCCACTCAGCCGACACCAAACCGCCCCCGCCGGCCCCCCACTCCGGGTCCAGGAAGGCCTCCCTGGAGATGGGCACCCAGGACAGATGACCCCTGTCCTGGCGTGGGCTGGCAGTCCATCATTTCGACTCCAAAGCGCCCCTCAAAGGGTCCAGGGTTGTGTCAGAGCCTGTCACCGCCAGGAGTTCAGGGTCACAGGTGCGGTGGTTGGTCCCAGCCTCGGCCTGCGGGACATATCCCTTCCCCGGGCAGTTTTTATAAAGGAGAAGCCTTGTCTGAAATCCCCGCCTGCGAGTCTGCGCTCCAGAGCAGAAGTCGCCGCCCGGGCCTCCCCCGCCGGCCCCTTCCCCGCGCCCCCGCCCCATCCCTTTCTCCTTAGCATCCTCATCCCGCTCCTTCCTCTGGTCCCCTGATCGCCGGTCACCGCTGAAACATAAAGTCGACGAGGGCACAGTCGGGTCCTTTCTTGCCTCCTGTGCCCCGGGGCTCGGGACCCGCCCGGCTCTTGCTAAAGCGCAGCCCTTTCCGAGCCGTCCGCGGCCTCGCCAGCTTCCACGTGGGGTCCGAGCCCCCAAGTACCGAACTATTTCTGTGGTCCTACTCACTGAGCCCTCCCGCGTGCGGGGCACTGTGCGGAGGGCGCAGGGACCGGGACTGCGCAGCCGCCAACACCCGCCCGACCCCTGTTCAAACGGGAGGTCCCGCGGCCTCCAGGCCACGCCCACGGGCCCAGCTCCGCCCCCGGCCAACAAGGCTTTGTGCTCCGCCCCGCGGGCCTCTTCCGTGGAGCCAGGCAAGCTAATCGAGCGCCGCGCGCTGGCGGCTCGGCGCTCAACTGGCGGCGCCTGCGCACGTGGTGCTTCCGGCGAGCGCGCTACCTCCGCTGCGACCCGGTAGTTTAGGGTCGCGCGGGCTGGGTACCGGGTGTGAGTTGGGGGGCGGGTGCCAGTCCCGTCCTCGGTCGCTGCGTCCCGGCCCTCCTGTCCCGGAGCGGGACCTCGAGTGAGCCCGCCCGCGCCTCCAGCCATGACTTCTCTGCTCGCCAAGGACGCCTACCTGCAGAGCCTGGCCAGGAAAATCTGCTCGGGGCCCACCCCGGAGCCGCGGCAGCGCAAGCCGGGTAACGCGCAGCCCAGGGCCGGGCCTGGGAGGGTCTGGAAGGGGGTACCCCTCCCCGCCGCGGCGAAGTCAGTGCCTGCCCCATACCGCACCCCAAGAGCCTTCGGGTGGTCTAGACATGTGTGTGCGTGAGACGAGAGTGTAAAATACTGAAAGGAAATACGTTAAGTGGTGTTTGAAGTCCCCGGTTTTCCCTGCTTGTCGGGGGCATCAGCCTGGGGTTCCGAGGGCTTCAGCCGCACCCGCCCACCGGGCAGGGGGCACGGTCGGGGTGTGGAGGAGGTGAGCCTGTGGCATGGGGCGTGTGGCGAGAAGACAGGAGGAAGGTGCTCCTGTCCGGGGTCACGCGGCGGCGGGGGTGCCGAGGCCACCCTGGGGAAGTAGACAACAGGCTGAACAGAAAGGGTCCTGCTGGGAGCTGGGACTGGAAGTACTGCTTGGGCCTGAGGGAGGGGACAGCAGCGGCGTCTGGTGTGGCGCTAGCAGAGGACAGACGAGTTTTCTTTTTACACAAGGAAAACACTCATGACAGAATATTAGGAAAAGTCAGTGTTCTCGTCAGTCAGTGATAACTTAGGTCTGTGTATTGTCATTCATTCTTTGTCTCACTTACCAAAACAATTGAGTTCTCAGGCTGCGTAACATTTTCTCTAGCTCTCAAAACAGAAGCCTGTGTAGTTATTATTTTAAAATATTTTTTTTTAATTTCTAGAGAGAGAGGGCAAGGGAGAGGAGGAGAGGGAGAGAAACGTGGACCCGTTGCCTCTTGCACGCCCCCCAAGTGGGACCAAAACCACAGCCCAGGCATGTGCCCTGACTGGGAATCGAACTGGCAACCCTTCACGTTGCAGGACGGAGCTCAGCCGAGCCACACCGGCCAGGGCCGGTGTAACTAATTACTCTCGGTGGCTTCGTAGCAGTTGGCCGTGTAACAGTGCTGTGGTTTGTCCCCCGGGACAGGTGTCGTGCGCAGGCGGGGTGATGCCTCGCGGCACACTGCCGGGTCCAGCGTGGGGACGTTGATCGGGGTTTTGACGTGCATGACCAGTCTGCTTTCTCAGGGAGGTTACGGTTCTGAGCTCTGTGGGTGAGGGTCACCAGAGCCTCCGATTCGCTCTGGGCAGCCTCCTGAGATCACAGCCCTGGCAGGACCCCTTGTCCGTTGAGTGGGTCACAGATTGGGACAGCGTCCCTGTCTGATTTTGTATTTCAGCAGGCAAAACTGAAGGCTCAGAAGCTGCTGGGCCCCCGAGAAAGAAAAGGAAGAGGGCACAGAAGAAATCCCGGGAGCGGGAGGAGAAGGTTGTGGAGCCCAAGGCCCAGGCCCTGGGGGAGAAATCTCAGGCCCCTTCCCGGGCTAGAAAGCCAGCAGCGGCTGCGGAGGAGAAGGCCGAGGGCCCTTCCGGGGCCCCTGCAGGTGAGGAGCTCCTGCAGCAGCTGGGCCAGAAGAACATCACTGCCCTCAGGTCCCTGAAGGGGCGTCGAGAAACCGGAGTCATTGGGGGGCCCACAGGCTGTGCGAGGGGAAGAGATGGGAGAGGGGTTTGGCTTGGCTTGTTGGAAGCGTTTTAGTGCCACACACAGGGATGCCCCGTTCCTGGGGGTGTGCTGGGGGCCGGTCCAGGCTGAGGAGGCCACGTAGAAGCTCCTGGGGCTGCCCTGCAGATCCGCCTCTGGGGGCGGGGCTGAGTGGCAGCAGTGCACGGAGACTTGGGCTCTGAGGCCGGGCCGCAGGAGGGACTGAAAGGTTGGCGCTGGGGCTCCCCTTTCAGCCCTCGGGTTCCTTCCTGCAGGTGACCCAGCCACAGAACCTGAGTCCTTCTTTGCCCTGGATGTTCTGCGGCAGCGGCTGCATGAGAAGATACGGGAGGCCCGGGGCCAGGTAGGTGGGGATAGACCGGGGGGCCGGGGGCCGGGGCCAGGGCCAGGAGCGAGTGGCCGCTGCCCCGTCGGGATTGCACGGTCCAGGCCGCCCGGAGTCGGGAGAACCCAACGAGTGAGCGCAGCCTCCCCCTCCAGGGCAGCACGGAGGAGCTGTCCCCCACCGCTCTGGAGAAAAGACGGAGGCGGAAGCAGGAGCGGGACCGGAAAAAGAGGAAGCGGAAGGAGCTGAGAGCCAGGGAAAAGGCAGCCAAGGCGGCGGAGGCCGTGGAGGCTGCTGCGCCGCCACCGGAGGCGCCCAGCAAGGAGGCCCGGGAAAAGCCGGGGCTGTTGTTCAACAAGGTGCGGGGGACCCCCGCGGGGCCGCTGGGTTCGAGGGTTTGGGCGGGCAGATGGTAACTCGCGCCACGCTCTCGCCTGCAGGTGGAGGTGAGCGAGGAGCCGCCGGCCACCAAGGCACAGCGCCGGCGGGAGAAGCGGCAGAGGCTCAAGGGCAACCTGCCGCCGCTGACCGGGAAGAACTACCGGCAGCTGCTGGAGCGGCTGCAGGCGCGGCAGAGCCAGCTGGAGGAGCTGCGTGGGCAGGACGCAGACAAGGCGCGGGAGCTGGAGAGCAAGATGCAGTGGACGGCCGCGCTGTACCGGGCGGAAGGCGTGCGCGTCCGCGACGACGAGCGCCTGCTGCAGGCCGCCCTGCGGCGCAAGGAGAAGCGGCGGGCGCAGCGGCAGCGCCGGTGGGAGAAGCGCACGGCCCAGGTGGTGGAGAAGATGCAGCGGCGGCAGGACCAGCGGCGCCAGAACCTGCGCAAGAAGAAGGTGGCCAAGGCCGAGCGGCGCCTGGAGAAGGCCCGCAAGAAGGGCCGCGTGCTGCCCCAGGACCTGCAGCGCGCTGGCCTGGCCTGAGGGGCGGCTGCACCGCGTGCGCCTGCGCCGCCAGCGGGGCGCTGGGCCGGCCCCCAGCGTGCGTGCCCTCACGCTCATAGGGCCTAGGTGGCAGAGGCAAAAGCACAAGCACGTTATCGAGAGCAGGAGCCTGGACCCTAGGCCAGGTGTGGGACAAGCCACTTCCCAGCTCCAGCCTTCTCTGGTGGGGCTGGAAAGCACCCCAAAGTTTGCAGGGTGAGGGGCGAGGGAGCAGTGTGAGGGGTAGGTTCCCGAGTTCACCGGAGCAGGATGGGAGTGGCCTTGCTGACGCCTGTGCCGGTCCAGAGCTCGCTTGGAGGGACCAAACCCAATGCACGTGCCCAAACGCCAGGTGGAGCTGGTGGCTCGGATCACTGGGAGTGACCGCGGGCGCGCCTGGGATCAAATGATTCTGCTTATTTGTAAAAAGGTCAAAAACTAGAATTTAAGTTAGACGTGCACAGCAAGGATTCTAAGACAGCCCCTGAAAGGTGGGAGCAGTGTTGAGCGAGCTGAGAAAGAGGAGGAGCGGGCGGGGGCGGGGCGAAGGCAGGGCGGAGGGTGGAGGAAGAACGGAACTGGTGTGTATGGAGGTGAGGGGGCCGGCGGAGTGAGCCCAAGGCCGGGGCAGTGGAACACGGGTGGGAAAGCCCCCCGATTATGTGGTAACGTGGATGGCATTTCAATAAAGAGGGCACTGGAACTGTTTGGGGTGGACTGCAGTTGTGCGACGGGCTGTGTCACTGCACAGTGCACTGGGGTGGCACCGAGCCCCAGGAAGGGGTTCAGGTCACGGCCAGCCCTGCCGCGGGCAGGGGGCAGGCTACTGGCACGGGGATCGCACGGAACAGTGGGAGATGGTTGCCATCTCTCTGCGGAACTAGCAGTACCAGGCAGACAAAAGAGGTGGTTGTGGGAGGTCTGGTGACCCCGCAGTGTCTGGGCCCCGGACACGCCTGGCACGGTGGTGGCAGTGGAGACACCCCACCCCCACCCCGGAGCAGGAGAGCAGGCCTCGGGGTGCAGAGGGTCGGCAGCACGGGAAGGGTGGGATCTGGGCGCGGTGTGGAGTTTCATGTCTGGACGCTTCAGCCACCTGAGTCGATGATTCCCAACAGACAGTGAAGGACATTTGGGACAAAGAGTGAGAATGCGGTCCCGGCCTTGTGGGTGAGACGGGGGACACTTGTAGCCCGGCGGCCCTTCGAGTAGGACTCCAGACCTGACCCACCCTCCGGGACTCGGTGAGGGGAGACAAGCAGCCTCTTCACCAGGCCCAGGGGTGGGGCCGGCCTCTGCTGGTCTGGAGACGAGAAGGGGAGCGTCTCCCTGGAAGCCCCTCCCTCAGGCAGGCCCTGCGAGGGGCTGATGTCTCAGCGCAAGCCCCTGAGAGGCTGGGCACCGGGGTCCCTGGGCCATCCGAGTTTCCCCGGTGTCCTCATTTCCGTCCCGAAGGGGCCACACTCGGCGAGTTCGGCTCCGGCGTTCCCGCGCAGGAGCCGGTGGGGCTGGGGCCACCTGCTGCTGATGGGCCTGTCCGATGGGCTGGGGAGGGCTCCCCGAGTCTCAGTCCTGCAGCTGCAATGATGTGAGAGGTTTTCCTACAGAGACATAGGAAGTCTCTGGTCCTTAGGCTGTGTCTCGAGCTAAGAATTTAGGGCTTGGATCCCATCACTTTCTCTATAGCTGCTGCTCGCCCCTGTTAAAGCAGCCCCTGCACCCTGCACCCTCCAGTTTCTCCGGCCTTTCCTGTGGTTCTGGGCTGGTGGTCAGCTGGTCTCTCCGAAAGTCTTGCCACCCAGAGACTTTTGTCCCGGAACCACACCTCCAGACACGTGGACCAGTGCGTCCAGTGTCTCACGGCTCCGTGCTGACCAGACTGCGATTTCCCTCAGCTAACCCAGCCAGATAGCGGAGCCCAGATATTCCCTGGGCCAGTCATGGCGGGTTGGTCTATGTTGCGTTAACCGAAGTACCTTTTACTGAATAAAGTCAGTAGCTTAAAACTAGACAGATCACTGGGTGTGTCTCAGCAACTAGGAACAGAAGACGATCTGCAACTGGATAAAGAACATTTACCAGATGTTCGGGAACAAGGCCAGAATGTGCCTTCTCATCACTGCCCTGCAATATCATACTAGAAGTCCTAGCACATGCAGTAAGGCAAGAAAAAGATCAAAAGCATAGAGATTGGACAGAAATCAAACCATCTCTGTAGATGATGTGATCATCTATGTAGAAGACTCAAATTATTTACCAATTATTTCCTTCACGGGCTTTGGCTGGTGTGGCTCAGTGCATTGAGCCCTGGTCTGTGAACCAAAGGGTTGCTGGTTCGATTCCCAGTCAGGGCACATGCCTGGGCCCTTAGTGGGGGTTGCACAAGAGGCAACCACACATGGATGTTTCTCTCTCTCTCCCTTCCCCTCTCTAAAAAATGAAGATATATGAAAATAAACAGACTGCAAACCAAAGCCACGCCCAGAAGTTTCCCGCTACTGCTTGTCCTTTTGGAGCTTCAGCCGTGCAAACCGGTCTCCACCCTCCCTGGGGGTGGGGGGCGCGGGGAGTCTCAGAGTGGCAGTCGCCTCACAGCAGCTTGCACTCTCCCTCTGGGTCTGGGGCGTGCTGCGTGGCCACCACAGACGGTCCTGCAGGGCAGCGCCTGCCTCCACACGCTGCTCTCGGGGCGTGAGTGGAAGCAGTCCGGGCCCCGGGTGCCCTGCTGCATCGGGTCACAGAGTCCCTGGGGCTGGAGCTGGGCCTGGCCAGGCATGCATCCCAGCAGGGGGCTGCCTCAGGGTGGGCGGGGCCAGGAACTTCGGGCCGCGCACCTGCTGTGCAACAGCCTCTCCCAGGGTCCCGCCCGCACTGGAGGCCGGCAGGAGCCTGCCCACCTCTTCAGCCAACCCCACCCCACCTCCTCCAGCGCTTTGGCCCGACCACAGTTCTAGCATCACTCTCGGGAACAGAAAGACTGTTCCAGCGTGAGCACAGGAGGTGGGGATGAGACACCTGGCGGGGGGTGGGGTCAGCGGTGGTCCTCCAGCGTCCGTATCCGTGGGGCCTCCTCTGCCTACAAGGAAAAGGGGTGCTCACCGGAAAGAGCCATGGGGAGTCCCCTGGTGTGACACGCTGCGGGTCCCAGCCTTGCTTGTCCCCTTGGCGTCAGGCTCTTCCTCAGCTGGTGGCCACAGGACGGGGACTGGGAGCTGTCCCTGGTGCTGGCCACCCCGCTGGGAGCCTGGGGGCCCGCAGAAGGGCCTGCTGTGAGGTGGTCAGATCTACTGGGTCAGCGGGTGGTCTGGGGTGCCCAAGGGACAGTGGCCGTGTGGGGGACGGTGGGTGAGATGTGCACAGGGTGGGGTGTGGCCACTACTGTGTGAGGCTTCCCGGCCACAGGCCCCCTCCTGGGTGAGACTCAGCAAGCCCCCCACTCCCAGAACTCGGAGGGGCCCCCCGAAGCTGCCAGTGCCCCCGAGAGGCCGGCTCCACCCCTGGATGGCAGGCGTGGAGGTTTAGAGCCGTACCACTCTGGTCGCTGACCTAGAGCACCGCCGGGACCAGCGGCGCTGGGGGCAGAGGAGGACAGGCGCCCGCCTGCTTCATTAGCACCTTCTGCCGGGCCCCCGAGCTTCTCCGGGGCGGCCTGTCTCGCTGGGCGCTTCAGAGATGAAGGCGGCGGCCTTTGGCGAGCTGAGGTCGCCAGGAACATTGGACAACATTGAACATTTATTCCAGATTTTGAAAGCGTTGTCTGCCCACAAGTCAGCTTTTCATTCATTCCCCGCTCGCCTGGCGTGGTTTCGCCGACACCCAGGGGCCTCAAACAGCTTCGGAAACTATTGCTGCTGTCGATGCAGTGAAGCGCCTCCAAGATTGTTTTCTTAAGCCATTAAGGTGAACGCACAACGTGGACGTGCGTTACAGCCGAGATTCAGGAAAGTTACAATTCGCCTTTTTGAAAACTTCCTGCTACTGTGAAGTGAGCGCCCCCTTCGGACAAGAGGGGGCGCTGTACCGAAACCATTGGAAACGAAAGAGCTTGGGGAGTAAACAGATCATAATGTGCTGATTCTTAATAAAAAAAGGAAAAAAAACGAAAAAAAAAAAGCCGCTTGCCAGGTGTTTATGGGGTGGAAACGTGTGCCTGAAACGTAACGAGCTCCCAGAACTCATTTAGAAAAAGACGGCGATCCAGGGGAAAACGCGGGCAAAGGCTCCACTGGGCTCGTCACCGGAGGGCACCCAGTGGGGGTAAACCACGTGCCTGTCCCCCCCGCCAGACCCGCAGTCTGCGGCGACACTCAGGGGCGGGGGACCACAGCTCGGGCCCGAGGGACAGCGCGGGACGGCGGCCTCACGGCATGATGGTGCGCGCACAAGAGGCTGCGGGAGAGGGGAGGGCGGGGGGAGAGGGGCGGGGCCACGTTGGCGGGGACGCACGGGCCGCTCTCCCCGGTTTCCCGACCCCCCCCCCCCACGCCCCGCCACTGTCCGGGCCGACGGCAAAGCCGTGGGGCCCCTGGTCCTCCGGCCACAGTGCGGAGGCCCGAGGGGAGGGCCGTGTGGGCGCCGGAGGACACCGGGCGGGCCTACACGGTGGCTTCGGGTCCTCGCGAAGCGGCGTCGTCACCTCCCATCCCCCCGCCGCCCGCGTGGGGGCGCTCCAGTGCGCGTTACCGTCCTTGGGGAGGATGGTCGCCCCCCTCGCGAGCTCCAGAATCTCACAGATGTCTATGAACTTCCTCACGCTCGGGAAGCTGGACTCGTTCTGTCTGCCTGCGGGCAGGGGGTGGGGTCCTCATGTCAGCCTGGCCGGCTCTGGCCCACCGGGCTGCCCCCCACCCCCAGCTGAGCCCCCCCTCCACCAGATGCCTTCAGGGTTCCTGGGACAGAAAAACAAGATGACAGCTGGCGGGATAAGGGGGTGACAGGGAAATGTGGGTGTCCCCAGAGGTGGGGTCGCCGCCCAGGGTCCCTTGGGTTAGAGCCTTCTCAGCTCGCTCAGTGCCTGCCCATCAGGCTTGGCTGATCCCCCCGCCCCGCGCAGCACTGCCGGACCTGCCTGGGAGACTCCCCAGGAGCCCTCCTCCCACACTCTCCATGCAGAGCCCCTCACGCCCGCCCCCAGGTCCCCCTCCCTGCTGTGCCCCATCCCCATGCTGGGCAGCACCTCTCCCGGTTCCACATCCACCCCCTGCGCCCCCACCTCCCTGTTCCCTGCTCCCGCCGCAGCCCCTGTGCGGGGTGTGGGGGGAGGGCTCTGCTCCCACGAGGATGGTCCACCCCACGCCTGGCTCTTGCTTTCCGACCTCCTCTCTGCAGTGGCCACCGTGGGTGGGGACCCGTCCGTGTGGTCTCAGCGTGCAAGGCCCACGCTGTGCCCACCAGCCCCACCCTCTGCCAGCCTGCACCCCCCCCCAAGCCAGGCCAGACACCCTGGATGGCCTGCTGGGTCCCCCATCCATGGGGGCACCCAGGGTAAAGGCGTCAGGTGCAGGGCCTTTGGGGGGTGACGAGGGTGGGTCCTCGGGCGGGGGTCGGTGCCCTCGTGGGAAGAGGAAGTGGCCGGAGCTGCTCCTCCAGGCGACAAGCCACCCCAGAGGAAGAGGGCCACCCCAGCACCCCACCCTGCTGGCACCCGGCACCCTGCACCCTGCACCCCAAGGTGCCAGGAGCAAGGTCTCGTGGGAGCTGCCTGCCATTGCATCTGTGCGGTGCCCCCAACCACGCCCCTCCCAGCCCCGCACCCTCCACACTCCCTGCCCCGGACACCGGCCCCCCGCGAGGCCCCGGCGCGCTGGACTCACTGAAGAGCAGCAGGGTCCTGGAGGCCCGGCCGGCCCGCCCCAGGCGCAGGTCCACCACGCCGTAGCTGTAGTCGGTGGACAGCACGCGGAAGCCCTGCACTCCCTTAGCTGGGCGGGCGGGGGGGGGCACACAGCCGCCTGACTCCTCCGGCTGGCCAGCCGGGGCCAGGGATCCGAAGGCTCTGGGACAGCTTGGGGCCCCTCCTGCCCCCCATACTCTCCAGGGCAAAGGGGCCCCTAGGGCACAGTGCCGTCCTGGGAGTCCTGTCCAGGGTCCCCGGGGCCAGGAACCCATGGACCCCCCACCCCGTGGTCTCCCCTCGGCCCGGGCCCCTACGCACGGGTGTTCCTGAACACGGCCTTCTTCCTGTCCTTCCTCAGGATGAGCGTGTGTGACTGGCACCCCTGCACCCTGGGGGGCGAGGGGGGCTGTGAGCTCACCGCCGAGGGGTGGGGGTGGTCCGCTTCCCACCACAGCCACCAGCCCCGCCCAGCACCACCCTCTCCTCTCTCCCCTCCCAACCTCCACTCTGGGGGTGCCAGGGGTGGGGGGCGCCTGGAAGCCTCACTCCCCAGCTCCTGTCCATGTGAGGCTCTGTCGTTCTGGAACTTTCCAGTTCGGATAAGGGCCGGTCCCACAGCTTAGGGGAGCCTCCAAAGGCCCACTGCCTGCCCAGGGCCCCGGGGACTGTGGCGGGCCTCTCCCCAAACCAGCCCTTTGGACTTCAGGGCCGGAAGTGATGGGGGTCATGGCTGCGGGCTCAGCCCCTGTGAGATGTCCAGGCTGACCCGTGACTCTGCCCCACCTGACCCCTTTTCCCTCCGTAGAGGGAGCCGCCTGGCGCTGCTTTTGGCCGGGGGTCTGCCAAGGGGGCGCTGGGGGTGCCGCGCTTGCCCCTCGCTCACCCGTCCAAGGCGAGGACCACCTTCAGCCGGCCCACTTCTCGAACCTGCACCACAGACGCACCCAGCTTCCTCCGGTCTCCGCCCGGCAACAGCCCCCGGGTGTCAGAGGCCACGGCGAGGATGTACCAGAACCCTGAGAACTGCAGAGGGCGCTGGGGAGCGCGGGCGCGGCCCCCACCCCCCGGGGCTCCATCCCCCCGCCCGCACAAGGGCCCTGCCCGAGGCCCAGCCCGCACCCAGGCAGTGGGGGGGCCACGCCCCGAGTGCCTGGGCCCCCGTCCCGCGTGGGCCTCCCGGGGACCCCTTTCCTTCCAGCTCCCCCCCGCACCTCGTCCCACTGACTTCCTGCTGCCGACCCGCGCTCGGGCATGACCGGAAGGCCATCGGCCTGCGCCCACGGCCGCCCCCACCGGAACTTTCTGCCGCCGGTGAGGACATTATTCCAGAACAAGCCCTGCTCGTTCCGCCCCCGCCCCTGCCCACCTGGCATCTCCAGGTGACCCCAGGCCGCACCTGTCTGGGGCCTCTGCTCTGCCCCACCCCCAGGCTCCCGGCCCACGGGGCCCACGGTGGTCAGTTGAGATCTGCAGTCCCAGACTGTCCCCCACAGGGACCGTCAGCCCCTCAGGGAGAGGCCCGGGGGGCTACCTGCTGGGCCGGGCGGAGCTTCCCCGCCTGGACAGGCTGCCTGTGCCCTGTGCTTTGGGGACGGAGAGCCAGCCCGGCCGCCCCATCTGCAGCTGCCCCTCTGTGGCCAGGCCCCGGGCGCAGGGACTGCGGCGGCACCAGCCTCACCTTGTTCCAGTTGAGGTTTTGGGACTCCCTGGGGAGCTGCTCCCGCGGCTGGGACCCCACAGCCAGCGCCAGCACCAGCGCCAGCCCGGGCGGCAGCCACCCCGGCCCCATCCTCACCGCCCTCTCTCTTGGCCACTGGGCTCCGAGTTTAAATCTCCCTGCGTCCCTGCGCCGCCGTGGGTGTGCGGCCAGCCCGGAGCCTCCAGAGGGCTGGGGATGAGCCCGGGGCCGGGGGAGGGGGGGAGACAGAGTTTGGGCCCTCCCCGGCAGGAGGGCCAGCCCTGGGCCCTCAGCCACCCGGGGTCGGGGCGGTGGGGACGGGGGAGCGGCCTGCCTGGGAGGCCCTGAAGACGGGGGCCATCCTGTTCCCGAGGTCACGCCCCTGGGCCTCTCGTTCCCAAAGCCCATGTCCAGGAGGTGCCTCACCCAGCAGCGAGGCCGCCCAGGACAGCAGCGTCACTGAGGGTCCCTGTATTGGGGGACACACGAGTGTGGGGCCGGGGCTGGACTCGTGTGCACGTGTGCACCTGTGCGTGTGGGTCCGTGCGCAGGCAGAGGCCCCCGCCTGCACCTGGCCACGATCGACGATCGCCGGGTGGCCCCCCTTGTCCTGGCCGCCCAGCTCCCCTGGCGGCCTTGCTTCTGGCAGGACTTGAGGCTCCAGGAGGACAGAGGGGCTCTGGCCCTGCCCTAGCCTCCAGGCCCAGGCAGGGGGCCAAACTCAGGCCTGGACACTGGGTGCCCTAGCCGGGCACCCCAGTGGGCACTGGTGCCAGCTCCCTCGGCCCAGCACCCAGCCGGACTGCGTCCAGGCCACGGGGTCTCGCCCAGGCAGCCCAGCGCCCCCGCTGCCCAGAGACTTGGGGGACCCTGCTTCCAGCCCAGCCCCTGTAGAGTCCCTCCCAGCCAGCCCCTGAGCGCCGGGGTCCCCAGATCCGCAGGGACCCTGACGAGGGACGAGGGACGCAGGCACAGGCCGGCCGTCATCCCAGAGCCGACTCTGCTCCGGGGCTGAGCTGGGGTGAGGCCCCGCCCAGGCCCTGGCCCCGCCCCCCGCCCCTGGCCCCGCCCCACCCTGTCTGAACAGGAGCAGAGGAGACAGCGCTGGTCCCTCTGCCCCGCACACACGAGACACACAAGGGCCGGTTTGTAGAATCGTTTTTATTCGGTTCCGCAGCCAGAGCCCCCGGGAGGAGCCGGCCCAATGACCAGCGCCCGGGCAGCCGAGCGTGGAAGGGAGCACCGGGCAAGGTCCACCGGGTTATGGTGGGCGCTGTCCCCGCGGGGGGCCCCGGCACTCACTGAAAACCAAGACAAACATGGGGGGCCCAGGTTCACTGGAGAGGCGTCGGCTCCGCCCTGTGGCCTTTGGCCACTGGGCCCTGCTGCCCGCTGGGGTGTGTGGGTGCCCAGGGCCCCAGGCCCCCCCGTGGGTGGGGAGCACAGCGGTGCTGGGGAGGGGGCTTACCTGGAAGACCTTGTGCGCACAGGAGGCTGGAAGGAGTGAGAGGGGCGGTGAGCAGCCAGGGCCGCAGTGCCGCCCCCCAGCCCTGGGGCCTCCCAGCCCCGCCCAGGCTCGGGGGCGGGGGGGGGGGCCGGGTCCACCCCTGCAGGCCTGACGGGGGCAGGGGGGCGCCTCCGTGAAGGCCCCCCCAGGCCCGCCGGACTCGCTGAGGGTCCCCGGGGCCGCGCAGAGGGCCCGGCCACACTCCCACACTCACCGTCGGCCTGCAGCTGGGCCTGCTGCTGCGACAGGAAGCCCAGGCCCTGGCTCCACTTGGCGAAGCGGCTCACGGCCTCCGGGCTGGCCCGCTGCGACCGGCCTGCAGGGGTTGGGGGCGCCATCCCTGTGAGGGCCGGGCCTGGGGCCAGCGAGGGGGGCAGCGGTCCCCGTCCCCGTCCCCCCCGACCCCAGGGCCACTCACTGTACAGCTCCACGGTGCTGAAGGCCTCGTCCCGCTGCTCCAGCTGCGTGAACACGATGGCGAAGTCCCTGAAGTTGGTGCCCAGCACCCGGTACTCCAGCACGCCCAGCGCTGGGAGGCAGAGCCCTGTGGGGCGGGGCCGCCAGGCTGGGGGCCCCGTCCCCCCATCCCGTCCCCCATCCCGTCCCTGCCCACCTCGCCGCACGCAGAGCCTGGGGTGGCTGGTGGACAGGGCATCCAGGGAGGAACCGCGGGGCGATGGGCCGGGCCCCCCGGACCCTGTCCCCACCGGGGCCAAGTCCCGCTGCCCAACACGCCACAGAGGGAGGCCTGGGGTCCCCGCTGAGCCTGGCAGGTGCGGCGAGGCCTCTGTCCTCAGAGCTGGCGCCTGGCCGCTGACAAAAGGAAGCTGCCTCGCTTCCCGGCGGCGAGCTCCCCGAAGCCTCGGGACAGGGGCGCCCCCCACCCAAGCACACTGGCCCTGCCTGCGGGGGCCCCGGGCGAGCCAACCTCGGGGGAGGGGGCCCCCTTACCGGGGTTCTGGAACACCCAGGCAGAGTTCTGCCGCAGCAGCTCCACGACATCCAGGTGGCACCGCTCCAGCCTGGGGACGAGAAGGTCCGCCGTCCAGCCCCGGCGGCAGTGAGGGTGCCAGGGCTGCCCGGAGGCCCAGAGGCTGGGCGGAGGTGGGGCTCCGAGCAGAGCCCCGCTGGGCGGGGGTGTTGGAGGGGCACGGGGCCCACCCCCTCACCTGTGCCGGGACGACTGCACCTTCAGGTTGTTTTCGGGGGTGAGCGTCACCACGACCCCCTCGATGTTCTTGGTGGCCTTCTCCACCGCGAAGCCCCTCTCCCCAGAGGCCACGGCGACGACGTACCAGGGCCCCAGGAGCTGTGCGGGGCGGGAGCCGGTGAGGGGCGCCCGCTCCAGACGGGGCGGCCCCTCCCCAGGGGGGAGCCTGGCACCCACGCAGCCCGTGCCCGACGGGCTGGCCCTGGGCGGCCCAGAGGCAGTGCGGCCCCATGGGAGACGGGTACCTGCGTAGGGTCCAGCCTCCCCAGCCAAGCTGCCCGGGCCCCGGGCCCCGAGGCCAAAGCCAGGAGGGCCACCAGCACAGCCCTCATGTTCCCCGAGGTCCGCACGCACCCTGGGCCAGGGTTGCGGCCCCGCCAGGCCCTGGGTGCCCATTTATAAGGCTCCGAGCGCGTCGCTGTGGGCGGCCAGGAAGCGCCACACGCCGTTCTTGGCCTCTCTTCCTGCCGGGTGGCCAAGCCACCCAAGGGCGGGTGCTGGCATTTCCCCCCCGTGGCCTCCACGCCGGGCCCGGCATGTGCCCTGCTGACCTTGCGTCTTGACGCTGTCTTCCCCTCGGAAGGCTCCGGAACAAGCACCCTAACCCCAGTCCGCCCCGCCGTCTCCCCTCTCTCCCGGAGGTCCAACGCTCTCCCTTGCTCCTTCCGGAAAGGCCGGATCCGCTGCTCTAGTGCCCAGCCAGCCGCAGGCCAAGGTCAAGTGCAAGGAGGGAGGCAAGAACGACAGGTTCTTCCAGAAGGTATTGTCTTCTTGGATAACTTTTGGTTCAACCATTAAAAATACAAAACATCCCCCAGAATTCACAGAAAGCTCTCCCACGCTTCTGCTCTTCGGGCCGTGACCCCCTCCCCCACGTGCAGCCAGCACCCGGCAGGCACATCCTGTTCCCCCGTCCTCCGCGCTCCGCCACCAGTCTGGACCTGCCCACCCTGGCCGGCCTCCGCCCTGCGACCTCCCACCTCCGCTCCCATGGGTCCCCCTGGCAGCCGAGCACAGGGGGCTCGGCAGCACCTGTCTGAGCCCCGGCAGCCGGGGAGGTGGCGGGAGGACCCTGCACTGGCGGCGGGCGGGGGGGAGCGGGACCCACGTTCCTGCCCCGAGGCCGGTCGGCTCTTGGGGGCTCCGTCGCCAGAAGCGCAGGCACGGGCTGGGCGGGGGAGGAAGGACGAGCCGTGTGTCCTGCCAGGGCTGTGCGGGGGTCAGGGGGCCGCGGGGGCGCCCCGCCACCCCCACGGGGCAGGTGGACCCTCCCTCGGGGGCCCAGAAAGTCTCAGGCCCTGACCTTGGGCCGGGATGTCCCTGACGCACATTCAGGCCGCCGCAGCCCGGGCCGTGGAAACCTCTGAGGCTGCGTCACGAGCCACACGTGGGACGACTCGGGGAAGGACCTCGGAGTCGCCGAGGTCAAGGACGGCTCCAGGACGGAGTCTCTGCACAACCCCCCCCCCACCCCCAAACCACGCGGCTCCGAAAGCAGGGAAAGTGTCAGAAAGCCCCCGTGTCTGCACATGACAAACCCCGCCGCCCAGCAGGGACGGGAGGGGCCGTGAGGCTCGAACACGGACGGAAAGGGGCCCCAGGAGAAGCCCCCGACGGGGCGGGCAGCGCAGTGCCCGCTGGGCAGGCGCAGCTTCAGAAAGGCACCCTGCAGGGTGGGGGTCAGAAGCAAACGTCACGCACACACCCCCCGCAACCCGCAACGCACCCACTAGAGAGCGCCCCCTGTGCCCGAGCGACGGGCGCCTCCCGCCGCCACCACCACCACCGCCACCCAGGGGTGCAGGGGACGCGGGCCGTCCCACCTCAGCCGCTGCTCGGAGAAACCCAGGCCAGAGTACGGGGCAGACACCCCGGCCGGGGCGGGAGGGTGCGGACAACTGCTGCCGCGGGAGAGGGACTGTCCATGGCCTGGGGCAGACATGGGCGGGCGGAAGTGGGAGGGAGATGCCGTTGGAGGAGCCGGGTGCTGTGCTCGGGACACAGGCGCGCCCCGGGCTCTGCGGGTAACGGTGCGTCCGAGTCTCCAGGCCAATGACGGCACTTCCAGGGAGAAGCAAGCGGGCGGGACGCTCCCGGCGCAAACAGAAAGCAGCAAGGCCCGAGAAACAGCCGAGCCACCCAGCACCAGGTGTGGCTTGGGACAAGGGGCCTGGAGCACACTGTCACTCCACATCCCGGTAATGTTGGCGGCGGAAAAATGGCACCAGGTGTCAGACCCCGGCTCAGCAACTCAGGTTCTTGAGTTCTGGCTAAGAAGGAATCCGGAGTCCTGGCTGGGGTGGCTCAGTGGATTGAGTGCCAGTCTGTGAACCAGAGGGTCACCGGTTCGATTCCTGGTTGGGACACAAGCCTGGGTTGTGGGCCAGGTCCCCAGCAGGGGGCGTGTGAGGGGCAACCACACATGGATGTTTCTCTCCTTCTCTTTCTCCCTCCCCCTCTCTCTGAAAATAAATAAATAAAACTTAAAAAAAAAATGACAAGAGAAAGGGAGTGTCCTTAGGGACAGAAGGGAACACATTTCATCAACAGAATGTACTTTGCTGACTTTCAAGCACATCTTTGAAGCTCTGGATGAAATGGATACATTTACAGGACAGTTTAGTTTGTCAAAATGGACCCTTTCAGAGATACACGCTAGATGCATATACAGAGTCTCCAGGCAGACAATGGAAAATGGGTGACAGGTGATGGGTGGTGGGTGGACACATGGATGGATGTCCGGCCGCAGGCTGTTCCTCCCTCCCTCTGTGGGGATATGGCTGACCACCCCTCGCAGAGGCCCTGGGTTCTCCCGCCCTGCCCCGCCGGGCAGCGCTGACCACCGCCGCCGTGGGCAGAAGCATGTCCCTGAGAATCCTCTGGAAGCCTGGCCCTTCGTGTGTGTTTGAGGTCGGGGCCTTCAGGGGACGAGGAGGTTAAGCGAGGTCACGGGGCGGGGCCCTGCGGAAGAGGGGACAGCTCAGACACCCCTGAGGATGCCGCGGGAGCCTGCCGGCTGCAAGCCAGGAGGGTCCTCGGCAGACATGAACCTGCGGACCCCCGCCTCCAGCTGTGCAGCCCCCAGAGCCGGGGGCCGGGAAGCGGCTGCAGCCAGCTGCGCCGCTGGGGTGCCGTCAGGCAGCTGAACACACCAGCCAGGTGTCTGCCCCGCGGGCTCCCTGTACCTGCCACAGGACCTGGCCACACGGATCTGCAGGACAGCCCCCCGGTTCCAGAGCGCCTGGCCGGTCAGAGCTCAGCCTCCAGGTGGAGATGCGGGTCTCTGGGGTCTTGGTTCATGTTTGTTAGGGCGAGTCCCGGGCAGACCGGACCCTCAGGGCGGTCCGACCTCCCAAGGGCACCTCTGGCTGGGCAGGTGCTCCCTGCCCCAGACTGGGGGCCCCCAGCCGGCCCGCCCTGCCTCAGCCGTGAGCCAGAGCACCCTTCCTGCCCAGCAGCGACAGCCCCGTGGGAGAAACAGAAGGGGTCACAGAGCCGGTCACGGTGACAGAGCGCGTGATAGGGACCCAGGCCCTGCGTCAGGCTGGGCCAGCCGTGGGCACCACGGGTGGGGGTGGGAGGGGGCAGAAAACAGTGCCCATGAGGCTTGAGCCGGGGCAGACTGAGAACGTGGGCGGGAGGGAGTGTGGTCACCTTCTGTCTGCGACGCCTGACCCAGAGCTCAGCCCAGCCGACCCGGCGGGGCAGGATGAGGCTTAGCCAGGAGGGAGGCCGTGGGCGGCCGGACCTGGGGGCTCTGAGCAGGGCGGGGCAGGGCCCTCACGGGAGAAAGGGGGCAGCGGGCAGGAGCTGTCCCCGTGCCCCTGAGCCTGGAGGCCCTGACCCAGCCCCCTCCAGGCAGGGGTCCCGCCAGGGCGGGCAGCCCACACCATTCACACTCCGAGGCCAGGGTGTCACTTCTAGGGCGGTCACAGACAGCACGTCCCCCCGCCCCCCACCGGCCCCCCGGCCCCCAGGAAAGACTCTGGCAGCAGCTGTGCTACAGGGTTTATTGGAAGCTGGTGCAGTCGCCCCTCCCCCCACCCCCCGGGGGCAGGGGACAGCAGGGGTGTGTGGGCGGGGCTCCCGGCAGCCTGGCCCGGGACCGGACCCGCTCCTAGATCAGCTCCTAGACGCAGAAGGGCAGGGGCTCAGGGGCGCTGCAGGCCCCCGGGGGGCTGGGGGGGGCATCCCGACTGCTGTGTGGCTTTGCACACAGCTCCGCCCCGTGTCTCTGCCTGCAGAGAGGGTGGCGGTGCCCCCTCTGGGGCTGTGTCACACAGAGGGGCGGACAGGTGATGGCGGGGTTGGCACGTGTGGGACGGGGGGCGGGGGGCTGAGACGGTGCCCACGGGGCCCCACCTGGGAGGGACGGGAGCGAGCTGAACCCCCAAAAGCTCCTCACACCCTGCTACATGGAAGGGGGGCCCAGGGCCCGGCCCCCTGTGCCCCACCCAGGCCCGTCCCTGCACCCCAGCCTCCAGGGTCCCCGTCTGGTGGCCGGGGGTCACCACCCGGAGGCCTGGGACCTAGAGGTGCCAGGACTCCCATCAGGCTGGGGGCTGGGGGCTGAGGGGGGTGTCGGTGAAGGCTCACCTGCTTCAGGAGCTCTGCGCACCTCCCTGTGGGGCGGGGGCCGTGTGAGGGGCTGCGGGAGTGGGCCCGGGGCCCGCCGGCGGGCGCAGAGCGGGCAGAGGAGGGCCTTGCCCCTCAGGCGGCCCCACAGCCCCACAGCCCGGCCTGGGGGCTGGGCCCTGGCTCCGCCCCCCACAGAGAGCCCACCCCCCTCAGGCCCCAGACCCCTCTCTGCGTGCGCGCCCGGAGGAGAAGTGGGCGGGGCCCCGCTCACCGGCCGCAGCACGTTCACGCAGGTGGCTGTGGACAACAGAAAGTGTGAGACGGGGGGGGGGGGGGGGGGCGGCGCGGGGGGCCTCCGCTGGCTGGGGGGCCGGGGGCGGGGGCGTGGGGGCTCCCTGGCCCCAGGTCCCGGATCTCACGTTCCAAGCTGAGCAGGTGCACCTGCCCGGGCGCGAACCCGTGCTCCTGAGCCACCTCCTGCAGCCGCTTCAGGGCTTCCTCGTTGTGGTCCAGGCTGCGGCCTGGGGGGGCGGGGGGCGGCGGGCAGCCAGGTGGGCGCGGGCGTGGGGTGCAGGCGGGGCCCCTCCCACACCCCTCCCAGCCCACCGATCTCTTCTCTCTCTCCCACACCGCCCCCCCCCCGCCCCCCGCCAGAGCCGCATCCCCCTGGGGGGCGGGGCCGAGGCCGGGGGAGCAGCACCCCCACCCGCCCCGCCCCGCCCCCTGGGCTCACTGTAGAGTTTCATGGCCCTGTGGCTCCTGCTGCCCTGGCGATGGACGATGTCCAGGACGGCGTAGGTCCGGTAGTCCGTGTCCACCACCGACACCTCCTTCTCTTCTGGGGGGCGAGCGGACACGGGGCTCTGCGTCCCCACTGCGTGCCCACCACCTCCCGGGGGATGGGTCCCCCCAGGCAGGGCTCCCGCCGGCTCCAGCTCGCACGCCGGAGGGCTGCACCTCCCCGAGGGCCCTGCGGGCCAGGACTCCAAGACCCCGAGTCAGACACTCTCCAGGCACCGAAGTGGGGTGGGGGGAGCGGCGCCCTCGCAGGGGGAGGCCCCGGGGCTGTGGCCGGAGGCGGGGCCGTGGTGGCCGCGTGGCTCCCAGGCGCCGGCCGGCCGTGAGCTGCACAGCCGCTGAGGGCTCTGGCCCGCGGTGACCGGGGTGACCCACTCAGGCCAGTCGCCGGGGGAGCCCATGGGAGGGCACAGGGTTGTCGTCCCCCCCCAACAAACTCGGTGCCTGGTGGGGCTGAGCAGGACCCTGAGCGGCAGGACAAAGCGCCCCCCCCATGTGGCCTGCAGGGAGGTGTGATCCGAAGACCCCGCCTTCACGACCCTTGGGGGCCTGGGGGGGGCGGGGAGGCCGCGTGACTGCCCAGGTCGAGGCCTCAGGCAGCTCCTTACCAGACTTTCTGGAGAGCTTGAACTTCCCCGGGGCGTCCCCCTTCAAGGCCAGACTCTTGTTCTTCACACAGCGGTTTCCACTGCAGATCACAGAGCCCTGCAGCCAGCTGCCCCCCCACCGCCAGGCCCCCCATGCTGGGCAGGGGGCCACCCCGGGGCCTCCGAGAGCCCCCGCGCCGCCGGACCCCTGCCCAGCGCCCTGTGTCCTGCTGGGCGGAAGGAAACCACCTTCTGGGGGCTGACCAGCCCCGCGGCCCCCGACCCCCACAGCGTCCACGCCGTGTGCGGGCGGCCCAGTGGGCGGTGTGTGCCCTCAGAGGGTCCCCACCCACGCTGCACACCCCGGCACGGCCCAGGGTGCAGGGGAGGGCAGCCAAGCAGCGACACCTGGTCCAGGCTCCATGTGGAGGCCCGGCACCTGGGGGGAGAGGTCCCGGGGCCAGGGTCAGAGGTCACCACGGGAACCGTCTTAGGGGGGATTAAGGGCCCCCTGCCCGGGGGACTTCCGCTCTGCTCGTCCGGCCCCTGGTCTGGACAGTTTGCCCTCCCTGTCCCTCTGCTCAAACCTCCCCCCGATCCCGGAGGGGCGGCCGGCATGCCTGGGCAGGGAGGTCCCTCCAGGTCCTGCCCCCTCACTCACTCTTCAAACGCGGTGGTCAGGGCCAGGTGGCCGCCGTCCAGCTCCACCAGCACTGCCCCCATCTTCCGCAGCTCTGGGGCTGAGCTCTGGGTCTTGGAAGCAACGGCGATCTCGTACCACAAGCCTGAAAACTGGGGGGGCGAGGAGCTGCCACAGGCACACACGTCCAGGATGGAGCCCACCCTCCCCGCCGCGTGGGACAGCAGCCTGGACAGTTCGGGGCCACCCCGCACTGTGGAACCGGCAGGGGCCCAGAGCGAGCAGCCCCGGAGGACTCCCCAGCGCACCCCGGGGGCGGCAGGGCCCCCCACAGCGGGCACCCTGAGCTCCCACCTTGACCAGGTCGAAGTCCTTCAGCGCCGAGGAGGCCTGTGTGCTGGCTGGCAGTGCCACGCACAGCGCCAGCAGGGCCGTGAGCCCGGCGACCTTCATGTCAGGCGGCTGGGCGGCTGGACCAGCTCCCCAAAACGCCGGAGCCACAGCCCTGGGGCCCGGCCCCGGGCTTATATCCTTCCCCACGGGCCCTCGGGGCAGGCACAGGCTGGCTTCATTAAGCAGGTGGGCAGCACGGGGCGGGCCGCCAGCAGCCGCCCACCCGCCAGCCCCGAGGGGGCGCCGCCCCACTGGGCAGGGGGTGAGTGCCGTCAGCTCTCTCAGGGCGACTGCCCGGCCAGACCGCGGCACCCCTGCACGGTCAGCCCCGGGGCTCTCGGACTGTGCGTCCTGGCTGCGGGCAGAGCCGGGCTCCGGGGTGATGAGAGAACGGGGCGGGACGGGACGGGACGGGACGGGAGGGGCACGACCTGCGGGAGTGTCCACCGGGGGCCGCTCTCCCAGGTGAGCAGGTCGGGGAGGTGCGCACAGCTGGGCGCCGCGCCAGGGCCCCAGCCGCCGGCCGCGCCCCGCACGGGGAGCCCTCGGCTTCCTGGCGGTGTGCCCCCCACCCCACCGCGTGGCCAGCACGGGCCCCTGTCCCACGGTCCCGTGCCTCCCCCCAGCCCTAGACGTGCCCAGGACGGGGGCCCGGGCGCCCCAGACCTGCCAGCCGGGCAGGCTCAGTGGGGTGAGACCGAGGACAAGGGTGTGCGCGCCGAGCCGGCTCTGCGCACGCGGCCCCGGGCTGCGGGGGGTGCGGGCGGCCCGGGTGTCCTGCTGGCCGGCCCTCCAAGCCCTTGGAGCACCCAGCGGTCACCAGAGGACCAGTGAGCAGCACCCAGCCGCCACAGCCAGGAGAGCCCCCGGCCCCCTGGCTCTGAACCACACAACCGTCCCCCGGGTCAGAGGGGGCCCCTCTCGCAGGGGAAGAGCTGAGCGGCAGAGGGCATGTCACACCGGCCCAAGGTCACCCAGCAGGGGGCGCCGAGTGATCCCAGCGGCTGTCACTGCCCTCGGCCCCCAGCCCACCCTCGGTGGGACCCTGGTGTCCACCCGGAGGGCACGAGACAGGGCGAGGCGGGGGCTTTCCAGCCCCCGGCAGACACGTGTGGTGCCCGTGTGTCCCGCGGGCCCTGGTGCCCACGCCTCCCTCCGGGCAGGGCCACGGGGGCCAGGCCCTGGAGCCCAGAACAATGGAGTGGTGGGTGACTGGCTGGGGCGGGTGGAGGAGGGCGGGCTGCCCCCACAGCCCCAGCCTGGACGTCCTGCTCGGTTCTCCCTGCCGTCCACTCCCACCCCCGGCAGTCCTCACAGCCTTAGTGACTTCATCCTAAAACTCGTGTCTTTAAATGACATCCGAGGGGACAGTGGACCGCACTCTGCTCCTGCGCCGTCCACCTGGGCTCCGGGAGGTCGGCTTCTGTGCCTCCCGCAGCAGCTGGGACTCTGACGCCCGGGACCACCGGCCCTCCGCAGCCCCCTCCGGCAGTTGGCCCGCGTGGAGATGGCCAGGGAGGCCGAGAGCCCGGACACGGGGCCCGACCCCTCCGCAGCCACTGGGGCGCCGGAGCCGTGGGGCCAACTGAACTGCCGCTGACCCAGTCCCCAGGGCAGCCGGAGTCCTCGGGGCCTCAAGCTGGGCGGCCCTCCTGGGCTCCCGGGGGCAGGACGAGCCTTAGCCAGGAGGGAGGCCGTGGGCGGCTGGACCTGGGGGCTCCGAGCAGGGCGGGGCAGGGCCCTCATGGGAGAAAGGGGGCAGCGGGCAGGAGCTGTCCCCCTGCCCCTGAGCCTGGTGGCCCTGACCCAGCCCCCTTCAGGCAGGGGTCCCGCCAGGGCGGGCAGCCCACACCATTCACACTCCGAGGCCAGGGTGTCACTTCTAGGGCGGTCACGGACAGCACAGCCCCCCGCCCCCACCGGCCCCCCCGGCCCCCAGGAAAGACTCTGGCAGCGGCTGTGCTACAGGGTTTATTGGAAGCTGGTGCAGTCGCCCCTCCCCCCACCCCCGGGGGCAGGGGACAGCAGGGGTGTGTGGGCGGGGCTCCCGGCAGCCTGGCCCTGGACCGGGACCCGCTCCTAGATCAGCTCCTAGACGCAGAAGGGCAGGGGCTCAGGGGCGCTGCAGGCCCCCTGGGGGCCGGGGGGGGGCATCCCGGCTGCTGCGTGGCTTTGCACACAGCTCCGCCCCGTGTCTCTGCCTGCAGAGAGGGTGGCGGTGCCCCCTCTGGGGCCGTGTCACACAGAGGGGCGGACAGGTGACGGCGGGTTGGCACGTGTGGGACGGGGGGCGGGGGGCTGAGACGGTGCCCACGGGGCCCCACCTGGGAGGGACGGGAGCGACCTGAACCCCCAAAAGCTCCTCACACCCTGCTACATGGAAGGGGGCCCAGGGCCCGGCCCCCTGTGCCCCACCCAGGCCCGTCCCTGCACCCCAGCCTCCAGGGTCCCGGTCTGGTGGCCGGGGGTCACCACCCGGAGGCCTGGGACCTAGAGGCGCCAGGACTCCCATCAGGCTGGGGGCTGGGGGCTGGGCGGGGGGTGTCGGTGAAGGCTCACCTGCTTCAGGAGCTTGGCGCACTGCCCTGTGGGACGGGGGCCGCGTGAGGGGCTGCAGGAATGGGCCCCGGGCCCCCCCCCGGAGTTCCCAGCCCACAGCCCACCCCGGAAGCCTGGGGCTCACCGTGCCGGGCCACCAGGTACAGCCCGGTGTCTGCTGTCAGCTCCCGGAACTTCCAGAGGCCGGGCTCGTAGTCGTCCTCCAGGCTGCGGGCTGTGGGGGCGCGGCGGGGGCTGAGCGGGGGCGGGGGGTGGGCGGGAGCGGACGCCCAGCAGCCGGGCAGCAGGGGCGGCAGCCCCCCACCCCTACGGGGGGCTTACTGAAGTACTTGAGCACGTGGATGTCCTCCCCCCGCCAGGCGAGGGTCAGCCGCAGGATGGCGTAGCGCTCATAGTCCGTGTCGATCACGCGGATCTCCCGGTGGCCTGGGACGAGCGGGGGCTGGGGAGCGGGCAGACTGGGCAGGCCAGAGCTGACCCTCTGCCCGGTCACCGGTGGACCCACCCATGACACCAGGACTGGCGGGCCAGAGCAGCCCTCGAAGGGTAGGGCAGCCCTCAAAGTGTGGGGAGTCGTGTGGGGGAAAAGTGTGGGGACAGCGTGGGGGACAGCCAGCCCGAGCGTCCCCCGTGGGCAGGGCCGGGGGCCGTGCCCGCAGCTCCAGGGCCGGGGCTCTTACCAGGAAAAACAAACTTCCCCGAAACATCGACCTCAGAGCCCACCACGTTCTCCGTCTCGCAGCTGCCCAGGCTGGAAGGCAGCGGGGGGCCCGTCAGGGACACGCCGGGCTGCGCCCCCTGCCCGGCACCGTGGGGGGGGACACCTCTTCGGGCAGGTGCCGCAGGGCGCGGAGGGCGGGGAGGGGGGGCGGGCAGGGTGGGACCCCGCCCGCCTCAGCCCGAGGCTCCGGGGCCTCCAGAGGACCCCCCGCCCTTAAGCCCGTTTTCTTTCCTTATACATCGACGGGGCATTATCGAAACGCTGTGCTTATATTTGGGGGGGTTATAGTTCCAGGAGCGGGGGTGAAGCTCTTGGGTGGGAGACACAGGGAGGGCTGGTCCCCCGAAGTGACAACGCTGTCCAAACCCCACAGCCACTCACTGCTGGGGTGGGGGGCTGCCCCAGGCACCCCGCCACACACCTGCTCTTACCCCGGCCCCGTACCTGGGGGGCCGGCCCCGTACCTGCTGTATGCAGCCTTCACGGTCAGCTCGGCCGCGCTCAAGGTCAGGAACAGGGCCTCCAGCCTCTTGGGGGTCGCCAGGACCAGGTGTTGCTTGGAGGCCACGCCCACTTCCCGCCAGAACCCCGCGATCTGGAGCGAGGAGACAGAGCCGGCTGTTCTCGGGGGCCCCAGGACGCAGAGACCCCGGGACCCCCCCCGGGACCCCCCAGGCAGGGAGCGGGCCGGTTCGGAAAGGTCAGTGAACAGCCGGGCAGCCGCAAGGCCGGATGGCAGAGCCGCGGGTGGTCACCCTTCTGCGGGGCCCCTGCCGGCGTCAGATGGCCATGCCAGCAGGGTGAGCCCCTGCCCGCCAGGCCTGTCTGCAGTCCCCGGGGTCCACGGCCTCTGCGGGCGCCTGTCCCTGGGGCGGGGGACGTCAGAGGGTGGGGGTGGGGAGGGCCCGGGAGCGTGGGCCCAGGAGAGCTGGCCGGCCCCATGCGGTCCCCAGGCACACGGCACCGCTCCGCCTGCCCGGCCTCCCTGGCGGAGGGGGCTCTGCCTTCGGAGAGCCCGCGGCTTCCGTCTGAACCTCGCGGAAAGGGATCTTTTTTCCCCAACAGAAAAGAAGGCGCGTCCCCAGCAGCTGTCACCTCTGAGCCTGCTGCTGCTGGTCTCCTGGCCCTGCCACCGGCACAGACCCAGCCAAGGAGGAGCCAGTCATGGAAGCGTGGAGCTGGGCGCCAAACCCCCGCCGCCTCTCTCCCGGTCGGGACGGGCTCCTCCGGTTCCCACAGGATGCGGGGCCACCGACCCAGGGGGCAGGAGGTGGCCACCCTGAGCCCCGGTCCCTAGAGCCCGAGGAGGGCCAGCGCTGCGGCCACGGGCTGCCGCAGCCGGGGCTCTGCCCGCCCGGCCCAGGCACTGGTCTCCCGAAGGGAGGAGAGGCCGGAGGGCTGAGCTCAGACCCTTAGGCCCCTGCCCTTGGCGGCGGGCCAACCCGCAGGGGTCCCGGGCCCCCAAGGGAGCTGCTGTGGCATCAGCTGGGGGCCGGAGAGACCGGGGACTGGAGTAGCTGGACACTGAGCCGCTCCTCACCCAACCTTCGAAAGACCAGGAAGAGAAGCCAGCACCTTCGGCAGGTCCAGGCTCTGCATGGCCGTCCCCCCCTGCACCAGGACGACGCCCAGGACGGCGCTCAGCAGCCTGGCCTCCATCGCGGGTCAGCGCACGGGCCGCCTCTGCCCCCCGGCGCCCGGGTTTATATCCCAGGGACGGCCGGCGTGACGCAACCACCCGAGACGTCATCGGGCCCACGGGGCCACAGACGGGGCGGCGACACCTGCCGTCTCCGCACCAGGGCCACCCGGGCCCTGAGACGCCCACGCCACAGCAGGTGCCTGGCCCGGACTGGAGCAGCGCGGGGGGTGAGGGGGCAGGGCACGGGGGCCACCTGGGGGCCTGAGGGCAGGAGGATGCCCCCACCCCCTGGGGCGGAATGGAACCCCGTGGCCCCCCTACGCAGGGCGGATGGGATGGATGATGCCCCCCCCAGGCCCCATGGGCTCCCAGCGCCCAGCATGCAGCCAGGCACCCGCCCACGGACACACGGCTCCAGGCCCTTTCTGAGGAGTCTTGGCACAGACGCCGTGAGGGCTGGTCCGGTGCCACCCAAGAGCCCTCCGTGGCGGGGTGGGGGGAAGCGGGGGGCTCCTCTGCCTGGGGGGTCTCCACAGAGGATGTCTCCTGCAGAGGGAGCACCTCTGGGCCTAGCGAGGGGGGCCCGGCCGGGCCGAGGGACCCGCCAGCCGCTTCTGTCCTGCCTGTGCCCGTGCCCTGCGCTCCCGGGGCCAGGCCGTGTGGGGCATCCTCCCACTCCTTCAGGCCCCGCAGCGCCCAGCAAGGTGGGGCCCCAGCGGGAAGGCCCATGCGCCCAGTGAGCACACGGCCGGCGTCGGGCCGGGCTGGGACCTCGGCGTCATCCTCGCGCCCACCTGCGCCCCGGCCCCCGCCACCCACCACCCACGCCTCCCACCCCGGACCCAGGTCCCCACGATATGGACGTCGGGGTGAAGAGGGACGCGGGCCTCCTGGGCACAGCCCTGGTCGGGGTCCAGCTACTCTGCCTCAGTTTCCCCATCTGCCCACAGCAGCTCCTGCCCCGACGGGCGTCTCTGGCCCTCGGTCCACGAGAAGTGGGGAGGCAGCCGACCCGCCGCCCGCCCGGGAAAGCCTGCCCTGGAGCGATGCGGGCTAAGCACCCGCCGCACTGTCCTGGGGACAGGCCCCCTGGGGTCCTGCGTGTGGGGCCGCCGCCAGCACTGACCAGCAGGTTGGGTTCAGGGGCTCAAGTCAGGACGGGTGGCCAGAGCCGGCTGGCACACTGGAGACCAAGGGGGCCACCCCAAGGGCAGGCCCAGCGGGGTTCCAGGGCTGAGGCCCTGCTGACCCCGGGCCCAGCCGGGCCCCCTCCCTGGGCTGATAAGCCAGGGCCCCTGGGCTAGGCTGGGCGGGCAGCAGAGGGGAGACAGGAAGTGTGGGGACCGCCTGCCGCCCCTGGGTGACCAAGGGCAGGATGAGGACTGGTGTCTGCAGGGCCCACGGCCTCTGGCGCCGGCCCTGCTGGGGCTGCAGGGCCGTGGTCAGTGAAGCGGGGCCTCCAGCGCCTTCCTGCCCCGCCCCACGCCCCGCGCCCCGCGCCCTTTGAAGTGTGCAGCCCGATGTCACCTGGCCGCTCATCCGGGGGGAGGAGCCCCGGCGCAGCGTCCGGGAGGGGAAGGGGGGCCTCATGGGCCCCCGGGGGGCTCTCCTGCCCCCCATCTCATCGAGGGTCAGCATGGAGCCCAGGCCTTGGAGCCTGACCACGGGGCCTGGACCCCAACCTGGCCCCTGCTGGGCAAGCCGCTGACCTCTGTGGGCCTCAGTTTCCAGATCTGCGAACAGGGAACACGGCAGGTGCGCCGTGTGTCCAGCGGCCCGCTGAGGGCCAGGACAGCGGCGAGGGCTCGGGGCGCGCTGGCCACCACCGCGATCTCACAGAGAGTTACACGTGTGCCCCAGGTCCAGGGCACACCGGCGGTGGGAGGGAAGACCCCAAAGACTCCGGGCTGCAGCTCCAGCTCCTGCCTCCAGGGGCTTTGCACGCCCGGTGGAGCCCCAGCGGTAGGGCCGACCCCACGGGGTGCCCCGGGCTCCCACAGGTGCTGGGAACCCATAGGGGTCCAGCCAGAGGTGCCGGTGCTGCCTGGGGGTGGGCCCACAGGTGCCAACCTCGGCTGGAGCCTCCCGCCCCTCAGCCAGGGGGAGCCCAGCAGCCAGAGCCCCTTCTCACCCACCTCCCTGCCTCAGTTTCCCCAGAAGCCCAGGGTCGAGATGGGGCCCACCCAGCTCTCCCCGAGGGCCTCCCCAAAGAGGCAAGGAGCCTGGAGCCTGCAGAATCTGTTTATTGAGTGGAGCAGGGCGGCCCAGGGATACACGTTGTGGGGCGGGGGCGGGAGTCGGCCGGCAGGGGTGGGCGGGGCCTGCAGAAAGGGCGGGGCCGAGCGTCTGGACGCCTGGAGGAGGTGAGGGCTGCTGCTCCGGCGGCCCTGCACAGGCGGGAAAATCACTGAGCCCACCCCACCCACTCCACAACCCTCCACGGGCACCCCCGGCTGCCTGCACACACGGCGGGGTGCCACCCCCCGCCCCGGTCACGCACCCCTGCAAGCAAGGCCCCTGGAAGCAGCTGTGCTGCTGCGCAGACTTCCGAGAATGTGGAGACGCCCCCACCCACCGCTGCTCCCCTGGAACACCCAGGGCCCCTCCGCCCCCCTGCAGCCAGTGCCCGGCTTGCTGGCTGGCGCCGAGGGGGGGCCTGGCGGGGAAGGGGGCCCAGAAGGGCCACGAAGCACAGCCGAAGCCCACGGGGCAGCCACGGTTGCGGCCGCGGGAGGCACTTGACCCCACCGGCTGGCTGCCTTTTCTTTTTAAGGGGGGGGGGGCACAGAGCAGGAAGCCGGGACCGGCACTCTCTACCGCGGGAACCTTCTGGGATGGTGTCGTCTGGCGCGATTCCTTAACCCACCTCCTCCCGCCCAGTAATGTTCCTGGAACGGCCACAGGTGAGACGCCACAGGTGTCCGACGCCGGACAGGTGAAGCAGCCCCGTGTCCCCAGCGCCCCTGGGTCAGCGGCCAGGACAGGCAGGGAGAGCAGACGGCCCGAGGGACACGGGGCACCCCCACCGCGGGGTCACCCGTCGCTTACTGGTCTGTGTAGGTCCCCAAATTCTGCACGGTGAGCTTGCAGAAGGGGCCTGATGGTTCCCTGGCGTCTACTGTGGAGGAAGGGGTCCCCGAGAGCGCACCTGCCTCTGTGTCCCGAGGGCTCTGGGGACCCAGCCCCATGGTGGCAGTGGTGGTTCCTGCCTCATGGGACCCTCAGGGGTAGGGCGAGGACCCAGGCCATCCCCAGACGGGGCCCTGTGCCCCAGGGGTGAGCGAGGGCCCGGGGGACACAGTGTACTGGGTTGGCCAGTCCACCCAACGCTCAGGTCCACCTGGAACTTGGAACGTGACCTTGTCTGGAAATAGCATCTCTCCAGTGTGATTATTTAGGGACCCCACAATGAGACCCCCCTGGAAGGGGGTGGCCCATATCTGGTGACGGCCGTTCCTCCAGGAAGAGGGGAACCTGGACACGACACACAAAGGAAGACGGCCCTGTGACATTGGACACAGAGCCGGGAGTGACATGTCTACCGGCCGGGGGCGCCAGGACGGCTGGCCCCGCCAGGAGTGGGTGGGGAGACAGGGGTGCCCCCAGAGCCCCAGCAGGAACCAGCCTGGCCCACGCCTCGACTTCGGACCTGTGGCCTCCAAACGGAGAGGGCAATGTCTCTTGTTTAAAGCTACCCAGTTTGTGGTCCTTTGTTTTGACAGACCTAGGCAATCAGTGAAGGCTTCCTGGAAGAGGTGATGTGTAAGCTGAGGCCTGAGGCACACAGGCCTGGTGGAGCAAGGCACAGTGGATTTGGTGGGGAGGGGAATCTTTGGTGAGAGAGCAGGGGGCCTGGTGGGCGGGGAGCCCACGCAGACCCTGCAGGAGGGAGGGAGGGAGGGAAGCGGTACCCTGTCCCCACCTGGGAAGGGTCAAGGTGAGCGTCCGGAGGGGTCAGGGTGCCTCCTTGCCCCTTGAGGAGCACGCATCTGCGGGGGAAGGAAGTGGGTCCTTGAGAGGCTGAGCTGGTGGGTCTGCCCACCACTTCCTGCAGCCCCCACCCCTGGGTGTCGTGGGGCCCGGCCTAGCCACCTGCCCAGGGTGGGGCTGAAAGACTCTCCCTCCTGGACCCCCCAAAACTTCTCCCTGGGCGTGTGTTGGGGGAAGAAGAGGGCTGTGCCAGCCCAGCTTCTGGTCTGCACGTTGGGGAACGGGCGAGGGTGGCTGGAGGCGGGGCTCGGCGGGGCGGAGCTGTCTGGAGGCGGGGCTCGGTGGGGCGGGGCCTGTCTGGAGGCGGGGCTTGGCGGCAGTACCTGACTCCGGCAGCAAGACCATCATGTCGTCCTGCAGCCCCACCGTCGGGTAGAAGTCCTGGAACGCCCTCAGGGCTTGGGGGCCAACTTTTGGGGTCCGGCCTGGGACAGAGCAGGGCCCCTGTGAACCCCGCGGCTCCCAGAGCGAGGCGCCAGGAGGGACGAGTGTCTCCCCGCCTCACTTCCTCGAGGGGAACAGCAGGTCGGAAGTCCCTGCCTGGGCGAGGGGCCCTTGGGCACTGGAATCGGCCCAGAGGGGTGCTCTTTGCTAACTCACACAAGGGTGCTCAGGAGGTCGGGGACCCGGCTATGCCCCCAGCCACCGGCCATGTTCCCTGGGCCGCACCCCACCAGAGGGTCTCCCCCTGCAGCCCCCAGGCCACCGTCCCGCCCTCACCGGGCGGCTCCTCCCCCCTGGAGAGCTCCACTCGGCCTGACCCCCGGAGAGTGAAGCCGCAGAGGTGGTCTCAGCCCTGGCGCACGGTCTCAGGCCCCCGCGGAAGATGGGCCCCCACCCTCAGAGCGTCAGAGGGGGGCCTGGGTGTCCAGCCTGCAGAGGCCCCACCAATCAAGCCCTACCCTTCAGAGTTCGTGGGGACCTGCCGCCCCCACCACAGGGCCATCTGATCCCGGCTGGGCCGAGACCTGGGAGTGGGAGACCCGTGCGGGGAGGGAGCAGAGGAGGACCTGGGGCAGGCCCCGAAGTGGGGGCCCAGGGGAGCAGGGGAGGCTGGGGCGGGCCTCACTGTAGAGCTGCACCATGGTGCTGAGCACACCCTCCAGCTCCTTGTAGATGTAGAGCAAGGCGAAGGAGCGGTAGTCGGTGTTCACCACGCGCACGTCCAGGTAGCCCAGAGCTGCGGGGGGGCGGGGGGGAGAGCTGCAGGCGCCCAGCCCCCGCCTTGGCTTCCGGGGGCGGAAGGGAAGGAAGGGGCAGGAGGGGGCGGTGGACAGGGGATCCCCAGGCCCAAGGACAGTCACCCCACGGAGCATCGGCCTCAGGCGCCTCGGAAGGGGGTGTGGCGGGACCCACCTGGCACCAGGAAGTGCCCCTCGGAGCCCACCTTCAGGTACTCCGCGTCCAGCTGGTGGCAGCCCTCGGCCCTGGGGGTGAGCGGCCCGTCACCCTCCACTCCCGCCCAGGCTCGCCCACCCCGCCGGCCGCACACTCGCGCGGGGCTCACCCGGGGACCTCCATGTGGACGCTGAGGTTGCCTCCCGCCGCGGCCGTGACGGTGGCAGAGGACATTAGCAGGTGGTCCTTCTTCTCCTGGAAGACCTTGCAGTCGGAGACCATGGACACCACGTACCAGAGGCCTGAGAACTGCGAGGCCGCCCGGTGACCCTCGGACTCAGGGACCCAGGGACACGGGGCCCACGACCCCGGGCCAGGCCTCGTCCGAAGCCACGGGGCCGGGGCTCCGGCGTGTGTCTGCCTCTCGGGCCTGAGGCCGGGGTGGACCAGCGCCCTGCTCTGAACCTACCGGGGACGGGTCTCGTCGCCACGGACTGGCAGGCCCGAGGCCCAGCAGGCGCGGGGACAGCTGTCACTGTTCTCCCATCGCTGTGGCCCCCAGCAGGGACTCAGCGCCCCCAGCCCCACCACAGCCCAGCACGGGGGCCTCCGCACCTTCTGGGCCTGAAAACCTGGCTGCACCAGCACGTCAGCACAAGCCACGGACACCCAGAGCAGCGCCAGGACCCGGCCCAGCTGGACGGACTTCATCTCCACGCCGGTCTTTGGCCGCGGGCACCGTCTGCGGGCCCCAGCCGGCCCCGCTTTATAGCCCGGCCCGCAGCCGGGCTGGCCAGACTGCTGGCAGGCGGGGGAGCGGGAGGCGTCGGGGCCCGGAAACTCCGGCCCTCCTTTGTCCATTGTTCGGCTCAACCGCTGCGGTGTCCCCGCCAGCTCCGCCCTCACTTCCTGGAGGGCTCCTCAAAGCGAGGCTCTCACCTGACTCCCGGCACCGGGACTCTGCCCCCTAACCTGCCGGGCAGCCCCGGGGGCCCAACCAGAGACCGCCGTGGCCTGCAGGGACCCGGACCCGGTGCCTGGGCCCACCCTCAGTCCGGCTGGGGGCCGGGGGCCGGTGGCGTGCTGCTGGGAAGCAGTCAGGCTCAGATGGGCTCTGGCCAGTGGGCCCCCACTCGGGAACTGGGGCCCCCACAGTCCTCACTCCCTCTCCTCCACTCGCAGTAGTGGGGTCACCACTGGCCAGGCCTCCGGGCCTCATCATCAGGGGCAGAGCCTGTGCGGGGGCAGGTGACAGAGGTGACATCGGAGGCCTGGGTGCCCCTCACTCGAGACCCTGGGGCCCCCATGCAGCCACCAGCTGGGCCTCCAGCAAGCAGGGCTGGGGGCGGGGCTGGGACGCCGCTCAGGGTGGATTACGGTCTCAAAACCACCTTATCTCCAGTTGCATAAGTATTCCAGCCAGGGTGTCACCAGGGAGGGGGGTGCTCTAGCCGCCAAGGCCTCTGCTGGTGACGTCTCGTCTAGTGTCCACCGTGCCAGGGGCAGCACGTGGCCTTGGGGGGGCCACCCAGATGCCTCAAGTGTGGGACAGGGGTCCCCGGGGAGGGCCAGGATGACCAGGGCTCTGGAGTGGAAGTGGGTACGGGGTGGGAGGAAGACCCTCGCCCTAGCCCGAGGGAGGGGCCCAGCCCGGGCTGCCGCTCGACGCCTCCGCTGGGTTTCAGGTGGCGCCAGCTGGCCACCGGGCCCCAGGGTCGCCGGATGGAAGGCGGGCACACCTGCCCATGAAAATATTTATGAAACACACACCTGATAAAGGACTTGGGCCCGAAAGTCTGCAAAGCATTCTCAAGGCTCAAACATAATAACAAACCACCCAATTAACAACAGGGGGAAGTAAGTGATTTAAAAAGACGTCTCAGCCCTGGCGGGTGTGCTCAGTGGGTTGAGTGCCAGCCTGCGAACCAGAAGGCCGCCGGTTCGATTCCAGGTTGTGGGCCAGGTCCCCAGCTGGGGGCGTGTGAGAGGCAACCAATCGATGTTTCTCTCCTTCTCTTTCTCCCTCTCTTCCCCTCTCTGAAAAGAAACAAGTAAGAGAACTAAAAAACTAAAGTAAAATCGTCCCCCACCGCCTCCCCCCGGCTGGAGGGCAGGGCGGCCTGAAGGAGCGTCAGTCCTCAGAGTCACGAGCGTGTGTTCCCAACGCCGCCTGTCCTGGGAGGCGGCCGGCGGACAGTCGGCGGGCCGCCCAGCACCCAGGAGCAGGGTGGTCCCACCAGGTGAGCAGGCTGTCCACTCAGCCTCTCCAAAGGAATGCAGGTTCGCTCAGGGCAGAGTGTCAACACGGGTTAACACCCTGCTCACACTCAGACGCTCTGGGAAGAGTGTCACACACACACAGCAATCCGTGAGGGACTCGAACCCGAGTCCCAGCGTCTCGGCCACCGGCCTGGAGGCAGCTCGGAGCAGAGCCCCCGGCGGCCGGAGCCAAGGGACACGGCCGCGGCGTGGAGCTGCAGCCTGGTGTGCAGAGCTCGGCGGCCTCAGCAGTGGCAGGGAGCCTGCCTCCCTCCAGGGCCGCGCACTCCACCCCTGGGTCTCTCGATACGCGTCTGGGGACCCCGATGGCGAGTGGGGAACTTCTCGGTGGGCTTATCCTGGGGTACTCTGCCTCTACACACGTGTCTGTTCGGGTCACCTGTGCAGATACCTTGAACACCCCACGCCGCCAAGCATGACCTGGGTCATCTCCTTCTTGAACCAGAGCGTCTCATGGCTGCTGGCAGACAGCTTGCTTGACGTGAGTGACGCCATTTTGTTCTATGTCCTTTATGCTATCGTGGCTGGACCCACGCCGTTTTATTGGTCCTGCTCTCCACAGCCGGCGGCAAGTACAGGATGCCAGGGAAAGGGTGGGGACAGGGATGGGGAAGGACACACTGTGGACTTCCCGGCACAGGGCTCCTGGGTGCGAGAGCAGAGCTCAGTCCTTCCTTCAGTCAACAGGGCCCAAGGGGCAGGTGACACTGTTCTCCTGCTCATCTCGGAGCCCGATATCCTCCCAGCCATCTCCCAATGGCGAGGTGCATGGGGATCCCCCCCCACCCCTACACACCCACATACTTGCGCACAAATGCGCACACCCACACGGTCTGCAAGGTGGAGGGGCCCCTCCTGGAGCCGGGCACCCAGCCCCCCCCACACAGAGGCTGCACAAGAAGAAACATCCGGGGGAGCAAGGACCCCCCCCACCAAGTCAGCGGGCTCCAGGGGAGCCTCAGGACAGAGAAGGGAGGTAGCCTCTGGACGCGTCTCACCCACATGTGGGGCCCCCGGCAGCATGGCCCCCTCGGAGCTCCCTAAGGCAGCCAGAGCTGAGATGTTGGGAGAGGCCTGCAGCCCCCCCCAACCCTGCCCTCCCAGGCTCACTCTGCCCATCAGTGTTGGGGGCTGGGAGCCCAGACAGGGGCCGTGTGATGGGAGGCAGGCAGGGCAGAGTCCGACTCCGGGGACCAAGCTGGTGCCCTGCAGCTCCCCGGGGAAGAAGGGAACCACGGCGCGGGACTGCAGCTCTCCAGGCAAGGACATTCCCCGACCACAGAGTGCATTCCCCACCCTGCAGCCCCCAGTCCTGGGACCCCTGCAGGGTGGGCTCAGAACAGGAGGGCAGGAGGGCCCTGGGGCCCAAGGAGGCCCTGCAGGGAGGGTGCCCCCCACCTGCCACTAGCCCAGCCTCAGGGCCACACTGACTTGTGGGGTCCCAGGGCCATCCCCCAGCCTCCCCATCATGGCCAGCACAGTGACCTGGCCCCAATTCTGGAGAGGGTCACAGAGTCAGAGGGTGGCCAGAGGCCCCCAGAGGAGCCTGAGGTAGGCAGGGGTGTGGCAATGGGGTGGGCTTTGGGGGTGTAGGTGCTGGGAGTGCCCCAGGGGTCGGTTGTGGAGGGAAGGGGACAAGAGAAAGGCACCTGCATCTTCTGCCAGGAGAGAAGGTGCTGAGGCCTCTCCCCTGCCAGCCTCCGTGGCGTGCACCCACACACTCCCGTCCCTCCTGGCCCCTCCCCGGTGTGTTCTCCTGCTCTCTCTCCCGGCTCTGTTCTCCTGTCTGCTCTATGAGGGCGGGGACCCTGCCTCCCCCGTGGGCCTCCCCAGCTCCTACTGGCGGTGAGTATGGGTTTATAGTATTTTGGGGATTAATTCGCTAACTAATCTTTCCATACACAGCTACTCCGTGGTCGTTTTCAAGAGACTTAATCCCTTCATCCAAGTCCCACCCCAACAAACAATACTATCAGTCATCAGTCTGCCTCTGCGAGCGAGCGTGGCAGTGGGCATGGGACCCACGCCTGGCCAGCGACTGGCCCACGGCCCTCAGCCCCAGGTCCTAGAGCCCCGGCTGCCCGATGCACCAGGCTCCGCCCGGGCACGCCCCCATCCCCGCCCCGCCCCGCCCCGCCCCCGGCCCTTGTGCGGGCCCCGCCCCTAAGCCGGACTCCGCCCTCATCCTCCAGCCGCGGCCCCCCTCCGCGCCTGCGCAGATCGGCCCTCCAGGCCCCGCCCCCCGCGCCCCCCCCGGCAAGCCCTCTGCACCCGCGCCTGCGCAGACCGCACTGCCAGGCCCTGCCAGCCATGGTGAACCTGGGCCTGTCCCGGGTGGACGACGCGGTAGCCGCCAAGCACCCGGTGAGAGGGCCGGCCTATCACGCGGGCTCCGGACCTGAGAAGCAGACCTTAGTGGGGGCGGGGGCTCGACGGGTGTGTCCTGTCCGGGAAAAAGGGCAGAGTCCGGACCCTCTCGCCGTGGGGACGGGGCACCCGGCGTGGGCAGGAGGGCGTGCCGAGAGGAGGGACAGGTGGGACGGTGGAGGGAGACGGAGGGACTGAGCCTTCCACACCTGCCCTTCCCAGGGACTGGGCGAGTATGCCGCCTGCCAGTCGAGAGCCTTCGTGAAAGGCATTTTCACCTTTGTCACAGGTAGGCTGCTGGGTCCAGGTGTCCTCAGGTGCAGAGACCTCAACCCCTGTCTCACCCTGACTCCCCAGCAGGGGGCGCCATGTCGGCTGCCTGCGGGTGCGGGGAGCCGGGCGGGTGTCCCCCGGGGAATTCAGCCGGTGGTCGGCTGGCTGATGGGGACCGTGCCTCTTGGCAGGCACCGGTGCGACCTTGGGCCTGCAGATGTTCCTACAGAGGAAGTTTAAATACCCCTTCCAATGGAACGTGCTAGCGGCCGTGGGTGGGTACCCCAAGGTCAGCGCCTGGGGCCCCTGAAATGCACCCGAGCTGCCAGAGGTGACTCTGGGTCTTCCCCGGGGGGAAGGGATTGGGTTCCCACTAGGAGTGGGTGCGGGGGGCTATGTTCCAGGCGTCCCTGCCTCCTGGTACGGGGCCCCAGCTCCCGGAGGGACCCCGCCAGGCCCACCACTGCCATCTGCCCGGAAGTGTCCTGAGCCTGGGTTCTCCTCCCCTGCCTGAGGAGTGCAGAGGCCTGGCCCCCGGCCCCCCGCCCATGGGCCCCTGCTCTGCTCCACAGTCGTAGGCTCCGTGGCCAGCTACTGGATGACCCGCGTGGAGACGCAGAAATGCAGTGACCTCTGGGTCTTCCTGGAGACCGGGAAGCTGCCCACAGACACGGGCCCAGGTGAGAGGCCCTAGGGGCAGTGGGCAGCCAAAGCATGGCCGCTGGTGCCTGGAGCTGCAGGCAGGCCGACCTGGGGCTGGAGGCGTAGGCTGGACAGGGGCTCTCCCCTCTGTCCTGCGCCGTCCGCACGCACTTCCGGGACAGGGGATGTGTGCAGGAGGAAGACCCCGGAGGGCTGGGGGGCCCTGGGGTGTGGGGAGCACAGGGTGAGGAGTGCCGGTGGCCCGGGAGGAGGAAGAATGGCTGGACTGAGAGGCCGGGCCTGAGACAGCAGGCTGAGGGACCTGAGCCCGGCCTCCACTGCCCGCAGCCCCGTCACAGGCCTCACCCCCCGTTTTTGCCACCGCAGGGAAGTGGGCGCAGGGACACGAGCTGCTTTAGGGGGTGGCACTGTCTCCGTTTGCCTCTCGCAGATCAGCACTCCTGGCAGAGCTCCAGCCATGGTGCCCGAGACCTGGGCCCCGAGAGTTCCAGGACGCAGCCTGCAGCGCCTCCACACCCTGGGCCGGCCCTCCCCCCTCCTTGGTTCCTCGTCACGCCCGAGGTGCCCCAGCCACACCAGAACGGGCTGTTCCTGGGCTGGCTTCCTGCAGGGCGGCGAGAAGCACGGTGGGCACGAACCCAGACAGCGTCACGGCTGGCGCCAGGCTCAGCTCTGCGTGCGTGGGGCAGGACCGCCACCCTCCCCGGTGCACGGACGTGCCCTTTCCGGTCCCGCATCCCCGCGGTCGGTGGTGACAGACACTGCTGGGCGTGTGGAACTAATAAACGCCTCGCTCTCTTTGCTACCTGAGTTCAACAGCGATTGGAATGCAAGTCAAAGCAGGAGGAAGCTGAGAGACAAATCTCACTTTAGTGCCACATGGCTGAGGATGGAGGCTGTGCCAGGCAGTTCCTAACACTGAACCCCAGGGTTAGACACCCCTGCCAGCCCCAGGGGGTCTGTTTCCGCACGCCCGGGCCCAGAGGAGCAGAACCCGGGGCCTGCCGCCCACTGCGCCTGGCTCCCGAGAGACGGAGGCCGGGAAGTGGCTGTGCCCATCCGCCTGGCATCCCAAACACTGGTCAGAGGAAGTCACTTCTCTCCAGGGGCGGGGGGAGGTCAGAGCTAGCTCACTGGAGCTCTGTCCTCGTGGAAGGAAAGCTCATGAGTGGGCGAGGCCACCCACTCACCCACCCCGACAGGAAGAGGCAGAGATGCATAAACTCTGGGCAAGTCCGCTGCCTTTGCGGTTGGCCTCCCAGGCCCACTGAAGGCACACAGCACTGGGCCACGCTGCCCGAGCCAGCGCAGCCCACGCGCCTCTTGGCCAGCCAGCCAGTCATTCAGAAGAATATCTGCTGAGCACCTGCTAGGCACCAGGACCCTGTTGGTGGGAAGGCAGTGACAGGATGCCCAAGATAACCATGGCATAAGTGACCTGGGGTCTCCCCCGTGTAAAGGTGCAAGTGGGCAGCCTGGGGCCCCAGCTTCTTGCAGTTCGTGCCCTGTTGCAATGACCTCTATTCCAAATCCACCTCATGGTCCCAGGCAGCTGCACCAGCTCCAGCCATTGTGTCTCCATCCCAGCCAACAGAAAGGAGGAGGAGGAGGACAGTTCACTTACCATTCTGCTTACACTGCATGGGCACACTGTGCAGAGGCACATAGGAAGGCTGCCTTGTCCTAGGCAGCCCTGTGTCCCCACTAAAATTCAGGGGTTCTATATCTGAGCAAGAAGGGAGAACCAACATTGGGGAACAGCGGGCAGCTGCTGCCTTAGGCCTTGGGTCAGCACAGGGGGCAGGGAGGGGATGCAGACAGGTATATGGCAGGTCCTTCCATCACCCTGAGAGTAAGACCCAGCTCAGAGGGAGGCAGAGAAGGTGAATGGGAGTTTTAGACCTGACTGGACCCACTTTTCAAAAACAGAGTGACCAGCCCTGGCTGGTGTGCCTTAGGGGATTGAGCACAGGCCTACAGACTAAAGAGTCGCTGGTTCGATTCCCAGTCAGGGCACAGGCCTGGGTTACAGGCCAGGTCCCCAGTAGGGGGCGCACAACAGGCAACCACACATTGATGTTTCCCTCCCTCTCTCCCTTCCCCTCTCTCTGAAAATAAACATACAGTAAAACCAGCGTGCCCAGAAAGGCACAGCACCTGTGTAAGAGGCCCTATGCGAAGGTGGGCGCTGTAACCACAGGTGAAAGCCAGACGGTGTCCCCCCACAATTCACACATTGCAGCCCTCACCCTGGGGCCTCAGGATACGACTGCACTCATGGGCACAGCCTCTGAAGAGGGGACCGTCAAAACGAGAGTGGGCTCTGACCCTCCCGACCTCATGAGAGGAGGAGACAACAGGGACAGCCCAGAGACAAGGCCATGTGAGGCCCGGCCAGGACGGTGTCTGCCCACCTGGAGGAGGGTCGGGGGAGCCAGCCCCGCCCACCCCGGGTCTTGGACTTCCAGTGTCTGGGACTCGAGACAGTAAATGTCCAGTGTTTAAGCCGCCACCCAAGGTGCTTTGTTACAGCGGCCACAGTGAAGTCCCACAGGGCAGCTAGGAAAAGCGCCCCTTCCCTTGTGTGCCCCGGCCCCCCAGCCCCAGGCCGTCCAGGGCTTGGTGCTCGCGCCCCGTGGGAAGCTCACGGTCAGGGTGCAGAGGTGGGGACCGAGCCCTGCTGGGGTGACACCCAAAGCTGGACCCAGGGGTGCCCGGGGAGTGGAGGCCGAGGTCAGGGAGAGTGGGGCAGAGAAGGCCCGGGTCACCAGGCATGGAGGTGAACCTGCGCTGGGCTGGAGGAGACCCCCCACCCCCACCCCGGAAGGCAGCCTGGGGTCTGGAGTTCAGGAGGCCTCGGAGGAGGGGTGTGTGGCCGCACTGCCTGCCCACCGCCAGTCCCCTCTTTGTGGGGAGGGGTGCCCGACCCCGGCCGCGCTCCTGCTCAGGGAGGAGCCACAGGACCCAGGCGTGCGGGGGGCCACCTCAGGCTGGCTGGGGGCACAGGTGGTGACGGCCGGGGCTAGGAATCCCAGGGTTCCCTGGGCTTTGAGAACCTTGGCCCCCATCACAATGGGCGGAGGTTCTGGGGCAGCCTGAGCTGCGGTTCTGCTGAGCAGACGCAGCACCGGGAGGCAGGGCCCCTCGGCCACCATGAAGACGCAGAGCGAGGGGGACATGGACGAGCAGATCCAGGAGCTCAAGACCATCACTCGGCTCCAGGGTGAGCCGCCCCTGCGGTTGTTACCGGGGGCTGACCCCCAGCGTGCTCAGGGGCTCCGGGGTGCAGGACTTTCCTAACAGGGGCGGTCCAGGGCCCGCAGCTAGTGGACCCTATCGCCCACCCCCTGACCAGAGCTGGCAGAAGGGACTACAGGGGCCTGCCAGCAGGGGGCGGGGGTGGGGCGAGGAGAACCCGGGGGTCCTCACGGAGGTTTGAATGCACTGTGGACGCCAAAGCCAAAGGGAGCAGGAGGAGACCCAGCTGCCTCCGCGGGCCAGCTGGTCTGGGAGGGAACAGGAGACGCCGCGCCCCCCACACACACACACACTCAGCACAGCCACCCAGACGAGCGCTGCTGAGCAGCGGGGCCCGGCGCCCCGACGGCAGGCAGCGTGGGAGTTAGGAGCAGGGTAGTGGAGGCTCCCTAGGCCCCCGCATCCCGGGAGGCCCGGCCCTGGGCCCACACCCCGGCCACCCCGACCCTCGCACGCCCACAGAGCAATGCCGGGCGCTGCAGACCCAGGCCGTGAAGGAGAAGACCGCCAAAAACAAGGCGACGCAGGCGCTCCTGCGCAGCAACATCCGTCAGGGGGCCCAAGACTGGGCTTTGGCAAAGAAGGTGAACAGCCCAGTCCCGCCCCCGCGCCGCGCGCCGCGCCCCCGGCCCCCCGCCCCGCTGCCTGGGGGTGTGGGTGGGGCGGGCACGTGCTGAAACAGACACACAGCTGGACAGCAGGGGGCACCTCCGCTCCTCTCCCCACTCACTTCCGCAGCTGGCGCATCTGGGGAGGGACTCACAGGGACCTGCTCTGGGCCCCAGTCACTCCGGCGAGCCCGGTGGTCAGCATCCCTGACGAGATCCCCTCTCCCGGGCTACCCACTGCCGCAGGGGCCCCTCCGGCTCTCTGGCCTCGTAGGAGAGAGCCGGGCCCTCCTCTCCGGACCCCCATCGCGTCTGAGCTGGGATGACCTGCGTGGGGGCCTGTAGCGCTCTTCCTCCTGGGGTCTTGCTGCTGCGCTGTCACGGGCAGAAGCAGCCCTGGGAGAGTGCCTGGCGGGGCGGGCGGCAGGGAACGCAGAGACGCCCGCCAGCTCAGCTGCCGCTGCCCCACAGTACGACCAGCGGTCCATCTCCAAGGCCTGCGGGAAGGACATGCCCACGAGGCTGGCGCACTGCCGCTGCACCATGGAGGTAGGGCGACAGGAGGGAGCCCACCCCCCGCTAAACGCTTCGGAGCCGGTGGGGGGCAGAACGAGTTTCCCACCCCAGGGGCCCTCCCTGCCCACCCGCCGCAGGCAGGCACTCGAGCCCCTGCGTGCGCACCGTACCCTCCCCGACCCAGGTGGCGCGGGAGAAGCTGCGCAAGTACGTCTTCGACCGAGTGAACGCGCACAACGCGCTGATCCATCTGGCGCGGCGGCGCGGGCAGCAGCTGGAGAGCATGCAGCTGGAGCTGGCCAGCCTGCAGAACCAGCCGACCGCCACCAAGGAGGAGCTGCGCCTGCTGCAGGTGGCGGGGCGGCGGGGCGGGGCCTCGCGAGGGGTGGGGCGGGGCGCCGGGGTCGGAGGTGGGACTCCTCGGGCAGGGCGCGGGAGGGGTGGAGCCTCTTGGTGTGGGAAGGAGGGCGGGGCGGGGCTACGTGGGTGGGCGGGGCCAAATGAATGAGACCCTACCCCGCAGCTGTCCTCGCCCGCTCCAGGGGGCCAGGCCCTCATTGTGCCCTTGGGCAGCCCCCAGGTCATCCGCCAGCTGGAGAACAACATCGAAAAGACGATGATCAAGATCACCACGAGCCAGAACATCCACCTGCTGTACGTGGGCCTGCTGGACTATCTGAAGAAAGTGAGCCCCTCACCCGAGCCCAGGGAGCCCAGCTGGGTGGGAGGGGCCGGGTCTGCAGCCGGCCCCAGCTGGTGCGGAGGGCTGGGGTCTCGGTGGGGGCGGGACCCCCACCCCGGGGTAGGGCGGCCCCCAGGCCTGCAGCCTCCCTGGCCGAACACCCTGAGGGCTGGACCCTGCTTTGGGCGCCCTCTGAGCGGCGGAACCAGCACCTAAGGAACATTCTGCCAAGACCTTGCCGTTGCTACTCAGAGAAGGCACCTCAAGGGATGAGGCAGAAGGGTTCGCCCTTGCTTGCATGTACTGGGCGGTGAGCGTGGTGTTCATTCACTGCCTGGTCTCTGAGGGCAAGCGGTAACCCCTCGCCCCCCGCCCCCACCCCTGGGAAGTCCTCCAATATACAGGGCACCTTGCCTCAAAGCAAGCCGGCGGCCTCAGCTTGCTGCCCACCACGTCCCAGCCGGCCGCCCCGCTCCCCGGGGAGGCGGCCAGGAGGAAGCCCCCGGGGGCCGTAAGCCCGCAGCGAGGCAAGGTCCCTTCCCGGGGTGCCCCTCCTGGCCCCACAGCGCGGAGCACAGGTGCCTGCCACAGGCCGGGTGGACGGTAGACGGCAGATGGGAAGGAGACGGGGTTGGGGGTGGGTCCCAGGTGCCAGAGGGGCAGCTTGACAGGAGGGGGAGGGAGAGTGAGGGACCCCTCCCAATCTTCCTCATCACGAGGCTGGGAAAGGGGAGCCCTGGAGGAGGCTGACAGGTGGCCATGTGGCTTGGAGGAGGGTGGGGCGGACCGGCAGGCACAGCCCCCCATCCCGACCGCGGCCCCCAGAGCCAGGCAGCAGAGGTCCGTGCTCCGGCTTGTCCCCCGGCCCCGGCCCCTTGGAGGCACCTGGAGGCCCTGCACGCCTTTCCGACCCCGGCCCAGCCCGGGTCCTCCAGGCCCAGCTCCTCCTCCACCGGGGCCCATTGTGCCCCCTAGTGGCATCTGCGCATCTTTTCAGAACATACGCGTTTTTCAAAAATATCACCAGTGGTCACTTGCATTTTTTTTTTAAGGTTTAATTTAGTTTTTAGAGAGAGAGGGGGAGGGAGGAAGAGAGGAAGAGAAACATCAATGTGTGGTTGCATATTACACGCCCCCTACTGGGAACCTGGCCTACAACCCAGACATGGGCCCTGACTGGGAATCGAACTGGCGACCCTTTGGTTTGCAGACCGGCACTCAGTCCGCTGAGCCACACCAGCCAGGGCTCACCTGTGCTTTTAAAAAACAGTGAAGATGCCACATTGTAGTTACTAATGACAAAATACGAGGAGCCGAGACATCGTGGACATTTATGACCCTGGCCCTGTGCTAAGCACCTCACGGTGCCTTCTCTGTTGACAGCACCCTTCTGGAAAAGCCACGACCACCCTCGTACAGATAGGCACACTCAGAGAGGTTAAGTGTCTCTCTCAAGGTCCCACACCAGCTGGCCAGGGTGTTCTTGACCTTGAGCCCTGAGTCTCTGACCCCAAGCCCATTTCCAGCCCATGTGGTTCACTTCACAAAGCAGCCACTCCCAAGCAGTGGGTCTCCCTGGGTGTGAGGGTCACACGGTAGGACGTCCCATGGCGACCTGGCTGGAGTGTCGCTGGGCTGTCTGGCCCAGGGCAGTGGGAGAGCCCCCTAGGGAGATACTGTGTACCTCTCCCCAAACACTCCCTTTCCCCTGCTGTGTGCCCGGCAGGGGGCTGGGGCCACAGGCCACTGTCCTCAGCGTGCTCACAGACAAGGGGTGGGTGCAGGCTCGGTCCACCCTGCAGGGTCCACAAGGGCACCGGGCGGGGCCGGGGGAGGTGCTGTGGCCCGGGGGGCAGCGTGCAGTCGGCCCGAAGCCCTGGACCGCCAGGCTCTGGGCCCACCTGTGCTGCCCCCTCGGTTCCTGCCCAGGAGCTGGCGGGATACCCCACAGAGCTGGACAAGCTGCAGAGTCTCGTGGCCGAGTACTGCTCAGAACTGTCGGACATGACTATCATGTCCCAGGACGCCATGATGATCACGGACGAGGTCAAGGTGAGCTCAGGTCCCTGGGCCGGGGCCCTGCAGGGCTCTCTGGTGGACCTGTCCGGCTCAGGCTCCAGCAGGCCCCCCCCGTGCCCACTCCGCCGGTAATCGCTGGGGTTGACCACCCTGCTCTGCGCCACTGCTGGCTGGACGGAGGGAGCCCCACTAGACAGGAAGCCGCGGGCAGACAGAGCAGGGAGAGGACTGGCCAGGCTGGGCGGAGCCGCCCTCCCTCCCAGTCTGTGCCAGCCCCCCACCCCCAAGGCCGTCCTTGTGAAGGGGCAGTGTGAGGAGGCAGCCACTCGCCCAGCCGTCCCTGTCCCACAGCCCCTCGCCAGTGCGGCAGAGACCCAGGCGCCGGGGGTGCTGACCTCCCGGGGCAGCGGTGGCGAGGGGCTCCGGGCCTGGGGGTGGCGGGCCCCCGGGAGGCGCCAGGCTGCAGAGGAACTGGCCTCGGGCAGCACTGGCCTTGGGCAGCGGGGACGCAGGTGTCCGCCCGCCCCTCCCCTGGAGCCGGGGGAGGAAACGGGGGAGCCGCGATCAGGTGTGAGTGCCAAAGCAGGTGCGCTCTGGCTGCGGAGATGGGGGCTGGACCAGCGGAGGGGGCGGGGGGCGGACTCCGCGGGAGCTGAGGCGCCGTCACAAGGCCCCCCGGGAAGGTGGCCCTGAGTTGGGTGGGAACAGTGAGGGGCGGGGCAGCCTCCAGGCGGCCTCATAGTCGGCAGGTGTGGATGGGCCGTGGCACCAGCCACGGAGGCAGGACAGGGAGAACCCGGGTTTGGGGGAAGATGACGAGTCGTTTTTAGACACGCGGAATCCATGTTAGTGGGCTCCGAGGGGGGCTGGGCAGGGGGCAGCGGGAGCCCCTGAGCAGTGGCTGCACCTGGGTGACTGGGACGGAGGAGGGAAGGCACCGCCGCTGAGAGGCCGGGCGGAGGGGACAGCGGAGGGGACGGCGGGAAGCCAGAGGCTGGTGAGAGCGGCAGGCACTGTGCGGCACAAAGGGGTCCTGGCCGGCGGCCTGGACGGCTGCTCCCGAATCCAGGGAGATGGGGACCGAAAGGGAGCGCTGGATGATCTCGCATGTGGGAGGCCCCCTTCTGGAGACAGACCCCCGCCCCGCCCCGTGCCCGCAGATGAACATGAGACAGGGGGAGGCGACCTTCATCGAGGAGCGCCGGGCGCGGGAGAACAGGCTGAACCAGCAGAAGAAGCTCATCGACAAGGTCCACACCAAGGAGACCAGCGAGAAATACCGCTGGGTGAGTGCCCAGGACCCCGCGAGGCCGAGGGACGGGCCGGGGGGCACCCCCAGCACGGGGTGCTGCTGACCTGCCCCGCCCCCACCCCTGCACCCCAACCAGGGCCGCAGAGACCTGGACTTCCCCTCCAATCTCATGGGAATGGAGACCACGAAGGGTGAGCACTCGGCCCCCAGCCCGACCCCAGCTCAGGCCCCAGGAGGCCGACCCTGGCTCGACCTGCCCGGCCAGGCCCCCTCGGGGCCAGGTGTGACCCGAGTGAGGGGGGTGAGCCCCTGCGGAGGCTGAGCACCTGGCCACAGCTTCAAGGCTCCTGCTTCACGGCCCCTTTCAAGGCCCCTGGCTTTCTCCCCGGGCTCCGCGCGGCCTCTGGGAAGCCCCGCTGAGCTGCGCTGCTTCCCGTCCTGCCCTGGACCCTGGACGGGCTGCCCCGAGGGCCCCGCCCCCCAGGCCTGCTCAGGAAGGAAGCAGGCGAACAACGTGTACGCGCGGGGATTGGGACTGGGCTCCCCGGTGGCTCCCCGGTGGTGGGCAGGCGCCGGGCACCCGTCCCCGCGCACTGGCCATCCCCTCTCTGCCCTCTGCTCTGCGCAGTGAAGAAACGGGAGGCCTCCGTGGCCAACGTTGAGTACCAGGCGAACACGACCACGCTGGTGGAGAAAATCAAGACGGCTGTGCGGTGCTCCCACCTCTGGGTACTGCTTCGTGCCCCCCGCCCTGCCTCGGGGTGGGGGGCACCGGCCCGGAGGGCGGGTGCCCCCACCCCCACCCCCTGCTGAACCGGCCCAGGCTCCACAAGCACCTTCTGAATGAATGAATGAATGAATGAATGGATAGGCAGTGCTGTGGCCCCCACGGCTCAGGGTGGAGGGCTCTCCCGGGGCACAGCTGGCCCATCCCAGCACCGTCCAGGGCACGCCTGGAGCTGCGGAATCTGAGGCTCCGAAGGCCTAGGGTGTGGCCTCCAGCCCCCAGGCCCAGCCCCTTCGCAAACTGTCAGCATTCTGAGGAGCAGCTGCCTCTCCACGCCCCACCCCCTTTATTTTAATCCAGTCTGGGCTCCTTATGGGTAACTCTCGTGCTCCGAGCCACACCCCTGGCATAAGCTTGGCCACCCTCAGACAAGCTCCTGGAAGCCGCACGGTCTCTGAGTGGTCGTCTCGGGTCTCTGCCCCCTGCTTGTCGCAAGGGTTTCCTGCAGTGACACCCAGGGAGCACCTCGTCCGACGGCTGCCCCCCAGTCCCAGTGCCCGGCGGCCCTGGCCAGCACCACTGACCGCCGGGAAGGACCCAGAGGGAGGCAGTGCTGTGGGTCCTGCCCGGCTGGCCCACACCAGCCTCTCGCCCCCGCCGGTGCCCCCAGGACATCACAGGCCAGTTCCTGGCTCAGCGGACCACGGAGGACAACCTGGAGCTGCAGATGGAGGACTGCGAGGCCAGGCGGGCCCAGCTGGGGGCCCTGATGAGGAGGCTGGAGACAGAGGAGGCGCTGCTCAAGTTCCGCCAGGCGCCCAGCTCCAACAGGTGCCCAGGGCACCCTGCCTCCCTGCCCCTCCCCCCCCCGGGGCCCCACGCCAGGCTCCGAGCCCCGGGCGGGCACCGCCAGCCACCCGCTGGTGCTCCGCAGAGCAGCCAGGGACCCGGGTGCCCCCATCGCGGCCCTCGGGCCTGGGCCTCACTTCCTCCTGTCGTCCTCCCCAGCTTTGAGTCCGTCCAGAGGAAAATGAAGGACACGCTGAGGGAGGAGGAGGAGCGGCTGCAGCTGGCCCACACTAACATGACCAAGAGCCAGAAGCTGCTGCTGACCATCCAGACGGGCATCGACAACCTGTATATCCGGCTCATTGGCATCATCCTGCCCCCAGGCCAGGTACAGGGGTGGGGGGCCCGCTGAGTGGGGAGGAGCTGTGTGCACAGGGAGCCTGGGAGGGGCCCCAGAGGAGCAGAGCGCCTCCTCCTGGTCTGCAGAAAGAAGCGACGCTCTCGGACAACCTCGACGTGCACGGCAAGCTGGCGTACTGCGAGAGGAAGCTGCTGTACCTGGCCAACAGAGTGCGGACGCTGTCCATGACTGAGGAGGTAGTCCTGTGGCCTTGGGGGGGGGGGGCTGCAAGGGCACATGGGTGCCCTTGGAGCTGACAGTCCGCTGTGCCCTGCAGATCAACACGAAGGTGAGGGACGCCCTGGAGTCCTCCACTCTGAAGGAGAAGCAGAACACCAGGATCAGCTTTGAGGACCTGGAGGAGGACATGATAGGTACAGGCTCAGGGGGGGCTGGGGGGCCAGGCTGCCCAGCACGGGGACAGGATGGGGGTGGATGGCCGGGCTGAACTGTGCAGGGGCCGAGGCTGGGCTGCCGGCCGCTTGCTCCATCCGAGCAGAACGCACAGGGGAGGAGAGGGTGTGTCAGGGACTAGGCGAGGATATGGAGAGGCCAGTGCCATGGAGAGGAGAATTCGCCACAAGTCCTGACCCGGGGAGCACCAGTGCCCCCCAGGAGGCGGGGAAGAGCCCTTCCTGGCGTGTCTGTGGGAATGGCAGGCTCAGCAGTTTACGATCAGCACCTCCAGTGGGCTGGGGACACGGGGGCTGTGCCCAGTTGTCTGGTCCCTGGACTGGGGTCAGTTGGGCTGGGGAATGGTGGCTTGCTGTGAGATTTGGTTAAAGGGTTGGGGGCTGCGCATCGGTCGGTTTGCGAGAAAGACGCCCCCAGGGCAAGCCCTGCGCCCTCTCTAACAACTAGGCAGCCCTGGGGTGCAGTCCCTCCCCCTAGTCTGTAAGACCCCAAATGCCAGGGCACCAGGGACACAGAAAATGTCGTCCGCACCTGGCGCCGCGATGGATGAAGGCGGCCGGCAAGTCCAGGGGCTAAAGCCCGGCCCCCCGCCGCTCCCTCCCCAGAAACCTTCCACTTCGCGGACGTGGACCACAGCTACGTCCCCTCGCGGGCGGAGATCAAGGGGCAGGCCCAGCGCGTGATCGATGGGAAACTCAAGGTGGCCAAGAAGAAGAAGTGACCCGGAGCGGGACCCTGCCTGTCCCCCGTCCCCAGGCAGCCGTTTTGTTACAGAAATAAACATTTTGCCATAACTGCTGGGGGGACTCCCGCGGAGGGTTGGAAGGAGCCTCAGGAGGTGAACCTGGCGCGGGGGGGCGCATATATGGGGATCACGTTGGGAAGACTGCGGGAAGTGTGGTGTTCGGTGTGGATGCGCGATCCCAGAGTCCACGCGTGAGAGTAAGAAAAGGGGCCTCAGGGCAGATGCGGCCGAAGCGTTGGTTTAAGCTGAAACCCCCCGGGACCGCCTCCGCCCGCCCCGCCCCGCGCACGCACGCACACCACCGCACTCCCGTGGCCCTCGCGGTGCCCCGTAGCCGCGCGCACGGACCCGGGCGCATGCGCGCCGCCGCACTGCCTTGGCCCTCGAGGCGCCCCGTAGCCGCGCGTCCCGCTGAGCGGGCGCCAACATGGCAGCGCTGGCGGGCGGAGGGTGTCTGCGCGGGGGGCCGAGGGGCCCGGAGCGGAGTCGCCGCGGCTGAGCCCCCGAGAGACCTTCGAAGCAGGAGCCCGGCCACCGGGACGCGGGGCATGGTGCGATCCGCGCCTCGCCGCCGCCGCCGCCGCCGCCGCTGAGCTCGCCAGCCGCGCCGAGCTCGGACACGGAAGCGGGAAGATGTTTTCCGCGCTCAAGAAGCTGGTGGGGTCGGAGCAGGCTCCGGGCCGCGAGAAGAACATCCCCGCCGGGCTGCAGTCCATGAACCAGGCGCTGCAGCGGCGCTTCGCCAAGGGAGTGCAGTACAACAGTGAGTGGGCGCGGGGGCGTGGGGAGTGGGGCGCCCTGGCCGTGGCCCCTGGGACTCGGCAGAAACCGGCCCGCGGAGCGCTGAGGGGCCTGTCGCGCCTCGGGCCCCTCGCCGTTTGCGCGGTGATCGTGGCAGACCCTGTTCGTATGTTTTAGGATGTGCCGGCGCGTCGGGGGTGCCTTAGCGCGTTCTTTTGATGCCGTGGGGTGGGCGGGCCCCTCCCCTCCGACCGTGCCCTCCGACCGTGCCCTCCGACCGTGCCCTCCGACGGTGCCCTCCGACCGTGGGTCCTTCCAGAGGAGCGCTGGCCGGGTAGGAAACCTGTGTTTGGTTCGCACAGTGAAACTGGCCCAGGCGGTCCCCGTTCCCTGTGCGCTCTGCGGCGCCGCGACGGGTCCAGGTGACCTCGTCCGACAGGGATTCTTATATAACGTGGGAAGAGCTCTGTGGTCTGTGACACTTTGAAAGGGTGACGAGCTCTCCATCCGTGATCTGGGGTCACCTGCGGAGGGGCGGCGGAATCCTGCTGGCTCGGGTGGGACGCGCGCTCTGGGATCTTTGGACACGTAATATCAGCGACGCCACACATTCCTACCCACCCCCTTTTTAAAAGAAGCGTTTGTATGGGACGCAGTGGGAAAAGCTCCGGAGGGCACAGACTCTCGCCGGTCTGTGCCAGACCGCTCTTTCCCTGTGGGAAGAGCAGCGGGTGACAGCTGCCGCGGGGCGCCGGCCGTTTCCAGGCCTGTTATAAATTATGTAAACGGTGGAGCTCCTGGATGCTGTCTTCCTGACCTCGTTTGAGGTTTTCCGTCTCGCCGGCTCTTTCCCAGCAGTATTTAAAGGCTTCCTATGTTCCCTGCTTTTACGCGGTTCCCTGCCGAGCGTTTTCATAGGTGCTCCAGGAGTGGGGCCTTTCTCCCCCTTTGCTCCTCCAAGGGGAGCCGTCCAGGCCGTGGCGACGTGTCCTGGTCGCGGTGCGCGGCGTTGAGAAACTGGTTGGAGAGGCTTCCGTGCGGGTTTGAAAGAGAGTGGTTGCCGACGCGACCCACTCTCACTGTGTACGGAGTTCTCTAGCGGGGGGGGGGGGCAGGAGAGTGAGACCACGTATGTATTTCACAAATCTTTAAAGTCTGCGCTTGCACTCCTTGTTTAAGTCTAGTACTTACAGTATTACTTTCAATGTATTTTCAGTCCATTGGAAATTTGACCTGGAAACTATTCACCTTCCAGAAAGCTCTCCCTGATGGCCACGCCCCCTAGTGGGGGGGGCAGTGGGGTGGTCCGGAGAAGAACCGCCCCGGTCAGGTAGTGGGGGCCGGTCTGGCCTCCCGACCACTGACCCCGAGAGAAAGGTGGTGAGATTGGGAGGGGTCGGGGTGGGGGCCTGAGGTGCAGCCGAGAGGCGAGCGGGCCCGGCACCCGAACAGTGAGCAGGAGCAGTTTCCCAGCTGCGTGCTTTCCTTCCTTAGTCAGTGGGGCAGTGTCTCTGGTGTCCGTGTCCCAAGGTCCCTAGCTCAGAGCAGCAAGCCAGCAACGGGACAGTCGCAGATTCCGGGCTTTTGTTGGTGAGTGTGGACCTCCGAGTGTACATTTCTCACGATACGCTGTCCTCCCGGGGCGTGGCGGTCAGCCACTCTGCTCCACGTCGCAGTGGCGATGAGAAGTGACTCCTGGCGCACGTGCCCAGGGCCCGGCGTCGGGGCCAAATCAGAACCAAAGCCTGGACGAGACACCGGCCCCTCTGTGGTGGGGGAGTCGTTTGCTGGTCGAGTGGAAGGAAGAGTGTGACCTGACTGGGTCCGCCTTCTGTGGCAGCGGGACGCGGTCTGTCCGCGGTGTCGGCCGTGCCGTGCAGCGAAGCCACCGGACGGAGGGCGGCCCGAGTCCTGGCCCCGGCCGCAGGGCCGGGTCTAGACTGGGCTGGAACGCTTCCTCGCTGGAAACCTTTCGGAAGGTTGACCCTGGCAACAGAGCTTTTGCTTCAGGAGAGAAACAGCCACGTTTGGCGAGTGAGTTGGGCTGCCTCCGTGGAGTCAACTCGCGGGTCACCGGGCCTTTGCTGTCCCCGACGTGCCACGTGTCCCTGGTGGGTGTCCGTCCCTTCTCCAACACTCATTCATTCAGCACACGTGTGCGGTGTTGCTCCGCGAAAACCCAGCCGCCCCTCTGCCTCGCGGGCTTGCGTTCCAGGGGGTCGGGGTGGAGCACAGGGCGCGACCGTGGGGCCTGCCCAGCCAGAGGGAGCCTGGGCAGTGTCAGGTGGGGTGACCGGAGCAGCGCGGTGGGGCAGGAGGTAGGGAGGGTGCGACGGGGAGGGTGCAGAGGTCATGTCCTGGGTCCCGCAGGTCGCAGGGCAGGGCCGGGCCCAGGACAGCGAGGGCTGAGAGGAGCGCGGGAGGCCAGGCCTGTAGCCCCCGCCCCCAGGCACCCTGGGGACCAGAGCCCTGAAGGGCTCCGAGTGGAGAAGCCACCGCTGTGTTGGCGGCGGGCTGTCTGGGAGCAGGGGCCCGCTGGGAGTCTGCCGCGCGACCCGCGTGCAGCGAGTCCCCTGCAGAAGGGGCTGCACGCCTGCCCTTCGGGCAGCCCGCGCGCGCTCTCCCGTTCAGTGTGGGGGACGGTGACGTTCACTCTGAGGGCGTGTGTGGGGGTGTCGGTGCGTCGGCGCTGAGTCTGGGTGAAAGGAGTCCCGGCCGCAGCGGAGCCCCACCCTCCGCGCCTGGTCTGCACCGAGGAGAGCTGCGGCGGCGGGAGACTGCTGGCTGTCCGTCTGGGGAACCAGCTAGTTCGCCACATGCTGCTTTTTTTTTTTTTTATGTAAAGATTTTATTTATTTATTTTTTAGAGAGGGGGGAGGGAGGGAGAAAGAGGGAGAGGGATATGAGTGTGTGGTCGCCTCTCACACGCCCCACTGGGGACCTGGCCCCCAACCCAGGCTTGAGCCCTGGCTGGGAATTGAACCTGTGACCTTTGGTTCGAAGTTCAGTGCTCAGTGCACAGCCACAGGAGCCAGGGTGCCGCGTGCTGCTTAAGTAAAGGGCTGCTCTCACCACTTCCGGGTGAACTTGAAGGTTTTCCAAGTGAATCGCTCACTTAGCTAATGTGAGCCAAGGTCTGGGATCCTGAGGTTGATTTGACTTTGTTAAGAGTAAGCATTAGTTACTTTTGTTTATCAGATGAAGCCAGATCATTTTATTTACTTCCAGCGTTCTAGGATTTCTTTTAATTAACTTAAATGAGTCAACATCAAACTTTAAAATGACTTCACTTTGGGACAAAATAAAACTTCAAATTCTCCAAAGCTGGAGGAGGGTAGAAAAACGTTTTTCGAATTGACGAGGAAGAGGGGGCAACTCGGAGACCCCACCGAGACCCCGGACAGACAGGCCCGCGTGGAAGAGGGCCGGGCCGGCGACCGCCTGGCCGGTCGTTAAGAGGAGAGGTCAGCGCAGGGGTCCACTGAAGTGGGACTCGAGGTGCCGAGCCAAGCGGGTGTCCTGGGCAGGTGTCCGGCGGGAAGGCCGGCGAGGACGAAGAGGAGGCCTCCCTGGGGAGAAGACCGGGGTCCTCCCGTCACTCGTGGGGCACGTGAGACTGGGAGGTGTCTGTCCAGACCCTCTGCAGCTGGACATGTCGCTGGACATTTTCAGGACCGAAAAGGAAGACGAGGAAGTGGCCAGAGTGAGAAGACTGCCTCCAGGGAGGCAGCGGGGGGTGGGTGGCCTCAGGGACAGTCCGGTCCGCCTGGCGCTCCACACCACGCGAACCATGGTTCAGGAGCAGCTGCGGTTGGGCTGGGTCAGTCCCAGACGGACGGCCTGGGAGCCCCAGGGCAGCGATGTGCCAGGACGGGCGCATGCGTGCACGGTGGTCCCAGTGCTGGCAGTGACGGTGGCCGTGGGGACACAGACACAGAAACTCAAGTCCCAGAAGTGGGCACATCGTCCAGGGTGCAGCTGGTCAGAAGGGAAGCGTTTGAAAATCCTTGCTTCATTTAAGGGGAAGACAAAGATGTATTAACTTTGGACTTGATTAGAGCAAATGTGAATGTTAAAAACGTATGAGTTACTATTCAAAGAATAGAAATATACCAGGCAGATAGAGGAACAAGAACCCTGCACAGCCCTGGCTGGTGCGGCTCAGTGGACTGAGTGCCGGCCTGAGAACCAAAGGGTCACAGGTTCGATTCCCAGTCAGGGCACCTGCCTGAGTCCTGGGCCAGGTCCCCAGTAGGGGTCACTCAAGAGGCAACCACACATTGATGTTTCTCTCCCTCTCTTTCTCCCTCCCTTCCCTTTTGTCTAAAAATAAATAAATTTTAAAAATTAAAAAAAAAAAAAGCCCTGCACAGTCCTGACCGTGTGGCCCAGTGGATCTGAGCGGCGTCCTGCACAGCAGAAGGTCACTGGTTCGATTCCAGGTCAGGGCAGACGTCTGGGCAGCAGGCCCAGCCCCCAGCTGGGGGCTGGGGCGTGTGAGAGGCAGCCCATGGAAGTTTCTCAGCCCCTTCCCCTCTCTAAAAGTAAATAAACAAAATCTTAAACACGAAAGCCCCTGCACCGCGTGGTAGAAGGCCGCACCTGTCGGCGCTCCGGCACTCCCCCAGCCGGCTTGGTGCTGGTCCTCGCAGGCTCCGCCCAGTCTGCGAGGCGGCAGCCGCCTGCCCGCCCTCCTCCGCAGCTTCCCAGAGCAGACCGGGTCTCGGCGCCTGGAGCTGGACGCTGCCTCTCTCCAGGCAGCTGGAGCCCCTGCTCTTTGTGTGGAGCGGCGGCTCTGACCCCACGCACCGCTGCCCGGCGTGTCCCGCTGGCACAGGGTGGGGTGGGCTCTCCCCGGCCTTGCTCTGTCCTCCCGAGTCCACGCCTGGCCTGCGAAAGCCTGGCACCCAGCAGGGCCGCGCACTGAACGCGAAGAGCTGAGGGAAGCAGGCTGTGGGCGAGCCGTGGGGATCTGGGAAACGGGCTCGCCCGGCGCCAGCAGCCTGACCTTGACCCTGGGTGCATGAGCCCTGCTGGAGCCAGCTCTGGGAGAGACGCTTTCCCGTGAGTCTGAGGTCTGGGCGGGCACCACTGGGTCCGCCCGCGAGGAGGGCCTCCCGGGTCCTGCACGGCAGACCGGAGCGGCAGAGGCGCGGCCCCCCGGCAGCCCTGGACTCCAGTGGGCCTGTGGGCCCCCGTGCCCCGTCCCCGCTGGCTCCTCCCTGCTGGACAGCCACGCAGGCCAGGGTCTGGGGGAAGAGGGCCAGCGCGCAGACTCTGGGGCGGGGGGGTCGGCTCCGGTCCGGTTTCTTCGCCTGATCTCCGCCCCCCTCCCCCGCCAGTGAAGATAGTGATCCGCGGAGACAGGAACACGGGCAAGACTGCGCTGTGGCACCGGCTGCAGGGCAAGAAGTTCGTGGAGGAGTACATCCCCACGCAGGAGATCCAGGTCACCAGCATCCACTGGAGCTACAAGGGTGAGGCCGGCGGGCACGTGGGGCGGGGCGGCGGCTGCCCTGGCAGGGCGGGGCTTCCCGCCCATCGTCCTTCCTTGGCCGGCTCTCCTTGAAGTCACTGTTGGGGCGCCCTGGAGTCCCCTCCCAGAGGAGTGGGCAGGGCAGCAGGGGCTCGGCGGGGGTGCTGCCCCAAGGCCCCACCCTCGGGCCTGGAGAGCTCGGAAGGGCGAGGCTGTGGCTGGGCGGGGCGGTGTCCGGGGAGCAGCCCCCGCCGCGCTGCAGGCCTTGCCTCAGGCTTTGGAAGTCCCTGTCCCCGAAGGACTTGAGGGACAGAACACGCCTGGCGGCCCCCGGGCACTGCCGAGGGCAGCGGGCAGCCCCGCAGGACACCGAGGAGCCACCCCGGGCGTGGGCATCCGGGGTCAGCGCCCCTGCCGCCCGTGGGCTCGGGCCGGCGGACAGCGCGCTGGGGTTGCCCTGGGAACCGTGGCCTCCCCGCCGGCAGGGGGCGCGCGCGGGCGGGAGCCGGCTGCCAGTCCCCTCGCCTTCTCGTTCCAGCCACCGACGACGTGGTCAAAGTGGAGGTGTGGGACGTGGTGGACAAAGGTGAGCCGTGCTGCCCTGCCCGCGGCAGAGCCCCTGTCCCTGGTCCCCCGGCCGGGTCCCCTGTGTCCTTGTCCGTCGCGGGTCCCCGTCGCCCTTGGCGGCCGCTCTGCCCGCCGCGCAGGGGGTGGCCGCCAGCGTCTTGTCGTGGGAGGGCCGGCCGCTGCCGTTGTCCACCTGGGGCTGGGCCGCTGCTGCCCCGCCTCTGCGGGGGTGCGGGCGGGGGTGGGGGCCAGGAGGGACCGAGGCCTTCACACAGCGCTCTCACCCGCGGGGCCGGCCCTCTCGCTCCCGCCCCAGCTTGTCGACACCTGTCGGATGGGCCAGAGGGCGGGGGGCGGGTCCGGGAGAAGCTGTGGGAAGGGGCAGGTGCTGGTTTTCCGCTGAGTGAACCCCAGTTTGTCCTGGGAGGTTGTCTGTTTGCTTGTTTGTTTGCCTGGCCAGCTGCTCCGCGCCCAGGGCACCCTGGGGTTCCCGGGTGACAGCGGTCCCTTCTCAGAAGCACCTCCGCCGTGTGTGCCGGGGAGGCTCCTGGTCACGCGGGGTCACCAGTGCCCAGCGTGAGCTCGGGGCCTCCGTGAGCTCTGGGGCTGGGCTGGGGCTGGGCTGGGGCTGGCCTGGGGCTGGGCTGCCCTGCTGCGCCCTCTCGGGGCTCGGGCCTGGCCGGCCCTGGAAGGAAGTGCCGTGTTTGCAGCTGAGCCTGGCGGGGACGCCGGGGCGGCCTCCCGAGCGCCCTCTGCGCCCCGGGGCTGGCCCCCTGCCTTCAAGGGGGCCTTGCTGCCGGCAGCCCGCTGGGGTCTCTCTCTGGGTCGGGGTGGGGCCGGGGCAGCCGTAGCCCCCAGGGAGCCTCACTGGGGTCCCCACTCCCGGGGTCTCCAGTCCGTCCACTGCCCACTGCTGGTGGGGCTGGCGTGTGTGGGGGAGGGGGGTGCGAGGAAGGCTGCCCCTGGCCGTGCTTGGGCCCCGCGGGTCCACCTGGTCACTTCTGTGTCTTTCAATTAAAAGGAAAATGCAAAAAGCGAGGCGACGGCTTGAAGATGGAAAACGACCCCCAGGAGGTAGGCGGGGCCCTGCCTCTGGGGCCGGCGGTGGGGGAGGCCCCCCTGCCTGCCCGTCCCAGCTGCCCTTGGGACTGCAGCCACCCCGGCCGCGTTGGGGTGGCTGGGCCTGCCCCAGCTGGCAAAGCGCCAGCGACCCCGTCGGACCTTATGGGGAATTCGAGGGGCCCGGGAGGGACTTGGGTGAACCAGCCAAAGTGGGTGTTCCTGTCACAGAGGCCTCGGGTCCTTAAAGCACAGGACACGCCCTCACACCGCGGCCCCGGCCCCTGTGGGCGTGAGCGTGGCCCCTGGGGGCTCGGTCTGCGTGTTTCTCCGAAAAGGAAGCCACCGCAGGCTCTGCAGACGGTGGACGTCTGAGTCAGGCTTCTCCGGGGGCCGCCCTCCGTGCCGCCTCACGCCGGCCCCCTCCCGTCCCAGGCGGAGGCTGAGATGGCCCTGGACGCCGAGTTCCTGGACGTGTACAAGAACTGCCACGGCGTGGTCATGATGTTCGACATCACCAAGCAGTGGTGAGGGCACGGTCGGTTCCGCCGCCCTAGGGGAGCCTCCTCCTCCCCCGGCCGTGGCCCCGCCGGCGTCGCTACAGTGCGAACACTCCTCGCTGGCCAGCCGGGGGCAGCGCAGCCGCATGGAGCCCGGCCCAGACTCTCTGGGCATCTCCCACGTGTGGACGTGGGCTGGGGAGGGGGCGCTGGTGGCCCTTCCACAGCTTTCCCTGAAAAGACTCTAAAGTTGGGTGGAATCAGTGGTGCCATTATCGGGGGCGCCCAGGGTCCCCCCTGTGCTCTCTGACCTGTGCTGGGGCGACGCACAGCCGAGACCCATCTCAGCGGGAGGCCCCCAAGCAGGCTCAGCACGCAGGGTGTGGGGCAGGGGGCGAGGAGCCGCCTGCCAGGGCCCCCGCCGGAGCCCGCACCGGCACCGGTCAGCCCGCCTGCGTGCACACAGGAGAGGCAGGGCCAGGCTGCGTGCTCGGTGCCCGCTGCACTGTCCACTGCTCGTCCGACTTCCTCTGTCACTCACTCTCCCATCGGTCACCGTGTGACTGACTGTGAGGGCGGCGCGGGGCGGGCACCCGTGAGCGGCTGACGGGGGGCAAAGCCGGGGGGTCTGTGGGTTGTGGGAGGCGTGAAGCCCGGGGAAGGTGGGGCGGCGGGCGGCCAGTGGGGGCGCTCAGGCCTCCCCCCACACCCGCCCCCCCAGGACCTTCGCCTACGTTCTGCGGGAGCTGCCCAAGGTGCCGCCCCGCGTGCCCGTGTGCGTGCTGGGCAACTACCGGGACATGGGCGAGCACCGTGTGGTCCTGCCGGATGACGTGCGCGGCCTCATCGACGGCCTGGGCAGGTGGGCACCGTCGGGGGCCGGGCCGGGGGGCATGGCCCGCGGGGAGGGGCAGCAGGGCTGTGGGAGGGGCGGGGCACGTGGCCGAGCACCAAGGTGGTGAAGGCTTTGTGGCACCAGGTCGGGGCAGGTGGCCACACGGGCCCAGCACAGGGAGCGCCCGGCTCAGCGGGGCCCCTGAGGCTTGGGCCTTGGCCTGGGGGCCAGGGCCACGTGGGGGGGTCGCCCGCAGAGGGCCCCTCGGAGGCAGCGGGGGCAGCACGGCCCCACAGTCTCACGCTGCTCTCCGAGCGCAGGCCGCCGGGCTCCTCCTACTTCCGCTACGCCGAGTCTTCCATGAAGAACAGCTTCGGCCTGAAGTACCTTCACAAGTTCTTCAACATCCCATTCCTGCAGCTCCAGGTGGGCCCTGGCCCGTGCCCCCCACCCAGCGCAGCGGGCAGCCTGCTGCAGCGGCCGCTCCCGAGCCCCCTCCCCTCTGCGGGGCGGCCTGGGACCCCGGTCTCTGAGCCCCATGCAGCCGCAGGGGCACACGGGCGCCCGTCGCAGACGGAACCGCACACGCGGCCCCTCCCCTGAGCCTGGGCGCCGGCCCCTGCGTGGCGCTGCTGTGGCCCTCGTGCCTGTCCCCCCTCACCACACATGTCCCAGGTGGCCCGGCTCCCCTGACCACCCAGGTGGGGACGGCCGCCCTCCCCTCGGACCAGGCCTCTCCGCAGTAGCTGGGGGGTGGGCCTGACACCAGAGGGGGTGTCTCCCCAGCCCCCCACCCCACCCCACCCCACCCCACAGGTGCTTCTCAGCCCGTGTGGGGCGCCCTGAACCTCAGGGGCGCTTTGTGTGGACGGGGGTTTGTCCCTGTCCTTGTCGTCATCGTGGCCACGCCGAGCACCCCAGGTGTCGTGCCGGCCATCGGGACGTGCTGGGTGTCCACGCCCAGGGCTCGGCCGCGGCACTGCACCTGCGGCGGGGGGCGCGGGGACTGGGGGCCGGGGTGAGGTTGTCGCCGGGGCGGCGCGTGCTCAGTCGGCCCCTCCTCCCGCAGCGGGAGACGCTGCTGCGGCAGCTGGAGACCAACCAGCTGGACATGGACGCCACGCTGGAGGAGCTGTCCGTGCAGCAGGAGACCGAGGACCAGAACTACGGCATGTGCGTCCCGCCGCCCCATCGGCCCGGGCGCCTCGCGTGTGTCCGGAAGTGCCGCTCGTTTCCGCCCGGAAGTGGCGGGGCTCCGAGGGAGGCGCCCCGGGGCCCGCTGCAGGGAGGGGTGGGGACGGCCCCGCGGGGCCCCAGGCCAGCAGCCCCGTCTGTCCCTGGCCCGGGCCTCCCGAGTATTGGTGTCGGCCGTGAAATACTCAGAGCAGAGCAAGCTCTTGTCCGGAGCGAGCGGGCTGAGTGTTCAGTGGGACCCCCCCTCCGCCGGGTGCTCCGGAGGGCGGGAGGGCGGGTGGGCTGCTGAGCCGGGGGACGGGGACCCGGCCGTCCCCCCAAGTGAGAGGGAGAGAGCGGGAGGCGGGCTGCTCACCTCCGCCCCGTGTCCCCCCAGCTTCCTGGAGATGATGGAGGCGCGCAGCCGCGGCCACTCGTCCCCGCCGGCGGCCAATGGGCAGAGCCCGTCCTCCGGCTCCCAGTCGCCGGGGGTGCTCCTGAGCGCCCAGTCGACGGGCAGCTGCAGCCCCAGCACCCCGCAGCCCGTCCCCTCAGCCTGCCCCTCCCCGCCGTCCCCCGCAGAGGCCCCGCTGCCCCCGGCGCACCCCGCGGCCCCCGCCCCGAGGCGCAGCATCATCTCCCGGCTGTTCGGGACTGCGCCGGCCGCCGCCGAGGCGGCCCCTGCTGCCCCAGGTGGGCCCTCCCGGGCGGCGCCTCGGAGGGGGGGCGTGGGCGGCCGGGTGTGACGGCACCATCTGCCGGGCCCCGTGGGCTCCCCCCGACTGGGACGGGGGCCCTTTCCTCCTCCTGGGCGGGCAGCCTGTCGGCCCACCCCACGCCAGCCCCTGCTTGCATCCCGTCCCGCGGGCACAGATCCAGCCCCAGCTGCCGAGGCTCCAGCAAAGGTCCGGGACGTGGAGGACTTTGTTCCCGCCGACGGCCTGGACCACAGCTTCCTGGACGATGTGGCCGCCCCGAGGGATGACAGGAGAGTTGAGGCCAAGGTCCCTCCGGACAGCGACAGGTCAGGGGGCACTCAGTCCCACCCGCACGCTCCCTGCTGGTGCCGAGCCCGAGACGGGGTCTGTGTCCCCGTAAAAATGCACCCGAGAGACCGAAGCCAGCAGCATGCTCCCGCCCGAGTGCCCGCGCCCACCTGTGAGCCCCCGCCCTTCCCCCCACACTCTGAGGGAGACAGTGGGCCCTCCCTCAAGCTCCGGTCCCTCCCCGTCAGCCCCCCCCCCCCGTTTGTCCCCATGGGAACACGCGCCCGGGGGAGCAGCCCCGGTTGGTGCCCAGGGCTGGTGGCTGCCAGAGGGTCCTGGGCGGGGGGCCTAGTCGTGCTCGTGACCTCTGGCCCCCCGTCCCTCCTTGGCAGTGACGGGGAGGCCCTAGGAGGGAACCCGATGGTGGCAGGTTTCCAGGATGACGTGGACCTCGAAGATAAGCCGCCCAGCGGGCCCCTGCCACCCACGGGCCCTGTCCCCGGGGAGGACGCCGCAGCGCCGGCCTCCCAGAAGGGCTCCGAGCCCGGGACCACCCAGTACGTGGGGCTCCAGGGGGGAGGGGCTCCAGGGGGAGGGGCTCCAGGGGGAGGGGCGGGCACAGGCCCCTGACCCCTCCTCCTCCCATAGGCCCTCCGCAAAGGCCCCGAGGCCGCACAGGCACTCGGCCCCCAGGGCAGCGGAGCTCCCCAGGCCCCCCGCCGAGGGCGCCGCTCTGGGGCCCAGGGACAGGAAGGGGGAAGAAGCAGCAGCGTCATCGGAGAGCGACCCTGAGGGGCCCATCGCTGCTCAGATGCTGTCCTTCGTCATGGACGACCCTGACTTCGAGAGTGACCTGGACGTGCCCGCGAGGGCGGTGAGGAGCCCTGAGGCCGTGTCCGGGACGGGAGAGGCTGGGAGCTCGGGGGCCAGAGCCCCACCCGCGCAGCCCCCCGGCCTGGGCCTGTGTGCCCTCCACGGTGACGGAGCCGGGGCTTCAGCATCCGGGCTGCCACGCACGGGCGTCGCCGCGCCCCTGACCTGGGCCGAGGGCGGCCCCTCAAGGGGGCTTGTCGCCTGCCCAGGAAGTGGCAGAGCCTGACCGCAGGGGTGACGAGGTGGCCTCCCTGGCCTGCAGGACGAGTTCCCGGTGCGAGAGGACCCCTCCGACGAGACGGACGAGGACGCTGGCCCCGCCGTGCCGCCCCCGCCCCCCAAGCCCCGCATTCCGTCCTTCAGGGTGAAGGACGAAGTGGACCTCTTCGGCTTGGGGCTGGAGGAGACCGGCCACAAGGCCAGCAGTGGTGAAGGTAGCTGAGGCCGGGCACCCTGGGGCGGCCCCGCCAGGGGGCGCGTTTCTGTCCCTTCTCGCCCTGGGTGTCCTCGGAGCAGCAGGGCCGCGCCACAGGGCCCAGCAAGCTGGCTGTCAGTTCCCTGAGAGCTGCCCCCGCCTGCCTGCCTGCCCCCCAGCCCGGGCTGGCGTCCGTCTGTGCTCCGGTGACACGGGGCACTTGGGGCTGGGGGCTGGCCGGGCGTCCACCCAGGAGGCGCTGAGTGGCGCCGCTGCGGGCCGGCGGAGAGCCCACGCGCACCCTGAGTCCAGCCCTCTGCCCACGCGCAGGCTTGGCCTTCTTCGGGCCTGAGAGTCTCCATGGCTCCCTGGCCCGCGTGAGCCCAGCTCTGCCCCAGGCGCAGTGTCAGCTGGTCCTGGGGAGGGAGGGAGGGAGGGAGGGAGGGAGAGGCAAGGACCTCCCAGGCTTGTCCCCTGGAGTGGAGGTGGAGCTGCGCCTGTCACCCAGCGGCGCCAGGGGGCGGGTGGGGGAGGGGGCGGCTCCTGCAGTGGTGGCTGAGCCGACCGGCGCCCCCTCCGTGCAGATAAGCCGCCATCCAAGGAGAAGAAGAAAAAGAAAGGCCGAGAGGTACGCCGCCTCCCCGCAGGGGCCGGGTGGTGGCGGGCCCGGTCCCGGCGCCCCGCTGACGCTAGCTGCGCCCACAGGAGGACAAGGCTGCGAAGAAGAGGAGCAAACACAAGAAGGGCAAGGACAAGGAGGAGCCCCGCGAGGACCGGCGCCGGCGGCGGCGCGAGAGGACGGCGGTGGACGAGCTGGAGGCCTTCCTGGGCGGCGGGGCCCCGGGCGGCCGCCTCCGCGGGGGCGGGGACTACGAGGAGCTCTAGGCCGGCCGCCCTGCCGGGCTCGCTGCTCCGCGCAGCGCCGCCCCGCGGCTTCTCAGGGAGGGACTAAGGCCCCGCGCCGGCGAGGCTGTTTACAGAGGCGGGAGTGCCGTGGTCGCCGCCCAGCCCCTGCTTGCCCGGACTCCCGCATGCGGCCCAGCTTCCCGCGGGCTCCACAGCCGCTGGCCCCGCGCCCAGCGTTGCGCCTGTGCCGGTGCGCCTCTGTCCAGGGCCGGGATGTCTTCCCTCGGCGCCCCGGTTCCTTTTCCTCCTTCCACACTGATCTCCGACCATAAAGCTCTCTTGTTTTACTGCGTGTCTGCGTGCCGCTTCCTGCCGTCCGGCTCCCAGGGCAGCCTGCAGGCCCCTTGCCCCCCGTCGCCCTGGGTTGCTGTTGGGCCAGAGCCTTTGTTCCCACTGGGGAGGCTGCCCCTGGGGTAGGAGGACTTCCCATGAGAGCCACGTGCTGTCCAGGCTGGGCCAGTATGGCCACTGTCCTGCATGTCTGCCCCAGGCCCCCCAGGAATATGTGGGGGGTGGCCAGTTCTCTGAGGGCAGGTGTGTCCTGCTGGCTGCCACAGGCCCCTGGCCTTGACCACCTCCCTGCCCCCTCCAGAAACCTCCCCTCTGGCTCTGATGCTACAGCTGCCCCTCCTGGTGGGCAGGCTGAGCCACCCGGTGGGAGGGTGGTGGCTGGGTGTCCCCTCCCTTTCCCTCAATTTCTGTTCCTAGGCTTTGAACCTGGGGTTGGGGAGAGGGGCCATGGGCCAGCAGTCCCTGGGCAGGCACCCCACTGCTAGGCAGGGACTCCCCTTAGCCCACAGCCTGTGAGGCTGACCGTCCCTGTGGGGCCCATGAACACGGGGAGGAGGCCAATACACTGTCAACCTGCCCAGGGCCTGAGTCTTACAGACCCACAACAGGACAGGTACCACCCTTTGGAGCCAGGGGTGTGTGTCACCCGCTCCTCTGTCCAGCTAGAATGTTCCCTGGCTGCACACTGCGCTGGGGAGGGGCTGACACGGCTGCAGTTGCCACCTGCCTACCTGTCCGGGGCTGGGAGCCCCACCTGCCTGACACCAGATGCTGGGTGGGGTGGGAGCCGGTCGGCCAGGAGTCTCCGGGAGAAGCTCCAGGCCCCAGTCCGGCTTGGGGACCATATGGCCCCAGGTACCTGCGGAGAGCTTGGCGCCTCGGTGCGGCAGCACAGAGCCAGCAGGGTGGGTGGAGGGCAGCCCATCTGCTCATGCCTGGGCCCAGCCCCGGTGTGAATTCCGGGAGATGTCCACAACCCCGGCCGCGGTGGGGGGCGGGGGGGGGCTCCTCCGGACGGCCAGCTGCCGGGTCAGGGCCGGCGGAACCGGAAGGTCCCCTGGTTAGACCTCCGACTTGCACCTTATGGGTGCCGACGTCGCCTCCTGCAGCTCCAAGCCCAGCACTGGTGCGGAGCCAGCGGGCCACGTGGGTCCCAGGCCCCAGGCGCGGCCCCTTTAAGTGCAGCTCCGCCGGCTACCACCTGGGGCAGCACTGAGCGGACGGACAGCCTCCGCTCCGCTGCCTCGAAGCTTCTGCCGGTGCCGGGGACGCGGCGCGGATGCGGCGGGGACGTGGGGGCGCGGGGGCCGGTGGGCGGGCTTGGGCCTGCGCACCGCACCAGGTTCGGCGGGGGAGCAGCGATCAGGTAAGGGGTCGGAAGCTGCTGCCCCATGCGCTGCCTTTGGTGGGGCCCCCGCAAGGATGGGGTCCCGCCTCCGGCCATCCTGCGAGGGCGCCCGGGGACTGGGGACTGGGGGCCAGGCTCTGCCGTGGGAGGGCCTGCCCCGAAGCTCATTAGGCCTAGGACCCAAGCGGGGCGACAGCCCTGCCCCGTGGGGTGGGTGTCGTTCTCACTGTAGCAGCGGCAAGGCCAGGCTATCACCTCCTGGGGCGGAGCCTCACCCAGTCCTACGGCCCGATTCCGGCCTGGCTTTGAGCAAGGGGGGCGGGGGGTGGCCCTACCAACCAGGGACAGAGTTGGGGTGGACAGCAGGCTTGGTTGGGGGCAAGCGCTGGACCTTGGTGACCCTGACCCAGAAGAGCTGCCCGGCCGACCGACAGCCCCTTGCACACCTGGGATGCAGGGTCTACGACCAGAGGTCCTGACAGGAGAAGAGACCTAGTACCCCCTTTCCCCAGCCCACCCTGGGGCGCACTCCTCAGGCCATGTGAGGGGTTTCGGTCCTCTCGGCGCCATCCCAGCCCCCCCCCCCCAGCCTGTCGGGCCCTGGCGCCACGGAGGGGCTGGTGGCCCAAGTCTGAATGTGAGCCTAGTACAGAAGGGTGGACCCCAACCCAGCCGCGCCGCGGGGGCGTGGAACCTTGGGTTTCCATGGAAACTTGCTGAGATGCTGTGGGGGGCCCTTTCCTGAGAAAGGGGGTGGCGCTCAACCCACCCACCACCCCGCCTCCCCCACAGACAGCCGGCCTCCTGGCCAGACGCCCTACTCAGGGGAAGAGGGGCGGCCCGGAGCCCTGGCTCCCACGCTGTCCTGCAGCCCCAAGGGTGCACGCAGCACACAGGCTGCAAAGCTGGGGGCCACTCTCCCAGCCTCGTCACCAAACCCCAGTGAGCTCGGTGGGTTTCAGCCACCCCAAATAGCTGGAGCCAGAGGTTTCTGCAAAGGAAGGGGGGGCGGCTTTAGGGTCCAGATATGCTCTTTGGGGACATCCTTCTGGCCGGGGACATACCAAGCATCAAGGGTGGAACGGGCCGGTGTCAGCTTAAGGGCCGTACCTGGACCTGATGGAGCCCCCTCCGGGCCCACGGGGACCTCGGAACTGGGGCTTGGAGCATCTGGCTGTCCCCAGTGCAGCGGCCCTGCTGTGCGGGGGGAGGGGCTCCACGCGCAGCCCCGTCAGCAGGTGGGGTGTGAGCGTCGGTGACTGTGCAGACACAGCTGAGGCCAGCGCCCGTGGAGGGCGCGCTCTGCACTGGGTGCTCGGGCGCGCGTTTGTCACCGATGGGTGATGGAGCCGGCTGCCATGAAGAGGTCTGTACTGAAGCCCGCAAATGAGTTCACGGTCATTCCAGCCACGGGCACCAGGGGGCAGCCCTGGGCCCACACCCCTCCTCTTCCCACTCAGTCCTGGACCAGGAGAGGGGGTCTGACCAAGCCTGCCTCCACGGGCATCGCCTTTCTAGCCAGCCCGTCCCAGTCCCGTCCCAGCAGAAGGTGGCCAACAAAGATGGGGTGGGGGACCCGAGTGGCTGGACAGCTGGGTTCCTCCTGCAGGGGCTTCCGACGCCGGCATGGAGCAAGTGCCTGTGGCCTCAGCCAAGGCCCCAAGCCAGGGCTGCTCCACCCACTGCGCCCCAGGTAAGTGGGGCCAGCCCCGGGGGGGAGTCGGGCCTGGGTCTGGGCTTCGGAGAGGCCACAGTGACACGTGTCTCCTTCCAGGGCGAAAGCCCTACAAGGCCGAGTGAGCTGCAGCCGCCAGCCTGGGGCCCTCTTTTAAGATGACCCGCACGGACCCGCCAGACTTGTTGGTGTCGACCGTGTATCAGGACATCAAGGTGGCGACCCCGGGGCCCAAGTCCAGGCGCCCGCGCCCGCCATGTGAGCGCTCCATGGCCCGGCCTGCTGCTCCCGCGCCTTTCAACAAGCGCCACTGCCGCAGCTTCGACTTCCTGGAGGCGCTGGACGGGGCAGCCATGGAGACATTCCCTGAGCCACCGCCCCCGGAGCACCCTGCGCCGCGCGCCCGGTCCCGCGACAGCGAACCCCGGCGCCGCGCCCGCTCCAAGAGTGCGCCCCGCGCGCCCCCAGGCTTAGCTCCCGCCTCGCCTCCAGTGCTGCCGCGCCGAGGCCGGGAGGTCCAAAGGGCGGCGCGGGCGGAGGAATCCCCGCGCCGGGAGCCCGCATACCCCGCGCTGCGCGCGCTAGCCAATGAGCTGCACCCCATCAAGCTGCAGCCACAGCGCGGCGGGCCAGGCCGCATCGCTCCCCTGTGCGCCACCGCCGGCCGCTGCGCACCGCCCGAGCCGCCTTCCGGGCCCGCCCCCCACGTCCGCTGCCGCCTGGACATCAAGCCTGACGAGGCGGTGCTGCAGCACGCCGCCCGGGGCTCGCGGCCCTGCGGGCCCATTGAGACCACGCCCTGGGTCCGCGTGGCTCCCCAAATTCACGGTCTGACGGTGCCCGGGCCTCGCCATGTGGGGCTGTCGCGCACCCCCACCCCTAGTGACTCGTACTGCACCGACACCCGGGCGCTGTACTGCGACGGGCCCCTACCGGGGCCCCGGGACTACGTGGAGCGCCGAACTCTACCCTTCACCACCCCACCAGGCCCCACCCAATTCTTCTACACGGAGGAGGCCGAGGGTCACCCGGGCGGCTTTACAGCCAGCCCCGTTCCTGCCTTTGACAACTATTTCCCCAGGCCCTTGCAGCCCGAGGAGCCCCGGGGACCCAGTCCACGGCGTGGGGGAGGCTACTATGCAGGGGACATGCGCACTTTTCCGGTCCATCAACCACCCTCCCGCTCCTACTACGGAGAGGGCCCCCGAGCCTATGGCCCACCCTGGGGGCCCCACTATTCCCCGGAGGAGCCCCAGGCCCACCCCAACATCCGACCCTTTTACACGGAGGACTTCGGGCGGTACCGAGACCGAGACGCCCTGGCGAGGACTTACCCACACCCCCGTAGCAGCCTGGCCTGGGGCGACTGGGGCCTGAGGCCTTACGGGACTTTGCAGGTGGCACCTCCCCCAGACCCTGGCCCGTTGCTCGCTTCATGGCATGGTGGCACCGGCACCAGCCCGCCCCGGCTGGCCACGGACAGTCGCCACTACTCACGTTCCTGGGACAACATCCTGGCGCCTGCGCCACGCCGCGAGGACCCCCTGGGCCGCGGCCGCAGCTATGAAAACCTGCTGGGAAGAGTGGAGGCACGGGAACCACCGGGCACGTACCCCGAAGGCCGGCGCCCGCCAGTCGTCGTGAACCTGTCCACCTCGCCCAGACGCTACGCGGCGCTGTCGCTGTCCGAGACTTCACTGTCCGAGAAGGGCCGGCCGGGAGAGGGCCTGGGCCGCAACTGGTATGTCACGCCCGAGATCACCATCACCGACAACGATCTGCGTGCCTCTGAGGGCCCGGCCGCGGGGGGCTGGCCGCTCCCCCGGGGCCGCCCGCGGCCTGCCGCGCCCGCTGCCCGAGACGGCCCCACTCCCGGCCGCCAGCGCAGCCTCGAGCAGCTGGATGAGCTCATCACGGACCTGGTGATCGACTCCCGGCCGACGGCCGGTCAAGGACCCGAGCCTGTGGCCGACGGCCTGGGCCGCCAGCTTCGCCGCCTGCTAGACTCGCGGCCCGCGGGCCCCGAGGCCCCCGCGCTGGCGCCGCGCTCACCACCGGCGTCCGCCGGCAGCGCGGAAGAGCCTGCGGGCGCAGGGCAGACGGCGGACGCGTCCCCGGACCCCAGCGCGGATGAAGACGACCTGATGACTTGCTCCAACGCGCGCTGCCGGCGCACGGAGACCATGTTCAACGCCTGCCTCTACTTCAAGTCCTGCCACAGCTGCTACACCTACTACTGCTCGCGCCTGTGCCGCCGGGAGGACTGGGACGCGCACAAGGCGCGCTGCGTGTACGGCCGCGTGGGCAGCGTGTGCCGCCACGTCCTACAGTTCTGCCGCGACAGCGGTCCGGTGCACCGCGCCTTCTCACGCATCGCACGGGTCGGCTTCTTGTCGCGCGGCCGCGGCGTGCTCTTCCTGGGTTTCCCGAGTCCTGGCTCCGCGGAAAACTTCCTGCGTTTCGGGCTCGAAGGGCTGCTGCTGTCACCTACCTACCTGTCCTTGCGCGAGCTGGCCACGCACGCCGCACCCCTGGGCAGCTACGCGCGTGAATTGGCCGCTGCAGGGCGTCTCTACGAGCCGGCCGAGTGCTTCCTGCTCAGCGTGTCCGTGGCCGTAGGCCCCGGCGTCACGCCTCCCGGCGCTCCCACCCGGCCCGCGCCGCGCAGCCCCGGGCCCACGGTGCGCAAGTTCGCCAAAGTGGCGCTGGCGGCCGGCAGCCCCGCGCGGCCCCCCCCTGTGCGGGGTCGCGAGCCCGATATGGAGACCCTGATCCTGACGCCGCCACCCGGCACAGCGGGCCTGGACCAGGAAGGCGAGGCAGGCCGGCGCGCGCGCGAGGTGGCTTTCATCCACATCCAGCGTGAGCTGAGGCTGCGCGGTGTCTTCCTGCGCCACGAGTTCCCGCACGTCTATGAGCAGCTCTGTGAGTTCGTCGAGGCCAACCGGCGCTTCACACCCACCACCATCTACCCCACGGACCGGCGCACTGGCCGCCCCTTCATGTGCATGATCATGGCCGCCTCCGAGCCTCGAGCGTTGGACTGGGTGGCCAGCGCCAACCTGCTCGATGACATCATGTGAGGCGCGGGGTCGCACCAGGTCCCCACCGGGTCCACCTAGGGCCGGGCCCAGTTCACCCAGGGCCGCCCTCTAGCCCCGCCCACGTTGTTCAGGCCCCGCCCACCCAGGGACGCCCTGAGCCCCGCCCAGCCCACTCAGGACCTGCTTCGTCCATGTAGACCCCGCCCCTGCCTCGCCTAAGCCTGGTCTCAAACTCTCCCAGTCCCCGCCCTCCTGGCCCGGAGCTCCGCCCAGACCCCACTCCACTGTGTTTTCTACAGGCGCTGCCATGCCCTCCTACCCGACTGCGACTCCCCTGCCACCAGCCCAGCCACGTTCCCCCTGCCCCAGCTCTCGCCCGGGCCTCCCCAGAGGCCGGTCCTTGGCCACTTGGTGCTCCCCGCTGGGAGGCGGGGTGGGCCTGAGGACCCCCCGGCCCTGCCGTCAGCGGAGGGGTCACTATTGCAGACCCTACCGCGCAGATCCGGTCCGTCCGTTCGTCCCCTGTCCATCGCAGGGCCTCCTTGGAACCTCCCGAGCCCGGTTCCCCTGGTCCAGGAGCTCGAGTTCACCAAAGCCTAGTCCCGTCCCACTTAACACACCCCCCGCCCACCCCCTGTGGTCTGGGTTGCGTCCAGTCCAAAGGCCTTTCCTCTCTGGAGGACACCCTGGTCGGTCTCGGTGTGCCTGCGTCCGGAGCACGCCCTGCCCTGGTGGGTCGCGGTGCATTTCCACCGGCCCTAGTCTCGGCTGGAGCGGGGGCACAAGCCGGCCCCCGAGCCCGCACGTTTTTCGGGGGTCCCCGCCAGCCTCCCCTCACCATAGGCTTTCCTGGGCCCTGCAGGAGGGGCAGGGGCGAGCGGCAGTGGAGGGGGACTCGGAAGTCTTCGGTCAAGGTGCAAGACATTCAGCCATAGGGGAGGAGGATCAGTGCAGCGTGGGGCGCTGGCCAGGCGCTGGCCCATAGCGGAGATCTGGCTGGGCGTTAGTCGGGCTGCCTGCCCACACCCGACAGAATGGCCCAAAGGGAGTGCCAGGGCCAGGTTCACAGCAACAGTGCAGGATCTAACCTCACAGGGGGGCCCGGAAACCGAGGGCGATGGAGCCGGGGGCCGGAGTGGGGGGAGACTTCAAGAGGGGCGCCTATGCGCTGGCGTAGGGAGACCAGAGGACGGGTTTCCCTGGTGGGAATTAGGCTGGGAGAAGCGTGGGTGGGAGCGAGTGAAGGCTCAAGCTAATTGGTCAGGGCAGACCGAGGGGCGGGGACGTCGTTGCACGAACGCCCCCCAACGCCCGCGCGCTCGATCTGTGCGTTAGTTCCTTGTGTTGCCAGCTGGAAACGTGAAGCTAGGTTCCCGGCTCCGGGCCGCGGGAGCGCAAGTTCGAGTGGCCCTTAGCCCGACCTCCCCTGTTCATCCTGGCCCAGGCCCGGGCTCCACGGAGACCGAGGGGCCGGGAGAGAGGATGAGGCCGGGCACCCACAAGGGCCCTTCTGGAGCTCCCAGCCCCCTATTGGGGCCGAGAAGGGGCATCAATTGAATTAAATTTTGAACGCCTCCGTTCCGGGCTCTCTCCCCCGACCGAAAGCCCCCATGATTCCCGCCCCCACATGCCTGCGCGTCCGCCTCGGCTCTGCGCCTTTGCACCGGCCACGCGACCCGCTTGTCCTATTCGCCTTCTCGCCTTCCCAAATCTGGCCGCCGCACTACCCGCCCCCAGGCCTCCGCCAGCGGCCGGTCTTCCGGCCGCACAGTCTGGAAGGACCCTGGAGCATATTGTGTCCACAGGGCGAGCGCTTTTCGAACTAAGTAAAACAACTCGAATGTAACCATCGCTGCCTCGTTGTACGGGGGCTGGGTGGGACGGGGGAGGGCGGCCTACGGACAGGGCGGGGGGCGGGGAGGTTGCCAGAGCCGGCGCGCGTCCCTCCGGCCTCACGGGTCGCCTAATCACCTCCAAAGGGGCCTGGTTTTAACCACTACCCACTCCTGACTTCACGTTCTCCTTTAAGTGGGAGTCTCGAGGTCCAAAAGGCTGAAAGGAGCTGTACTGCGATTGGCCAGTCCGTGCTGCGGGTTGGCGGCACGATTGGCTGAGGCTGAGGGCCGGGGCTGCATGCCGCCACAGGATTGGCCGCGGGCTCCCAGGGCCCGCCTCTCGCACTGCTGACGCAGCCCCGGCTGGCGTGGGGGCAGGACCGAGGGCCGCAGGGGTTGGCGCGCTCCGGGGAACATGGCGGCAGCGGCGGACCTCGCCCAGATTCCCGATGTGGACATCGACCCGGACGGCGTCTTCAAGTACGTGCTGATTCGAGTCCGCGCGGCAGCGCCCTCCGAGGCCCCGGCCGGCGAGAGCAAGGACATCGTGCGCGGCTACAAGTGGGCCGAGTACCACGGTGAGGGCGGAGCTGAGGGGCGGGGGCGGGGCCGCTGCGTCTGTGGGCGGGGCTGAGGGGCGTCGTGGGAGGGGCTCTCGCGCGGGATCTGGGGTGCTGGGGGCCCAGAGGCTACGGTGGCCCGACCCTTCTCTTCTGGTCCCGCGCCCCCGCTCAGGCGTGCCGTCTCTTCCCCTCCCCAGCTTGGAGGGTCTCCTTTCCTGGGGTTTCAGCTGTTCAGAGCTGGGGCTTCGGACCCCTGGCCAAGGGCGGCCAGAGCTGAGTGCTGCGCTCTCTTCCCGGTCCCAGCCGACATCTACGACAAGGTAGCTGGCGAGTTGCAGAAGAAGGGCTATGACTGCGAGTGCCTGGGAGGCGGGCGCATCTCCCACCAGAGCCAGGACAAGAAGATCCACGTGTACGGCTACTCCATGGTGAGGCCGCAGCCCCGGCCGGCCCTCCAAGCCGCCCCACTGCTCTCGCTGCTGTCTCAGCTGCAGAAGTCGCTCCCGGCCCGCAGCCTCCCCGTTTCCCACGTGCACAGGGTGGGAGGGAGACCACTGCCTGCCCCCTCGGCGACAGCGGGCTGAGTCCTGCCCCTGCCCCAAGAGCCTGATTGGGCTGTCACTGCCCCCCGCCCTTTGAGTCGTCAGTATCGGGGCAAAACTCAGAGGCCCCGCCCTCTTCCTTTACCGAGCTGCCAGTGGAAACACGGGCTGTCAGCACCTGGAATAGCGCGCCTTGGGCTAAAGGCCCTGCTTCGAGGTCTGTTCACCTGGGTGGCCACCTGGGGTGGTTGGAGGTGCTGGCACTTGGCCCTGCCCGGGAGCCCGTGCCCCGATCTGGCTCCCGAGTGTCACAGCCACCTGGCCACCCAGCGCCAGCACACAGGCTGTAAGAGACGCCATTTCTCTTCAGGGGTTTGGTCGCGCCCAGCACTCCGTCTCCACTGAGAAAATCAAGGCCAAGTACCCTGACTACCAGGTCACGTGGGCTGATGACGGCTACTGAGGGCCCCTGAGGCCTGCTGACGCCAGCTGCCCGTCCAGGACTCTGCCCTCGAAGCCCCCTGCAGAGGGGTGGGGCCACACCCTCCCTGTCCCCAAGCCCTGCCACCCTGCACAGGCCTCAGGGACAGACACCGGCCTGGCCCAGGGCCCAGGTTTACCCTGCCCACTGGAACTGAATAAAGTATTGTCATCCCAGCTGGTCCCCAGGTGCTGTGTGTCTTGGCTTCTCTGCTCCTGGGTCATCCCTCCAGACCCCTGAGTAGAGCAGGTGGGTGGCAGAGAGCCAGAGGCAGCCCTGGGGGCAGCGGGTCCCCTCCGGGCTGCTCCTCATCCAGCTCCACCTCCAGGGGCCCCAGGGAGCGACAGTGCACAGTCAGCCCTTTGAGGTCTGATAAGGGCTGCCGTCCCCATTTATGGCCTGATTGCCTCTCCTCGTGGCTGCTCTATCCAAGGACATCTGGGAGGAGGCCCTCCTCACTCTTGCGCAAGGAGTGGGCACCTGGTTCCTTGGTGCCTGGGGGGATGCCCATCCCAGGGTGCAATGCAGGGAGGGGGCCAGTGACCACCACCCTGGAGGCTTATTCCAGTGTGCCCATGTGCTCTGCCAGCTGAGGTCGCACACCAAGAGTGGCCTGTGACCCCTGGCTTCCGTGACCAGCTCCCAGGCCCAGGAGATCAGGCAGAGCCTCCTTCTGACGTGAAGCCGGGGGCCCCTGTCCCAGGAGCCCTTCCCCTCACCCCAGTGCAGGGCTGTGGGGGGCCACCGGGCACAGGGGGGCACAGCTGCCACTGCCACCACAGTTACCGATGAGGAGGAACGCCAGGGAGGGGCCAGGCTCCCAGGTCACAGTGTCAATGGCTGGGAGAGCCTGGCTCTCAACCCTGCGCGGCGGCAGGGGGTGGGGGGTCTGTGGTCTGTGCCGTGAGAACCAGGGCCCCTGGGCACCCAGCCGTGATGCTCAAGACAACTGTCCGTGAAGAAGTGGTTGTTGAGTGAGCAAGTGGACAGGAACCGCAGACTGACAGAGATGGAGGTGGCCGAGGTCCCTGGCTGCTAGCCCCCCTCCACGGGTTTGCCCGTGCCGGGCTCCTGCTGGCAGCCTGGGCTCTGTCCATGGTGGGGACCGAGCCCTGGGAGAAGCGGCCGCAGCCGGTGCTGCCTGGAGCTGCCTCCAGCAGGGCCTGCAGGGCAGGGCTGGAGGTGCTGCACCGGTGGGAGCTGACCTGGGCCATAGTGCCTCCCTGGACACTTGTACAACTGGATGTTCACCCTCGGCATCCAGGGTGGGGCCGGCAGAGGGCCGCAGGCACAAAAGGGGCCGGGGGCCCCTCTCCGGCTAGAGCAGAGTCGGCGTGTCCAGGGGAGGGCTGGAACTGGCCGAAGTCCCCACCAGGCTGCCCGGGGCTCCCGCAGCCCCTAGCCTCGCTTCTGTGGCCGTGCTGGGCCGTGCCTCTGCCCAGCCAGATGCTGCCCGCCCTGGTCCTGCTCCTGCTCCTGGGTGAGTCGTCGGGTCCGGCTCCGGCACCTGAAGCAGAGCTGGCTGGGGGCCTGGGCGCCGGGCCCGGGGGACCTGCTTTGGGGGCTGCCTGCCAGGGAAGGGCCAGGCTCCCGCCCGCCCAGGCCCGAGGTGAGAGGGCCGGGGAGGCAGGGCCCTGCTCCTGGACTGGATGGAGACTGGGGGTCTGGGTTGCCCGCTGGTAAATCCCCTTGGGGGCACCCACCTGCAGGGTTCCTGCTCCCCCCGACGGGGGGTGTCCTACATGGGGGGCCACTGGTCCCAGGCACACCCACACCCCTCCAGGCTGACGGACAGTGGGCCGCTCTGGGGCAGACACACTCTGCCCGGCCTGCACAGGGCGCCCCAGCCACAGGCCCAGCCGCCCTGGGCCTTCCCGACCCCACTCTGCAACCCAGAGCGGGATGCCAGCCGCCTGGGCTCCCGGGCCTGGGGGGCCGGAGGCCTGGGACCGCCCAGGCATATCAGGAAGCGGGGAGACCCCCTGCCAGAGACCACCTGGCTCTCTTCCTGCTGGCAGCAGGGCCTCCGGGCTGGGCCTGGTCCCCCAGCTGCTGCAGGGCCCCTGGCCACACCGTGTGCAACTTCGTGTGTGACCGCAGGGACTGCTCCGACGAGACCCAGTGCGGTGAGCCAGCGCGGTGGGGGGGGGGGGGGCGGGCCCAGGGGCAGCTCCCCTCACTGTCCGCTGTCCCAGGTCACAGTGGGGCCTCGCACGCCTGGGGCGCCCCCTTCACCTGCGACTTCGAGCGAGACGCCTGTGGCTGGCGAGACATCAGCACCCCCGGCTACGGCTGGCTGCGGGACTGGGCGGGGGCCACACTGGGGGGCCCCAGGCCACGCTCGGACCGCACGCTGGGCACCGACCTGGGTGAGGCTCGGCCGCCCCCCTTCTCCGGTTCCCGTGCCGCCCCTCCCAGCTCTGCCTCCGGCCCCATTCCCTGCCCTCGCTGCCCGTCCAGGCTGGTACATGGCTGCGGGCGCCCGTCGTGGGAAAGGGGCGTCTGTGGCTGCGCTGCGCTCCCGTGCTCCGCGAGGCAGCCCTGCCCGTGAGCTGAGGCTGGAGCTGACCCACTGCACTGAGACGCTGGCCCTGTGGCAGAGCTCAGGGCCCTGGGTCCAGGCTGGCAGGAGCTGGGGGTGGCCCTCGGCCGTATCTGGGATGACTTCCAGGTGAGCTGGAGGGTGCTCTGGATGGCGGGGGGGGCGTGGCTTTGGACGACGTGGCCTTCCAGGGCTGTGGGCTGCCCTGTAAGATACCCACTGTGGGCCCCCAGCTGGGTGCAGTGGGGGACGGAGCCCTCACCTGCTCACTCCCCGTCCAGGAGGTCTCCAGCCCCGCCCCCAGCCGCCCTCTCCCCAGGTCTGGGGCCAGGGTGACCCCTCCCCCACACAGCGCCCCAGACCCGCTGCCCCCAGGGGCATCACCACTGCCGGAACAAGGCCTGCGTGGAGCCCCACCAGCTGTGTGACGGCGAGGATGACTGCGGGGACAGTTCGGATGAGGACGCGCCCACGTACAGTGAGCCAGGGTCCTCATCCAGAGAGCCCGGGAGTGGGGGGGGGCGCCGCACCCCGGCGTGGCCCTCCCGGGGGTGGGCGGGTTGCGTGCAGAGACGGAGCCCGAGGCCCTCCGCACCCCGGAGGCCGGGGCCGGGGAGGAGGCCCTGCTCGCTCGGGGGCCTGAGCCTGCCTCCCGCCCCAGGCCGCCCTGTGTCCACCGACTTCGAGACGCAGCTGGGCCCGTGGGGCTCCTCGGAGGGCTGGGCCCCGCCTGGCCATGACGAGACCGCAGCCAAGGCCGGGCCCTGTGCCACCCCTACCCCCATGCCCGCCGGCCCCTCCCCCGGCCCCTCAACTGCACGCTCTGCCCCCGGGGCGTGGCCAGCCTCTTCCTGGAGTGCTTGCGGGCCGCTGCCACATCACCGCCCCCTGGTGGCCAGCCCGGAGCCTCGACACCTGCCGGCCAGGCCCCCAGCCTCGGCCTGCAGCCTGTGCCGGCACAGCGCCCGTCTACAGCAGTGACCCCCAGGAGCCCACGGGGGGAAGCAGGGACTGGGGCTCCCTGGCGTCGACCTTGGCCTCAGGGGTGGGACTCACAGGGAGGGCTCGAGTCCCGGGGTTTACTGCCCTGCGGCCCGCAGGGGACACGGCGGTGGCTGGGGTGGTGCCAGCCGCGGTAGGCGGTGCCCTCCTCTTCCTTGGAAGAAGGGGGGCTGCCCCTCCCAGGACGGGACAGCGGCCACAGCCCCGGGCTTTGCCAACATCCTCTTCAGTGCGGTGGGGGCCCCACAGGCGTGGGCGGGGGCGGGGAGCTGCCCTGCCCTGCACTGGGCTCGTCCCTGGCGCACAGGGAGCGGTGGGGCAGGGACCCTCGCGCCTGAGCAGCAGCCAGCAGGCTCCTCTCCTCCTCCCAGGGCCGCGTCACCCCGCCAGCGCCGGTCACCGACGACCCGTAGACCCAGAGGAGACCCTGGCTCCTCGGGCGAGCTTCTCGAGTCCTGTGGGCCTCGGACGGGAGGGACGCCGGCCTTCCCCGGGGCGGGCGGACGCCCTCAGCCCGCCACCCCCACCCCGGCACTGCCCTCACCCCGACAATCCACTCCCGCCAGCCCATCTGTGCGTCCTGCTCTGGAAGGGTCCCTGGGCCCACCATCCTACGGTCAGGGTACCCCCCCCAGTCCCCCAGACGCCGCATCTGAAAGCAGAGCTCACTCGTGCCCTGGGGGGGGGGGACGCGCCCAAGCACGTCCCTGGAGAGCAGAGCTGAGGGCCCCCCAGGGCATGCTGGGGTCGGCGCACACACCGTCCCGTGCAGTAAGATGCAGCCAGTGTTCCGGACCCCGGAGGGCACCAGTGCTGCTCTCCTGTGGGGGCTGCGGATACCACCGGGGCCACCCGGGAGGGGGATGGCCAGGACCTCCCAGCCCGCTGGCTCCACCTCAACTCCGGGGCCCACTGTGCTCTCGGGGGAAGGCCGTGCCTGCGGACTCAGGGCCAGGGAGGGGGGTGCGGGGCACCGTGCCCAGAGGCCAGCCAACCACCACGAACTGTCCTGGCGGGTGGGGGCACTCAGGGCTTCTCAGGCACCACCCCTCCCCCAGTGTTTGCCATGGAAACCACTCCCGGCCCAGAGCAGGCCAAAGGGAGAGGGTGCTAAGGGTGCACCCAAGGGTGGGACGGCAGGGGGGACCAGATGCGATGACTCACACCAGAGGGAAGGGAAGCGAACGTTTATTAGCGTCTCTAGTAGCCAGACTGGAGGCAGGGTCTTCCCCTCCGGGACCCGACCGGGCCACCCCGCCACCCTGCACCCGCCCACGTGAGGGGCTCCCCGCCAGCGCCCCCAGGAGCCACGCCCACACCCAGGCCATTGCCCTGGGAGGGGACAGTGGCGTGCTGCCCCGCGGTCCGAGGTCGGGGAGTAGGGGGAGAAACGGGAGAAGCACACACGTTGCAAGGTTTGTTTGACAGCAGGGTCGGGTGGAGGGTCCCGGGGCGGGGCTGACACCGGGTTCCGCTCAGCCACGCGAGGAGACCCGTGCTGGCGCCGGGGTCGAGGGGAACCGGCCGGGGAGGCCAGCCGGGACGCGCCGATTTCGAGGCTTTGTCTTCATTTCGCCCGGGGCCCCTTCTCGATGGGCTTCCCCACGTCCTTCCCCCGCAGCTTGAGGCCTGAAAGGGCCGTCACACCCACTGGCCTGCGGCCCCGCAGGACGCAGCGCCCCACGGCATCCGCACCCACAGTCCCCGAGGGGCGGAGAGGGGAAGGGGGAGCGGGGGAGGAGTGGCCCCGATCCTGGCTGGGCTCCCCACGCCGGCTGAGCGGAGGCCCAGAATGCATACCCCGGGGCTCCAGCGGACACCCCAGAGGGCGGGGCGTGTGGGGACAGGAACCAGCCACAGAGGACGCCTGCCCCGGGTGGGGGTAAGGCGGTGGTGGAACGTGAAAGGGGAAGAGAGCCACACAGCCCACTCCTGGGAATTTCCTCGGAGCCCGGGACTCCCTGCGCCCCGTCCTCGCCAGTCCCCCCGATGGGAAGGCCCCCACACCCTCACACCCAGTCCCCCAGCGGGGGCAGAAGGGGACTCACCGATGGCTCTCTCTATTTTGCCCAGAACCTGGTTATTAGGGATGGCTCGTCCACTCTCGTAGTCTGCAATGACCTGTGGCTTCTCGTTGATTTTCTAAAAGGACGCAGTCCGCACACGTCACTTCGGTGAGGAAACGGTGCAGAACTCGGACGCGCGTGGCCGGCCCCAGGGACACCACCATCTGCGGCAGTGAAGGGCCCAGGGCCTCCGTGCAGAAGCTCTCGGACACTCCGGGGTCGCACGTGAGAGCAAGTCTCACCGTGTCTCAGGTGGCTTCCCCGAGGCCTCTGGGGGCCAGGGCGAGGGCAAACCGAACCCCCGAGTCACCAGGCAGACGGAGCCCGCAGGGCGGGCCCCCCGCGCCCCGGCCCGCCCGCAGCCCGGGAGGAGGGGCGGCCACACTCACGGTCGCCAGGTCCTTCTGCGTCAGCCCCTTGCTCTGCCGGCCCTGCTGGATCACCTTGCCCACCTCCAGGGGCACCCGGTCGTGGTGCAGCTCCTCCGTCTCCCGGTCCAGCTTGGCCGTGTTCTTGGTGATCGAGTGCTGCTTGTTCTGGCCGGCAGCCCCTGGGCGGCGGGAGGCGAGAGCGGAGCGGGTTTGCGGCCCTTTCCGGACACGCACCAGGCAGGACCGGCGAGGTGCCTGCGCCCAGGTGACCGGGAAGCCAGGCCACCCACACGTCATGAGAACCTCACAGGTGTCTGAGCACGGAGCCCAGAGCTTCCTCCTGGCTGTGGGGGCGGGGAGAACGAGCCCTCCTGGGCCCTGCCGGCCACAGCTGCTCGGAGGAGATGCCAGACATTCCCAGCCGCCCAGCCGCCCGGGGCAGTCTGCACAGACGACCCGCCCCCACGCCCCCGCCGAGGCCGGGAGCACGGGCACCTACACTTCTTGGACGTCTCCACATCTTCTCCCCGTCTCTGGGCCGCAAGGATGGCCTGGAAATCAGGAAGCGCTTTGGTGAAGACCAGCTCGGCCGCCCAGGCTGCTGTGGGTCGGGCAGCCCCAGGTGTGGGCGAGGCCCCGGCCCTTGGAAGGACTGACACGGGGGCAGAGCCCCCAGGCAACTCTCAATAAGCTGCTGCTGCTGTGGGAACCGGGAACCGCTCCCTCCCCAGCCGTGAGAGCGACGTGCTAACGGGACCTTCTCGGGAGCCCACACCTGACACAGACCGACTCTCCTGCACACGCCCATCCACCTGCTCTGGCCGCCCTCGGGGCTCCGGGCTCCCACAACCGAGAGGGCGCAGCCCCAGGAGCCTGCACCACCCAGCTCCCCACGCCACGGAGAGTGGCACCCCCGATCTGCAGTTCACAACTAGCGGTGGGTTTCCTGGTGCCTCTAACACTCGAGGAAGTGACTCGGGCACTCCTGAGCGTGAACTGTTCACAGACACTTCCCAGACCTGTCCATGCGATTCCTGGCCTGTGGCTGCTGAGGTCCCTTCGGGGAAAAAAGCAAACGCGGTTTTGACCATGCAGCAACCCAGCACAGGTCGGCGAGGGCTGGTCACTGGACCGCAGCCACTCCTAGCCCAGACCCGGCCCTGCGTGTCTAAGGCTCCCGAGGTCACCAAAGAGCCGGGGTGGGAGCTGAACCACCCTCCCCGTTTCCATCGGATTCAGAGACAGCCCCGGACAGGTTAGCCGCGCTGGGAACCGTCCGCCCCCAAGCACCCCTCGGGGCTCATCTCCCCTGGCAAGACCGGGAGGCTACCTCGGCCTGGACGCAGAGCGCCCCTGCGGACTGCGGCGCGCCCCCGTGGGTGACACAGGCGGCCTCGGACCGAAGAGACTCTCTTCGGGGGCTTCCACCCCGCCCCTGCCCCTGCCCCTGCCCCGTATCCGTGCGCCAGGACCCCTGTTCCCGCCCCAAGGGCCTCCCCCGCCCCGCGATCCTGCCCGGTCCTCCCTCCGCCTCGCCCTCGCCGTCCGTGTCCGCAGCCAGAAATCTAAGGGCGCGGGACCTCGCCGCGATGCCGACCCCAAGCACCATCGGTCCGAAAACCCCTGACCCTCCTGCTCCCACCCCCGCGGCCAGGTCCCGGTCCCCGCACCGCCTCGCCCGGTCCCAGCCCCAGGATGCCGTCCCATCCCCCACCCACCCGCTGTCGCCGGACCGTCCTCCGTCCGGCCTTCTGCCCGTCTTCGCCCCGGACGCCCCACGTCCGCCCCGGGCTGTCCCAGGCTGACCGTCTCTCTTGCCCCGCTCCCCGCCCCTTCCCTCCCGGGTTTCCTGACGGCGGCCCCCGGCTCCGGGTCGGCTCCGGGTCGGGCCCCGCGTCGGTCCCGCCCGGTCCGCCCGGCCGCTCCGGGGTCCGGAGGCCGGCGCGGCGCCCGCACCTGCTTGGACTTGGCCTGCGCGGCCGTGGGGCCTTTCTTGCGCAGAACCGTCACCGTATCCCAGTCGCTCTCGGCCATGGCGGGGCGGGCGGGTCCCGCGGTCCGTCGGGAGGTTCCGCGGCAGCTGCTCGAGACCCGGAGACGCGACGTCGCCTCGTCGCTCCGCCGCTTCCGGTGCCAGTCACGGCCCCGCCCCCGCCTCCCATTGGTCGGAGCCCCGGAGAGGCGGGCACTTCCTGCGGCGCTGGGCCAGTGCTCGCCCTGTTCGTCTGAGGGAAACGCGGGGGCGGTGCGTGACGTAAGGGTAGCGACGTCCGGGCCGGGAGTGTGCGCTAGGGGGCGCGGAGCGGGCGCGGAGCGAGGTGGGAGAGGCGCGGAGCGGGGAGAGGCGCGGGCGGGTGGAGTGCGGGGACGCTGGGACAGGACGCTGGGACAGGACGCTGTGCGCGGGGGAGGGAAAGCGAGAAGAGGGGACTCGAGTAGAGGAGGGGGCGCGGGGAAGCGGGTATCTGTTCACGAACTGGGTGCAAGGGAAATGTATACGCATCAGTTTTTCTGGAGCTGAACTTCGGTTCTGCTTCATCCCGCTATTTTGTTACCCTGCGTGCAGTCTGGAGCTCTCTTTTGCTGGAGTTGGGGTCACGTGGTGCAGAGACGTTGGGCATATAAAATTTAGGGAAGGATTCTTTTTTTTAGATAAAGAAGTGACCCTGGCTGGTGTGGCTCAGTGGATTGACCACCAGCCTGCGAACCCAAGGGTTGCAGGTTCAATTCCCAGTTAGGGCGTATGCCTGGGTTGCAGACTAGGTCTCCAGTAGGGGGCTTGCGAGAAGCCACCACGCGTTGATGTGTTTTTCTCCTGTCTCCCTCCCTTCCTCTTTCTAAAAATAAATAAAATTTCGCCCTGGGTACATTGAGCGCGAGCCTGAGAACCGAAAGGTCGCTGGTTCGACTCCCAGTCAGGGCACATTGCCTGGGTTGTAGGCCACGTCCCCAATTGGGGGAGTTCAAGGGGCAGCCACACATTGATGTTTCTCTCCCTCTCTTTCTCCTTTCTTTCCCCCTCTAAAAAACAAATACATAAGATCTTAGAAAAAATAAAAAATAAAATCTTTAAAAAGAAAGATAAAGAAGGAAAATTATAACACCGAAGTTAGAAAAATTACCTTTGTATACTACATGAGCATTGTTTTACAATAACACTTTACACTCACTTTTATGATAGTTTTGTATAAGGGGAAGCTTAAGTTATAAATGTAAAAAACACTGACAAATGCCACGAACATCACAACATTTAGAAAAATAACCTTTCTATGGGTTAATGAGTGCATCTCTAGTGCTTTTGCTTACATTTTTGGCTGTTCTCTTTAAATGCCGTATCATGACTTTGCAGAACTGTCTCACGGGAAGAACAGACTGAGACTCCGACTTCCTCCAGTGTGTCTGATCGAGTTGGCACCTGTTTGTACTGACGTCGGTCTGGGCAATACCCGGGGCTTTGCGTGGAGGTGTTCACGGTAGCATCCCTATAGGCAGGTGCACGCTGCACAAATGCAAGGACCTTAACAAATGCAGTCCCCACACAAAAGGGAAAACGCATAGGGTGAATTAAATTGTATATCCTGCTCACAGAATGCCTTCATCAGGGCAGATAATGTTCAGTCTGTCCAGGAGTTGGGCAGAACTGAGTCCTCTGCTTACCACTTTACACATTGCACGATTAGAATAATTTTGCACAGACTCACTTCTGGTTCACAGTACAAACTTTATTTCTACTTCACTCCCCAATACTTGCGGTGCTGGATGCTGCGTAGATGGGTACTTGGCAGCCATGGAAGACATACGTACCCCAGGACAGGCCAGCAAGACTGTGAACTACATAAAAATGTCCCATTGGCTGCAACTAAATGTCTCTCAACTCAAGTTCCCCTTAGTGGTGTTGACCTGAAAAATGAAACAGTTATTTTACCGACAAAAGTGGTTTCATGAGTTCTGTCCAGAAAGTATCCAGCCGTGCACTATGACAAATAGAGACATTTATCTGAAGAGATACAAGACCCACAAGAAACATTGTACATAGGAACATGACCTTTCAGTTCCCTCAAAGTAGGCAGCTTGGAGCCTCACGCAGTTCTCCCAGTGTCTCTTCCACTGTTTAAAACTCTGCAAAATCTCTGGTGGAATCGCCATCAGCTGCCCTGTTGTATTTTCCTGAATCTCATAAATGGTCTGAACTCTCTTCCCTTTCAAAGGTGACTTTTGTTTTGGGAAAAGCCAGAAGTCACAGGACACCAAATCTGGGCTTGAGAGGAGCCAAGCCACCTGGGTGATTTGATGTTTCACAAAAATACTGCACAAAATGTGACGCATGAGTGGGTGCGTTGTCATGATGAAGCTGGCAATCACCAGGTGCCCATAGCTGCGGACTTCTAAATCATGCAAATAATTTCCATGGAGGAATGTTCAAGCTTAATGCAAAATTAGATGCAGATTCATTGCCCTACTAGCTCAGTCATTTTGAATGCGACGGCCACACAGTACACATGCTCACTCACTGGTGTCTACCACCCCCACTGACTAGTACAATGAAGTCATCATTGTTCATGCATGCACATTCCAGTCCCCTCTCCTTGGCCACCAGGTCAAAGCGATGTCACGCCAACTGTTCTTGTTGTATTAACAATGGCTGGACTTTTTCCGGACAGACCTTGTATTTAGAAACAGTAAAGAATCACAATTCAGGGCATGAGGTTATTGCAAAACCATAAACAAGTCTGGAAAACAAAGGGGAGGAACCTTCATTTATAGAGGAAAGGAGGAAGTTAGGAGGGTTTGTTTTTGTTTTTTTTTTTAAGATTTTATTTATTTATTTTTAAAGAGAGAAGGGAGGGAGAAAGAGAGAGAGAGAGAAACATCAATCTGCGGTTGCTGGGGGCCATGGCCTGCAACCCAGGCATGTGCCCTGACTGGGAATTGAACCTGCAATGCTTTGGTTTGCAGCCTGCGCTCAATCCACTGAGCTATGCTACCAGGGCATTTTTTTAAAAAAAAAGATTTTATTTATTTTAGAGGGGAAGGGAGAGGGAGGGAAACATCAATGCATGGTTGCCTCTCATGTGGCCCCGACCGGGGACCTGACCTAACCCACAACCCAGGCATGTGCCCTGAGTGGGAATTGAACTGGCAACCCTTCGGTTCACAGGCAAACACCCAATTCACTTAGCCACACCAGCCAGGGCAGAAGGGGTTTTTATCAACAGAATCCACTGAAGGAAACCTGGAAGTCCAAATGGGACGGCTTTTCATTGGCTGCGTTGTGATGGTCTCTCATTGGCTGAGCTGTTGCTGGGTTAGGAGAAAATCTTCCTCCAGCAGGAGTAGTAACTTAAAAACATCTGTTGGAGATGCACACGTCTCTTCCTGTTGGGGTGATTGACACTGAGTGGTAGGACGGCAGAACTCACCCCACAGGCCCGCCCACTCCAAATTCTAGTTGAGGTTTTCTTTATTAATTTTCACAGTGGGGGTCCCAGCAACGCCCGTGGTCACTCCAAGGTGCCCGGAGAAGAGTGGAACAGAGGAAGAGTCTGCCTGGACACAGGCAGTTAAAATGTTCCGCTCAGCGAATCTCACCAGTGCCGGCGCTCTTGCAGAGCCAGGCTGGCCTCCCGGCGCTCGAAGCTGCATGAGCTCTCGGTGGTGTGTTTGCCCTGTCAGGTCGGGCCTGGAGATGGGGCATCTAGTCCTGGGCGTCCTCTGTCCCTGCAGGTGTCTGCCAGGACAGCCACCGTCCTGCCCGGCTCCTGGTCAGCAGTCCAGTCCTGACGCCGCAGAGACTTCTGCCACTCCCGCTCTTGTGACCCCTGCTACCAGCAGGGCACGGACGGAGCAGGCGCCTGTGCCTCCCCCACCACCCATCCATGCTGCCTCCACTCACCCGCGCACACCCCTGAACGGCCTTAGTCCTGGGGAGGAGGGGTGTTTAAAAGAATCCATCTGGTGTCCAGTCCTGTCCTCTGGCCTCACGTGAGGCCGGGAGTGAGTGAGTGGTCCGGCGGTGGTGGAGGGCCAGCGGCTTCTCCAGCGCACTGGGCCTCGTCTGGGGAAGCGAGAAAGGATGGCAGGCGGGAGGCAGGACCAGGGTCAGAGGGCCAGGGGTCCCAGTTGGGTTGAAGAGTGTGGCCAGGGAGGGCCCCCCAGTGGGCCTGGGGGCCTGCTGAGGCAGGGTGCAGGGGACGCCCTCAGAGGGCACCAGGAACCTTCTGAGCTGCGGACCTTCGCCGGGTGACCTCACTTGCTGAGTTCAAGTGCGAGGTGAGCCGACTCAGAGTTTGCAGGTTCGAAGCCAGGACGTCGGAGCGAGGTGCGGCAGGGAGCCCGCAGACGCGAGGTGCCTGCGCGGGATCGCCCGCAGTTTCAGACTCAGCCGGAAGATGGCGCGCGCGGACCCGCGGCTGCGCCCGCAGGGTGTTTGGGTGGAGGCGGCGGTCGGAAGTGGCCGGAAGGGAGGCGGGCAGGGCGTCCACGCAGAGCTTGTCTCTGCAGAGGGAGTTTGGGGTGACCTTTGCTTTCTTCTCGGTATTTATGTGTTTTCCAGAAGTGACCTTCCAAAGCGCCTGCTCGTCAAACACGGTCGTAGTTGGACTAGGCACCACGGTCCGTGGCTTGAGAAAGTGTGGGACTGTGAACGGAGCACACGCCCCACATTCATTACTTGGCGCGTCCTTGCCCAGTCTGCAGAGAACGTGGAGGGACGTGACAACTGTCCTCCCCCAGCTCTGCGCCCCGTGCTCTCCGCGCTGGGCTCCTGCTGCCAGCGGGGGGCCCTGGGCAGAGCACCCGCGCTGTTGGGGGCGGTGCGGCCCACCCTGTGTCTTCTTCTTACCTCGGGGGCTGTCCCGGGGTAGTGGTGGCCTGGCTGTGAGTTTTGTGGGGGAGGCAGAGGGGGAGCCCCTCCGGGCTGGCGCCAGCGCAGGGGAATTCTGGCGCAGTGCTGGCAGGCGCCCGCCTTGCTGGAAGCGTGCCCCTCAGACGATGGGGTGGGGGGGGTGACAGTGAAACCAGCTTATTTTAGAGGCTGCTGTCCAGGGTCGGTCTTCACATGTCTGGGAAACCAGGAGATGAGGAGAGCTCTCAGGTGGGGAGGGGGTTGTACTTGGTGAGGTGGCTGCGCCCCCGGAGGCTCTGGGGACAGCCTGGGGGGCACATATGGGACACCTCACGTCCAGGTCCTGAGTGGGGGCCCAGGTCACCCTTCCCGCCTCCTGGCCCCTCCCATATGCAAGCTGGTGTCTCTCCTCCCAAACAGCTGAGTGAGTGAAGAACGTGAGGTGAGGGCCTTAGGAGGGGACTGGCTATGCGGGGGGGGGCTGTCATAGACAGGAGAGGGGGTGAGCTGCTTGCCTTCAGGCAGAGTGGGCGGCAGTGCTAGCCACGCCCACCATGGTCTGCACACCCAGTGTGGGCAGCAGATGGGGCCTCTCCTGCCCTGGTTGCCCCGAGGGCAGAGGGCAGGTGGCCACACGGCCTTGCCCTTGATCTGCAGCCAGGCCCACGCTTCTCTCTGGGAGGGGTGCTGGAGCCCAGGGCAGCTGCCCCAGGCCTGCACCCTTCCTTACCCCGGACCTCAGCCCGGGTCGCCTCCCAGGGCTGTCCCAGGTGCCTCCTGGCTCCTCCCCAGTCGTAGCTGTCTCTGTGGACCGAGTTTTGCTTTCTTTTTGGCAGGAAGGAGCCTGCCTGGGAATCCCCTGAACGGCCCAAAGGCCAGAGTGAGTCATCCCTTCCCAGCCTGCCAGGACAGAGGTGTCACTCCCTCCCAGCTGACTGGAGGGGGCGGGGCGGCCCCTTTCTGGTCAGGGCCATGCCACCAAGGCTCCCTCTCCCTCCGTGAAAGCCTGGTGTCAGAGTCAAATTAAAAAAAAAAAAGTGTGTGCATGAGAATGCTGTAAAAGCAGCAACGTTTACAATGAGCAAAAGCGTTTTCACGCCAGAAGTGCTGGCAAGTCCACAGGCGGCTGGCAGCCTTCCCAGCGGGCGAGACCGTGCTTGTGAAATCTCTGGACACTGGGCAGGCAGTGCTTCTGCTCCGGCCCTGACCTGGAGGAGTGACACTCCCGGAACCCACTGCAGAAGTCAGGCGGGTGATTTCCTAACTTTAACCCCGAAGGAAGCAGGTGCTGCAACGGAACCTCTTCTTTGCGAGAAGGACAGACGACTTCCTGCTGAGCGGCCGCTGGGCTCCCAGAGACCGGGAGGGGAAACTTCCCCCTACCTGAGACCACACACACAGCCGCGTGGCTGCAGGTGGGAGGTTTCCACGGTGGCTTCTGGCCAACTCAGCCTCCAGTCCGGAACCCATATCGGAGGCAGGGCGGCCTGGCCACCGCAGTTTCCCGGGGACGCGGTGTTTGGGGTGGGGGAATTCCAGCAGCAAACCAGGTGGTCTTAGGCAGCGTGATGCAAGCACTCCCGCCCTCTCGTGGGCTGTTCACGTCGGAGAACTTCAAAGCCTGCCCATTCTTCGGCTTACTGCGTCCTCCGGCAGTTGCTTCGGATGGCCCCTGGGAGTGGAGGTGCCAGAGGTGCTGTGTGACTGGGCACAAGGAAGCGCGTCTGTCTGAGCTTCTGCTCCCTCTTCTGCAAAACGAAGAGTGAATTCCTGCTCTCGGGTCCCTGGTGTGAGATGAGATGCTGTTCCTCGGCTGGGTGGACAGGCCCGAGCTTTCCCAGATGGACAGGCCACCAGTTCGGCCTCGGCGCTCCCCTGGCACAAGGGAAGCAGACTGGCCACAGGCCCTGCACGCTTAGAGGCAGTGCTGGGGTCAGCACTCGGCCCTCCCAGCGCTGCCCCCTTTTCCCCCTGGCCCAGACCACTGCCTTCTTTCCAGATGTTTCCATTTGTATCCACATTTCTGTGTGTCTGGAGGCCATAGGCTGTGCATTTTTTTGTTGGTGGCAAAATTCACGTAACGTAGTAAAATTCTCCATTTAAACTACACAATCGTGTCATTTGCACATCCGTAAATCGGGCGGCCGTCACCACTGTCTGGTTCTAGAACACTTCCCCCGAGGAGACCCCGTCGCCTTCATACCCTGGAGAGGAGCGGGGCTTTTTCGTCCTTTTTCTTATAAACGTAACTCAAGCTGGGGAGGGGGGGGAGCGGGGCGGGGAAGGCGCCTCCGCGGTGCCCTCGGCCTCGGCGTGACCCTTCGTGGACACCGGCCAGGTTCTCCAGAGGTGAGGAGCAGCGAGGGGTTTGCTGCGGGAGTCCCAGTCCTCTCGCGACGCGCGGAGCTCCGCGGAAACCGAGCCCCGCGGGCTCCGCTGGGGAAACCCGAGGGGTGAATGAATGAAGTATGACGTCACGACACCGCCAGCCAATCGGCGCCCGTTGCGGCTCGTTGCGTGCTTCTGGTGGGCTTTCTTGTCAGTCCGTCAAAGGAAGGCGGAGACGGAGGGGCGGGGTAGAAATCTGGCCAATCGGAGCCCGCTGCGGCTCCCCGGGTGCTCTGGTAGGCTCTTGTGTCAGTCCGTCAGGAGGGCTCGGGGGCGGGCCCTCGGCAGCGGTGGCGGCGGTGGCGGCGGCACCGGCAGGGCGGGAGCGCAGGTCTGGCCGCGCGGCGACCGTTGGTGAGTGGGACCGCCTGGGTTGACGTCGGGGTCGGGGGGGATCGGCGATCGCGGTCCGGGCGGGGGCGCGCGATGCTGGGAGGCCGGGCAGGGAGGCTGGGCCGCACCGCCGCCGCCGCGCGGGCCCGAGGGGATTTTTCGAGGCGCGGGAACCGGAAACTGAAAGTCGGCGCGGGGCCGGGGCAGGAAAGTTCGCGAACGCCCGCGGGCGCCCCGCCGGGAGTCCACGCCGCGGGGCCCCGGCGCGGGGTCCACACGGCCGGGTCACGATGCAGGGTCAGGGCCCGGGCGCACAGCGCAGCCTCTTCCCCGGCGTCGCTGTCCCGAGCCCCCGCTGCGGCCTGTGGGCGTCCCACCCCTTCCTCCCCCGGCCGGAGCGGAGCGCTCACCTGCCGCTACCTGGTCCCCTCTTCCTGCCCGCAGAGGGGCCTCCCCCCGACCTGTCGCGGTGTGCACGAGTCCTCGCACCTCGGGCCAGCGCCCGGGCCTCCCGGCCGGCCCTTCGCCGCCCCCCCTCGCCGCGGCCTAGCTCCCGGCCCCCGCCGTCCGCCCACCCGCCTGCCCCCAAACTCCGCTTCCTGCCCCTGCCCTGGCGCCCGCGCCCGCGCCCTCGCCGCCGGTCCCGGCCTCCCATTCATTCTGCCGTTCGTGGAAGCGTTCCTCGGTCCGCTCACGTCAGGGTGGCGGTCGGGGTGCTCGGGTCAGCCCGCAGCCGGCCCCCGGCCCCCGGCCCGGGGAAGCCCGAGCGGAGGCCGGGTGGTCTCTTCGGGCCTCTGGACCTGGCGCGCTCCCTGGGACGGCGCGCCGGCCCCCTCTCGCACGGGAGCGCCAGGGGGCGGGACGCGGCTCACGCTGCTGGAGGTGCCTGGTGAGGACACGGACTTGGCCGCAACACGGGCCTCCCGCCCGCCGGGATCCAGCGTGGAGGCAGCTGCCCGAGGGATGGAGCCTGGAGTCGGGCGCGCGGGGGTGGCTCTTGGGTCACAGAGCGGCAGGCCTCGATGGCGACAGGGGAGGCCCCAGGGCAGCTGCCCAGGAGAGCAGGCACTCCGCGGGAGCCTAGCAGAGCCCGGCCATGCGGGGCCTGCCTCCCTGCCCGCAGGAGGTGCCCAGGGGCGGCTTGTCACGGAGGAGAGCTGCGATGTGAAGTGCTCCCAGCCAACCCGGAATTGTTGCTTGAGTGTTGTTTAAACAGCCTTATTGCAGTATAATTTACGCACCACAAAATTTACTGTTGCTTGAGTTTCAAACGAGCAAAGTCCCAATAGCTGCTCTTCCTGGAGCCTCCTCCTAGCAGCCGAGGCGGCCAGTGTCCTCACAGGTCAGGCCGCTGCTCTCCAGGCCCAGCCCCGTGCCCCCGCTCAGCCCCCCAGGCTGCGGCTCCCAGAGGCTCTCCTGGGCCTCTGCTCTGTGCCTGCCGGTCCTGTGTCCTGGGACAGCCCTCCCTGTGTCCCCCTGCGCCCAGACCGCTGCCACCTGGGCTGCACTGTGCCACGTGGCCCCGTTGACTCCAGGAGCAGTGACGCCCGTCCCCCCAGCACCGTGCGGGATCTGCGGCTGGAGCCGGGACAGTAGAGCCAGTGGCGGGTGGGCAGGGAAGGGGACGGGCGTGCCTCTGTGTGTGGCGGTGGCGTGGGGGAGGGGCTGTCAGCCGGGCCTCTCTCTGTAGGAGTTTCTACACTCACTGGGGAAATTAACCTGAGTGTCGTTCCTCTGGGGACCCGAGGAATACGTTGTTCTGATAGTGTCCGGGGACCGGGGCGCGGGATGTACAGCGACCACTCATTGCTAGAAAAGGCACTTTCTCGAGGAAGAAGGCCTTTTCACCGTGAGTTCTCAGCGTAGGGTCTGCGGCCCCCGCCCCCTACCCCCGACGGGGGGAACGCCGGCCTCCCCACCTGCCCTCCAGCCGGTACACACCGACGGGGCGTGGCCTGGCAGGTGGGTTTCCACGCGTGAGCAGGGGAGTGCGGGAAGGTCCAGGGAGCAAAATCCAGAAAGACGCACCCACCGGCCCCGCGGGTATGCCAAGAGTGGGCGCAGCCTCTGTCTGTCCTCGAGTCCGCACTTGCTCGGGGTGCCCCGTCCTCCCGTGCGCCGGGCCGCGTGTCCGCAGGGAGGGCACACCACGGCCCGGCGGCTGGGCCTGGGCGCGGTGAGGCAGGCTCAGCAGAAGCTGCCCCCGAGAGCTGAGACGTGTCTGGCGTCGACCAGGAGCAGGGTGGGGACCGTGTCCGCTGCGGGGCCCAGCAGGGGTGGAGGTGGCGTTTACACGGTGGTCTCGGGGACTGGCAGTGATTAGACGGGGAACACAGCCGGGGAGGAGGGGAGGAGAGGGGTGACTCAGCTCGCAGGAATGGCTGGCGCGGGTCCCGGGGGCCCTGCTGTGGGCCAGGTTAGTGGATGCACGGGGCTGGGAGCCTGGGGAGCAGCCGGGAGCCACTTGTGTACCCGCTGCTCAGGCCAGGGCCCCTCCTCCCCCCGCCCCCCGCCCCACCTCCTGGCGCTCGCATCCTAGAAGGGACGGGCAGTGAGGGTCCTCGGGGAGGCTGCCCGTGAGCAGAGACCCTCCGGCTGGCAGGGTGGAGCTGGGACGTCTTGGGGAGGAGCGAGCGGCCCAGCCGCGTGGTGAGGCCCCTCTGGTGGCCAGGAGGGCCTGGAGAGGCCGCGGCAGCGAGCCTGGTCCCCGCAGACAGGGCCAGGGCCTGGAGGTGGCAGCGCGGTCAGAGCCCGGCAGCCGGTGGAGGGGTGGCACTGGGCTTACGGGCACGCTGGAGGGGCGGGTGAGAGGGGTGCGGTCTGTGAGAATCTGGCCCCGGCAACTGGAGGGGGCGTGCGCCCGCCCTGGACACCCCCCACTGGGGGACAGGGGGACAGACAAGAGGAGCGGGCGGCCATCTGGGCCACGGGAGACGGGACGGAACTGCTGCGTCGCGATGAGCCAGCCTCCCCCGTCGGCGGCAGCCCCGGCGTTCAGCAGGGGGAGGGGGTGTGTTGGCGCCGCAGGGAACGGGGGCGGGGGGGCTGGCTGCAGGGCCAGGGGGCCTCCCAGCCGCGTGTGAGCTGGGGGGGACGGCTGTTGGCCGTGCGCCCGTCACCTGCCTGGCGTGATGCTGGCCTGAGAGCAGGCGGCCCCCGTGCGAAGCTGCGGGGGGACCGCGCGTCCCCTCGTGAGGGGCTCACACTGAGGCCGCGAGGGGGTGAGCTTCGTGAGTCCCTTAGGTGGGCCTGTCGCGGGGCCCGGCTGTGCAGGGCGGAGGCTGCTGTCGGAGGGACGGTGAGTCTGTGAGGTTCGTGCTGGCACTAGGGACTCGCTAGGGTGAGGCCCGGGTGGGGGTGGCAGCACGGTGCGCGCCCCCCGGCGCGAGCCTGTGCTGCGCGTCTGATGGGACCTGGGTCTGGGCGGCACCGACCACTGCGCCAGCTCGGCTGTCTCCCAGGGGCCGTCGCTGGTCTCGGGTGGTCGCACAGCCAGGGGCAGCCACCTGGGGGGGAGGCGCGGGGGCCGGGCGGGGGCTCCCTGTCTCTCCAGCGTGCCCCCCGCCGGCCCCGAGGTGCACTCTCCACCCCAAACGCTCTGTGACCCCGGTCCTGTGGGGTTTTCAGGGGCTCCGCCATGAAGCACGACGGGTCAGCGCACGGCCCCCGAGGGGCTTGGGAGCCGTGTGCCAGGGCCGGGGAAGGAGCCCACACAAGCATCCGACACGTCACATGCTGCCGCTCCAAAGTCCCGCTGTCCCCGCTGTCCCCGCGCCCCTCGCCGTGGGGGGCATTGCCTGACCTTGATGCGTAGACCCGAAGTCCCTCCGTGAGCACGCCCTGTACGCGGAAAAGGTGCCTTTGACACGGGCGGCTGCCGTGGGAGCCGGCGCACTCCCGTCAGGGGTGTGTTTGGGGACGGGAGGCTCTGTGAACGACGGGGCTTGTGGGTCTCGTTTGTGCCACCGCACCCGAGAGTCGGGGCAGGGGGTGACGTGGAAGCTCAAAAGCACACCCCGCCGCCGAAGGGGTGGCCAGCCAGCTGAGAGCTGCGCCCCGGCCGGGGCCTCGTCTGGCGTGCAGGCGGAGTGTGGTGGACGCGAGGGGCAGAGCCCGGTCTGACGGCCGGACGTGGCGGCACCCTCCCTGGGCGCCCAGCGCGCAGCCCGCCTTCCCGTTGCCCGCAGGGAGCGCCTGTGACCCGAGTCCCGCGCCCTTGGTGCTCTGTTCCCCTCGTCACAGCAAGCGCGCAGCGGGGTTTCGACCAGCAGAGCGCGGCCCCTTGTCCCTTCTCAGTGACACCGTGACCCCCGTGTCTGGCGCGGCCGGAGCAGCGACCGTAAGCCGCGAGCGGTTCGTGGAGTCCGTCTGGCGGCGTGGCCGGGGGGAGTGGGACAGACCGCGCGGTCTGTCCCCCGTGCGCGCGGGGCCGATCGCAGAGGGGCCCCGGCAGCGCTCTCGGCGCAGCGGGACTGTGAGGCCGGCCCCGCCCGGAGGATGCGTTCTCGGTGCCGCCGTCTCACGCTCTGCGTTTGTGTCTGCGTCTGCGCCCGCGGGCTGGCGCGGGCGGGTCGTCCGGCCGTGGGGTGCGTGGGAGGGTGGACCAGGGTCCAGGGTGGCCCCGTGCCCGGAAAGCCCGTGGACTGCGAGCGAGCGAGCGACAAGTGTGCCCTCGCGTGGAGTGGCCCTGGGCACAGCGTCTGCCGGGGCCGGGGGTCTCGCCAGGCCGGGAGACTGGTGGGCCGCGCATGGCCCTCGGGTGTGAGGCTCCTTCCCCAGGGCCAGGGCCCCCCCCCACCGTGAAGACTCAGAGCAGCCCCGCCTGTCGCTGTGTCCTGCGGTGCCCGCAGAGGCGGGCGGTCCGCCTGGGTCTCAAGTGTCCTGGAGGGGCAGCGCTCCACGCCCAGGGGCTGCTGGGCAGTGTCGGCAGGGAGGTGGCGTCCTCCGTGCTCAGACGCGGGCCGGGTGCGGTGGAGGACAGCCTGCCGGCCTGGGGGCTGCCGGGGGGGGGGGCGTGCGGGGGCCAGCCGGGTGCTGGGGGCAGGGCGCCCCTGCGGCCGGGCCCGCTGTCTGTGTGGTGACGGAGGCAGGGCCGGGCCGTCTCCCAGGCTTCCCGGAGCGCTCGGGACCCGCCTCTCAGGTTCTTGCCCCCCCCCCCCCCGTCGGCCTGACCGCCAGGCCGGCCGCTCTCCCCGGAGGGTCGCGGTGGAGCCGGGTGCCCCGCAGGACGGCCCTGACGCGCTCCGCCCCTCCCCAGGGCTCGGTGTTCCCGGGGCTCGGCTCCCATGGCTGCGGCCAGCGTGACCCCTCCCGGCACCCTGGACGCGCTGCAGTTCGGCTTCTCGAGGACCGTGCTGGGCACCAAGCTGGAGGACAAGTACCTGTGCTCCGCCTGCAAGAACGTCCTGCGCAGGCCCTTCCAGGCGCAGTGCGGCCACCGCTACTGCTCCTTCTGCCTGAGCAGCATCCTCAGGTACGGGGGGGGGGGGGGCGGTTGGGCGGCGGGCGGGCTGGGCGCAGGGCTGCGGGGGCCGGGGCGGGGCGCGGTGGAGCAGGTGCGCCCCAGGAGCTGCGCTCTGGGCCAGCCCAGGCTGACGCGGGAGTGGGGGCGGGGCTGCAGCCGGCGTGTGGGGGGCCGGGCGCTGCCGCGGATGGTTTCTGCGGGTCCCCCGCCCTGGCAGCGCCGGCTCGCTGCTCTAGGCCACGGATGCACGCCGAGCGCACGCGGGGCCTGCGGGGAGGTCTGCCTGGTGGGCCCCCGGGGGCGGGCTGGTGGCGCAGCGAGTGGGCCGCGCCTGCCTCTGAGCGGGAGCGCCTTGCTCGCGGGGGGCGGCCGTCCGAGGAGCCGGCCTCCCCGCTGTTCTGCGCCTTCTGAACCTCACGCTGACCCGTGCGTGGTCGCTGACGTGGGAACGGTGAGGACACGTGGGCGGTGCGGGCCAGTGGACGCGCCGCGTGCCCGCGGCGGCAGTGCTCACACGGCGTCCCCTCCGCCAGCTCCGGGCCCCAGAACTGCGCCGCCTGCGTGCAGGAGGGCATATACGAAGAGGGCGTCTCGATTCTGGAGAGCAGCTCGGTAAGCGGAGGGTTCTGCACCTGCGCTCGCGCTTCCTCCGACGCCGACGGCAGATGGAGCCTCGGCCGCTGGAGACGACCCGCCGCCGCGGGGGCGCCCGGTGTGGACGGGTTGGGCCCGGAGGACCTGGGCCGGCGGGGCCGGCGGCGCGGGCGGGAGGGGGCTTCACGCGCGGCCACGCCCTCCGCAGGCTTTCCCGGACAATGCTGCCCGCAGGGAGGTGGAGAGCCTGCCGGCCGTCTGCCCCAGCGAGGGCTGCACCTGGAAGGGGACCCTCAAAGAGTACGAGGTAGGGCCTCCCTGTGCGGGCTCGGCCTGGGGGGGGCGGATGGGAGGGCCTCTCCCACGCACCGCGGTGGCCCCGGAGCCTGCACAACTCCTCCCGGGTGTGTGGGCGGGGGCCGGGGTGCCGGTAACACGCCCGCGGGGACCCGGCCGTGCGGAGCGCAGACCGGCTCCTCGGAACCTCGAGTGCGGGGGCCCCGTCCGCGCAGGAGACCAGCCTTCTGGCTCGGTGGGCTCCTCTGTCGGGTCGGCAGGCCAGGCTGCACGGGCCTCCCGGGGCCGCAGAGAGGCCCCTGGCCTGGGCGGGCAGGGCTGGTGCGCCAGGCTTCTCCGCGGCCGGCCTCTGCCCGGCGCGGGGCTGGTGTCCCTGCGTCGGCTCTCTGAGCTTGTGTGTGGCGGGTGTCTGGCCCAGCCCCGCCGCCTGGAGGCTGGGAGGTGCCCCAGCGTGTCCGGTGGTCTGTCACCTTCTTCCTAACGAGTGCCCTTTGCCACCACGTCTGGGGGGTCACTCGCACGCGAGGTTCGCAGCAGCCATGGGCCCGCCGAGGACGAAGGGACAAACGAGACTTGACGAGTTCAGGCCACGGGCTGGCGCGCGGCCAGGAGCAGGAAGGGGCCCGACCCGGCCGGAGCTCGGACAGGCCTGGAGGGCGCTGGGCCCGGGAGGAGGGGCCCTGGGGGTCCCTGGGGGAGCCCCACTCGGAGCCTGGACGCGCAGTGGTGGCGACCCGGGGCGGGGTCGGTGTGCAGAGGGACAGGCCGGGCTCTGCGGGCGGCGAGGCCAGGTTCTCCCGTGGTCGGGCGCGCTCCCCCCGGGTGGCACAGCCCGGCGTGGGCCTGGCACTGAGCCAGTGGCCGGGACAGCGGGGAGGGGCGTCGGGTCTGCGCGGGAATCCTGGGGCCCTGGGGGGCTTCTCCCTGCCTCTCCCTGCCACTTGCTGCTCTTGCCCTCCGGGCGGCCCGGCTGCGTGCGTGGTCTTGGGGCGTCCGACTGCCTGCTGTGTTCTGCCAGAGAAGCAGCCGGGCCGGGAGGCGGTGGGGGGGCCTCCTGGAGGTGGACAGGGAGACGCGCCGGGGCCTGTGCGCGGAGCCCTCCGGCCCCCCCCCCCCGGAGCAGAGGCTCCTGCCCTGTGGACGGAGGCCTGGCCGCCCCGAGGCCGCTGTGCTGCACCCTCAGAGACGGGCGCCGCTGCTGCGTCCGGACCTGCAGCTGTTCCTGCCGTTCAGGGGGCCTCGGGGTCTCTCCTGGGCGGGGCGGGCCGTGTCAGGCCTGGGGGGACTGAGAGGCCCCCGGGGACGGGTGGGCTGACCCCCGTTCCTGACTCTTCTGTGGTCTCTGCCACCTCCAGGCCTGTGGCGGCCTCCAGCCGAGGCCAGGGACGGCAGCCAGCCAGCCCTGGGCTCCCGAGGCACGCGGGCTGGAAAGTCCCTGGCTGCCCCGAGCTCCGGAAAGTCCCCGAGAGCCGGTTCGGTCATGTGGGAGGGGGGTGCTGCCCCGGGACACACTGGCCGCGGCCTTCGACATGCCGACCAACCTCCCCCACCTGTCCACGCCTCGGGGCGCAGTGCCCCCCGCCCGCCCCGCCCGGCTGGGGCCCGCGGTCACGTCGGAGCCGGTGTGGGAGCTGGTGCGGCCCCGCTCGGGGCGGCTCGGCCCTGGGGTGGCGCCGTGGGTGTGCACGCTGCGGTGCAGGTGGACGGCTGCGCCCCCGCGGCGGTGTCGGTGCCGCCCGGGAGCTCAGGGGAGCATCAGTGCCTGGCCCTCGGGGCGTGTCTGGTGCCGACCGCGGCCACGCCTCTGGGGGGAGGGGCCTCAGGGCGGGGGCAGCGGGCTGGGCGTTCCTCTCCGCTCTGTACTCAGCCCCTCGTCGGGACTCTCTGGAGCCCCCCGGGGGTGGGGAGCCGGTGGGGCCTGTTCTGGGCAGAGGTGGCCTCCTGTCGCTGCTGCAGACTCGGACCTGGGGGCAGGCGGGCAGGTGTGACTTCCCCCCCTCCCCCTGTCCCCTATGCCCTCGGGCCCCTGCACCCTCGGGCCCCTGCCCGGCAGCGCCTGCGCTCTCCAGGGGCCTCGCGCCCTGGCCGGGGGCTGCGCCGAGGTCTCTGCTGAGGCCCGGTGGGGTCTGCTGCGCTGACTGCCTGGTGCTCGGTGTGGCCCCGGCCCGGCCCTGTGCTCAAGGCTCACCGGGCGGGGGGACCCCTGCCCAGGAGGCCACAGTGTCCTCTGGGTGTGGGAGGCCCCGCGGGGCTGAGCCCGGAGGAGCGTGCACTCTGGGGAGGAGGGGTGCGGGGCGTCAGGTCTCCCCTCGGGCCGCTCCCCTCGAGGCCCGGCCCGGGCTGCCTGTGGCAGCGGGTCCCTCGGGCTGCTGAGGGTCCCAGGGAGGCCTGCCTGGAGGGGTGGTCAGGGGTCAGGGCGCTTGCTCCAGGAGGCGCGAGGGGGCTCTGAGAGGAGGCGTGGGTGCGGCCGGCTGGAGTGGGTCCTGGCCCCTGGCCCCCGGCCTGGAGCGGAGGTGGAGGACGGTCCCGATTCTCGGCGCCTGGCGTGTGGCCGTCGCCAGCACCGTGGGGCTGCCAAGGGGGGAGCCACGGCTGGGTGGCCGTCGGCAGGACGTGTGCGGTGTGGCCGCCACGGTGTCCGGGGGCGCCCTGTGGACACGGTGCTCCCTGTGTTGCCAGAGCTGCCACGAAGGACACTGCCCCTTCCTGCTGACCGAGTGCCCGGCGTGCAGGAGCCTGGTGCGCCTCGGCGAGAAGGAGCGGCACGCGGAGCAGGAGTGCCCGCAGCGGAGCCTCAGCTGCCGGCACTGCAGGGCCCCCTGCTGCGGCGCCGACGTGGAGGTGAGGGCAGGCGGGGCGTCGCCGGGGGGCCCCGTGGCAGGGGGTGGGGGTGGGGGTGGGGCGCGAGGGCCGGCCCGTCCTCTCGAGGGGCTGCTTCGGTTCAGGAAGCTCACACCCACGGGTGGGGCAGGGGCAGCATGGGCCTCGGCCCGCTCCCGGGGCCGGGTCGGCGTCCCTGTGCCGGGCTGACGAGGCAGGTCCCAGGGGTCCCGTCCCGACCTGCCTCTGAGTGCCGCTGCCACGCCCAGACGGACGGCGGCTCCTTGCCGCCTCCCCGTGGCGGTCGTGGTCGTGGGCCGCACTCCGACGTGGCTGCGTGGCCTCTCTGCACCGTGGGCAGGTCCCCATGGGCGTCTCTCCCTCGCGTGTGAGCACAGGAGAGGCTGGCCAGTCCGTGCTGGCCCGCAGGGTGTCCCTCACGTGTCCCTCTGTCCCCCCTCCCGAGGAACCCGAGGCCTGGAGGCTGGTCTGGGCCGGCCCGCCGGGTGGGCGCCAGGCGCTTGCAGCGTCGCAGGGTCTCTGAGACGCTGCGGCTGGCCGGTCCGTCCCCAGAAAGCCCCGCGGTGCCCACCTCGGCCAGCATGGCCGTCTGCACCGCGAGGGCCCGTCTTGGTCAGGCTGCAGACAGGCTCGGGCGGCCGCCGGAGGAGAGGAGGGTCTCACGGCTCTGAGGCTCCCCGGGGCCCGTGGGACCCGCCAGTGCCGGTGCCATCGTCGAGGCGGGGTCTTGGGGGGCCGAGGGCCCGCCACGTGCCCAGGTGCCAGGCCCAGTCTCTGCGTCCGAGTCCCCCCACGTCCTCCCTGACGCTGCTGACGCTTCCCTTGAAGGCGCACCACGAGGTCTGCCCCAAGTTCCCCCTGACGTGTGACGTCTGCGGCAAGAAGAAGATCCCACGCGAGAAGGTGAGCCGTGTGCGGGGGCCCGGCCGTGGGCCTCTTCTCTGCTGCCCCTTTGGCGATGGGGAGAGTGGGCATGGGGCGGCCCCCCCTCCCTGGCCCTGCACCCACAGCGCGGGTTGGGCACAGGCCGCGGGCGCCCGGCTGTGGGAGAGGTCCCCGCCGGGGTCTGAGCTGCCGCGCCCGGTGGGTCCCCACCTCCGGTGCTCACAGCCCATCTGCCGCGGAAACCCTTCGTCCCTCCAGACGCACAGCACGGGGCTCGCCGCGCGGGCCGGTCTGAGGGCACCCCCGCCCCGGCTCACCGCCCTCCTGCCAGCCGGCTCCTGCGTCTCCGGCTGCTGTTGAGCGTTGGGGCCGCTCTTTCCGAGAGGGGCTGCCGGGTGGGGATGGGGGTCGCCGAGGGCGGAGCCCTCGCCTGGCGGGGAGGTGGGCTCCGCCGGCCCCAGGGTGCCGCATCCGGCCTCACGCCTGCGTGGCGGGGAGACGGTTTCTGGGGCGGTTTCCAATGGCGTGTCCCAAACGTGAGCACGGTGAGCGCATTTTTGCTGCGAGGTTACCGGTGTCTCTTGCACCCGAGGGAGCCCTGGCCCCTCCTGCCCGTCCCTTCTCGGAGGGGAGCTCCGTGTGGAGGCGATGCCCTCCACCCCCGCGCTCCGCCCGCTGCTGGCTTCGCCGGGAGGGCACTGCCCCGGGTCTCCGCTGCTCTGCGGGCCCCGACCCGGGTCGGGCCGTGCCCCTGTTCCCGGGGCCGCCGTTCCCCCGCCCCGGGCCCCCCTGGTGGGGGCCGCTGCTAGGGGTCCTGCGGCCGCTCCACGCATGGGAGCGGCCGTGTGTGCTGTGCTCCCTGAGTCTAGGGGCTGCGTGTCCGTGCGCGGCTGGCCCCCCTCCCGGCCCCTCTTTTCTGCTCTGGGGGTCCTGGCGCTGTTCTGGGTCAGGGCCGCAGGGGACTGGAGTGGGTGTCTGCCCCTGCCCCCCGCCCCCGGCCAGGCCGGCCCCTCCCCGTCCCCGGCCCTGTGGAAAACGGGCTCCCGGCCCCAGCGCCGGGCACTCCGCCCCGCTGAGCCCCAGACGGGGGGCAGGGGGAGAGGGGAGAGGTCTCTGCCTGTGTCCTGAGGTGTCGGCCCCCAGGCTGCACCACCCGGGTGTGGCTGCCGTGAGCATGCGGGTGTGTGTGTCTGCTCAGGGGTGCGTTGGGGTGCGTCGGGGTGCGCTCTGCCCAGCTGAGCGGTGCGGCTCTGGTGACGCCGCCCCCTCCTAGTTTCAGGACCACGTCCGGGCGTGCGGCGAGTGCCGGGCGCCCTGCCGGTTCCGGGACATCGGCTGCCCCGCAGTGGTGAGTCCGAGGGCTCTTGGGGGGCCCTGTCTCCCGCGCACATGCCCCCTCCCCACCGCCTGTGCCCCGCAGCAGGGCCCGCGGCCGCCCTGCCCGCTCTCCTCCCGCCGATCCCCTCGTCCTATGGCCCCGGCCTTGACCACCCCGCCTGCGGGGAGAGCACAGCGCCTCGCACCATCCTGCCGCCCAGGGGGCGTCGCAGACCCCAGCCCCACGCCAGTCCTGCACCTCCCGGGCGGCCCTGGCGGCTGGGACCTTGTCTCTCTGCCGCAGTCACCGGCCTGGCCGCCCTGCAGCACGCTGACTGCCCCCCGCCCCAGGACTTCGGCCCTCCCTGCTCTGCGCCCTGCTCTCTGGGCGGCTCCCCCTCCCGGGCAGCCCCCCGCCCACCAGCCCCCCGCCCAGCACCTGGTCCTGCTCCTGAGTGGTGGGACCCAGGCAGCATTTCTGGTGGCGGCCGTCCCCAGGGGGCCCTTGCCTTTTCTGGTCTGGGGTGTTTGGTTTTTGTTTCCCTTCTCTTTTTATTTATCCACTGTTGGAGAGAAGGGAAGGGAGAGAGAAAGAGAGAAACATCCATGTGTGTTTGCACCTCGTGCGCCCCCTGCTGGGGACCTGGCCTGCAACCCAGGCCTGTGCCCTGACTGGGAATCGAACCGGCGACCCCTTGGTTCTCAGGCCGGTGCTCAGCCCACTGAGCCACTCCAGCCGGGGCTGGCTCTTGGGTTCCTGAGGACAGACAGTGTGTGGGAGCAGTGCTGCCTCTGCCCCTCAGTCCGTCTGTCCGTCTGCTCCCGTTGCCGGGGAGACCCGGTGCAGGTGGCCCCGGCTCTGAGCTGGCGCCCCGGCCCAGGGCTTCGGCCTCCCAGAGGTCAGAGTGGACGTGTCACAGGTGTGGCGCCAGCCGACCTGTGGGAGACCTCGTGGGTCCGACCCGGCCGCGGGGCTGTGTCCCGTGTGGTGCACATGGCGGTCCCTGCGGCTCGTCCCAGGAGACCCCGGGACACGGGAGTCCCTTCCGGGTGCCTCCCACGCACGTTCGTGGTCTCTCCTTCCGGTCTTCGAGCGCGTCGGCCGCTCCGAGGCCCGCTGTGGGGGTTAGAAGGCGCGGGGCTCAGAGTCGGGGCTGCACGGGGAGCCGTTCCCTCCAGCCCCGGGGGGCCTGTCCGCGGCGTGCTCTCCCTGTCACCCTGAGCGCGAGCCGGCCGGACGGTGCGGTGGCGCGGTCCTGGGACACGGCTGGCTGCCGGCGGTGGCAGAGGGAGCGCGGGAGGCAGACGGGGCGGCCGAGTCCCTGGCGTGCACCCTCGCCTCCCCCCAGGCGTGTGCGCCCCCCCCCGCCCCCCGAGGCTGCCTGTCGGGCCGGGCCGCGTGCAGGCGTGAGGACGAGCCCCCCCGTCTGGACCGCAGGTGGAGGGCGAGAAGCAGCGGGAGCACGAGGGCCAGTGGCTCCGCGAGCACCTGGCCATGCTGCTGCGCGTCGTGGAGGCCGGGCCCCCGTCCCAGAGCCAGGGGGGCGGCCGGGAGGCCGGCGTGCCGGGCCCGGGGCTCCCTGCGGCCGCGGAGCTGCTGCGCAGGTGCGAGGCCCTGGAGCGGAAGACGGCCACCTTCGAGAACATCGTCTGCGTCTTGAACCGGGAGGTGGAGCGGGTGGCCATGACGGCCGAGGCCTGCGGCCGGCAGCACCGGCTGGACCAGGACCGGATCGAAGCCCTGAGCAACAAGGTCGGTGCCTGGCTGGAGCGCGGTGGGGCCCGGGCTGCGGGGGGACAGCCCGACCTCTGGCGCGGGCCCGCTCCCCGCCTGGGCCAGGTTCACCCGGGGGCCCGCCCTGGGGGCGTGTGCCTCGCTCTGTCGCTAGGACAGCCGCTGGACCCTCAGGCCGGGGGGTCAGGGGGGTGGGGGGGGTGGGGGCGGTGGGCTCACAGGGCGGAGCTGACCTGAGCGGCCGCCCCGGGGGCGCTCCGGAGCGTGGGGAGGCTGGAGGACCGGTGGGCGCCCGGGCGGCGGGAGGCGGTCTCGCGGGCGGGGCGGGGCGGGGCGGGGCGGGGCGGGGCGGGGCGGGGCGGGGCGGGGCGGGGCGGGGCGCCCGGCCCGCGCCCTCACGGCCCCCGGCCCCCAGGTGCAGCAGCTGGAGCGCAGCATCGGCCTGAAGGACCTGGCGGTGGCGGACCTGGAGCAGAAGGTCCGCGAGATGGAGGCGTCCACCTTCGACGGCGTGTTCGTCTGGAAGATCTCCGACTTCGCCCGGAAGCGCCAGGAGGCCGTGGCCGGCCGAGTGCCCGCCATCTTCTCCCCAGGTGCTGCCCCGGAGCGCGGGCCCGAGCTGCCGCCGTGCCGGGCGCCCACCTGCCGTCCTGCGAGCGGGTGGGGGCGGGGGGGCCTCGTGGAGCCGGTGCCCCTGCGCAGAGCGGCCCCCACCGCAGCAGGGCCTCCAGGAGGGGCAGCCGCGTCGGGCGGGCGTCCCCCGGCCAGGCCTGTCCCCACGTGCGCCGGCCCCTGCTCCGGCCCCTTCCCCCACCCCCAGCTCGTGGGTCTCCCGGCGGGTGGAGGGCGGGGAGGCGGCTGTTCTCCGCCTGTCCCTCCGGGGGGTGGCGGCGGGGGGAGGGGCCCAGTGCACCCAGCTGCGCCCCGCCCCCGCCTCATTTCCCCACCCCCCACCCCAGCCTTCTACACCAGCAGGTACGGCTACAAGATGTGTCTGCGCTTGTACCTGAACGGGGACGGCACGGGGCGGGGCACCCACCTGTCGCTCTTCTTCGTGGTGATGAGGGGCCCCAACGACGCCCTCCTGCGCTGGCCCTTCAACCAGAAGGTGCACCGACCGTCTGGGGGGGCCAGGGGGCCGAGCACGGGCCGGGGTGTGGGGACTGGCGCTCCGGTTCTGGCCCTGGGGCGTGCACTGGGCACTGCCACCGGGCGCTCTGGGGGTCGGCGGTGAGAGGTGCCACCTGGGAGTGGGAGAGCCGTGTCCGAGGCAGGGGCACGGGCGGGTCGAGGAGCCGGGGTCAGGGACGAGGCCAGAGCAGGGCCGGGGGCTTCTCCTGAGAGGAGCGCGGCGGGTGAGGAAACGCCCCGCGGAGGCCGTCGGTCGCCTGGGGCTGGGCCTCGGGCCTGCGGCCCTGGGCGGAACCGTCAGCTCCAGCCTGGGCCCCCGGGGGGAGGGGGGGAGAGGCAGGCTCACGCGGCCCCCGACGCTGTCCCCCCAGGTGACCCTGATGCTGCTCGACCAGGACAACCGGGAGCACGTGATCGACGCCTTCAAGCCCGACGTGACCTCCTCCTCCTTCCAGAGGCCCGTCGGCGACATGAACATCGCCAGCGGCTGCCCCCTCTTCTGCCCCGTCTCCAAGATGGAGGCCAAGAACTCCTACGTGCGCGATGACGCCGTCTTCATCAAGGCCATCGTGGACCTGACGGGGCTCTAGCCGCCTCTGCCGGGGCCAGGCAGCCTGGCCAGTGGCCCGGTGAGGAGCTGCCACGGTGGGCAGGAGCCGCCTCCGGGCAGGGTGCCCGGCCCAGGTTGGGCTGGGCCGCGGGCGGGAGAGCCCCCCGCCGGCCGTCCTGAGGGCCCTGGGAGCGCTCTGCGGCAGGGACGGCTGGGCGGGGCGAGCGGAGGGCCGGTGGGCCCCAGACGGAGGACCCCTGTGCCTGGTCCCGCCCTTGAACCCTGGGGAACAGGGACGGTCTCGGGCCTGGCGTGGCTCCGAGGGGGCCGCACTGCAGCCCGGCCCAGCCGGCGAGCAGCGAGGTGGCCCGAGTCCTCGGAGCGCCCGTGGCGCGTGGGTGCACGGTCGGGCCTGAGAGACGGGCGGGGTCTCAGCGGGGCCTCATTAAACCGTGGACCCGCTGTGGCGGTGGTGTCCGTCGCCTCCAGCCTGGGTCGTGGGGGCACACAGCGGCTCCCCGCTGACCTCCACGGCCCCTGCCTGCGCCTCCAGCTCTCGGGCAGCCCTGCGTGTCCCCGACGCCCCCGCCCTCGGCTTCCCAGAGGGCTGCGTGGGAGCAGCACACGGCCTCCTGGTCTGGGCCTGCCCCACCCTCCGTGCGGGGACCCCAGCTCTGGGGGAGCGGCCCCCGGCGTGGCCGGCGTTCAGGCATCTCACCGCGGCATTGCCCCCCGGCCCTGCTTCCCCGCACGGAGGAGTTGGACGGAGCACGGGATTCCCTGTCCCTGCCGGCTGGTTCGGCACCGGCCTCGGGCGGAGCTTGGTGGGCCTGGGTGGGGGCCTCCGCCGGCGGGGCGAAGACAGGCGGCCGTCCGTCTGGGTTCCCAGGACTGCGGCCCGAGGCCGGCTGGGGCTGCCCAGGCGCGTGGGCGAGAGCCCCGCCGGCACCGCCCGCACACCCGCCCGCCTGTCCCGAGAAATGGACGGAACGCACAGAGAAGGACGAGATGAGCACGCTTGCCCACGTCCTGGCGGCCACATGGGGCAGAGCGGCCACGCCTGCGGCTCGCCGGTCGGCTGGGTCGGCGTTCCCCTCCCGTGCCCTGTCCACCGAGGAGCCGGGTGCATCTGGGAGCTGCGGCGGGACTTGGACAGAGCTGCCAGCGGGCGCCCTCGCCTCCCAGACCCTGTGTGTCCGTCTGCCAGCCGGAGAGCGTCCCTGGGTTCCCGGGTGCTGGCCCGTGGTGGCGCCGCGGGACCGCGTGGCGGCGGCGGTGCACAGAGGGTGCACGTGTGGACACGAGTGTGGGACGGTCCCTCCCTGAGGGCAGTGCCGCGGACCGGTCCCTCGAAAGCCCTCGCCGTCCCTGGGGCTGAACACCCTGGTGTGTCCTGCCGGCGGGGAGCGCGGCTGTCAACACTGGGTTCGGCACTGGGCTTGCAGCTGGTGTGCGTGTGTGTTTATTTATGTGCACGTGAGGGCGGAACAGGCCGGTTAGAGTGAGGAGGTTTCGACACGGGTCAGAGGGGGCCGGGGCGGCCGCAGGAGGAAGGGTTGGGCAAGGGAGGGAGGAGGGAGGAGGGAGGGGTGAGGGCCTGCGTGGGCGGCGCTGCAGGGCTGGCGACTGCGGCTCCCGGCCCGCCCGGTGCGCAGGGTGCAGGTCAGGGCGGGCCGCCCTCGCCGACTGACTGGCTCAGGGAGGCCAAGTCCCCTGGAGGGAGACCCTGCGGGCGGGCCTGCCTGAGCCGCTTTGTCACCTCCCCAGAGGCGCCATCTCGCCCTCCACCCAGGGCCTCCCAAGTCCTACAGAGCTGCCTTCGCAACCCTCGTTTTAGGGCCCGGCCCAGCCCCTGGCAGTGACAGGTGTCCACGCCAGGCCTGTGCAGGCGGCACCCCCCCACGAGCGTGAAAGGCAGAGACCTGTACCGAAGACACAGGAGACACTGCTCACAGGACGAGGACGCCTCGGTCCCCTTCCGAGCTGGCCCCTTGGGACCTCCCGCGGTTCTCGCAGGCGCCGTCCGCTGCCCTTCGTGTTTTCCCGAATCCCATCGACGGTCCGAGGCCTCTCCCTCTCAGACGTGATTTTAGTTTTGGGAGAAGCCAGAAGTCGCAGGGTGCCAGATCGGGGTGGTAGGGGGCCTGCGTCACCTGGGTGATTTTGTTTGGCCAAAAAACCGCACGAGATGAGGCGCCTGAGCAGGCGTGTTGTGCCGAGGCTGTGGCCTTCTGAGTCACCCGAGCAGTTCCCGCAGAGGGCGTCCAAGCCTCACGCAAACCTGATGCGGGTTCGCCGCTCTCCTCGCTCAGTCGTTTCTGAATGTGACGGCCACGCAGTGCGCACGCTCACTCACTGGCGCCTGGCACACCCACTGACTAGTGCAGTGAAGTCGCCGTGGTTCACGCGTGTGCGTTCCAGTCCACTCTCCTTGGCCGCCCGGTGTCACCAACGTCACGCCAGCCATTCTCGTTGTGTTGACCATGGCTGGACTTTTTCCAGACGGACCTGTGTGAGCAGAGAGCACGGCACAGCCCGCGTGCCCCTTCCCCGGCACGCGGTTTGGAGGCCACAGGGCAGGTGGCCGCACGTCCTTCCTTCAGAGACACGAGGACACCCGGCCCCGTGGCCGGGCTGCTCTGTGCGCTCTTCCCTGAAGGGGCCGGGGGGCGTCTGCTGCGTGTGACTGGGACCCTCCCGCCTGTGCCGTGCGTCCGTCTCTCGGGAGGAGCTGCCGGGTGTCGTCCAGAGTGGCCGCACCCCGGCCGGGCGGGACTCTCGCTGGCCCCTCATGTTCCCCGCCGTCTAGGAAGTAGTAGCGCTCGCTTTTCAGCGTGACCCATGATCCTTGAGAACCCACTGGGGCCACAGCCCGCCCGGGCCGACCATGCAGGTGAGGGCGCCCCGGGCGCCCCTCGTCTCCAGGGAGGGACACCAGCCTGTGTCCGCCCGCCCTCACTGTCCGAGGGGACAGGAAGGCACAGCCCCCCGTCGCCCGGCCCGGCCCGGGTGGGGCGTCAGCTGCACGTTTGCTGCTGTCACGGGTGAGACACGTTGGTCCCCTGACGGTGGTTAAAGTCTGTCTCTGGTCGAGCCGCCCTGAGCGCATGGGCTCGGGAGCCCGGACGGGTGTCCCGTCCCCAGGGAGGGCGCTGCAGGGCCACCCGGCCAGCGTGGCCTGAACTCTCGGCCCCAGCCAGGGCGGCGCACTCCGGCCAGGGCACGCCTAGGGTGCAGGGTCCGTGCCCTGGGGCCCTGGGGCACTGAGGGGAGGCGGCCAGGTGGTGGTTCTCGTCCTCTAGACTCAGAAAGAAAATATTTAAAAAACTATATCACGAGAAACTGAAACCATGTTTCAGAGCAGCTTCTTGGGACCTGAATGTGCCCCCAACACACACACTCACACACACGTGTGCACACGTTCACACACACACACGGTCCCTCGGGACCCCGCCTCTGAGGTGCGGGGAAGGTGTCGGGAGGTGGGCCCGGGGCGGTGGCGAGGTCGTGAGGGGACTGGTGCCCGTCCTGTGAGGACCCCGAGGGTCTGCCCCCTGAGCAAGGGTGCCCCCACCCTGCCGGCACCTGCCCGCGGCCCTCCGCCCCAGAACCCAGGAGAGGGCTGCGGTGTGGGAGCCCTGGGGGGCTGGCAGCTGGAGCCCGCTGTGGTCCCGCCGGTGCTGGTGGCAGCACCCACGACGGCCCGCCCGCACGGGCGCCGCGCGCCTGCATGTGTGAGCAGTGTGTCGTCTCGGGGGGAGTGTCTGCTCTTTTCTGAGGATTTTTGGAGCGGGGAAAGGAGGGAGGAAGAGAGGGAAAGACACTCCTGTGTGGTTGCCTCTCCTGCGCCCCCTACTGGGGACCTGGCCCGAAACCCAGGCCTGTGTCCTGACTGGGAATCGAACCTGCGACCCTTTGGATCTGCAGGCCGGTGCGCATCCACTGAGCCACACCAGCCGGGGCTGTTCTGCCCATTCTTAAATTGAGTTGGTGGTTGGCCTACTGCTGAGTTTTGGGAGTCGTTTGTTTAGTCTCGGTGCAAGCTCTGTGTTTGGGTGCGTGACCTGCACACGTGTCCTCGGTCTGCAGCTTATCCCTTCACCCTCCTGACCGAGTGCTGTTCAGAGCAGACGCCATCCCCCCCGGCGAGGCCGTCGGCCAGTGCTCTCGCGGCGCATCGTGCGGGGTCTCGTGCGACCTCCCGTTTCTGGAGCCGCGGTAGCGCCTCCCCAGGTCACACTCCGACCTGCGGCCCAGCGGGTCCGCATCTGTCCAAGGTGTGGGGGCACGTCTGGGTCCGTTTCCGTGTTGCGCGTGGGTGGGCGGCTGTCCCAGCACCGCCTCTCCCTCCTCGCGCTGCTGTGAAGACCGGTCTGCCCCGTGGGTGGGCGGTGCCGTGTCCGGGTGTGGCCGGCACCGCCGCTGCCTTCTCGGGCAGGGTCCCGGCCGGGCAGCCCCGGTGGTGCGCCTCCGGCTTCGTGCTCGTGGTTCCGGGTTCGTGTGTGTGTTTCACCAGACTCGCCCTGCCCCTGCCTGCGGCCGTGCCGGACCCCACTGCCGCTGCCCCTGGGGCTGGGCCAGCCCCACGGAGCCCCTTTTGGGGGGCAGGGCCCCCGTGCCGGGTCTCGCAGTCTGCCGGCGGACAGGCGGGCTCGGACCCGGGGCCCCACGGTGGAACTCCGCCCACCCCGGGCATTTGTCAGGGCCAGCCCACGCACGGCCCCTTCGGCTGGGGTGAGAGGCCTCGGGGCCCAGCTGTGTCCCCTGGGGTCCAGGGGCTCGGCTGCTCTGTGCCCACCCGTGGCCGTGAGCTTCCCGAGTGCACTTCCTGTTTCTAGGAGCTGTGGGTTTTTCTGAGTCGGGGGGGGGGTGTTTTATGCCGAAACAGCCCTGTCACCTGTGAAGGGGACGGTGTCGCCCCTTCCTGCAGCCTGGCGGCAGGCAGAGCAGGCGGCGAGGGTGCTGGCCCTGCCTTGCTCCCGTCCAGGGCAGCCGCCCGGTCCTCCCGAGCCCGCTTGGACCTGCAGGTCCTTTGGTCCACGCGCCCGCCCATCAGGTTGGGCAGCCCCCACCCCGTCGGCAGAGCTCTGTCTTGACCGGCTGCTCTGGCCGTGCCTGCTCTGCGCCGTCAGCCCGCCGGTGTGTGTGGGCCCCCGGGGTACCGGCCGGCCCGCCCCGCGGCTGCCGACGGCGGACTTGCGCCTGGGCCAGCACAGAGACTGGACGGCGACGGGCTGTTGCCAGCTGTTTATTCAGGTCCTGAGCAGTGACCAGTGACACGCGGTTCGCCGGGGCTACTGCAGCAGGCGGACTCGCATCGCTGACGGGAGTGGGAGCCGGGGACCCACCGGCCGGCCAAGCGCAGTGTGCTGACGCCCCAGGGCCCGGGCCTGGGGGACGAGCGGTGAAGAGTGGGAATCCCAGTATCCTGTGTGCCCCAAGTCGGCCCCAGGGGCCCCCCAGCGCCCCAGTGCTAAGCGTCAAGGCTGTGGGAGGCGGTGTGCGTGTGCTAGCGTGGCGGGGGCCGGGCCGTCCGCTCCGTGCCGGACCCCCTCCCTAAGGCGTTGCCGCTGCGAGCTCCCCTGCCGCCCACGCAGTCCGGGCAGCAGCGTGGCCGTGCGAAAGAGCTCCAGCCTCCGGGGTGTCCTCCTTCCTGGCCGACCCCTCAGCGCCGCTGGCCGGCGAACCAGGAGAAGAAGCTGCGCGGGCGCGGGGCCTCGTGGACGCGCACGGTGCGCGGCGAGCGCCAGGCTTTGATGGTGGCGTCGTCGCTGGCGGTCAGCAGGAGCTCCTGCTCCTGGGGGCTGAAGACCACCGAGTTGACCACGTCCTGGTGCTGCAGCTTGGCCAGACAGATGTTGTAGTGGCGGTCCCAGATGTAGCCGTGCCGGTCCTCCGCGCCGCTGCGGGGCAGCCTGGGGTGAGCCCCTGCGCGCCACACTGGTCGCCGCCCCACCGCCGCCCCCGCCCCCGGCCACGCGCCCCCACCTGGCCACGAAGTCCCTGCTGACGTCCAGGAAGATGAAGAAGCACTCGTCGTTGGGCGTGTAGGCGCGGTGCGCGCGCAGGGCCCGCTTCACCTCCCGCATGGTCTTGAGGTCGAACACCAGCAGGTCGATCTCCTCCGCGATGGGCGGTGGCTGCATGGGGTCGGCCACCACCGAGCCGCTGGGCCAGGCGCGGCTGTTCACGTACAGGTACCTGGGGGGAGACAGCGCGCTCACGCGTGCGCCGGGGCCCTCAGGCGCCCCGGCCCAGCACCGCGCGCACCTGTGGTCCGGGGACAGGCCCATGCCGACGATGTGCCCGCGCACGTCGATCACGTGGTCCAGGGCGTCGAAGAAGGCGTCGGAGCCCCGCCCCTCGCCCAGCACGGGCCCCGCGGTGGTCATCTGGTGCGGTAAGATGTGCTTGATGCCTGCGGAGGGGCCAGGTGAAGGACCCGCCACTCCCCGGCGCCCGCGGCCCCCTCCCCCGCGCCCACGGCCCCTCCGCGCCCGCGGGCCCTGCTCTCCGGGAGCGGGACCGGGCTGGGCCCATCACAGACATGAAGCTACCGTGCCCAGCGCTCTGGGGGCTGAACACTGGCCCTGCCCGCAGTTACCGATCTGGTGTGGCGAGTAGGTGAGGCAGCCCGTGGTGAAGATGAGGAGCTTGTCCAGGGCGCTGGCCGCGCCGCACTCCGGGGGCTTGGTGCGGCCCTGGGCCAGCAGCTCCGCCACCTTGGTCTCCAGCGCGCACTCCGCCAGCTGCGGGTGCGTCTGCCGGTCCAGGAGTTGCCGGCAGCCCTTCTTGGCCCCCGGTGGGGCCGGGCCAGCTGCCTGGTCCTCGTCCTCGTCCTCGTCCTCGACGTCACCACCGAGGTCAAAGACGCGGCCGGGGGACGCGCCCGCATCCAGCAGGAGGTCGGGGCTGTCGAAGCGACTGCAGTCTGCCACCATCACCGTGCGGATGGTGCTGGCGTTGAGGTTCTGGATTTTAAAGAGCCGCTTCACCACGTTGACGTTCTCCGACTCAATGTCCTGGGGGGGGGGGCGGTGGGTGACGGGCCAGCTCAAGGAGAGGGGATCCCCACCGACGGGTGCCCACCCGCACCTGGAAGGCGTTGTTGAGCCAGAGCACCGAGCAGGAGGTGATGTCTCCGATGCGGTGCAGGTTCCCCGAGATCAGGTTCGTCTCCGTGAGCCAGCAGCCGAACACGTCGTAAGGCTTGTTGCGGACACGGGACAGCAGCGTGAAGTTGTCTGCGGGGAGCAGACAGAGGGCTGCCCAAGGGAGGGGCGGGGCCTGGGGAGGGCGGGGCGAACCCTGGGGGAGGGGCCGAGGCCCTGCGCGCGCAGGCCCGCTCTCACCGAGGCTGATGACGGCGATCTCGCCGGAGGAGGCGTTGTGGGGCCCCAGGAACACCCCCGAGGCCAGCAGCAGCGAGTCGTCCTGGTTGAACTGGGAGAACTGGGTGTAGCTCCAGTTGTAGGGTCGCATGTCCGCGCTGTGCAGCAGCGAGATGCGCAGGTCGTTCTTCCAGATCTGCGCGCGGGCAGGGTGTGAGTGGGCACCCGGAACCCCCTGGGCGCCCCGCCCTCTGGCCCAAGCCGGTGCCCGGAAGCACCATCACGGTGGCTCAGAAGGGCCAGCGTGGCAGCTTCTTGGTCCTGGCTGTCAGCCCACCCCACGGATTGCCTGTGGCGTGCCCCCTACTGGGGACCTGGCTTGGGACCCAGGCATGTGCCCTGGCTGGGAATCAAACCTATGATCCTTTGGTTCGCACACCTACTCGATCCACTGAGCCACACCAGCCAGAGCGCCATTGGCAGTTTTGACCTTCCCCATCCAGCCCCCTGTCCTGTGTGCTCCTGGCTGAGGTGCCTCTCCCCTGGCCTGGCCCTCTCTGTGGGGACCTGGCAGACTGGGCACCTCTCATCTCCAGCCTCTCTCTTCCAGCTGGGTGGGCTGCCAGGCTTCAGGCCCATCCCCCTGTGGCAGGGTGGAGACAGGCCCGGGCCACCCTCACCTTCACGGTGCAGTCCTTGGAGCAGGAGGCGAACCGGTAGCCCGAGTGGGAGAAGCTGAGGTGCAGCACCTGGTCAGTGTGCTCCCTGAGCGTCTGCACCTCCACGCAGGGCACCGTGTCGTAGAGCCGCTGGAACTCCTCGTACCAGGAGGTGGCCGCTACAAGGCACGAGGCGGGGGGCTCTCGCTGCTGGGGCCCAACAGAGTGGGGGCCAGCACTGCCCCTGGAGTGCACTAATCACCGCTCTGGCCTAAGTGGGGCACGCTCCCTGCACCCCCAACCCCAGTGTGGCCCCGCCCACCCTTGGCCTCCTGCTGGGCCCTGCACTCCCCAGCGTGGCCTGGCTGTGCCCCTTCGATGTGAGGACCTGGGGGTGGAGGGCGGGCTCGCCTCCCACCCAGCCGGCCCAGTGGGCAGCAGGGCCATGTGCCAGGGCTGACCTGGGTGTCGGGGCACGTCGCGGGCCACCCGGTAGTATCGGTAGAACTGCTCCCTCCAGAGGAACTCGTCCCGGGACACGGCCTGCCACTGGCGGCACACCAGCCCTGCGGCCAGCACGTCCGCAGGGCCCAGGCTCAGGAAGATCTGGTAGACCAGGCAGGCGGGGAGCAGGGGCGTGTCCCCCTCATCCATCGTGACATTCTGCCCGGGCGGCCCTGAAACCCAGCACGACTGCCTTAGCTGCCAGTTGGTCCAGGGAGGATGCTGGCCCCCTCGCCGAGGAGAGGTACCGAGCCCTGGGGGCGCAGAGGCACCCCAGGCCTGTCCTCCAGCCCCACCCACTGCCCTGTTGGGCATTTTGCTAGACTGAGCGTGTGTGGATGGCCAGCGGGCACTGCCCACCCAGCCGAGGGGCCAACAGCTTCACCAAGCCTCCCTGGACAAGCCCTGCTCCCCGGCCACCAGCTCTGGTGGCGCCCCCAGCAAGTCCCCGAGTCCCCGGGACAGGCAGCTTCGGGGCAAGCAGCAGGCACTCTGCGGCACCTCCGAGCCTGGTCCATCCTGAGGGGCAGCGTGGGGCGGGCCTCCAGGGACCCCAGTCGCACCTTCACCCCAAAACGTTCTAGGTCTTGGGGACAGGCCTCAGGTTAGGCCCTCTGACCCCCCCCCCCACACACACACACGTAGACACGGGGGGACATCTGGGTGCCAGGGCAGGCGACCGCCCCGAGGCCAAGAAACGAAGCGCCCGCTGCGCCCTGCCGTCCCTTTGACCTCTCCTCCCCGAGCCTCGGAGCTGTCAGGCTGAGACAGAGACTTCCTTCCCAGGAGGGGTTTGGGGCCCGCCCCGGACGCCGCCAGGGGCACCAGCCGGCCCTCGGTCTCTGTCCCTCGGCCTAGGGGAGCCCTGCCGGGCGGTCTGCGGGCCGGCGCGGCCACCGCCGGCGGAGCTGGGGGCGGGGCGGGGAACGCCGGCGCCCCCTCCCACCTTCCCTCCGAGGGGCTTCCGGGGGCGGGGCCTACGGGCTCATTCATTGGCTGAGGGTGCGGCGGGGGGCTGGGGACCGGTGACCAGGCTTCGGGGACCGCTGACGACGCTCTCCGGGGCCGGGGCCGGGTCATGACACTCCCCGGGGCCGAGTGACGTCGTTTCCGGGGGCTACGCGCACTCACCGCGGCCGCCTCCGGCCGACTGCGCTGCCCCCGCCCCGGCGCCCTGCCTCGGCCCACCGGCCCGGTTCCGCCCGCCGCCGCGTCTCTAAGATGGAGCCGCCAGGCCGCCGCCACGAGCCCCGAGGCACCGGTGGCCGCGGAGGGCCGAGCGCTCGCAGCCTGCGTCAGCTGCGCCTGCGCGCCGGGCCCGGGGGCTCGGCGGTGCTTCGTGCGCCTGCGCGCTCGGGTGCGCTCGGAAGAGCGCCCCTGGCGCCCGGGAGGAGCGGGTGCTGCGCGCGGGGTCGAGGCCGTGCGTTCCCGACCCGGCTCTGGCGCCCTGGTGTTCGGGCCCCCGAGCAAGTGGCTTCCGGAGCCCCGTGTTCTTCGCCATGGGAACTATACCCGTTCCTGGCTCAAGGCGCTGCGGGCGGTTTGAGGGAGATAAATGTGACCCTAACCCTAACCGACCACAGTGGAAATTCGTGGGGGCTCTCAGGCAAATAGCCAGAGGTCAGCTCCGCCTGTGTACACAGGGCATGGTGCCAGGGCCCTGCCGGGAAGTGCAGGGTCGAGGTCAGATGTCCAGGGCGAGGCCAAACCCGTGCGGGGGGTGGGGGGACCTGGCTCTGGGCTGGGGCTTCTGGGAGAACAGCTTGGACTTCCTGGGCCGGGCTCCTGGGCAGCCACGGGCGGTGGACTCCGACCCAGCACGTGGCCACCCCGCCCTTGGTCTCCCTCACTCCTGTCCCCGTCACTGCCTCCACCATGCTGCCTCCCAGGACTGCACTGTTCTTGACTCTCGTTTTGGCTCCCGGCTTCCTGGGCCTGAGGGTGCGGCGACCCGCCCAGCAGCCCCCGTCCCCCATCAGCGCCATCCAGCCCAAGGCTGACTTCGACGCTCAGCAGGTGGAGCAGGGGGCGGGTGGGGGGGCAGCGGCTCCCCCAGCTCTGTAGGGCTCAGGCCGGGGGCAGCCCCATCCCTCCGTGCCCTTAAGCGGCTGGCCTCCAGTTTGCAGGGACTTGGTTCCTGGCCGCCGTGGCCTCCTCGTGTCGCTTCCTGCAGGAGCAGGGCCACCGGGCTGAGGCCACCACACTGCGCGTGGAGCCCCAGGGCACCTCCATGGCTGTCAGCACCTTCCGAAAGCTGTGAGTGCAGCTCGGTCCCCCGGCCCCACCCCAGCCCCATCCACCGTGCCGGGTCCCGGACCACGGTGCTGCCCGCCGGCCGGGGGTTGGGTCCCGGAGCCTGCTGTGCCTCCCCCCACCCAGGGACGGCATCTGCTGGCAGGTGAAGCAGCTCTACAGAAGCGCCGGGGTCCCAGGCCGCTTCCTGCTCCAAGGTGAGGCCCCGCAGCAGGAGTGGGTGCAGGGGTGGGGGGTGGGGCCGACCTCACCTCCAGCGGTCTCTGCCCAGCTCGCGGCGCCAGGGGGCAGGCGCAGGTGGCCGTGGGGGAGACGGACTACAGCAGCTTTGCCATCCTGTACCTGGAGCGCACACGGCGGCTGTCGGTGAAGCTGTACGGTGGGTCCACGCAGCGGCCCGCGCTCTGCGCTCCCTTGGCCCCAGCCGACTGGGGGGGGCGCTGGTCGAGCCCCAGCACACACAGAGGCCCTCCCCTCCCTCCCTCCCTCCCTCCTCGGGGCGTCCTGACCCTCTGCTGCTGACCAGGGTCCAGGGAGGTGCCCCCGCAGATACATCCAGGTGTGGGGCCGGGAGGGGCGAGAGGAGCACTGGTCAGACGTGGTGGGGCGTGTGGCAGGCGCACAGACCCTGTCCCCAGGGCACCCTGCCCGCCAGGGTGGGGCGGGAGCCCAGCCCCCCAGGAGCCCCGTGTCCCACAGTGCGCTCGCTCCCCGTGGACGACTCGGCGGTGGACAGGTTCGAGCAGCGGGTCCAGCAGGCCAACCTGACTGAGGACCACATCCTGTATTTCCCCAAATACGGTGAGTGGCCCGCGCACCCGCCTGCCCACCTACCCGCCCGCCCCACGGGCCTCGGCCCGGCCACCCTGACCCCTGCCTGGCCCCCAGGTTTCTGTGAGGCCGCAGACCAGTTCCACATCCTGGACGGTGAGTGGGCGACCAGTGCAGCGGGGCGGGGCGCCCCGCACCCGAGGCCGCCCCGTGGGCTGAGTGCTGTGTCTGTGCTGCAGAGGTCGGCAGGCGACGCCAGCAGTAGCCGGTCAGTGACACGGAGTGAAGATCCCCCATGGAGGCCTGTCCCCCACCCATCCCCTCACGCTGCCCCTCACCCCCAGGTCCCTGGGGCGCTGCCCCCATTAAATGCCATCTTCCTTGGCCGGACTCCGTCCTTCCTGTGCTGGGCCCCCGTGGGCACCTGGGGCTGCTTCCCAGGTGGTCGGAGCTCTCCCCAGGGAGGCCACGTGGCAGGGGTCCCTGCCCTAGGCGGGCAGGAGGTGGGGCTGCCCCGCGGCTGGCCAGACCAGGAGGACTGTGGTTGCTGGGAGGAGCCAACAGCAGCCCTGGAGGAGACTCATGTCCCCATTGGGTGGGGACCGCGCCTGACCCTGCAGACGGGAATCCCAGGGGGACAGATAGGTGGGGCTGCCTGGAGGAGGGCATGGCAGGGCACTCAGCTCCTAGGACTTCAAGGGACAAGGACAAAGGAGACCGGAGCCCCCACGGGCCCCAAGACCGACAGGTCACATGCATTGCCTGGGTGGAGGCTCAGAGCAGCAGGCCCCCCCTCCACTCCGACGCCCCCCAACATGGAAACTTAGGGCTTTTGCCCCAGGAGGAGGGGCAGGGGTGCTCACAGATCCCCCCCAAGGGATTCTGGAGAAAGGATGGCGTTCCTGGAGTGACCAAGGGGCGGTGCCAGAGCCCCTCCCGAGTGACCCCAGGACTGAGGCCGCACCACAGGACACTTCCCCTCTGTCTGACCAGGGCCCAGGGCCAGGCAGGAGCCTGGAGACAGCGCGGGGGCGGGGGGGTGGGAGGGGGGAGCGGAGGGATGGGGGCGGAGCTTGGAGAGCTACGGTGCGGGGCGTGTCGCGTCCTCGCGGAGGCGCTTGCTGAGCTCTAACGGAGTGTTCAGACGCGGAGGTGGACGCCTTGTAGCTCCAAGCGGATCACTTTTCCGTGAATGTCTTTATTGTTGACTCAGCTGCGAGGTCCGGGCTGTGCCGGCCGGGGCGGCGGGGGTCCGCGCTCTGCCTCGCTGCTGTGTCCCCAGAGCCTCCTGAGGATGGGGGAGCACAGGGAAGACGGCGTCGCCGGGCAAGGCTGAGTGCGCCCCAGCCGGTCCCGAGACCACAGCGGCGCCTGCGCCCAGAGGGCGGGCCTCCCGGCCTTCAGGGGCTGGGGCGGGAGCTGCCCCCCAGCTCCCATCGGAGTGAAACGGGGTGGCTCCTTGGGGCCCTGGGATGGAGAAGAGCCGCATCGTGGGAGGCTTGGCTCGTTGTGGGTCGGTCTCCTGGACACACTGCTGACCAGCGGGCACAGCCAGCTCAGGGGATGGGGACGGCGCCCCGCGGGCTTGCCCCCCTAGACCCCAAGCCTTCCCCCTGCCCTGGGGTATGCAGAGGACCCCGAGGGGCCTTGGCAACGGGAACCCTCCTGGAAGGGGAAAGGCCCTGGGGGGGTCCACACCTTCCATGGGGGGACTGCGGCCTGGCACAGAACCCAGCCCCGAAGGCACTCGGCTTTGGGGGGCAGGGCTCTCCATGTGGCCTGGCTGAGGCTCCTGCTCCGGATGGGCCGCCCACGGCCGAGGGCGTGTGAAGGGAGGAGGCGGCCCAGGACAGGGAGGCCCGGTGGGGAGGACAGGGAGTTCACGGGTCAGGGACGCACTCTTCCTGGCTGTTATGGAGTCCAGCACCCCCCCACCCTTGGCTGCCCAGGGGCAGGGGGGGGTCCCGTCCTGGTCCCTCCTCCGGGGCAGCCGGGCGCAGGGAGGGGCTGCACGTCCAGAGCCCTCCTGTGGCCTCCCCTGCCCCGGAGTGCGGGGGTCCCCCACCTCTGCTCCCCCTCTGGCCGAGGGTCCCCGCACGCCACCTCCCCCGCCCCTCACCTGCACCCCGGGACTGCGGGCCCAGCGCCCCGTCTGACGTGCACCCGGGGTGTGGGGCCGTGTGCAGTGGCGTGGGTGCTGGCGGGCCCGGGCCCCACACTGTGTCCCTGCAGCGAGGACGCTGTGACCCTGAGCCGGGGGACTGGGCGGGGACAGGCTCCCTGCCGGGGGCGTGCTGCCTCCTCCCCGCCGCTGGGCGGGGGCTGCGGGCTCACTCGGAAGGGGGGCCGTGGGGGTGCAGAGTAGAGTGGGGGGGTCTCGGGGATCAGGAGGCAAAGACCAGGGACCCAGTCGGCACCCCTTCCCTCACTCCCTGGCCTTCCTCGGACCTTGCACACCCCAGGCGGGGTGGGGGGGCCCAGTTGCCGCCTCCTTGGTGTGCAAGGCCCGAGGAAGGCCCTGCCTTGTGCAGCCCCCGCCCCCCAGACCCTGCACCCGGTGTCCCTTCTGCCCGAGCAGGAAGGCGGAGCCGCCACACCCCAGGGCGGGCACTGCGGGAGGGCGGCCCATAAAGAGGCGGGTTGAGTGGGCATTGTGCGGAGTGGCGGGGATGGGGCTGCCGGGCGCGCCGGGCGCAGCCCTCACCCTGCTGGCGGCCCTGGCGGGCTGGTCCTGGTGGCTCCCGAGGGCCGGCGCCCAGGCCTTGAAGAGCTTCCAAGAGGACCAGGTTGGGGGTGCTGGGCAGGCGGGCAGGCAGCCGGCCAGGTGCAGGCAGAGAGGCAGGGACCTGGCCGGGCTCTCAGACGCCCCTACCGGGGAGACCCTTGATCTCCCTCGGAGGCCGGCTCCTGGGTGGGCACTGCCTCCCGGGGTCCCCCCAGCCCTCCCTGTGGGGGGCCATCTCAGTCCCTCGGCGCACACACACAGAAACCAAGGCCCCGACAGGCCAGGGTCCCCCGTCCCCACCGGACCCCGGGCAGCCTCCAGGTCCCGGCCTCAGCGGTGCTGGGGCCGGGCCCCGGGAGGGCCCCTGGGCACCCTGGGCTCTGCCTGCCCCACCCCCTGTAGTTCCAGGGCCACTGGTTCGTCCTGGGCATGGCGGGCAACTCCAACAGCAGGGCGGACAGGTCCCTCCTGAGCCCTTTCACGGCCACGTTCGAGCGAAGAGGGAAGCGCCACCTCGAAGTGTCCTACGCCATGAACCGGTGAGTGAGGCCCCGGCCTGCGCCCCAGAAGCCGATGGCTCCATGGTGCTGGGGCCACGCTCTCCACGTTGCCCCCCACCCCCCGGCCGCCTCCTGATGCCGTCACAGCACAGCCTGCCAGGACCCCAGCCGGCTCTGGGTCATGCGGCTAAGAAAGGAGGCATTTACTGGAACGTGGACTCGGCCCGCAGGCCTGTGGCTTTCAGGTTCAGCGGGATCCAGGAGCCCAGCTATTGTGCTTGGGCCTTGGCACGCCTCTCCGCCCCCGTGAGCTCGGCCTGCCCCAGGCCTGCGGGCAGGCTGCCTCTCGCCTCACAGGACAAGACAGTGGCCGAAGCTGTCGTCCTTCTCAGGGTCCCAATTCCAGGAACCGGGAGCACCCAGGCCAGCTTGGTAATGGCCCTTGGCCCTGATTGGTCTTCTTGAGGCATGTGCTCCTCCTGGACCAATCATTGTGTCCAGAGTGACAGGCACTGTGGTTGGCCAGCCCAGGCCAAGTGCCCGCCCCCTGGTGGGGCTAGATGGCCCCCAGACCTCTGGTCAGGGCTCCTGGGAACATCGCGTAGAAGCCTGAGGCAGGCAGGTCTGTCTTGGGGGCCCAGCTGTGCCCTGGAGGCTGAGAGTAGGACAGTCCGGCCCCTGAGGGGCCACACCCAGCTCCTGCCGCAGTCCCCCCGGGAGCACGGCCTCCCACTGACCCTCGGAGCCGCCTGCACAGCTTGGCCTCCTGGGGCACCCGGCCTGCCCGGCTGGGCTCCAGCTGGAGGCTGATTGATTGAAGGGACCCAGTGGGTAGCCCTCTGGGTAGCCTCCCCCGCACCCCTGACCTGCAGGCCAGATTCATGTGCTGCTTGTCAAAGTATCCGGCGGTTCCCTGCCGGTGCCCCCGCACCGCTGGGCGGGCCTCTGAGGCTGGGGCGGGAGCAGGGTGTGCAGGCCCAGCGCAGCGCGGCCACCCCAGCCTCCCTCCGGCCGCTGCCCGTGAGACCCCCGGAGAGGGGGCTTTTTCTCACCCCTGTGCGCCCTGCTCCAGGCCCAGCAGGAGTGGCCAGTGAGTGGGCCGGGCAGAGGCTGCGAAGGGGTCGGCCACACCAACAGGCGGTGGGGCTCACAGGTCACTGCTCTGGGCGCGGGCGGCCTCAGGGGGCACCGCGTGGACACACCCTTCCCCGGGGAAGGCAGCTTGGCCCCACCCTGCTGAATTCTCCTGGGGGGCCCACCTGGGGGCCAAGGAGGGCAGCAGCCTGGCTGGGTCCTGGAGCCCTCCTCCGCCGCCCCCTCCGGCACAGGGGTACCCGCTGCATCACCTGGTCTTACCTGCTGACCCCCACGGCCCAGCCCGGGCAGTTCTCCGTGGACAACAACAGGGGTGAGATGCGGGGAGGCGGGGGGCCGGCATGGGGGGCGCTGGCGGGAGGGCCTCTGACCGGCTGCACCCCCTCAGAGCCCGGGGCCCCGGCCGAGGAGCTGCAGGTGCATGACACCGACTACACCAGCTTCGCCCTGATGGTGTCCAAGCGGAAGTCTGGCAGCCGGAGCATCCTCAGGGTCTACCTGCTGTGTGAGCCCCGCCCCGCCCCGCCCCCTCCCTGCAGCCTCGCTCGGGCAGGCGGGGCTGGAGCGGGGAGGTGGGCTACGCCGGAGGGGGGTGCCCACCACTCGGCGCCCCTGCCGCCCTCACAGAGGGCCACGCCCTGTCCTCGGACTCCAGGCAGAATGTGGGCGATGGAGGCCAAGGCCCTGGACGGGTTCGCCTGCCTGCTCAAAGCCCAGGGCCTCTCGGAGGACAACATCATCTTTCCAGACTCAGCAGGTGATGCTCGCCGGGGGGGGGGGGGGGCGCCTGCCTGTGGGGGGGCCCCATGGGAGCCCTGTGGGTGTGTGCGGCCTGCGCTTGGGGGCCACGTGGCGGGGCCTGGCAGCCACAGAGGGTTCAGCCTGAGCTCAAACTGAGGGGTCTCACGGCTCTGTGGTGTCTGCCTCCACCTGGGTCACACCCACCTGCACACCCGCCTGCACACTCACCTGCACATCAACCTGCACGCTCACCTGCTCACCTACCTGCACACTCACCTGCTCACCCACCTGCACACCCACTTGCACATCCACCTGCACACTCACCTGCTCACCCACCTGCACACCCACCTGCACACCCACCTGCTCACCTACCTGCACACCTACTCACCCACCTGCACACTCATCTGCACATCCACCTGCACACTCACCTGCTCACCCACCTGCACACTCACCTGCTTACCCACCTGCCCACCAACCTGCACACTCACCTGCTCACCTACCTGCACACCTACTCACCCACCTGCACACCCACCTGCACACTCACCTGCTCACCCACCTGCACACTCACCTGCACATCCACCTGCATGCTCACCTACCTGCACACTCACCTGCACACCTGCCTGCACACTCGCCTGCACACCCATCTACTCACCTACCTGCACACTCACCTGCACACCCGCCTGCACACTCACCTGCTCACCTGCCTGCACACCTACTCACCCACCTGCACACTCACCTACTCACCCACCTGCACACTCACCTGCACACCCACCTGCTCTCCCACTTGCACACCTGCCTGCACCTGGCTGCCTGGGTCTACATTGAATCAGGGGGTTTGTGGAGCTTCCTGAGGACCAGGTCTGGGGGAGAGCAGTGCCGGGGGTGGGGGGGACACGTCCCTCGGCCCTCGGCCTCCTGCCCCAGCCCCTGCCCCTGCAGCCGCTGCAGGCCCCCTTTCTCCCCGCCTCCGCCCCCCACCCCTCGGGAAGCTGAGTGTCTCCCTCGCCTGCCCTGGGCTCCCGGCCGGCCCTGCCCCCCCACCACCCTGCTTCCTGAGCCCCTGTCACCCCGTCAGACTGGTCATCCCACCAGAGTTCGTGCTGATGGAAGGAGTGGCCCCGGCCAGGCCCCGTCACTGCCTGGCACTCGCCCTCAGCGGGGGTCACAGGGCCCCGCCCACCATGAGTGACCTCAGTGGCCGTGGACCATTTCCTCCCGGCGTGGCCTGGGCCCGAGGGCAGCAGAGGACACTCCTCGCCTGGGGGGACCGCCGTCCGAGGGCTCATGGTGATCGTTGGCCCTGCACTGCGGGCACTGGGTGGCCGGGTCCCACCGTGCCTCCTGGCCGCCTCTTTAGGGTTGAATGAATCGTCTGTTCCACCACTTACTCTGTGTTTGCGTGTCCATGTGCATTGTTTCTTTAACCCCCTCAACCGCGGTCAAGGGCACCGCTCGGCCTGCACTGACCTCTCCAGGACCGTCCGCCTTCCCGCACAGACGCTCCGCCCCCGTGAGACCCCTGCTCCCACCCACCGTGGGCTCCGTGTCTCTGTGGGTCTGCCCCCTCCGGGGGCCTTGTGTGAGTGGGGCCTGGCAGGACTGTGCCCCTGTGACCGGCTTCCGTCCCCCGGCATCGTGTCCTCCGGTCCGATGTGGCCTGGGCCAGGGCGCCTGACTCCTGGTGGCCAAGTGGTGCTCCGCTGTGCTGGCCCAGCCCCCTCTGCCTGCGGGCGCCGGGCTGTTCTGCACCTCGGGGCCGGGGGCAGCCAGGCCGCTGTGCCCTGCCCCCCGAGAGCCACCCCTGCCCAGAGCCTGCTTTGCCCTCCCGCTCTGTCCACAGTCGGCGGCAGGAGAGAGTCCGGCCTGGGCCGCCTGCTGCTGGGCACGTGTCAGCGCGTCCACTGGCACCCCTCTCTCGGGCGCCCCGCGCCCTGAGTGCCGGCTCCGCGTGCTTGCCCGTGGTGGCGAGTTCCTTCCGGTGCTGTTCCCCCGGACAAAGGCCCTGTTCAGCCTTCATCCCTGAAACACGAGCTCTCCTGAAGCGCGTCTGGGAAACGCTGGGGGGCCGGGGGGCGCGGTCCATCGGACGGCTCCGGACAGCTGTGCAAACACCGCTGGTCCCGGCCCAGGCCCCCCACCGCTGAGGCTGTGACTCCTGTGACCCCAGAGGGGCTTGGCCGGGTTTGGAACCGCATGGCAGGCAGCCCGAGGCCCCGCCCCCTCCGCTGGGGTCGAAGGACAGGCTGCTCACCCGGGCACAGCCTCCAGCCGGCAGCGGGTTGGGGCTGGAAAGACAGACCCGAGTCCAGTGGGCTTCTCACCTCCTGCTGGCTCCCGGGGCGCCGGGCCGGGGCGCCCAGGTGGGGCCTCGGGGCAGGTTCCCAGGCGCTCGGGTTGGGCGAGGTCCCTGGGGCTGCGCTTGGCTCGGGAAGGGGCCCCCACCCAGGTGCCCTCGGCCTCTGCAGGCCCTCTGACCTGGGGGGAGGCTGGGGGGGGGGCGGACCCTGGGAGGGTGAAGAGGCCCACGACCAGTCTACCCCCGCAGGCTGCCCTCAGGGCACCGGGGGACCAGAGCTGCACGGACGCCGTTCAGGGGCCGGACACCCACCGCCGACGGCCGACGCAGGACCCCCTCTCCGGGCATCTGCCATGGGGCCTCCTGGCAGGAGGCTGGGAATGGGGGGGGCACGCAGGAGGGGAGGGGGGCTCTGGCCACGTGGGAGGAGCCCAGGGACCCGGGAGGCGGGCCGAGCACCCCCCTTCCTGAGGGAGGAAGCTGCAGACTCCCAGGCGGCCGGGGGTCGGGGGCTGTTGGCTCATCATCTCCACTGCGGTCACAGGCACAGGCTTACACGCACACACATACATGCACACACGGGCACGCACACGGGCACACTCACACGGGCACGCAGGTGGGTGCACCCCCTGTGCCTCTGCTGGGCGGCTCACTGTCTCTTTGTGCTGGGGGGGGGCTCCCCGCGGCTGCCGTGCCGGGGAGGGGTGCTCTGGCAGAAAGAAGGCTCTTTTGTTTGGAAGGAAGCTATCTTGTTTCTTAGGTTTGTGCGGATCCACTGGGAGCTGGGTGTTTCCGCCGCCCTGTCAGGTGCCAGGACTCTGAGACCCTGGACAGCAGAGTCCCCCGAAGCGACCGGACGCTCAGGCCCGGTCCCCTGCTCTGTCCCGTCGGGAGGGCCGGGCTCCGCGGCCCACGCTGCCCCGGGGCTGGCGGGGGGCGGGGCTGGCGCAAGGCCGGGCGCTGTTCCGGGAAGCAGACGCTGCTCTGGGCGGCCGGCCTGCCTCGTCTCGGGTCGCCCCCCACGCCCACCTCCGTCTGCGTCTCAGGGCTGCGGGGGCCATGGCTCTCTGTGTCCCCGGCTCCGCGAGGGCAGCGTCCACAGCTCCCCTCGCCCCCCTCACTGGCCTGGCCCTTCCCTGGGAGGCCTGGGCCGGGTGGCCGCAGGTGCAGGGATGGAAGCCCCTCTGAGTCATCCCCTTGCCAAATCTTGGGGCCACGTGGTGAACTCCCCACATCACCACCTGGCGAGGCTCTTCCACGTCTGGCCCGGCCTGGGCAGGACAGCCGCCCAGGGCCCTGGGCTCATCGCCAGGTGCCCACGCCATCTTTTCCCGAGTCTCCCAGCCAGCAGCCCGCCCAGGTCCCAGCCTCCTGCCCCCCGCACCCCCAGAGCAGCCCCGCCCGATGCTCAGGCTCCTGGGGCGGAGGGGCCGGGCGAGGCTGGCGGGAGGTAGCCCAGGCCGTGGGGCTCCTGCTCACCGCCCAGCCCCCGCCCCCCACTGTCCCCAGCCTCCTCTGGGCAAGCATCTTGCCTCCCTCCCCCAAGGCCAGGCCAAGTGCAGCCACAGCCACCCCGCTGCCCGGGGACAGCTGGGGGGGTGACCAGGATTCTCCCATAGGACAGGAGGAGCCTCTGACCAGCAGTCGGCAGAGCCTGCACCCTGCCAGCCCCTCTTCTGGGTGGTGACCTCTGTGACCTGCCTTGACCTCTGACCTCTGGTGCCCCTCTGTGGCTCCATGACCCCCGTGCTCCTGGTCTCCCTCCTCGCTCTTCCTCTGCAGCCTCTCAATCCGGTTCCTCCGGGTCCGGGCCGGGACCCCCAGGCCCACACTGCCAGTGGCCCCCCACCCCCGGCTCTGTCCCCATCTGCAGCCGTGGCCCTCTCCTGACTCCAGGACTGCCTGTGCAGCCAGCCCTGGGACCCCCCACCGGGACCCCCCCCCCGCCCCCCCGCCCCGCCCCCCCCGCCGAGCTGGGCCTCCTGCAGCCTCCTCACCCCCAGCAGCCCGGAGCCCCGCCTGCCCCGGACCCCCCCCCTCTGGCCCGTCTCCCTCGGAGGCCCTCACGGGGCCCAGGGGGCCCCTGCCGTCCCTCCCCCCGTGCCCCCCACAGTGGTCTGTCACACCACCGCCCAGCGTGGGGCCCAGTGGACAGCTGGGGTGGGGAGCTGTCCCCAGAATATCCTGGCTCCCGCCTGGCCCCTGGGCCCGGGGGCGGCTGGGATGTGGGCAGCCTGGGGAGGTCAGCCACAGGACAGTGGACAGAGAGTGACCTCCAGGCCCGGGGCTGCAGGCCGGACTTGCCCTTTCTCTCCGGAGAGCGGAGCTGGCCCCTGCCGTCGCCGCCCTTCTCCCGGTCACACGGACGACGTTCGGGCGGTTGGGCGGGACCCCCGAGGACCGGATGGCACCAGGGCGGGGGCGGGAGCGCGGGGGGCCGGGTGGGACGGGGCATAGGCTCTCCCCAACCCCGGCTGGACGTGCGTGGGCCCTGGCTGTGAGCAGGTGGCTCGGCCACTCCGGGCGGGGCCGGCCACTCCGGCTTCCGCGGTGGCTGGTCCTGGCCACGCGGCGAAGCGACCTCCTGGAAGTAGCCTTGCCCCGGAAGCCTTCCGTCCTCAGTGCTGGCGGGGACCGATGGCTACACCGGAGGCCACGCCCGTGAGCCGGGAAGCCCCATGCGGCCACCATCCTTGGGCTTCTCTGCGGGAGAGAGCCGCCGGCCCCCGGAAACAGGAGAGGCTGAGAGTGTGTCCCAGCCCGGAGCAGAGGAGGGGGCGAGCCGCCCTGGGCGGGGCCCTGGGCGGGGCAGGGGCTTGGGTCAAAGCCCAGCGGGTCGGTGAGGTGTGGCCTTCAGCCGGCTGCGTGTCCACGCCGAGTCGTTCGTGTGGCAGGTGAGCCGGGCCGAGGGACGCCGACCGCGGCGGAGTGTGGCCCAGCCGCCAGAGTGAAGTCTCAGCGTCTGCGACAGTGTGGGGGGCAGACCGTGCGGTCCCAGCTCCAGGCGGGACGCTTAACCAACTGCACGCACCGTCGGCACGGAGACAGACTCCCAGACGCAGAGGACGGGCTGGTGGGGGGCGGAGGGGCGGGGCCCTGGGGCGCTGGCTGGGAGGTGGGGGGTCCGGAAGCGTGCGGTGGCTGTCACGGGACAGCCACAGGGAGCGTGACCTCGGCGTGCGGTGACAGGCGGGAGTGTCCTGGGGACCCGAAACCAACACAAAATCACAAAGTCAGCTGTAAATGAACATCAAATTTAAAGGTAGTAGTAACAGGGGAGCCCAGGCTGGTGTGGCTCCGTGGGCTGGGTGCCGACCCCTGAGCCATAAGGTCGCTGGTTCCATTCCTGGTCCCGCCACGGGCCTGGGTCGTGGGCCAGGTCCCCAGCAGGGGGCGCATGAGAGGCAACCACACACTGATGTTTCCCTCTCTGTCTCCCTCCCTTCCCCTCTCTTTAAAAATAAAAATAAAAGAAATCTAAAAAATAGATAATTTTTTTAGAAATTAGTAGTAGGGGCCCCTGGGTTGCCCGAGGACCTCAGGGTGGAGGCAGGGCAGGCACCAGGGGCAGAGGCCCTGCAAGCGGGGCCCCAGGCCCTGTCCCTGCCCCTCTGGCTCTCCCCTCTTCCTGTGGGGGCTGTCCCCCAGGTCCTGTCCCCCTCCACTGTCCCTCCCCCTACTCTCCAGTGGGCCGGCCGGCCTCCTCCCCTGCTGAAGGTGCACACCCTTCCGGAGCCCGGCCCGGCTCTGGCTGACCGGGTCCTCACTGCCCTGCCCCCCCGAGGCCATGTCTGTCCCCGCGCCCCTCCCCCATCAGAAATGAGCACTCGGTGCTGGGGGGAGCCGGTGTGGCCTCCAGACAGCCCACCGGGTGGGCCGTGGTTCCCGGAACAGCGGGCTCCAGGCTTAGGTGGTGTGGGTCCTCACTCAACCCTCTGGCACCCTCCCCTGCAGGCTGGGCACCCTCCTGGCCTGGCCTGGGCTCCCGGGGCCACAGAGCCGGGCCTGTCCTCACACACGGCCACTTTCAGTGGCATCCAGCAGAGGCAGCCATGGGCCTGGGGGAGCACGGAGTGTGGGGTGGCTCCGGAGGGCCTCCTGGGGAGCCGGATGGAGGCTCGTGACCTAGGCGCCCCCTGCCAGCCCCGCCGGCCCAGAGCCCCGGCCCCACAGTGCCCGCCCTGCTGAAGGGCCACCCCAGGCCCAGGATGAAAGGCAGGGGTGCCTGTCTCCAAGCTCACTCGGGCCCAGGACCCAGGACCCTGGGCCCCGCCACAGAGACGGCCCTGCCTCCCCTGCCGGGACCAGGAGACCCTGCAGATGCCTCGCCCGGCCAGCCCGACAGGCCAGACGTGGAGGGTGCCCAGCCTGCCAGAGGCCCCCCGGCCCTCTCAGAGGTGGGGGGCACGCTGGGCCCAGGAGAGGGTGTGGCTCATCCAGACCAGCAAAGGGCCACCGGCTGCGGGGGCGGCGGAGGGCAGCGAAGGCAGGCGCCACACCGCCGGAGCCTGGGGGGGTTGAACAGGAGACAGACCACCACCGGGAGCGCCAGCCGCGTGCGCCGTGACTCCCGCAGGAGACACGTGTATCTGTCCGACAGCCCGGGGAGGGGCCGGGCTGTGCCTGCAGCGTCTCCCTCAGTTTGCAAAACGTGCGGGAGCTCTGTCTAACCCCCCCCCCCACCCCCCGTCAGATACACCCGGAGACCGTGTGTGTGTGGCTCGCTGCCTCTGCACCAGAGGACAGTGTCCCGCCCAGTCCCCGAGTTTCCTTCAACCATCTGTGTTGTGTCTTTTCTTCGTCTCCCGTCGGCCCCACTCAGGAACCCCCGCCCCGTGCTGGTTGCGGCAGAGGCAGCCGCAGGCCCAGAGGGCCCCCGCCTCTGTGAGACTCTGTGTGGGGGCTGGGACCCGTCACTCCTCTCCCCGCCATCAACCCCCAGGCTGAGGTCAGCAGATGCCTGGGCCCTGGGCTTACCACCAGCCAGCCGGCCAGGGGCGGGGCGGGGGCGGTCCGGATGGCCGGTCAAGGCTGAAGCCAACTCCCCGCAACCCGGGCTCCGGAGCAGCAGGCGTGTGGCCGCCGTCCAGCCCCGGCCCTCCCCGGGCGGGTGCCGCTCCCACCTCCCACTAGACCCGGCTCCAGGGAAACTGCAGCCTCAGCTCACGGGGTTGGCTTGGGCCTCTGCCCACCAAGCCCACAGGGCGGGGAGAGCGGCCAGCGACATCCAGAGCCGCCCAGGTGCTGCCCGGGCCCAAGGCAAGGGCCGTCCTAAGGGGGTCCTCCCAGGCCAGCCTCTTGGGGATCTCTCTCTGCACCCGGCCCTGCGTGGGGCTCCTCAGAGGCCAGCACCCCTCCCACTCACGGGCTCGGAGCAGGCACCCCGTCCTCCCCGGCCAGGGCCACCCGCCCTCAGCCGCCCACCTGTGGGTCCCTGTGAGGCCGGGGAGCAGCACCGCAGCCCAGCCTCTCTGCTCCCCACAGGTGCCAGGAGGGGCCGCGCCACCCCCAGCTCCCAGCCCACACCCAGCCTCCTCGCTGGGCTGAGTGGGGCCCCAGCAGGGCAGGAGCGGCTCGGCTTGGACTGCTGACCACTCGCAGGGCGGGGGCGTGGGGCACGGGCTGTGGGGGTCCAGGCCTGCGTCCGGCACAGCCCCTGGGGCGGGGAGGGCGGGCGGGGGTCTCAGCACAGCTACTGTGCAGCCCAGCCCTGCCTGCGCCTGGTGAGAGGTCAGTCGCTGGCCACGGGGGGCGGGAGGTGCCCAGCGGGGCATGCCCAGAAACAGGACTCTCAGGGGGCTGCTGCCTGGCACCCACCTCTGGGCCCTGAAATCATGCCCTGGCTCCTCTGTGGCTGGGCCGGCCTCCCACCGACCCCACCTCAGCCCGGGGCTCCGTGCAGCCCTGCACGCAGGACCCGCGGGGGCTGCAGGAGCCGCAGGAGCCCCCATCACCACAGAGAGGTTCCCAGGGACAGGCTTGCCTCGTCCCCGTGAGTCCTCGTGGGGTGAGGACGTCCCTTCTCTGCACAGACAGGGAAACTGAGGTTCGGAGAGGCCAGCCGCTGGCCCAGGGCCACCCGGTCCCTGCCCGGTGGCTCTGGCTGCTGCCGGCAGCGTGGGCGCAGGCCCCGCACCGAGCCCCTCCTCCCGCCTCTGGCTCCGGGCGGCCCCGCCTCTGCCTGGCGGGAACCGTGTTTAGGAAGAGAGAGCCCAGCCACCTGGCGATGCCGCAGCACCGCCCGGTCGCTCTGACAGTGTGTGCTCGCGCGTGCCGGCACGTATGTTCACGTGTGCATTCTTCGTCCGACCCAGGTTTCCGGAGCTCACCGGGGACACGGTCCTCGTCAAACAAAACGGAAAGGCCAGAGCTGTCCTGGGGTGGGAGGGACACCTGATGCCCTTGGAACCCCACCTGGACCTGCACGGAGGGCTTCCTGGAGGCAGTGTCCGTGCTCAGCCTTGGAGGAGCCAACCAGCCTGAACAGGCAGCAGCGTACCCTCGGGGGACCGGTGTCGGTGGGGCTGGTCCGGCACAGGGGCGGGTGTGTGGGCTGGGGCAGGTAAGGACTTGGAGAGGGGCCCACGAGAATTGCTGGCTCTGGCCCTGGCTGGTGTGGCTCAGCAGATTGAGCTCAGGCTGTGAACCAAGGGGTCGCCGGTTCAGTTCCCAGTCAGGGCACACGCCTGGGTTGCAGGCCACCCAGTAGGGGGCGCCCCCGAGGCAAGCACACGTTGATGCTTCCCTCTCTCCCTCCCTTCCCCTTTGTCTAGAAATAAATACATCAAGTCTTAAAAAAAGAGTTGCTCTGACCAAGGGGTGGACTTGGGCAGCAAGGAACAGAGGAGGGACAGGTTTGGGGACCTCTGTTTGGTGCCAGGGGTGGGGTGGGAGGGGTGGGCTAGGGGAACCCCCGACACGGCACAGACTGGAACCTCAGAGTGCGAGTCACCCCGGGGAAGACGGGGAGGGGAACCTACAGGAGAAGGGGGGTCTTGCCACCTGGGCAGGGTGGGTGGTGCCAAGGCCACCCCAGTGGCAGCCCTGGGGGTCTGAACAGGGCCCCGTGGCCCGGAGGTAAGACTGAGTCCATCGGAGCTGGACTGGGATGGTGGGGGGGCCCGTCGTCATGGGCAGGGTGGGGCAGGGTGAGGGGGTCAGAATCCTGGTGCCTCCCCTGCAGACCGCCCCCCTCCGTCTGGCCTGGGCGGTCTGAGCTGTGACCCCAACCCTCCCGTCCCTCAGGGCGGGCGCTGTGTCCACTGGGCTGGAGCTGCTGTCCGCAGCCCCCGGCACAGCCTGGACAGCGCGGCGGGTGGGAGCTGCGCCAGCAGGGGTCCCCCCTGCAGGGGGTGCTCAGCCCTGCCCCACCCACGGTGCGGCCCTGTGGGGAGAAGCCTGTTGGGGGGCGGGGGCCCCTCCTCCACCTCTCCAGGTGCCCGAGGCCCAGAGCCTCCGTGTGCAGGGAGGACCCTGCCACCCTGGCAGCCCCTCACCCCTGCTCCGCTCTCCCCGTCGCCCCCACCGGTGTTTCCGAGCTCCGAGCCCCCAGAGGGGCGCCCAGTCCCCCCGGGACACACCTGGCCCACAGCAGGGTCCCAGCCAGGGCCTGGGCGCCCGTGGGGGCTGCAGGCGGCTCGACCTCACCCGCCCCGAGGCCTGGTGCCCCCCTCTGGCCCCCACTCGGCAGGCGGCAGGGCCCACGCTGGTCCCTTCAGGGAACCGTCCCGGTCCCACGCCTCCCTGCTGGCCATTTCCTGACGGCCTTGGGGCCGTTCCAAGGCCAGAGGCCAGCGCTGCCAAGAACAAGGACCCAGTGTCCTCCCAGAAGGTGCCAGGCCCTGGGACAGAAGCCTGCGTCCCCCCCCACCCCACCACCAACGGGCTGGGCCTGTGTCTGGGGTGGCCAGCCCCTGCCCCCACCAACACAGGGACGCCTTCTGCAGCCTCTGGGAGCCCAGGCGGCCCCCACCTGATGCCCCGCCCCGCCCCCGCCCTCCCTGCACTCAGGTCCCAGCCACCTGAAGTGGACTCAGGCAGGGGCAGAGAAACCGGTGACACGGGCCAGCTGCGATTGGGGCCAGGACCTCAGAGACAGGCCACCGACCCGGGGAGGCCCCTGAGCGGAGAAAGCCCTTTCTGCACGGTGGGCGCCACCCTCAGGTGCCCTTGGGGGCCGTGCCCGGCACACCTGGCCCTCGGGCGCCACCTCACCCACAGGCCTGGGGTCTGTGCCTGGGCTTGAGTTCCCCGTCACCCCCAGGCTCACGCGATACGGGGGGGCCCGGCGTCCCTACCCAGAGTCACCCGATTGGGGAGGGAAGGACGGCTGGGATGATGGGGGTGGGCCCCTGACCCGGGCGGGAGGTGCCCAGAGCCCCAGAGGCAGGGCAGCGCCAAGGCCAGGACCCCTCTGGGCTGCCTCCGGGAGGGTCCTGGTTCTGGAAAAGTGGCCGGCCGTGAGGGGCCGCTGCCTGCCCACCCTCCCCCCGCCCCCCAGTGTGTCAGGCCCAGTCCCCCCACTGGTCACAGCCTCTTACATAAGCAGCCCTGTGAGGGGCGAGGCTGCAGCTGCGCCCCATGGGCCTCCTCCCCACCCCGCCGTCACGAGCCTCCAGGGGGCTGTCCTTGGGCCCTGGGCGGGGGCCAAGCCAGGCCCATAAATAGGGGTCTCCCCTGCAGCTCCCGCCTGTCCTGCCTGCCTCCCTCTCTCCGCCCACACTGCTGGGGCCAGGCCTGGGACGCCGGCTCGGCTCCAGGAGGATGGCCGCTCTGCGCGCACTGTGGGTGGGGCTGGTCCTGCTGGGGGTCCTGGGGGTCCCGCAGACCCGGGCCGAGGCCCAGGTATCCCTGCAGCCCAACTTCCAACAGGACAAGGTGAGGTGCTCCCCTGCCCGGTCCCTGAGGCGGGACAGGGCTGCCGGCGGAGGGGGCCCTGCCGCAGCGCTGTCTGCCTGGGAAGGGGGTAGCTGAGCAGAGGAGAAGGCTGAGCGGCCGAGGCCTGCCCTGGGGCGGCGGCAGTCCCCACCCTGGAGAGGCGGAGGTGTCCCCACCCGCAGGGAAGCACCTGTGTCTGCAAGTGCGCGCCTGGTACATGCAGGCGCGCGGGCCACCTGCGCGCCCACGCCATCCAAACAGTCACCCCTCGGTACTCCTGACGCCGGGAGGAAACGGGCACGCATTCCACCCCTGAGTCCCGGGACGGATCCTGGGACGCGACCCCGGGCGCGAGCACGCGGACGGAGATGGCGCGCGGGGTCGGTGCACAGCGACGGTGCACGGGGGTGACGCACGGGGCTGGCGCACGGGCCGGCCACAGAAAACTGAGTGCGCGCGGGTCCGCGCCTCGCGCGCGCACACAGCAGGCGGGGCGCGCGCACGCTCAGGGGCTGCGCGGGCACGCGGGGGGTCTGCTCCTCCCGCCCCACCCTGCGCCCCTGCCCTGAGCGTCGTCGCAGAGCCTAGCCCCGGACGGCGGTCGGCGGCGCTCGCCCCAGCCCCTCCGAAACCGGCCCCGGGCGCCCTCTGCCGCCCGCTCCACCGACGGCCTGGGGCCGGGCCGGGCTGGGCGGAGGTGGCACCCGGCCTGCCCCGGGTCGGAGCGGCGTGGAGCGCCGCAGGCCTCCAGCGGGGCGGGGCGGGCTGGAGACCAGACTCCCCGCCCGGCCGGGGGGCCAGAGAGGGTCCTGGCCGACTGGGCAGGGGCCTTCTCCTGCAGTTCCTGGGCCGCTGGTTCACCGCGGGCCTCGCCTCCAACTCGAGCTGGTTCCAAGAGAAAAAGGCAGCCCTGTCCATGTGCACGTCGCTGGTGGCGCCGACCGCGGACGGCGGACTCAACCTCACCGTCACCTTCCTGAGGTGGGACTGCGGGCGGCTGAGGGCGCCCCCTGCCCGTGGGTGCGGTCTGGGGACCCCCGGGCCTGGTCCTGACCCGAAGGTGACCTGCCTGCAGGAAGGACCAGTGTGAGACTCGGACTCTGCTGCTGCGGCCCGCGGGCCTCCCGGGCTGCTACAGCTACACCAGCCAGCGTGAGTGGGGCCCTCCGGGGAGGCCGGGGTCCCGCTCCGGGCGACACCCCCTGGTGGGCGAGCAGGGCGGTGGCCGTGCCTCGAGGGTCCTCGGGTCCAGCGCCACACGCTCAGGCGTGGGGCACCGGGGATCCACTCTGGGACCGCCCCCTGCCGGTCCCTCCCCGCGCCGGGGTGCAGGGTCCTTTGCAGTCCCCTCCCTGCTGGCCGGGCAGGGCGCCCACAGCCACCGGCACGCGGGCCTCCTCCCTCCCTCCCGGCGGTGGCGTCCCCACTGGGCCACCTGTCCTCCCCCCGGCCAGCTGGAGGGGTGGCGGCGGCACCACCAAGAACCCCTAGTTTTCTGAGGCTGCCGGTGTGCTGGCCCCCAGGACTTCTGGGGTGGGGACCCTGGCCCCCACCTGGCAGAGCTCACAGGCTGTGCAGGCAGGAAGGTGCGGGGGGGGTGTTGGGGGGCCGGCTGTCCAGCTGCCTGAGCGGGGAGGGGCGGGGAGGGCGGCCCGCCCTCACAGGGCGCCCCCTCCCGAGGCCAGAGGCCTGGGGTCCCGACCGGGGTGGTCTCGTGGGCCCACAGACTGGGGCAGCGTGAACGACGTGCGGGTGCTGGAGACGGACTACGGGGAGTACGCCCTGCTGCGCACCGCCGGCACCAAGGGCCCCGGCCAGGACTTCCACATGGCCACCCTCTACAGTAGGCGCCCGCCCCTCGGGCACCCGGGGCCTCCGGGTGGGGGTGGGGGCGGGGGTGCAGAGACCACCCCCCCACCCCCGCGCCTGCTTTTCCCTCCCGCCCAGGCCGCACCCAGACCCCCCGTGCGGAAGTGAAGGACAAGTTCACGGCCTTCGCCAAGGCCCAGGGCTTCACGGACGACGCCATCGTCTTCCTGCCCCAGACCGGTGCGGCTGCTGAGCAGCGGGGCGGGGCTAGGGCCGGAGATTCGGGGCGGACAGTCTCCTGATTCAGGGGATGCGGGGGGCCTGGGGTGTCTGGCCAGACCGCCCACCGACCAGCAGCGGGGCTTCCAGAGGGGGGCGGTCTGCCCTCACTGCGTGAGCCTGGCCTGCCCCCCCCCACAGGGGGCAGGGAAGAGGCTCCTTCTCCAGGGAACGCCCCTCCCCAGATTCACCAAGCTCCCACCATGTGAGCCAGGTCCCGAGCCAGCCACCAGGACACGGGGGTCCCCAGCCGGGTGGGCGGCAGGTGTCCAAGGGAGCACAGGAGTGGCGGGCCCAGGGCAGCAGCGCATTGCCGCTCTGGTGCGTGGCCCAGGGGCCGGGCAGCCTGCTCCGAGGGCAGTGGGGGGGCCAGCACCCCTCTGTCTGCAGGAGCAGGAGCCGGGGGGTGGGATGGGGAGGAAAGCCAGAGTCACAGTTCTGAGGGTCAGCCGACTCCCCAGGGCTGCGAGGGGGGGCGGCGGCCCTGGCCCGGGTGCTGACCGTCCCCACTTCTCTCTTGGCAGATAAGTGCGTGGAAGGACACCAGTAGGTGAGTGGGCCAGGGTGGGCCTCACCCAGCAGTCCCCACCCCGCCCTGCAAGGAAGCCCCAGCAGACAGGGGCCGGTCCAGGGGGGCGGGGGCTCCCAGGGGTGCAGCGAGGCGGCTGGGGGCGGAGGGGCTGGAGGCTGGGCGGCATGGGGTGCGGAGGTCAGGGGAGGCCGGTGCCCTCTGCTGAGAAACGTCAGGGCACGAGGCACCGGGCGGGGCAAGGGGCGGGGCAGGGGGCGGGCTGCCTGCTCCACCTGCGGGTCCTGCTCTCTCGGCCAGGTGTCCACCCTCAGGACCCGGCCGCCCCGCCCTGCTCTGCTGTCCTCCGAGACCCCCGGGACCCCAGCCCTGGCTCCTCCGGCCACCCCCTCCGCCCGCTCGGCTCTGCCCTGCCTCTGAGAATAAAGCCCCGAAGCAAGTCAGCAGCCTGGCTCCTGTCTGTCTGTCTGTCTGTGGTCGGTCACCCGCCGCCACCCTGGGCCTCCTCTGGCCGGCGCCCTGGGGCCCTGGCCGCCCGGACTTGCTCCGGACCTCTGCTCCCCCACCCCTCTCTGCTCCGCGGGCGTCTGGGAGGACGGACAAGCTGGGCAGGCGGGCTGGGTCGGCCGTAGGGACAGGCACCAGGAAGCCCCCAGCCACGCGAGGCCGAGGGTCCGGGGCAGTCGGCAGGTGCAGGGCGAGCGCCCTGGGGTCAGGCGGAGACAAGGTTTTCCAGGAAGAACAGGGCCGGAGGGTCGCCCTCTCTCCTCCCGCTGGGACAGAGTGACCGAGTGGGCCGGGGACAAGCCCCTCCCACTCTGGCCTCCCGAGTACCCAAGGTCCCTGCGCCCCTGCAGGTGAAACCCAGCCTCCAGCGCCTCCGCGGGTCCCTCTGGCGGGCAGGCCAGCCGCTCCAGGGCCTCGTGGGGCGGAACGGGGGGAGGGCGGCAGGCAGCCCAGTCCTGACCACGCCTTCCTGACCCAGCTCAGCCTGTACGGGGACGGGGCCGGGGGTCGGGGGGAGCCACTGGGGGCAGGTGGGCGGGGGAGGCCAGCAGGCCCCTCAGCTGCCTTGGGCAGGCGGTCCAGCAGAGGGGGTGGGGGCAGCAGCCAGAGGCAGAGGCCAGCGGGCAGTGGACAGGGCTCCCGGGGTGGAGGCAGGGCGGGGCCCTGGGGCTGTGCCGGCTGAGGGTCGGGCATCCTGGGCCGGGGACCCTCGCCTCAGCGGCTCTCGCTCCTGCAGCCGTGGCCCAGACCCGCATCCGCCAGGTGGTGTCCACGGACGACACACCTGTTGGTGCGGAGCACCCGGACTCAGAAGAGGGGTGTCAGGGGCGTCTGCTGCGGCTCCACAGTGGGTGGGGGGGCAGCCCCCGCCACCACCTCACCCCATGGCTGCCGCCTGGCTGGGGTGCTGACTGCATGCACATTCCAGCACGTTCTCTCTCTTTTTTTTTAAGGTTTTATTTGTTTATTTTGAGAGAGAGAGGGGAAGCAAGGACAAAGAGGGAGAGAAACATCAGTGTGTGGTTGCCTCTCGTGCGCCCCCTGCTGGGGGCCTGGCCCGCAACCCAGGCATGTGCCCCGACTGGGAGTCCAACCAGGCCCCAGGTCGGTGCTGGGTCCACTGAGCCACACCAGCCAGGGCCCATTCCGGCAAGTTCTGACCCCAGGGCAGGAGTCAGTGTCTCCTTGGGACCCCTCCTCACCTCTCCCTCCTGGCCACCCTCCCTGGCTGCTCCCTTACCCCCAGCCCCTCTTCCACCTTCCCCCACCCCACCCTGCGCCCTCTGCTCACCAGCCCCCTGCCCCTAGCCTGCACCCCAGAGCTGTTTCCTGCGGCTCCCAGAAGGTACAGCTGCTGGCACCCCAAGTGGGCCAGAACCCTGGCCAGGGCGCCCTGCTGCCCAGGTCAGCTGAGCGGTGCTCCAGCCCCACTTGGGGCTGTCAGGGCCAGGGGGGTCAGGTCACAGGCAGGGAGGCCCCGCCCTGGGGGAGGGGACCCTGGGGGGCTTCTCAGGTCCCCACTCTTCCCCACAGACCAATGTGCTGGTGCCTTCTCCCAGGCGTGTCAGCGGGGGCGGCCGGGACACCCCTCCCAGACCCCAGATGGTGCAGTGCCCCGTGTCCTGTGCTGACCCGGGGAGGCCCCCCTTAGCCAAAGGGCCACACTGTGGGGGTCTTCCGTCTCGGGGGTGAGAGGGCTGGTACCAGGGAAGCCAGGTGGGGCAGAAGGCAGCTGTGGGGCAGGACGGAGCGGCACCCCGGGGAGTGGAGAGGGCGCCGCCCATCCTGTGCACCTGCCGCCCTGCCTGCAGCCAGGCGTGCAGCCGAGGGTGCCGGGGGCGGGGGGGGTTCTCGGCAGCACGCCCCCGCCCGCCTCGTGCACAGAGCTCCCCAGAGAGCACCGCCTCTCGGAGAAATAAACACCCTCCAAAGCCAGCAGCCCTAGTTGCTTGTCAGGGGGAGGCGAGGGGGATGGGGCCGAGGGGCCGGGGGCCGGGACTAGGGGCGGCCCAGGACCTACCTGGAGAGGGACCCGAAGGGTCATCCCTCCATGGCCAGCTCCAGGGCCCCGGGCAGGACCCCTTGTTGGGCGCGGCCCTGCTCTGCCAGCCCCTGCAGGGGCATCAGGGGTGGGAGGGGCTGAGGCTCTGCTCCACACTGGGAGGGAGTGTTGCAGGGACTTCCCTGGACCTGGGACGCTGCAACTGGGGGTGCTGCTCTCACCCCACCCCCCAGACCTGGAGAACGCGGTGGCCACTGTGCAGGATCTCACGCCAAGGGCATGCTGGGCCTCCCATGGGTGCAGTGGCTGTGGGTGCAGGGGCCGGCTGAGCCCTCGGGTCCTCCCAAACCGCAGCAGGAAGGAAGACATCCGGGCCCCTTCCGTCTGGGGAGCCCCTTCCAGGCCCCCACTTCTCACCTGACTGCCCACCACTGCCCAGTGCTCCCTGTGGGAACTCAGAGCCGGGCCCTCCCTGCCCAGCGTGTGGGGGCGGGGGGAAGCGGGGGTCCACAACTCTGTCCTGCCTTTGTGCTTGGGGGGGACAACGTCACGGTTCTTCAGACACAGCCTGAAGAATTTGAGGACTGAATGCTGAAAGATCTCGCGAAAATTAACAACGGAAACCACAACCAGGACGGCAGCGGGAACAGCCGGCAGGGGGAGCTCTCGCCCCACCACGCGTCAGTCCCCCCAAACAGGGAGAGCCGCCTGCATCTCTCACAGGTGTTTTCTCTAAGTTGCTACCCCAGCAGGTGGAAGGTTTTCCCCTCGCCTGGCAACGGCTCAGCCAATAAGAGACGGTCACAACACAGCCAATGAAAAGCCGCTCTTTAGGGCCGCCCAGCCTCCTCCGAAGGGCGCTGCGTGCAGCTGCCCCTCCCAGCTCGCCCTTTCCGCTGCCAGTGAAGGTTCCTCTCCTCTGTTCCCCGGACTCGCGGGTGGTTCTGCCGTATCTTGTGTGTCTCAAAGTACAATTCTTTTTCTTTTTTAAAGATTTTATTTATTTGTTTTTAGAGGGAAGGGAGGGAGAAAGAGAGAGAGAGAGAAACATCAATGTGCGGTTGCTGGGGGCCATGGCCTGCAACCCAGGCATGTGCCCTCACTGGGAATCGAACCTGCAACACTTTGGTTTGCAGCCCGAGCTCAATCCACTGAGCTACGCCAGCCAGGGCCAAAGTACAATTCTTTATTGCTCCCAAATAAACCCATTTCTGCTGCTAAAACAACTGACTTTTTTATTTAGGACAACAATCTGTAAACGGTTCAGGAAAAAAAAATTATACTGATACAAATACACCAAAATGTTGACAATTGTCTCATCTGGGTGGTGGCTCGTTGTGCTTTTGTTCCCGCCTGACACCAGCGCAGAACTAAAGCCCTGTGTGTGTGTGTGGGGGGGGGGGCGGGGGGCGCACACACCTCTGCCACCGGTGGGCGCACCACCCCGCCCTTTCTCCGCGTGTTTGGACCCTTGGACAGGCGCCCTCGCCTCACCGCGCGGAGGCGTCTGCTGAGAGGTGCCGCCTGAGCTCCCGGTGAGAAACCCATCAGTCAATCTATCAGGGGTCACCCAGTCTCCACCCGAGTGAAGAGAAAGGGGCAGATGGTGCCTTCAGGCAACAGCAGGGGGTCGAGGCAGAGAGGTGGGGAGGCTTTGTAACAGGGTGCAGCCAAGAGGGGAGCCCCAAAGAGGGATGTGTAACGGGGTCCAGAAGAGCTTGGAGATAACTGGCTCCACACCACATGGCCACACGGGCCCAGAATGCGGGCAGCTGGGGCCAGTTGTGGGAGGAGCCGGAAATGGGGCTGCAGAGGAAGACTGGCGCTGGGATTTAAACGGAGGCACGGCAGCCATTGGGGGTCTCTCTTTTCGGGACCACGCGTCTGTTTAGGACCACGCGGCTTTGGTGTCTTGGTTGGGACCATGAGGCTTGGGTGAGAGTCAGGACCACGAGGCTTTGGAGGTGCTCCCTTTTGCCACGTGGAGGGTGCTGGGGGGACTGTGTGCGTTTGTGGGGAACTTCAGTTTGTGTTATTTCAAATGAATAATAAATTCCTTTCCTTTTCACGGATCTCAGGTATGAAGAGACATCTTTCCCCAGGCGGTGGGCAAAACGAACCCAGAGGTGGGGAGGAACCCCTTGGAGACTGGAACAGCTTGGGCTCCTGGCAGCAGGCACAGGATGGCTGGCCACTGGGCTCCCGGCACCCTCTGGGCTCCGGTCCCCTGCCATCCCCTGCTAACTGGTCCCTTCCTGGTCCCCTGGGAAGGATCTGGAGTGGGGGGATGCATGTTGCTCTCCGTGGCCACCTGGACACCCATCCCTCAGAGGGAGCTCCCTGCTGGAGTAGGGCAGCCTCCCCCCCACATGCATCCCCCACCCGCCACTGTGGGACATGCAGGTCCTCACACGGCTAGTCTCGCCCTGAACCACCTGCTCTGGCCCCCTGGGGGCAGTCCCCTGCCATTCTCCACCCAGCAGCCCCCAGATGTGCATGCAAAACTCTCAGCTCGTGCCTCCTCTGCTCCCAGCTGCCCCCCAGCGGGTCCCGTGTCACTGAGAATAAAGGCCAAAGTCCTTAGGTGGCCAGCGAGCCCCTCCCTGGTCGGCCCTGCTCCGACCCCTCTGCCTACCTCCCTGTGCTGACCTCCTCAGGCCCCTTGAGCACGCCGGCCCCATGCCGCCTCAGGGCCTTTGCACGGGCTGCTCCTGTTTGGAATGTTCCGTCAGTTCTACACTCGGCTGGCTTTCTCTGCTCCTCTGAAATCTTTTACTCAAATACCACCCACATGGTCCTTCCTTAGACTCCTGGGACCCCGTGCCCATCTGCCCTCCGACCCACTAGCTGCTCCACTGCGCCCTTTGCTTCTCTGCGCTGCCCGGCGCCATGGCCCGTGCCCGTCTGCCCTTCCTCCCTCACACACTGACCAGGCGCCCAGGCTGCCCGAAGACCTCTTTGGACCCCCTCCTCCGTCTTTGAGGCCCTGCCTGCCTATCTCTTGCCCTCCTCTTAGCTGTACCCGCAGCCCCATCACTCAGGATTGCCCCTTGCGGAAGGCCTGAGGAGTTGAAGACAGGTTTTGTTACACTTTCTAGATTTTTGTGTAATTTTCTGGAATTTAGATTTGGCAGTGTTCTTGTCGTGTTTTGGAACGAACGTTTGTGGCAGGCCCTCCTTTAGTTTCCTGTGGCTGCCGTGACAAGTTGTTACAAACTCGGTGGTTTAAAACATACATTTATTCTCGTACCGTTTTGGAGGCCGGAAGCCCCAAACCCATCTCTCTGGGCTGGAGTCAAGCTGGCAGCAGGGCCCAGCTCCCTCCAGAGGCCCAGGGGAGGACCCTCTGTGGCTTTTCCATCTTCTGGTGGCCGCCGCCGTCCTGGGCTGGGAGCTGCTCACTCCACCCATGGCCCCATGGCCACACGGCCTCTCCCCCTGCTCAGTGAGGTCCCCCTGCCTCTCTCGGGATGACATTCAGGGCTCGTCCGGATACAGGGCCCGTCCGGGCACAGGACGATATCCCCCTCTCCAGACCTGTCCCCGAACTGCTTCTGCACAAACCCCTTTCCCTACAAACACACACTCACAGGTTCAGAGGGTCAGCCCCAACACCCTTCGGGGTCGTGGTGCCACCTACCACCTCCTCCTGAGCCCCTGAGCGCTGGGCCTGGAGGGTCTAAGGTTTAAGCCGGTCCTGGGGCTGGTGGCTCCGCAGCCACAGCTCTGGACCGGCTCCTCCCACTAGACCAGAGTCTTTCGTGCTCAGCAGCCTTCACTGTCTCCGTCAGACACCCAGCCACACCGAAGAGTGAACAGGACAGCGCGGGGGACCCCTCACGCTCTCCGTACCCGGCGCAGAACCATGGTGTCAGGGAGGGCATTCCCCCTCTGCGCCTCCCTCGGGCCCCTCCCTCGGGGCCCCTCCCAGCCTCCGTCAGCCCTGCTCCCAGGGACTCGGCAGCCTCAGCCCCCTGTCCTCCTGGTGCTCAGTGGGGCTTCACACACAAATCAGGCGTGCCTCCCCTGCCCCCCCCGAACCTTCCCACGCCGCACTCACGCACTCACAGCGCCGACTGAACACCCCTTCCCCGCCAGGTGCTGTTTCAGCACCGAGGACACAGCGGCAAACAGGACAGAACTGGGCCGTCCACAGGACAGAAAGCGTGCTAGTCCCCCACTGCTCAGGCACAAACTACCCCCAAACTTGGCAACTGAGGATGGCAAGCAGGTGTGATCTCCCCGTTTCTGGGGTCAAGAGTCTGGGCCCGGTGAGCTGGATGCCCTGGCGCAAGGCTGCAGCCGAGCCGCTGACCCAGGCTCAGCTGGGAGGGGGCTGAGTCCTGTCCCTCACTGCTTTGGGCAGGCATTGGTCCTGTGCCCCATGGGTGTCGCCCCAGGGCTGCCTCATGTCATGGGGAGCAACCCAAGAAGGAGGAAGAAGTGACCGGCCCTCGCTTCTGCCATATTCTGTTGGCTCGAAGCAGGCTGCTCAGTGCGGCCCGTGCTTGGCGGAAGGATCCACAAAGGCGTCAACACAGGACCGGGATAGTTGGGGGCCACCGTAAAGGCTGCGGCCAGTCAGCAAACCAGAACGTACTCCAGGCAGTGGCGTGTGCGGGGAAAGGAAAATGAAACAGGACGTGACGTGCTGGGCAGGGTCCCAACGCTGCACGTAAAGTGACTAGGGAAGGCCGTGCCGAGGAGGTGGCTTCTGAGTAGAGACCTGCAGCGGGCGTGTGAGTCTGGGGAAGGCGGCGGCAGCACGAGCAAAGGCCCTGGGGCAGAGCCTCCGGGGGACTGTGAGCCGGGAAGTGGGAGATGAGTCCTGGCTGAAGGCAGATGAGAGATCTGTTAGCCTAGCCTACATGTCACCCGCCTTCCTCCCTATTGCCATCACGTGGTCGCCCCCGCCGTCTTGCAGAGCCCGCTGTGGGACTTCTGCAGAGCCGCCCCCTCTGCCTGGGACCCCCCTATCCTGGGTGCTGCACCTGCTCTTCCTCCAGCTCAGAGGCACTTCGCACTAAGAGTTCCTGCGTTTACTTGCCCACCGATTGGATCTCAAAAGGCGGTCAAAGTGTGCTCCAGGCCGGGGACACAGAGGCACAGGGAGGAAAGGACGAGTGAGTGAAGGAAGTTTTCTGCCTGGCTGCCATAGTTTATTCACTTTCATATTCCATGTTTCATGATTTGCTTGCGTTTGCATCTCAAGGTGAGGGTGAGAGAGACTGGGTGTGGAGGCCAGGGAGAGGCCGCTGGGACCAGCAAGGGGCGACATGGCACAGGGCTGGGCACGGGGCAGGGGTCTGCACGCGAAGGCGGGAACCCGGGGCTCAGCGGGGATAGCGGGAGTGCAGGGGAGTAAAGCCCGAAAACAGGTCTGGATTCCGGACCGCGCTTTTTGGCGGAGGGGCTCAGCCTGCCCACCCCAGGAGTCCCGCCCCGCGCACTAAGCCCCGCCCCTAGCGACGCAGGTCCCGCCCCGCGACTTCACCCTGCCCCTGGGCACGGCCCTGTGACTAAGCACCGCCCAGATAGCGCCGCTCGGCGCCCTGAGCTCTACCTGCTCGGCTCCGCCCGCCCCGCGCGGGTCTAACGTCTTCCGGGCCCGGCGGGGGCCCTAAGCCCCGCCCCTCCCAGGCCCCAGTCGGCTCGGCGCCCGCCCCAGGCCCCGCCCCCGATTCCGGCAACGGCCAACTGGCGCAGGCGCCCTGGTCCCGCAGCCGTGGCCGCCCCGGTCGGCCCCGCGGCTGTCAGAAGAGCCATGGTCCCGCCGCCGCCTCTCTGCACGTTGCCGCCGGGCCCCGGGCCCCCGCGCTTCATATGCTACTGCGAGGAGGAGAAGGCAGCTGGGGCCAGCGACCAAGGCGGCTTCAGCCTCTGGTGAGTGACGGGTCCTCGGCGCGCGGGGGGCGCGGGCAGCGCTGTGGACGGGGCCTCCTGACAGCCCCTCCCCCGCAGTGTGACGGACGCCGCGGAGCTCTGGAGCACCTGCTTCACGCCGGACGGCCTGGCGGCCCTCGTGGGTAACGGGGCTCCCGGGCGCGCCCCGCAGCCCCAGCGCCCCACGCCTGCAGGGCGGACCACGCGTGGGGTGGAAAGGGGCTGTCTGGGGCTTCCCGGAAGGGGGCTGGGCACCCTTCCCTGGGCTCTGTAGCTGTAGCCTAAGATTGGTTTGGGGTCCCAGGTAGCACTAGGTCGGGCAGGTTTGGGGTGTCGCCACTGGTTCTAGGGTCAAGGGGAGATGGTGACCAGCCCCCGTGCCCCGTAGAAAGCCCGTTTTGGCCTGAGTGCGGCGGAGGACGTCACTCCCCGGTTCAGGTGAGACCTGAGCGCATAGGAAGGGTAGATCGGGGGCCGGTGGGTCTGGCCACAGCGCTCAGCACCCCTTCTTTCCCAGGGCAGCCTTCAAGCAGCAGGCTGTGACTTTCACTCCTCAGGAGGACGCAGCAACCCTGACCCTCTCGGGGGGCCCCTCCACACTGGACTTCGAGCTCTCCAAAGTGCCGGGCCCAGAGGCGGCCCCCAAGCTGCAGGCACTGACCCTGGGCCTGGCAGAGCGCATGTGCAGCTTGGAGCGGCAGCTGGCATGTAGGATTGGGGGTGGGCACCCGCAGCCTCCCTCCCCGGGGCCCCCCTGCCCATGCCTTCATGCCTGGCTTTTCCCCCAGCTGTGGAGGAGATGGCTGCCTGCCCCAGGAAGAGCCCTTGGCCAGTGGAGCCTCAGCAGTTCCTACCAGGTAGCCCTCCCGCCTGTGACTTAGGTTGGGGCTGTGCTCGCCCTGCTTTGACTCAGTTTCCCCATAATAAGCCTCAAGCTCCAGGGAGGGGCTCTGTCTATGTGTAGAGGCGGCTGTGGCCCTGGGGTCCTACTGCATTCAGGTGCACCCACGCCCCATCCTGCTTTCCCTAGACCCAGATTCTCAGAGAGGCTGCCCCGGACCTGGGGCCAGGAGGCGGTGTCCCGGCGAGTCCCTCATCAACCCTGGCTTCAAAAGGTACCCGCCCACCCTCCGCCCATCTTCCGCCCATCCCTCCTGTGCCCAGGGTCCAGCCCTGGACCCTGCCCATCCCTCCACACCCTGATAATGTCACCTCCTCTCCTCTCCCAGTAAGAAGCCAGCCAGTGGTGTAGATTTTGATGACCTCTGACCGTGCTGCAAGAAGTGTGACCCTGCCGGGAGTTTGCTTGTGAGAGGGGGGCCGGCCGCCGAGACCCCGTGTCACCCATCCCCCACCCATCCTGCCGCCCAGCAAGGACAAGCCTGCTTCTCTGAGCTCCGTCCGCATCAAATAAATGGATTTCTCATGCAGAGGGCATGGCCAGCCTGTGGCTCCGGGGGGCTTGCTGAGGGAGAGGTCAGGTGTCCTCCACCCGCCGCAATCTGGGTGTGCAGCCACAGGAAGTGACAGAGGTGCCAGGCCCTGGACCCCTGGGGAGGCACCGCCAGGCTCTCCCGGCCAGCCTGGGGGCTGAGAGAGACACGCAGGGCCGGGGCCAGGCTCCCAGGGCTGGACCCCTCCCGCCCCATGGGGTGCACCCCTCTTCCAGACCCTCACCAAGCAGGACTTGGCCTTGACCACCCCATCCCATGCATACAGTAGGTCCTGCAGGAGATGGGGGTGCCTGCCAGCCGGGGTGGGGCTGAGGAATGTGGGCCACCCCACCCACTGGCTCTGAGCCCTGAGGTGCCCCGGCTGGGCTACGTTCCCCACCCTCCTCGGCCATCCCAACGCTGCGCCCCGGCCTGACTGGTTTGGGAGCCCGATCCAGTCCCCGTCGTCCCTGACGAATGGGGGGAGGGGCTGTGCCCCGCCCACTGGCCTCTCTGCTGCCGTCATTCAGGGCTGTCATCTGGAACAGCAGGCCACAGTGGGGGCTTAGGGGTGGCAAAAATCGGGCCCTCTGGTCCCTGGGGTGTCCGGACATGCTCACAGGAGGCGGCTTTATGGGGCTGCAGACGAGTGCACAGCGGCGGCAGCAGAGGTGGGGGTGCTAGCGGGGGTGTACGACGGGCCGGTAGGCCGCCAGAATCTCGGAGCTGTGCGGACACGTGTACTTGAACTCTTTCTCCTGTAGCGCGCTGTCCAGGTAGTGGCGGATGCCCCGCAGCTCATCTGGGATGGGCGCCTGGCGGAAGTGCGCACACACCGTCTGCGGGTGGGCAAGGGGCGGGGGCGCGTCAGGGTCTCTTCCAGGGCGTGCCCCGCCCCCCTGCCCCTTCCGCCACGGGCCCGCAGGCCCGCAGGCCCGCGCTTACGTCCACTATGTGCAGCTTGGGCAGCAGGCCGCAGTCGGCCAGTGTGAGCTGGTCGCCGTCCAGGAAACGGCGGCGGGACTCCCGCAGCTGCGGCTCCCGGACGAGTTCGTGCTCCAGGGGCGCGCGCAGGTAGCTGTCCAGCCTGGTGAGGGCTCGCAGCAGCAGCTGGTACAGGGCTGGCGGGGGCAGGGGGGCTGTTGAGGACTCGGCCAGGAACACAGCTCCCCCACCCTCGCCGCAACTTCCCACCCTCGTCACCATCGTCCTGCGCGGGCGCTGGGTTCTTGATGAATGCGGAGAACTTGTGGAAGACGTCACTGCCCGCCATGGTGGACTCTCTGTAGCAGGGCGTCAGGCTGGGAAATCTGGGGTGGGGGGGTGGGGGGGAACAGTGGGTCAGACTCTTGCGCCAGGGCACCAGCCCCACAGCGCCCTCCCTGGGCTCTGCCCTGGGGGTGTTCTCCCTGGGTGCCCAGGCTCTCACTCGGGGGGCCCCAGTGTCTCCTCCAGAAACTCCTCGATCTGCAGTGTGTCCGTCTTGGCCTCGCCGTCGTAGAGCAGGATGGGCAGCTGCGAGCCGGGCGCGAAGTCCTTCAGCACATCCAGGGACCTGCGGCCACGAGGGAGGGGGGGTCGTGGCTCTGGGGGTGGGGCAGAGGCCTGACGAGGTTCCCTCGGGGGCGGGGGGCTCACCTGCGAGTGTCCACCGTGGTGAGGGTGAAGGGCACGCCCTTGAGGAGCAGGATCATGAAGAGCCTCTGGCAGGAAGGGCAGTGCCCCACACTCTCGCCGTCCTCGCTCGCCTGGGGCGGGGGGGGGGCGGTTGAGGGGTGTCAGGGCCGGAGCAGACCCAGGAATCCTGCCACCGGGCTGGGCGGCTCCCGGCCTCCCGCTGCTGAGAGGCTGGTGCCATGCCAGGGGGCTCCGGCTCAGACGGGCACGGCCTCGGCGAGTGGCCAGTGAGGGCCCTTGACTTGGTCCCAGGAGGTTGGGGAAGGCTGAGGGCTGGCTCGGGCAGGGGGGTGGGCCCCTGGCTCGGGGCCTGGCCCTTCAGCCCTTATCCGGAGAGCCTGGCAGGGCCAGAGCCCTGGGCTCGGAGGTGGGGTGCGCCACGGGAGCTGCTTCCTGAGTGATTCACAGGCCAGATGGGCATGGAGGCTGCAGCACCGGCTGCCCCGCACCCTGAAGGTGGGGAGGGGCTCCCCAGACCTGGACCCCCGTGGGGCTGGCAGGTCCAGCACCTCCCTGCTGCACTGGCCCCAGCCCCACTTGGGCCTGGCCACTTGCTGCCTGGCTGGTGCCTCCCCACAGAGGGGCTTTCTCTCCAGGACGGCCGGGCTGCGCCCGGGAGCCCAGGCTGGGTGTGGGGACAGGGCCGCCCCTACCCCTTTGGAGGGTGACTCGCCGGCCCTTCTCTCCCCGGGCTAACCCGCTTCACCCAGCCTCTGTAGGGCCGCCGGGGTCCTGCCGCAGAGACCCCACCCTTCAGCCGCCCCAGAGAGTGGAGCCCCACAGAGCACCCCCTCCCCAAGGCCTCCCCCCAGCCCAGCTGGCCCGGCACCTTGACAAACAGCTGGAGCTTGGCCGTCTCAGCCATGGCGGGAGCCGCAGCGGTGCGGGCAGGGCGGGGACCCGGGGCTCTTTAAGGCTCCCTGGGCACCCCCGCCCTCCCCGGCCCAGGGCCCGCCCTGGGAGTCACCTAAGAGGAAGGATCAGGCTGGTGGGGCTGTGCCCCAGCTCGAGGGTGTGACGGTGGAGGCAGGCTGGGCACCCGACCATCCTGTTGGGGGGGTGCGGTGGGATGGAGGCAGGGAGAGGGGGGCCTCCACCTGGGAGGGGCCGCCCTGGGTCCAGTCACCCCCCACCAGGAGCCCCCCTGCCCTCCCGGGGTGGACACCCCGGGGTCTGGCGGGGCATGCAGCCCGGGAAGCTGGGGAGTGGTGTGCAGGAGAAGTGCATAGCCTGGCCGCTGCCTCAGTTTCCCCACCTGCCTACCGGGGCCCGGCAAGGCTGATAAGCCGCCACCTGGAAGGGGCGCCCTCTCCCACCGGCTGGGCTCTGCCAGGCAGAGGCCCCTGCCCGGGGCGGGGCCTGCATTCCAGACTTGCCCCTGGGAGACCGGCCTGGCCCAGGTGTCCACTCAGTGCACCCCACGCCCCGGGGCCCCTCCCAAGGGCTCAGGGCAAGATTCTTTCTGCTCTTAACCTTCAAAAGGAGGCACCAGGGGGCCAGTTTGAAGCCATAACCTTCTGACCCTTGGGATCGGCCCACGCTGCCCTCAGCCGGAAGGCCAGGGGAGGTCTGGGAGCCTGCCAGCCCGCAGGTGTGCACCTGCCCACCCCGAAAGGGCGGCTTTCCACACCTCTCCCACACCACCAGTGGGGCGGGCAGCCGCAGGGGCACCCCGAGGGAGAGGCCCACGGGAGTTCAGCGCCACCCAGTGGCAGAGAGAGGGATCTGCCCGGCTTGCTGGCTTTCCCAGGTGTGAGCGTGACTTCCCAGACCCCACACGGTCAGTGCTCCCCAGCACAGGCCACTCCGCCAGCCGGGGCTGACCGGGGCAGACCGGACCGTGGCACCCGGCTCCCCTCCACCCGCTGGGACTGCAGGGGCTCCTCCACGAAAGGGGGGCTCGCCCCACTCGGTTCCCACGCCCCTCCCCCCTGCAAACGGCCGTCCTGGAGCAGGCTCCAGGCCCCTCCGCACCTGCCCCTCACCGCACGTCCTGCGTGTGAGGGCACCCTCGGACGTCTGCAGGAAAACCAGCGAGCCGTGCGCGAGCGCCTCGCTGCCCTCTTCTCGCGAGAGCCAAACCGGAAGGAGGCTGCGGCCGCCCGGGGCTGGCCCGTGGGGTCGCGCTCTCAGCCATGGTGGGGGGAAACAGGGTCCGGGTGGCGGTGCCAGCGGCCTCCAGACTGGCCCAGAGGTGTCCTCGGGACGCACACACGGTGTGCAGCCACTGCAGGTGAGGACGGTCCTGGCGGGTCTCAGCGGTCGGGGGGTTCGAGGTGCCACCAGCTGAGCGCTGCCCCCCAGATCTGTGTGTTGAAGTCCCGGCCGCCAGCGCCTTGCAATGGGACCGTATTTGGAGACGGGGGTGGGGTTCTTTAAAGATGTGATGAAGTTACATGTGGTCGGGACTGGCCTCGTTAAAAAGGGGAGTTTGGACGCGCAGACGCGCTCCCGGGGCGAACGCTGGGTGCAGGTGGGGGCCTGGTGACGAGCCAAGGACCCGAGGTGCCGGAAACCACCGGCCTCACCGGCACGGAGCAGGAATGGGCCCCCCGGCCCCAGGGGCCAATGCTGCTGACGCCCCGATCTTGGACTCGGGGCCTTCGGGCTGGAAGAGGGGGAGTGCTCCCTTTTGTGAGTCCCCGGTTCCAGTCGCCCGTCTGGCAGCCCCAGGAGCCCGGTGCACGTGGTGGGGGAAGCCCCAGCGACTGGGACATGCAGAGCGTGAGGGTCTGTCCTCGCCGCCCCGAGCCCACGCCTGCATCCGTGTGGGAGGATGGAGGAACTGCCCGCAGGTGACCTCTGACGTGTACCGCCACCAGCGAGGGAGCCTCACCCATCTGGCCCTTTGCTTTTTCACCAGCTCTCCAGAGTAGCTGTTCTAAAGAGGTGAGACCAGCCACTCACGGTCACCAGACCTGATCGCGCCCATGACCCACCTGGAGCCACGTGAGTGTCTCTGAACCTCCCCCGCCCACCCACGGAGCAGCCCTGAGCGTTGGCCACCAGGGCCCATGGCTGCTAGCCCAGACAGCCCCCCGCCCCCGCATGCGGAAACCCCGGCCTAAGCCTTGTCTGTGGTCCCTCCCGGCGAGGTGTCAGCAGCTGTTCTGCAGGGAGACGCAGGCTTGTCCAGGGGCAGCGAGGGGCCGTGGGCCGTGCTGGGGTCTTAGCAGGAACCTGGACGGGGACTTCTAGCTCTGCCCTCCGAGAGGGTGGAGGGGGGCGTGACCCCTGCAGCAGTGAGCACATCCGGGGCCCACGTCAGGGGCTCCAACAAGGACCTTCCTCAGGGAGCCAGAGCCCCTTGGAGAAATGGCTGAACCCAGATGGGGAGCGGGGCAGGGTCGAGGCAGGCCTGGGGAGTGTCACAGGCGAGGCAGTGCTGCAAAGAGGGGGGCAGGCCAAAGGGAGGAGAGGCCGCTGTGGAGGGGCTCCCACTGGCCGAATCTGGGGCCGTTTGAGCATAAAAAAATATGACAAAATTGTACAAGTGGTTGAAACAGTATTTTGGATATTTGACCACAATAAAACGTTTTTAAAGATGACAATAAAGGCCCTGGCTGGTGTGGCTCAGTGAACTGAGCACCAGCCTGTGAACCAAAGGGTCGCTGGTTCGATTCCCAGTCAGGGCACAGGCTTGGGTTGCAGGCCAGGTCCCCCAGTAGGGGGCGTGCGAGAAGCAATCACATATGGATGTTTCTCTCCCTCCCTTTCTCTCTCCCATCCCCTCTAAGAAATAAAATCCTTTTTTTTTAAAGATGACAGTAATAGACAAGCACATATTTTTTTAAAACCCATGAAGTCCACAGCGATTACTTCTAAAAGCGAAGGAGCTCTTTGAGAGAGAAAATGACCGCTGGTACATACAGAAAGGAGGGGTCAGTGGGGAGCGAAAGGGGACTGGCCCTGGGACCCTTCCTTCTGACCACCCTATCTCCAAGCTCCTTGAGCCAGGGCCTGGGAGCCCCCATGCCACCTGCAACCTTTGCATGCACTCCTACCTGGACTTGGGTCTCGACCCAGAGATCACCTCCTCCTGAAAGCCCTCCCACGGCCAGGATGAGATGGAGACCGCCCAGCAAACCCACTGTCCACAGAAACCGGAGCACCGCAACCCAGGCCGAGGGGTTGGGGGGAGGAAGGGATGGACAGCCCCTGCCTCAGTCTCCCCACCTGTAGCATCAGGCTTAGAGGGGTGTGCAGCCCCACCCTCTGCTCCCCGCTGCCCCTGCTGCCCTCCCCCCATGCAGGGCCTTGAGCTCTAGGAGTTCCCAGACAAGTCTGCCCAGCAGGGGCCCACGTTACCCTGACGTCCAACCCCAGACACGCAGGCTTGTGTAGACTTTTTTGTTTATTTACTTAAAACAAACATCTGTGCAGTATATACAGGTCTGGCGCCCAGGTGGGCGGGCGGGCAGGGTGCCAAGCTGGGTGGGGGAGCAGGGGCAGCTGGGGGGGTGGCGAGGGGCCTGCAGCCACTCCTGGCATCCAGCCCGCTGCCCCGAGGCGGCCCCCCCAGCCCCCCAGCATGGAAGCAGGGTGAGCACACCCCCGCCTAAAGCAAAATAAATAGGAGGTGGGCTGGGACCTAACCCTGCCCACCCTCAGCCCCAGGCCCGCAGTAGCCCCCCTCTTTCCCAACAGGGTGCAAGAGAAGCCGGCCTGGGAAGCCAGGCCCCACCAGGACAGGGTCTGACGTGCCTGGCAGCCCGGGGCCCCGGGCAGAGCTGGGCTTTAAGGCAGAGCAGGGTGAGGGCGTCGCAGCCCAGGGCCAGCCAGCCTTTGGCACAATGGGGGGTGGGGGCGGCCTGGGCAGAGGGCGGGGGCTGGAGGGGCGTGAAGCCCTTGGTCCTGGACCTCCCACTCCGGGGCCTGGGGGGCAGGGCACCGGGGGCATAGAGCAGGGCCCCGGCCACCCTCTGACTCCTGCCCCCCCACAGTGTCCGCGAGCTGGCTCCTGGTGGTCAGCAGAGCGTGTCGGTGTTGAAGGAGAGCTGGGCCTGGCGGAGGACGGGCAGGCTCAGGGACGTGTCTGCACCCAGCGCTGCCCCACCCCAGGGCTGGACGCGGTCTCTGCCACCTCCTCTCGCCCTCCCTGAGCTCTCCCAGGGGTCGAGGCCCCTGCTCCGCCTGGTGTCCCCGCCCATCCTGCCCGTCTCCCCTGCCTGTGCCCACGTGCACTCTCGGGGTGCTGCTGTCCCCTAGGGCAGCAGTCCCTGCGGCCACCAACCCCGCCTCCGGAGCCTCCGCTGGCCTAGCCACCCTGACCCAGCCCTTGGGCCCCGCTCACCCGTTCCTCCTCGAAGCTGATGAGGCCCTCGTCCTCGGTGTCCAGGTCCTCGGGCTCCTCGGCCACCAGTGCCCGCAGCTCAGTCGGTGTGGGCCGCGGCCGGAACAGGCTGAACAGGCGGCCCAGGGGGGACTGCAGGGCCGAGGGCGGCTCCGTCTCCTGCTGCTCCAAGTTGTCACTCTGCTTCTTGGCGAAGTTCACAAACACCTGGTGGGCAGAGAGGCAGGTGGTGGGTGGGGGAGGGTCTGAGGGTCAGTGCCCCGCCGGCCCGAGCACTCACGTTGTCCAGGGTGGTCTGGCTGACCGAGTAGTCCTCGATGCCCAGCACCCCCACCACCTGCTCCATCTTGCTGAACACTTGCGCCAGCGAGATGCGCTCCGACTTCAGCTGGTACTGCACCTTCGTGTGGTGCCGCTCCTGGGAGGCACGGAGGTCCGGAGGTCAGAGGCCGCTCCGGCCCCGCCCCACCCCCGCCCCCACCCAGGGTCCCGCCCACCTTCAGCACCGCCTCTGGGAAGTTTCGGTTGAAGAACCGCACCACGTCCTTGACGTTCTGGCTGCTCTTGGTCCTCACCGTGATCATGTAGCCATCTCCAAACCTGCCAGACAGGCCATGGTCACAGCCCCAACTGCCCAGGGAAGCCACCC